ATCTAGTGCTAGGGGTCTTTCTAGAGAGTTATAAGGATATTATAATACTATTAGTAGTTTTTAAAGGGTAACTTACTAAATAGGAGTAATTAAAGTATTATAGCTAGCTAACTAATAGTAGGTTTATATTAATAGTAAGTTAGGGATTAAGAACTATAAATAGTAATTAGTTATTCTATAGGTCTAATTAAGTAATTATAGGTCTTTAAAGGTCTTAGTGATTAGTTAAAGCCTTAATAAGAGTTATAGAGTAGTTATTACTTAGGTATAGCTAAAAGTACTAGTAAGGGTAATTATAAAGTTAATTGCTAAAGAGCTATAGAAGTCTATCCTTAAGCTGGACTTAAGTCTATCCTATATATAAGTCCTAGATACTTCTCTTCCTATATGGACTGCAATCTGAGAGTTAGTCCTCCTTGAGGACCGCCCTTAGTACGTTGGTCCTGATCCTTATCCTGGTCCTAGGACTGCTTATTGAGAGTTGGTCCTGCTTATTATTACGTGACTTATACTATAGTTCTTCTGTTCCGGGCGAGCCCCTTATGTTCCCGTGATCCTATATATAAAGGTGACGTTCTAACCGCCCGGTATCCTTGTGGGGCGTTCTTTGTTGGTTATGCCTAATGGGTTGTAATATCTTATTAGTAATTAACTAAAGAGTAGAAGCTATTTAAAAAGCTATAAAGAAAGTTAGAGAACTTTAAGCTAAGAGGTAAATTAATAAAATAATAGCTACCTATAATAAGCTAGATATAATAATAATAATAAGTGTACTTATTTTATTAAAAGTTTAAGTTTATTATAAAAAAAAGGCTAAAAAAACCCCTTTTACTTTATTAATATAACTAATAAAACTTATATTATTAATATAAGCTATAGCTTTAAAACTTTTCTCTCTATTATTATTATACTATATATTTAGGACCTTAGAGAGAGTCTTTAGCCTCTTACTCTAAATAATAATAATAATACTATTATACTTATTATACTTAAAACCCTTAAAGATAATGCTATTACTACTCTATATTATAGTAGCTATATCTAAAAGGAGAGCTATAAGCTTATAGAGTTCTATTATATTAGCTACTACTTTATTTATAAAATTAACCCTCTTATTACTCCTCTTATTATTTATATACTAAATAAAGAAAAGAATAACTATAAGTTAATAATAAAGTTAAAAGCTAATAGTATTATAATTATTTTAAATTAGCCTTTTAAAAAGTCCATAAAGAAAGAGATAATAATATTTAACTATTAGAATATCTTTAACTATATTATAAAGATAAAAGAGTATAATAGTAAATAAATCTTTAAGATTTAAATAATTAATAAGATTAAGAGTAAAGCTATATCTTAGCTCTATAAGAAGTTATAACTAATTACTATTAAAGTTAATAATTATAATAAATAGTTTATTTTAACTTAGTTACTAATAATTTAATAGTATAGCTAATAATTAATTCTTATTTTTACCTTATTACTATTTAAATAAAATATAACTCTCTAGCTAAAAGATATTACTTAAGCTTATATCTAATTAAAAATAATACTTAATAAAAGGATTTTAGCCTACTTACTTAATAAAATAAAAAATTAATACTCTCTTAATATTATTATAACTATTATTAAGCTACTATATAGACTTATTAAAGCTAATACTTATTAATAAGCTATATATAATAAGTATTATAAAGAGAACCTTAAAATAATATTATCTATATTTAACTTATACTTATTAGTTTTATTTATTATAAATCTATACTTTAATATTATTAATATATAGATTAATAATACTATTAGCTTTAATAATAAACCTTTCTTTTAGCTTAAAGAGATAAAGCTTAAAAAGGCTAAGTTTATAGCTAAGCTTCAATAAAGACTCTTAACTATAAAACCCTTAATATTTAATAGAGATATTACTACTTTAATAGAAAATAATAACTTTATTCTTTATTAAAAGGATTAAAATAAGAAACTTAACTTTATTAATAATAAGGTATTAATTAAGACTTTTAAGAAGTAATATATTAAGTAATATATCTATAATACTTATATTATCTCTATTTACTAACTAGAGGTATATTTTAATTTATTTATTACTACTTAATATTAAGATCTATTTATTAATAATATAAAAGTACTTAATAAGTAAATTTAGTAATAAAAAGACTACTTTAACTAAAGATTTATATTTATCCCTATTAATCTAAAGACTATTAAGACATATATATTTATAAATAAATCCTTTATAAATAATAATAACTTATTATTATAACTTAGCTTTACTTTTATTTTTATTAATAAGACTATAAAGAATAAGGGAACCTTCTCTATTATTAATAATATAATTTACTATAGCTCTATAAAGTATAAAAGAGTTATAAAAAGCATTTTTACCTCTAAGATCTATAGTATAATAATAAATATAAATATAGCTTTTACTCTTAATATTATATTTTAATAAGTAACTAATAAGCTTAATATTCTCTCTATCTTAATAATTATCTATATAGACTTATACTTACTCTATAAATATCTTATTAAGCTTAATATAATAAAAGAGAAATATTTTATAATAGATATTATAATACTATATTAATTATATAAAAAGAGGGAGCTAAATAAAGTATAATAGATATATAGTAATAATAACCTTATTAATATATTTATAAAGATAATACTTAATAAATCCCTTAAGAGATTTATTAATAATAATAAAGCTATAATATATATAGAGGGATAAATTATAAAATTATAAAAAGGGTAATAATTATTATATAATTATTACTATAAAATAGATAGGTAAAAAGGAGATAATTCTAACTATTTAAGCTAGTTATTATATTATTAAAAAGAGATAATTCTAGCTATTTTAGCTAGTTATTATATTATTTATATATTATATATTTTAGCCCCTTTTTAGCCCTTTTAGTACTAAAAAGAAAAGACTATTAGTATAGGTTTAGCTAGTAGAATTAAGTAGTATAAGTAGGTAGTATAAGGCTTAGTCTCTACCCCTACTATACTATTGCTATTATATACGCGCCTACTAGGCTAGAACTTCCCTTCTCTATACTTAATATATTATTACTAATAGAGCCCTATATTACGTACGTACAACCCCTTGTGATACCAACAAATAAACCTCTATAAGTATAACTAGGAATCCTTCTAAGAAAGCTGAGAAATTGCTGCCCTTGAAACCCTCTCCCGTAAACTTTGATGTCTTTTACGCTACTGGCAGCTTCACGCCCGTGAGCTTCTCCCAAAGCTGCAGCAGTTGATCCTGTTTCTTTTCGTCCGTCGTGAACGTCTCCGCGACATCTTCCTGCTTGCGCGGCTTGAAGTATTTCCCACTGACGTCTCCATTCCCACTGCCCTCGGCAAGCATCACGTATGTGGCAACGCCGTCCTCAGCGCTACCAGTAGCGCTCTGTCCGCCCATCTTGGTGGGAACCCAGCCAGGATCGACAGAGTTACTCTTGACGTCGGGCCACAAGCGCGCAACGGCGTTGGCCAAAGTACTGACGTGCAGCTTTGAGTCGCAGTAGGCCTGGTTATCGTTCCAACCTTCCTCGCCTCGCTCTACCCATGTGGGGTCCTTGAAGCTGGTGTTTCCGCTGCGATGCATGCCGGAAGAGATGTAAATGATTCTCTTCGGCCTGTTCATGATGCAAGTGAGGAGGTACGGCGCCATGACGTTCACGGCTATGAGGCTGGAGAGACCAAAGTCGGTCTTTCGGTACGGCCCGCGATAGAAGCCGGCGTTGTGGATGACGGCATCGAATGTCCCCAGCTTATTCGCGTCTTCGGCCAGCTTTTTCGTCTCTGCAATCTTGGAGAGGTCGCCGATGAGGACGGTCTCCGCGCCGGGGACGGCCGATTTCGCGTCTTCGGCCCGCTGGGCGTTGCGGGCGTGGAGGACTACCTGGTGGCCGTTCTTGATGAGCGTCCGGGCAGCCACAGCTCCCAGGCCGTCGGAGGAACCAGTGATGAAAATGCGAGCCATGTTGGTGTTGATTGTGTCTGGTTTGGTTTGGTTGTGTTGACGTAATGTTGAGATGAAAGGTGCGATGAGTCTGTTTTAAGATCGTTCTTGCTGATTAATCCCACTCGGGCATCGGATCCCGCCGAGAGTCTTAGCTTACGCCGCTGAGGCTTTTGTCAACTGCACGACTCTAACCCTTGAGTCAAACACAAGCAAAGAAGTATGAACTTGCTTATCAATCACCTCCCAATTGAAGACGACATTTATTGGTTTCCGCCGCTTGCTTGCAGCAATTCCGAAATGGCATCGAGTCTTATCGGGATAGCCGGAGAGGGGTTGTTTACGTCATGCATTCTTCGAAGTTACGCTGTTCTGCTCGGTGTGTTGTTCAGTCACCGAGACCCGCTCTTGATTGGAATCAGAATGAGACCAGAAATGGCGACTTGACGCTGACTCTCATCTCATTTGTCAAACATTTTACTGGTGAGGTATGAATGGTCGGTGTTGTTTGAAATCTGAGATAGCAACTTCTATCTAAGTGTAGTGCGTTGTTTGTTCTCACCTCGGTGAGATTCTCAACTTGGAATAGAAATTCGCGCATTTAGAGACAAGTCGCATGTGGTCACAGTAGCGAAGATCATGTATGCTGGGTTACACCCTTCTTCATGATACAAAAATTGGGCCATTATGTTGCATTTTCCCTTTTCAACAACTCAAGACATAATGCAGTTAGACATAAGAATTGCTGATGTTTTGAAGCTTGCTTAGGCGTAATTTGTTTACTTGGCGGAGAATGAAGCCCTCTGATAATAACTCAAGTGACCTCAATTTAGGTACAGTTGAGAAGAGAACTGGGACTTCGGGTTCTTGCCAAAATTTGTGAACATATTTTGGTGAGATAGCTTCACACCGATGGCTTTCATCAAGACCGCGACTTCATGCAAGCAATAGAAGACACCTGCGAAGTAGTGTCAAGGCACATATAACAGATCGAAACAGCCATTGCAGTCTACCTACAGGTAGCAAAATGAATCTTCATATAAATATTTTCAATGATCTGTGTTTCTCACTGTGTTGCCGCCTACTCCATACTTCTCTATCGTCTGATCTCACAGACGGATGAATCTTCCCCACGAACAGCAACTTCCTGCGGCTGAGAACCAACCGTTCTTCAACCTGGAAGAGGCTCGACTGCAAGGACCCCAGCAGCAAACGGGATTTCTCCGTCGAATCACAGAGAACAAGGAGCAACCCGGCTTCTTTCAACACGGGCTCCTCCGCTCCCCGCATTACTCCGCAATATTTGTGTGGTCAGTCTTAACCATGTTTAGCGGACCATCTCCGCGTATCCACAATGATCGTGACTTTATTGACATTGCTTGGGACGAGGAGGCTATTGATCCCGTTTCCAGATGTCGTCTCAAGCCGGACGGCATATCTTTGCCGTTCAGTTGACTTGGCTTGCGTACTTGCTCCGAAATCGCCTGAGGCAATTTCAAAGCTAAGAAAGACATCAATTTCATTCCGCCCGGAGTAGTCCGTTGAATAAAGGCAACAGAAATCCAAGTATCAAGAAGAGCTTTTCTATAAAATCACTACTTTCGAACTCTAATGACTCGTGTCAGAGTGTGCAGAGACTCTATTTCACGGAGGCCAAGACGCCAAGAATCTCACCATGTGGTCTACAACAATCTCTACCTTCCTTGGGCTGCCATTGCTAGCATCTGCTTTCTTGGCAGATCTTCCCGCGGCCTTCAATGACACTCCAGCAACATGGGCATTTGTTTCTTACAGCAACCCCTCCGTGGCCGTTCTCTCTGGGTCATTCAACCGATCTGCTATGGCTGCTCCTCACGAAGGCGAGACGAGCGACCCCGAGTTGAAGAAGGCGTGAGTTCACTCAAATTCACTGACTCATAACTTATCTAATCGAAACCAGCAATGAGTTTCTCAACAAGACCAATTTCATTGCGTATGATGAGAAATTCTTCGATATCTTGGGGCCGAAGGCGAACGTGAAGCAACTGCAACAGCTCGCATTCCAGACCCACCAAGCCCCATGTTACAACAAGGACACGAAGGAACTCTACTTCGCCGAATGGGGCCCTCCCGGCGGCGATGAGGGGATTCATAACTGGCAGTATCTGCTTGACACTACCAACAACACGCTGAGAAAGATCGCCACGACTCCACCGACAGTAAACGCTCACGGCTGCGTCTACTACCGTGGGGCTTACCACGTCGTAACTGACGGGTCTCATAACGAGACAGGCGCTCTCGTCCGTGTCAACCCGAAAACGCTTGAGAAGACTACGCTGTTGAATAACTACTATGAGCAACCTTTCATGGGCTTCAACGATCTCGACATAGACTCCGAAGGTAACTTCTGGTTGACAGACTCGAAGTCCGGATGGGTAAGTAGATGCAGTTGAGTGTGAGACAAGAAGCTGACCAGATCAAGGGCCGTGACATCGTTGACTACACCCCTCCAACCAACCCCACTGTGTACATGGTAAATGGCACCACCATGCGACCGAAGGTTGTCCACATTACAACCGGCAATGCCAACGGCGTCGCAGTCTCGGCACTCAAAGACGGCGGGCACACCCTTTACCTGCCTGACACCGGCGTCTCCGAGTTTAAACCCGTGTCCAAGAAGAATCCGTATGGCAACCGCGCTCTCTTTGCCTACGACATCGCGACCGGCGGTGTGCTCACAAGTCCCCGCCTTCTGAATAACCCCATCTCGTACTTTTATGACGGTATCAGGGTGTCAAGAAATGGTTGGATCTTTGTTGGTGCGGGTGATGGAGTCGATGTCATCGATCCTGTCAGTGGTCTCACGCTAGGTACAATCCGCGTTGGTGGAGGCGAGAACTTGGCAGTGAGCTTGGCCTTCGGTGAGAATGAGCTCTGGATAGTCGGACGGGGCGGCGTCTGGCATGTGAGCGACGTCGCGGAGCGGCTGGATCGGGACTGGTAGGAGATGTAAATACTGGAAAGACCATCCTCAGCTTAGGCAAATCAAGCCCGAAACCCTTGACCGTGTTGGCCTCACAGTCCAAAAACTTAGTAAATACGTCAAAGTATGAAGGCTTCTTTCATTCATCAAAGGCTTCAAGCCTAGCCTCATTGGACATTAAGTGCGCTACTTCCTTTAGTAAACGTACACGAATTCATCGTTCTGGCGATCCGTCAAGTCCAGGAACGCGTTCTCTCCCAAGTTGGCGCCATCCTCCTCATTCTGAGTTGCGCCCACGTAATGACGCTCCATACTGAGATCCTGAATCTTCTTCGGCTTTCCATTTGCTACTCTCTTGCGTGCCTGCATCTTGTTGGAGATGAACAGGTTGATGACCTGCAAGCCGATGATCGCAAGGAGGGCACACGTAATGCCCATGACCTTGGTGAGGCCAGGCCTGTACTGCGGAGCATCCTTGGAGTTGAACAGGAGGGGTCCAATGATGTTACCAGCAGAAGACCCAGCGTTGTACAAAGACATGACGACGGACTTCTTCGTGGTTCCTGCAATGTTGGAAATCATCCATGAAACGATGAGGGGGTTGCCACCGAAGAGGAATCCGAGCATGTAGTATGCCGCCAACAGGGGCGGGATGTTGTCGCGATCCAGGATGTACAACATGACAGCGCCTGCCAAGACAGGTGCTAATAGGCCGGCCAGGAAGACTGACTTGATGCGGAAGCGGTGCGCCAGCCATGAAGCCGGGAAGATGACGAGAAGCTGAACTGCGCCGAACGGAATGTTCAACAGAGACGTAATCTCACTGTCGAATCCAAAGCCGGATACAACGATAGGTCCAAAAGTGTTCGTGACGGCGGCTGTAACGTTGAGGCAGATAGCCATGCCGATGAAGAGCCAGCTCTTGGGCTCCAGGAGAGCTTCCCATACTTGACAGAGCTTGAACTCCCGGCTTCCCGTTCCGGTCTGATTTGCGCGCAAGCGCTCGATCGCCTGGAGCTTCTCGGTCTCGGTGAGGAATCTGGCGGAGGGGATGTCGTTATCGAGGAACATGTAGACGAACGGCGCAGTCAGCACCGTCATCGAACCAACGAAGATGAACAGGATCTGCCACGAGTGGATCGAGCCGTTGATCTGGCCCAGTCCGTACGAAACAGCGGCGGCGAACATCGTCGCGAGCCCGTTCGTGCCGTACCAACAAGCTACGCGCATGGGTTGCTCCGCGCGACGGTACCACTGCGAAGTGATGACCGAGAACAACGGCAAGCAACCTGCCTCGAATAGACCCAGCAGGAATCTCGTGGCCAGGAGTCCTCCGTAGTTGTGGCAAGCAGCCATGCAGATCTGTGCAACACCCCATCCGAAAACGAGAGAAGGCATGAGGATTCGGTGTGGGACCTTGACGATGAGCCACGAGGAGAAAGGCTGCCACGCCAGCTGTGCAATGGCGGAAATCGAGCTGACCATCGAGTACTGGTCGCCGGTGAGGTTGCAGTCTTGCCTCAAACCGAAGATGGCGCCATATCCGAGGACTGATTTGTCGAGAATCTGGAGGAAGTAGACCCAGACGAGGATTGTGAGAATTCGCTTGTCGGTTTTCCGGCGGATGCGCTTATTCTGTTGTGGAAGTCGTCAGTAACGTTGCCAATATCAGGCGTTGTCGAAGCTCTTGTACATACATCCTCTTCCGTGAGCTCGATGTGTTGATCGCCAATCAGGTTTGCGGCGCGGTCGGCACCCCTGGCGTTGTTCTGACCCTGATGCTTCACCTGTTCGACATCTTCGGTTCGGTGTTGGGAGGTCTCGTCTCCCGTCTTCGTGACAGCGTCCATGTTGTAGTGAGGAGGGGAAGAGCGACGGGTTTCCTGGCTCGCCACGAAGCTCAGAAGGGCGCAATGACGATCTCAAACACTCTTATACGTAACCCTTGTGTTGCAATTGCAATGTTGTCAGCGCGGTGTGCTCTCCGCAGCGGCCGGACTCTCGGCCTTGAGCCTGAGCCAAGTCGTCATAAAGCTGAAAAATCAATGGAACTGCATCAAACCCCATGTCGGGAATATCCAATGATGGCTGAGACGTTATGAGTGTTGTGGATGTTTTTCCCCATGGGGGGATGGCTTTCCCCTCTCTTGCTGGGTACACTAGTCAGTCTCCAGCATGGGGAAAAAGAAAGGGGAAATGGAGAAGGCCTTTTCCCCTCAGACTTGCGACCACGTCGGCCTCGGGTTGTGGGGAAACATGCGTTCCGCGTGCGGTGAACCGGCAACACGAGCAGGTTGTTTGCGACCTTGACGTGGACCTGGTGCGACCCTGTACGGGTTTCCTCGGCACGCCTTGGAAGTCGAATCCCCCCCACGTAGACGTTTTGGATTCCGTTGACATCATGGCAGGATCGCGGCGGGAGCTTCGGTAGATGGAGTGGTTCATCATGCTGTTTAGTCTTGTTGAAGCTATCTATGCTTGGCCATTCTCTCTGAGAAGTCTAAGATTCGTGCCAGTCAGGATGATGTATATGGTATCCAGCGTTGGTGTCGCAATGCCTAGTTCTTTGCCCTTTCTGTATGGGTAACCGAGAATGATATCCACCTCCATTGGCCTGCCGGCCTTGTAGTCGGCTTGCATACTGCTGCCGATAGGATGCATGGCGAGGATCTTATTGATGAGCTTATCGATCAGATCATAGTCGATGGGCACGTTGCACCCCTTGGCGACATCGATAACTTCTGTCATGAGACGACGTGTCAAGGGCGTGGCTCCCTCTGAAGAGCTAAGCCAAGAATGTGTATCGAGGAGCGTGAGAGTTGTCAACGAGTTCCAGGCCGCGTTCCAGACTACCTTTTCCCAACGTTGAACCTGGATGTTGGGGACTACTTGGAAGACGGTCTTGCCCTCGGTCAGGTAAAAAGCGAACTCGTCAAGTCGCTGCTTCTCCACGGCTTGATCTGCGCCGTCGTTGGGGTACAATCCGATTTGCATGTCCTCAGACTTGGTGTGAAAGATGTGCCCCGGCTGCGGCTGGGAAGCACCAGTCCATGTCTGGCTTGGTCAATATCCATCCACATCAGAAGCATCGATGGTGCCGGGAAACTTACGACACATGAGACGATCGTCGCGTGGGGGAACGCCTTGCGGAACGGCACCTCGTTTCCGACACCGTTCTGGATGATGACAATCGTGGACTTCTGGTCGTCCACTGCTGGAGCTATTTGAGCAGGGACCGCATCCTGGGTGATGGCCTTATGAGCGCAGACGATGTAATCAAACTTGGTGTCTGCTTCGGCCGCATTGCGCACAACTGTCGCCCGATGAGCATATTGATTCTTCAGCACAAGCAGAGATGATCAGAACTCACCTTTGTACGGACGGATTGTGTGCTCTCCATGGTTTTCACTTTTCAGGATAATGCCGTTCTGCTTCACTGCATCGTAGTTGGACCGAGCAACAACCGTCAATCGTACATTGGACACCCTGCTAAGCACAAATGCATAGAACGAGCCAATCCTTTAGACATAATGTCAGTGACGGTTCCCCCAAACACTGTCTGAGTGTCGACTTACGCCCCTAGTCCATAGAGGAGAACCTCGGTCTGCTTCTCGGTGGCCATTGTGGCGGGAGCGGTGTGTAGGCTTCCTTGGCTCGGAATACCCTTGAACAGGGTAATATCTGGGTGTGGTGATGTCGCAAATTGCGATTGCTGTATTTGGAGTCGGTTGTTCGGTGAGCCTCCTCACTCAAACCTAGTATTTGTACATGGAGATTACCAGGAAAGCGGCCGAGAGACGGACGAGTTCCCCTCACCAGCCGGCCGTGCCCCTCCCCCGACTTTCGGGGACTGAAATCCTGGGGAAGTGTTGGTGTCCGGGGAAGATCTGTGTCTTTGGGGGTTCCGTGGGGGTCACACACGATCTCAGGCTTCGGGGATGTGTCCGTGGAGCTTCCCCTCACTCCTCGGTCATCTTCCTGGGGAGACGCGGGAAATCCGGCACTAGACCCTTTCGTTGACTGGAGGCCTCGGATGGTTTCATTGTCAGAGAAGAAATCATCAGGGCTGATACGATCACAAAATGCCCAGGCATCATGTTGCTGACATCATTTGGATAGGTTCTTAAGACCTCCATGTCAGCAACTCGCACCAATGAGTATAAGGAATCGTCATCTGTAACATTGACTCCTTGGTCTCTAACTGGTAAATTAATGCCCTTCATATAACCATTATTTACATCTTCATTATAGGTTACAGCCTTCGATTGATTGGGCTTTATTCGTTGGATGACACTATTTCCATTGATTGCAAATCCCGCTGGAGCTTATGTCCGCAGCTGCGAGGTTGACTTCTTTCGCTCCAGCTTCTCACCCCAATCCCGCGCGCAATTTGCAATCTGCAGAGCTGTTTCGCGGATACGAGTCGCTTGTCTGACGAGTCTCGTTCTCTCCGTCGGCGTTTTGGGTGTTTTCGACGTCGCCTCCGATCCTTCCTCCTCGATACAATGTCCCCATTCATCGGCAGATCTTGCTACTAAACGAGCAGCGTCTTCGATTCTCTTTCCGGGAACCTCAGTCCCGTCGTCGAAGAAACACTCTTGTGGCTGGGTCGCGATGACTCCGGCAATCAGGTTCCAAACGGCGATGAGGTCTTCCTTCGGGATCGTTGGAGACATGGTGGCCGATATCGATCGCCGCTCGGCGGAGTAGCTCCGTGTCAGCCGGACCGCCGATCCCGGGCGCGCGAGGGCCCGGGAGATGAGACAGTTGCTGCATGCTCCGTTGTGGATGCTGGGGATCTTCACGCATTCCGGGGAAACGCCCTCGCCTCTTTGGCATCTGGGACACTCCTCGTCCGGAGTTTGGACTTCTCCTCGCTCGTGAACCATGATTGCTTCCACAACCTGGGCTCGTGAGGTGTCTGGCGGTGCTTCGCCCGATCTGCCCCTCCAAGCCCTCCGTACTGACAATGCTCCCAGTTGCCTCATGACTTCCGTTGGCACGGTTTGCGACTGCGCTGCATAGTGTCGGTCGTCGCTGTCTGTCGGGGCGTAGTGATCGGGTCTCTGCGCAGTCGCCGTGGCCGGTGCGTCCTTTTGTCGTCCTCGAGGCTCTTTTGCGCCTTGATGTTCTCTCCATACGTTTGTTCCGCCACCCGGAATCGCCCCGGGCTGCTGTTCTGATCTCCCATGATACTTTGATGCATCGCTCGAGGTTCCAACAGCCGGGATGCTGCTCCCAGACCGTAAACGGGTTGCCAAATGTGTTGAAGGCATTCTGCTCTGCTCCTTTATCGCAATCTCTCCAGCCTTTGCCAGCAGCTGCAGCGTGATGTCTCCGATATCCCTTTCATCACCCATCACTCCCCAGCTCGTAGGGGCATGATAGGGAGTTATGAGATCGCACTCCCGGCCAAGGTCCGCGGAGAATAAAAGAGAGAAAAGAGGACACAAGTAACAGTATGGATCCAAACACCCAACCTGACGACGGTGAACCTCGTGATACACTTCCTTAGATCCAACAAACGGTCCACATCTTGACGGTACGACATCATGAGCCACTTATAAACGTCTGCTGAAGCAAAAGATTCTACTTCACTTACGTAATTCTATTGGTCATGCCACAATGCTGCGGGTGGCCGAGACCATGATGATTGGCCGGCAGCATGTGCCGTGACGGTAAGATTTTGAGACCGGTTCTGGACTCCTCTCGGGAGGAGGAGAGGGAGGAGAAGCTTGTTGAGGGATCAGGCACTTTTGCTGTCAGGTCGGCGTCGTCCGCGCCTTGCCATCTGCATCATCTCTGCTTGGGTAGCGTGAGTTGGCTTTAGGGATAGTTCGTCCAATCCGACGGTACGCGGACCGTCCACTAAGAACGACAATATTCCCCGATTGGATGCCGTCTCAGAAAAGACAGGATCGGGTCCTTTTTTCCGTTTTCTGGGAGCCCGAGAGACCGGATTGGCAAGTGAGATGCTCACTGTCACGCGGTGTGTGAGAGGGAGCGAGATCCGGTGCCGGGGGCGGGAGTGGGATGTTGTTACCGAGCATAGCCGGCCGACGCCGATCCGTTTGCTAATCTGAAATCTCAAAAAGTAGCCACCAAGCCGTGAGAGGGTTAGCGGAGGCGAAAGAACAGCAATTTGGACGAATTCTTTTCCCTCTTCGGACCACGAATTGTCTGACGAGAAGCAAAACCCCCACGGGGAAATGTCGTCGACTGCGCGTCACTGAAAGGAGTCGAGTCGGCTTCTCGTAGGACCAGCGACAAATTCAGCGAGTCGCGTGCGGGAGGAGGAGGAGACCACGCCGTTCCCACCGCGAATGCCACCGTCTCGACCGATCACCGCACCACGCCGAGTCCGGGGGGGCCAGAATAGTCCAGGTACATGATCTGTTCGTGTCTGACTTTGTGGGGAACAAACAGTGGAGATGATGGGGTAAGAAGGACGAAAGATGCGTTTGGAGTTGTTGGGTTTGAGGGATTCCCTGCTCGGCCGGGTTGGCAGGACGGAGGTAATCGTCGGTACTAGGAAAGCCCCCGCGGGATGGTCTCCGAAACCTTTCATTTGCACCGATCTGTGGGGGACTAGGTGGAATCTCGAATGCCTCGGACCCGGGTCGGTCTGACCGTTTGGCAAAGGTGCCAGCGTGGGGGTTTGTAGTCGGTCTGGATTGTTTGTGCCACTTCTCAGGAGTCTCGGGGTTGACAAGCTGTGCGCATGACTTAGATGGCCGGTCAAGAGGCAAAAAAGGATGGGTTCGGATGATTATGCATAGCCTTTCGCTCAACTCCATACTCTCTGGAATTTCTCCTTCTACAAAACACCACTTTACATCGGACGTCAGCATCTTCCCGAGTCTTATTACCTCCAACATACCCAAAACTTCCTTCCTGTTTGCCGGAGTTCCATATCCTCGTTCCACAAACCTACATAATCACACATATCATCATGTCGCCTTCAGCAAACGGCAACTCCACTCCCCACAACGGGAATGGCGCCGGTCATGCCTCCAGACCGGCCCTCACTCCGGGCTTGTACGTGCCAACAGTAGCCTTCTTCCGCTCCGACGACTCAGTGGACGTTGAGACAACCACGTCTCACGCCATCCGACTCGCCAAGGCCGGTGTCGCCGGCCTTGTTACTCACGGCTCCAACGGCGAGGCCGTCCACTTGGACCACGCCGAGAGGCAACTCATCAACAAGACCACACGTGCGGCCTTGGAATCGGCCGGGAAGGGTGACCTTCCTCTGATCGTCGGCTGCGGCGCTCAGTCAACACGAGAGACCATCCAGCTCTGTCAAGAGGCCGGCGCATCCGGCGGCGACTACGCTCTTGTTCTTCCCCCGGCCTACTACGGGGGCCTCCTCTCCACCGAACAAATCCTGCAGCACTTCCGCGAAGTCGCGGATGCCAGCCCGGTTCCGATCCTCATCTACAACTACCCCGGTGCTTGCAGCGGACTCGACCTCAACTCGGATACCATCATCACTCTGTCGAGCCACCCCAACATTGTCGGCGTGAAGTTGACGTGCGGAAACACCGGCAAGCTTGCTCGGATAGCTGCTGCTACGGTGCCTAAGAAGGGCGACACTGGTATCCCCTTCCGAACTTTCGGTGGCAGCGTCGACTTCACCCTGCAAACACTTGTCGTTGGCGGTCATGGTATTATCGGAGGAACTGGCAACATTGCGCCCTTCGCTTGTGTGAAGTTGATGAAGCTTTGGGACGAGGGCAAGTTGGCCGAGGCCAGGGAGCTGCAGGCCGTTGTGGCTCGTGGCGACTGGACAGCTATCCAGGGCGGCTTCGTTTCCGTCAAGGCTGCGCTGCAAGAGTACTACAACTACGGTGGTCTTCCTAGGAAACCCTGCGCGCTGCTTGAGGGCGAGAAGCTGACCAAGCAGCTGGATGGTTTCTCTGAGCTTGTTGGGGTAGAGAAGACGCTCCAGCAATAATCGAGGGGACATTAAGTTAATGGGAGACACTGCATCATAGGTTATTCTAGCGAAATTGCATTGGATTGCCCCGAGTTGAGGGCTTTCGGCTGACATCTTGGCGGGTTGCTTGGAGGGCCTAGGTTGTGATGTTTGTTTTTGTCGAAGACATGACTGTGATGATTACCAGCGTCTATCGCCTTTCGTGTCATTTATCCGTATTAGGAAGGTTGTTACGATGACACGAGCTTCTCACAGATTGTTGAAGACAGCGACAAGTCTTCGTAGGAAATGCTTACGCTTTCCTGACTCCATCCTCGACATGATAAATTTTGAGCTTTGTTCAATAAACTCTTACCAGCGGCCTGGCATGCGTGGTACATCTAGCAGACCGAATGTCTCTGGGCTGCGCCAGTGGCACCATCCATTGATGTTGCCTCAATCATTCAAGTAATGTCAATAAAGTATACTGAACTCCCGATTAATTTAAGCCTTTGTAGGTCATCCTTGCATGATACTTTAGTCCACAATCATCATCAGCAATCATCACGAACTATGGCAGCTGATGACTTCGCCTTTCAATACGGTGTTGGTCTTCGAAATACTGGCCAGGACAACCTTGAACTGCATGATAGACTGATGTATTAGCCTTCATGTAACGAGACCAACATATCATATCTTGAGATTGAACACGTGATGATCACATCAGGAGTTTCCTTCCATCTTGGAGATAACATACAACGCTGTATGTGGCGATATACCTAAATAATACCCCCGTCATGGCCTAAGGTCTCGAGGTCTAGCTTCAACATCATCATCTTCTTTCCATAGACTGAAGACGCCTTAGCTCTCACTATTGATACCACCATCGCCAGCTACAACGGTAAGCAGCGGCCGCTTGACCCCCACGGAAGGGCATCGGCCCTAGTCCGGTGTCTAGGCGGCTCTGCGGGTCCGGATTTACGGGGCTGACCCCCAACCGACTCCGTATTAGATTGCGGGGAGCGGGTCGGGCGCGAGGAATGGAAATCCGCGGTGAGGGGTTCCTTGATCGGAAACGTGCTGGTGCGTTCCTGAGTTCCACTCACACCCTTTCACGCCAGCATTCCCCGCAGGTTCTTGAGTTCCCCATGGGAACGACGACTCGCGTGAGCATTGGGTCGAGGATTCGTAACCAAAACCCCTCGTTCGGCCTGTACATTGATCATACGTGTGGTGACACGAATCACCTGAGTTCCACTTCATGCACAAACCCGTTTCGAGCCGATGGTCGGAACTAGACATGGGGAATAGTGCGGGTACAGGAATCTACTCGTGGGGGTCGTCTACGTGATCGAGGTGGAGGGGCTCGTGAGATCTGAGATCAAGGCGATGTTCATCATAACCAGGTGAATATGAAGTCAAAAGCTGAGTCGTAGACGTGAGTTCTGTATCATCAACTGGCAGCTGCTGAACATCCTAGAAAATGGTGAATATTGTGGAAAAGCTATTCTCATTGACAGGCCGCACGGCCGTCATCACTGGTGGCACAAGGGGAATCGGCCAGGCAATGGCCGTCTCCCTTGCCGAGGCGGGATCTGATATCATTCTCATCCAGGTCAGTGACTATGCTCATTCCGGTCAACAATTCTGCGACGCTGACTTGAATACGCACAGAGAGACGAAAGCAACACAGAAACCAAGAAGCAGATTGAGGCCCTGGGCCGGAAAGCCACCATCTACACGGCAGACCTGTCAAATCAGGAGCAGGTAGAAGGCCTCACAAAACGCATCCTGGCTGACGGCCATGATGTGAGCATCCTAGTCACCTGTGCCGGCATCCAACGCAGACACCCCGCACACCAGTTCCCCATGAGTGACTGGGATGAAGTCCTGCAAGTCAACCTCAAGACGGTCTGGACGCTCTGCCGAGACATCGGCGCCTACATGCTCACGCGCAGCCCGAAGCCCGTCAACGGCCACCGCGGCAGCATCATCAACGTGGCGTCGCTGGTCAGCTTCCAGGGCGGCATCACGGTGCCGGCGTATGCGGCCGCGAAGGGTGGCATCGCCCAGTTGACTAAGGCGCTGAGCAACGAGTGGGCTAGCCAGGGCGTCAACGTCAACGCCATCGCGCCCGGCTACGTGGCGACGGACATGAACGAGGCGCTGATCAACAACCCGGAGCGCGCGGCTAGTATCTTGGCCAGAATCCCGGCCGGCAGATGGGGTACCCCGGATGACTTCAAGGGGGCCACGGTGTTCCTCGCGGGGGCGGGGAGTCTGTATGTTTCTGGGGAGCTGCTTACCGTGGACGGGGGCTGGATGGGTCGATGAGACACCCTGGCGGCATGTAGGTGAGCAGATCGGGAAATGGACGGCGGGCTTCAACGAGGATATGCCTAAGATAGAAATAAAGAGCGTGATGTTACAACGGCACTTCTGTCTGTTGATGAACCAGCCCCGCCCGATCATCCATCATGTGTGTCTATTTAGGCAAGTAGTTGGCTAGGGCGTGTCAGATCTTCGTCACTGAAGGTTGCAAATGTAGACTCGAGTGAATCGGTCGACCATGAATCGTGGGGGCGCAGCTTCGACCTCATAATTGACCGTGAGAGGGAGTACCTTTGACATAAACTAGCTTAGATAATAGGGAGAATATCTCCTTTACAGCAACTCAACGGACATTAAGACGGGCAGAAATCTCATCATCAATGCGATATGTTCAGGAGAGATATCCTGGGACTTCGGGGCGGAGTCCAAGATCATGTTCGGGCGTGTCTGTAGGTCATGATATCAAGGACAGTCCAGACATGCAGTGAAACTTCAGAATTGATTATCGTAATGGATTAGAATGTTTCAACGTATAAAGTCGCTGACACTGCTCTCATCCTATCGTGTTCACTTTTATCGGGGTTGAGACTCATCATGATACATCGGTCTCATGTTCTCGCTCATGATGAGACTTGTCCATTCAATCTCGATCTAGGTTTCATTGGTATTACAATCTTTGCCATCCCGCAATCTGTCCATTACCACTCGCGAATGCTTCCGTCGGGACCGTGGAACACCTTGCACTGCCACGGCTCAGTCTCCTTGGAGATCTTCTCCACCATCTCCTCATCAATGTCAACACCAAGGCCGTAGCCGGTCGGTGCCTTCACGTATCCCCCCTCAATGTCGAACACTGAAGGGTTCTTCAAGTAGGTCAGCAAGTCAATGTCGCCAGCCTCGGTGTTGTAGTGCATTCCGAGCGACATCTCAAGGATCGAAAAGTTCGGAGACGACAACGCGACTTGAACGCTGGCGGCGAACGCTACGGGGCCGAGAGGGCAGTGGGGCGCGATGGCGACGTCGTAAGCTTCGGCCATGGTCGCGATCTTCTTGGTTTCCGAAATGCCTCCGGCGTGCGCAATGTCGGGCTGGAGGATGTCGACGCTGGCGTCCTCGAGGAAGCGCTTGATATCCCAGCGAGTATACAAACGCTCGCCAAAGGCAATGGGGATGGTGGTGTTGTTGGCGAGTTGCTTGATGGCTTCGGGATGCTCGCATAGCAACGGCTCCTCGATGAACAGAGGTTGGAGGGGCTCCAAAGCTCTCGCCAACTGCTTTGCCATCGCCTTGTGCAAGCGGCCGTGGAAGTCCAATCCAGCATCCAGACCAAGGGCCTTGACCTGTCTAAGACGCTCCACGGTGGCATTGAGCACCTTGGGCGAGTCGACCCAGTTGAGGTCCTCCGTTGCGTTCATCTTGACGCATGTGAGACCTTGCTCAATGCGCTTCTTACTGTGCAATTGTCAGCATTGAATAGAACAATTATCCACTTCATCATGCTGGCTTACGCTGCTGCTTCCACGTCTGAGGGTCTGTCACCACCAATCCAGCAGTAAACCTGGACCTTATTGCGGACCTGGCCGCCCAACAATTCGTAGATGGGAACCTTGAGATTACGCCCTTTAAAACATAGAGTCAGCCTAGGAACTATGGGACATTCGAGGGAAGAGACTGCATACCCTTCAAGTCCCACAATGCGATGTCGATTCCAGACATGGCGGACATGAAAACGGGGCCGCCACGGTAAAAGCCATGCCTCCAGAATAGTTGCCAGATGTGCTCAATGTTGCTGCCGGTCCAGTGATCAGCTTCGAGCTCCATGAGCGGCTCATGACGTACGATGTTATCTTACTTTGCTTCCAGACCAACTATCCTAGGGATCATCTCCTCGAGAGTGCCCTCCACCGCCAAGTCGTGACCTTCGAGCGTCGCCTCACCCCAACCATACTCGCCATTCTCGTCGGTGATCTTCACCATCAGCCAGCGAGGCTTCACGCGGTAATACCTAACCGACTTGATCTTGGCCATGGTGTGTGTGATGGTGTGTGGTCGTTGCGGTGCGGAACAGGGGGGTAATCGGGTAGATCTGGGGAAGAAGACTTGGAGTAGGTACTAGACTGGGGAGCAGGCTGTAGCAATCTGGGGATCACACGTCCCATTCTTAACAAAGCTTCGGGACATCGTGGACTTCCAACTTCAAGGTGGCACATGTGCAGTCTGATCCACTGAAAGGTTTGGGGTCGATGGGGTGAGACTCCATCAGTTGCGTAAAACCTCCGCGTTTGAGATCCCCCACCACCCCAACTTGACCCCCACGAAAAGCCGTGCACTGAGAACAGGACCGAGTGCGGGGAGGCCATCCCACGATCTCCACTGAGTGAAGTGCGGCACCAGTATCCTCGGGCTTGTGTCCGTCACCGTCGTTAGAGATAGATTCCCCGCCTTTAGACGTTTGTTGCTTTGGAGTCGCCAAGTTTGGGATGGTAGTAGATTATCCAAACCTCATGATATTGCTGGATTCTAGGTATTGCACCAGGAGCTCTGATGACTCAATACGATTCGATTTGTTTTGCCCTTAAACAATGATCATCGCTTTAGCTAAATATTCCTGACCTTTGGAGCATTTTGGTTATGCACGTCGACCACTTTCGTAGTCATCAACTTATTTATGCCTAGTCAACCTCCCATTTTCAACTCCTAAGAAACGTTTGTATTGTTTTAATGACCTTGGAAGAAATAGGAATGATGAAGTGGAAGCGAAGAAAATTCGAAGATGGCGAAACCGAGTTTAGGACCGACTTATCATCTTCAAGAACAGGTTTATGGCGCCAAAACGAAGTTATTCACGACTGTTAAATATGCGCATTAGTCCGCTCCGTCATTTCGTCTCATTGGAAGATTTCGTCGGATTAGCTGCCAGATAATAATCTATTATAACTCCCTGAGCTTGCCAAGCCATCTAGAGAGGCTGTAATGAGGGCTGTCTGTATCTAAAGCCTCTTCAATTTGTGTATCGAGAATCCCTAACGACTATCTACGCTTCCATGTATTTTGATTTCCCTTCTAATGCACCATTAGTTCGTTAGCTCTCAGGGACGCGTCAACCGACACACCCAAATCTACGCCGGAGAGCGAGAAGACTCTGACTGTGATCGGTGAGTTGATGCCTGCTGTTGTCCGTTCTCCTCATTCCTGCCATGCCTGTCCTCTCCCGAAGATGCCTCCTCCTCGTCTCTGCTCTCACTGGATGAAACCTTCTCCTCTTCAGGATCTTCAATCGGCTCCAGACCTCGGTCTTTGATGAAGAAGCACCCGAGGAAACAGAGTCCAACCAGCGGAATTTGGAAGATAAACACCGCTCGGCTGGCGGCCATGTAAGCGTCAAGAACCCTCGACTTATCGTCCCCACTGAGGTCGGGAATCGAGTAGGTGCTACTCGACAGGTACTTGAACTCTGATGGAAGGTTTGCGCGAAGTGTTGCTTGAAGGATGGCTGCCGATATCGCAAGACCGCATGCACCGCCGGCGCAGCGGAAGAAGTTGCGGTTTGAGGTGATTACTGCCCGTCGGGACTTGATGCTGTGTGCCTGCAAGGCAACTAAGGTTGGCTGGAAGATGAAGCCTACACCGACTCCGACAATCAAGAGAGGTATGACGATAATGCCTGGTTTCGTATCGCGGTCGTAGATCAGCGAAAGACCAGCTCCCCTGTCGATATTGTTAGCCTCGAAACCTCTCGAGTTTAGGAGCATCAACATGTACTCACAGTGTCCAGAAGCCAAATCCTAGCCAAATCACTTCCCCATATCTCTTGGTGCGTGATATGTACTGGCCGGAAAGGATGGAAAAGACTGCTTGACAAACTACCAAGCCAACGTAGATGATAGCAGACTGCAATACTGAGAATTGGTGCGCGTTCTGAAGATAAAGCGGGACGTAGTAGAGATATGACTGATACGCAGCGCCGAAAAGAAAGGTTTGCGCCAGCATAATGACGACAGCCTTATTTTTGAAAATAGGAACTATTTGCGTGTAAGTGACCATAATCTCCCAAGAGATTGGAGAAACCTACTAGGCATCATAGGTAACTTGGCGAATTTCCACTCCACGATCACGAAGGAGACAAGAGCGAGTGCGCCAATAGTCAACATGCTGATGACCATCGCGGAGTTCCAAGGAAAGTAGGCACCACCTTTTACTGAGTTAGCAGCCGCTTCAGCTGAACGTGACTTGACCAGAGCTCACTCACCGCCTGAGATAGGAATCAGGAGCAAAATGACGCCAGCCGACGAAGTAAAAGAGCCGGCGTAGTCAATCTTCTTCACACTGCTCGAGAAATCCTCATCTGGAGGGTTTGAGGGTAAGAAGAAGTAAGCAATAACACCGACAGCCACTCCGAGTGGCGTCAGCATGTAGAAGAAGGCCCTCCATGTCGCTCTCTCAACAAAAGCCGCGGCCAGGAATGGGCCAAGAACATTGCCTAACCCGACCATGCTTCCTATGATGCCTTGGTACTTTCCACGCCGCTCGAGGGTCACAAGATCGGAGACAATAATCATGGCCAGGTTCGTGATACCCCCACCTCCGATTCCAGCAATGCCTCGGAAGATGTAAAACATTGCCGCGTTTTGCGAGAGGCCACATAGCAAATCGGCAAAAGCCAATAGGCCAATTGCGCTCAGAAAAATGGACTTTCGGCCGAAGATGTCGGAAAATCGTCCGTAAAGCATCTGGAACATGGTATTGGCGATAAGTGACGATGTTCCTGCCCATGAGATGGTGTCTTCGGCGTCAAGATCCGCGGCGATGGTGGGTAATGTAATACTGATGCCATTTTGGTCGATAAATGCAATAAGGAGGGTAACCGCCAGGGTTGCAAAAACCACCATAAGTTGCCTAAACGGAAGTATGTTGGTCTGGTCGTGGAGGTCCCGTTCGGCCTTGGTCGTCTCGAGATCGCCTCCCATTTTTCAACCTGTGCCGGCTATCACTTGCAATGAAGTGACCAACATCAAAAATAATTTAGCAAGGTAGTCAGAAAAAACAGTGAGTTGAAAGAGAGACTAGAAATCAGCCAACTTCAAGATGTTGACTCAGCCAGAAGGTCGTGTAGTATCTGCGGTTGGAAAAAAAAAAAATTGACCCGTCGAGTGTGGATCGACCCGGAGAGCCAAGGACCGGAAAGATTGGCTCATCGGCGCGCTGTCGGCTCCGGGCTCGGCAAAAAGGTCTCCAGAGGCGAATTGATGTGAGCATGAAAAAATGGGTGCGTCACAGTTAACAGGGTCATCGGCAACTTTTGAAGCGATCGTCTCCACAAGAGCTGCGTTCATGTCGGAACGTCCGAAGCCGACCATAGTGAAGTCGGTTATCTCATTGTCGGATGTCCGCTGCACCTATCTGAGAGCCCTTGCTCCACTGATGGATGGTTGATTATCTTTATGGACTTGATGGTTCCCTCTTGGCTGGATGATTGTTCTTATCAACTTAATCGTAGTTAGATGGGTGGTATGGCGGTATTTGCGAGAGCATGGTGGTTGATAAGAACACTTGAGGTAGTTTAAATGATTTTCAGCCCCGGAAACAGAAATGAAATGGGCTGTGAAGGAGACGCGTCGCAAAACTCGCATTTCGAGAGAATAAGTTGAATTTTCTTGGTTCCATCGCTCAAACCCGCGAGGCGTCACTATGGGCCGAAAAGAGAAAATGCGAAGAGCTTTTTCTTCCCCAAAAGAGTTCAAGCATTTCATCCAAACAAAGGAGCATCCGGAAGATGGACCCGCGTACTACAATGAAGACCTTCTTCCAACGCCGCCCTGTAAGAACATAATTTGACTGCCGGAGAGGGGGAAAGTCACAACTGACAACCTCTTAGCCCAACGCACATGGACGGCATTGCACTTCTTCACGTATTATCTGACTCAGACGTTTTCTCCAAGCTCCTACAACCTTGGCGCAACCTTGATTTCTATCGGACTCGTAAGATTGCCACTCTATCACCGTTGCTTTCCATGGAAACGGCACTAAAACTTCTTTCAGCAATGGTGGCATGGCATAGTTGCGGCAGTCATTGGCTCAGCGATTCTCAGTATAGTTGTCATACTTAACTCTCGAGGAGCAACCCGGTACCATGTCGGATTCCCGGTGTACGTCAGAGCTGCAGCTGGAGTCAACGGAGCTAAACTCTTCATCGTTGTTCGGGCGTCCGTTGCAATCATCTACTTCGCAACTCAGTCATTCTACGGAGGCATGCTTACTTCAGTCGCCCTTCGCGCCATCTTCGGTTCGTCTTGGGACAACATCCCCAATACCTTGCCTACCAGCGCGGGTATCACATCCAAGAATCTACTCGCCTTCTTCATATTCTGGATCATCCAGTTTCCCGTCATGTTTGTGCACCCGACTATCTTAAGGCACTTGTTCGTCATCAAATCGGTCGCGACAACTGCAGGTTTGTTCGGTGTCATGGGATGGGCAATCCATATGAACGGTGGGACGCTTGGTAACTTCGACTTTGGAGGCAAGGCATTGAGCAACTCTGCACTAGTATGGCCCATGATCCAAGCCATTAACAGCGTCATGGCCGCATTGTGTCCGATTCTGGTCAACCAGCCGGATGTTGCTCGATATGCAACCAGTCCTGCGCACGCGACTTGGTCTCAAGTTACGGGCATATTGGTCAGCAAGGTCTTGGTCATGTTCCTGAGCTGCGCGACCACGAGTGCCACAACTGGGGTTCTTGGGAAGAGCTACTGGAATGTTTGGGATCTCTACAATGCCATTCTCACGGAGTACTGGGGTCCTGGTGCCCGAGCAGGCATGTTCTTCGCTTCAGCGGTAGGTTTTCTCACTCATCGTTCATGAAGGCCAGCAGGCTGACGAGTTATGATTCAAAGGGGATGATCCTCGCCATCATTGCGACAAATGCCGGCTCCAACTCTTTGCCTGTTGGCGCAGACACCAGCGGACTTTGGCCGAGATATATCAATATCGTCAGAGGTCAAGTTATCTGTGCTCTCTTGGCACCTCTTTGCGTTCCGTGGAAGATCATTGCAAGCGCCAGCTCGTTTCTCACGTTTTTGGGATCGTATACTGTGTTTCTCATGCCTACATGTGGTGTATGTGCTTGAGTACCTTTCTCATTCAGCTGACGACTTGCTAATAAACTTCACAGATCATGATTGTCGACTATTGGATCTTACGTCGAGGCAACTTCCATGTTCCAAGTCTCTACACAAAGGCTGAAGGCTCACCGTACTCCTACTACAACGGTTGGAATCTGCGAGCCGTGGCTGCGTGGGTTTCAGGTCTTGCTTTCACGGTCCACGGCATCGCAGGCAGCCTTGACCCTGCTGCTGTTAACCAAGCCAGCAAGAACATGTATAAGCTTGGATTCTTGCTATCGCTCATTATGGGTTCCCTGGTCTACTACATTGCTTGTCTCATCTGGCCTCCTCCAGTCTACCCCGAGGGACTGGAGTCTCAAGCGACGATGGATTTTGAAGACATGGCATCGTCTGAGGGTTTCTTTCCGGGAGAAAGTGTTGACACTATTCGCGGTGTGTTGTCGGCAGTTGAGGGTCCGGAAGGTCAAGTAGGAGGAAAGACCGTGGGGACAGAGTCCGTGAGCGAGAAGAACATAGTTTAAGTCATTAGGCAGCTCTTCTAGATCCATTGAGAGATACTAACTTCATGTTTGGACTGATCACTGCTGTGTCTTTTTCTCCAGCCATTGAAACAAAATTATGCCGGATGAGATGGCCGCTGAACCTAATCATGCCAAGTTCCTGATAGACTCTGCAACTGTTCGAAGTTTGGCATCCAAACTGGACTCTCTCCGTCTTGGTCAATCCAGTTCGCAAGCTCAGCAACCATGGGCCAAGCACCCTCAAATTCGCCGACCGCAATTCCAGCATCTCCAACGCTTCCCAAAAATTGTTCGAAATTCTCGTCGGTCATCTGGCCAATCTCGGCTTCAGCAGCAGCTTCTTGACGCCGTTCTCCCCCTGCAAGGTCCTGCTGCCGGCCCGCCCGCATCTGAGCTGAAGCCATCTCGGCAAGCCCAGACTCGCCATCTTGAAGTTTTTCCATAGCTGCATTGACGAGGACTTCGAATGCATCGCGGTACTTGCGAACCCACGGTGCCCTTTCTCCCATCACGAACAGCACAAGAGAGCAGGCCCTGATGTCATTCGCTAGCGCTACTGACCAAAGCTCGTTGCCTTGTGTCCAAAGACCGTATAGTAGAGTAACCCCTGCAACGAAGACGGTTTGAACGGCGATGAAGCTGTGGCCATAGTCCAGGGTTTGATGCAGTCGCTTATGGGCCTGGCAGATATCTCCAGCGGCCCTCATACAGAGCCCGTAAAAGTGGTCTGAAGATGACAGAATAGGCAGAAAGGGCTGAATAAGAAGACGAATAGCTCGATTGTAAAGCAGCAGTGCGTAGTTCAGTTCCGGATGAGAAGGTGACATTGTGTCAGAGAGAGAAAGTTTCCAAGCCTGAAGCCGCTGATAAAGTCGATCAAGTTTGGGTCTCAGGGCATCCAATGTCTTATCTGTCCTGTAGACCGAGTGGTGAATCTTCGATTCGATGCGACGCAGTTTGAATAAGACCACAGCAAGCGTTATGTCGTTTCCGGTAGTAGTCAAGGCAGTTGGACTGAGGCTTATCCGGGTGTTGGGCAGGTCGACGTCGATCTGATTATCAGCAATGCTCAAAGGGCGGCCAAGTGATATTGCAATCGTCCTTTCCAGTGAATACACAGACCAAAACAGCCTACGTCTTCTTTGAACCACACCTTCGGGGATGTTGTGCTCATGAGCCGCGCGGTGAAGACCTAGGTCAATGGACGTCCTCATCGCCAGACCGATCATGTACCATAACCCATGGCTTGACGTTGATCGGAGATGAAACATGACCAACAGTGTCATTGCCTCGATATTCTGGACGGTTCGCGACTCTCTAGCCGCAGAGATATGCTGAAGGGCCGAGATGTAGAGAGCCTGTGTTTTGAATGTCAGAACACGAACATATGATACATGTCTTGTCACATACCTCTGGTGAGAATCCAGGACCCCTTTGGGTTAGTTGTACCAAGGTTGCTCCCATGGCATAAACCAGATAGAGTTTGAAAACCCCGAACCTCTCTGTCTTGGTAAGGTTTTGTGGTGGCGTGGCTGCCAATGCAATTCTCTCGCTATGCAACTTCCACAGCTCCTCTGGCTCGAGGAATGGGTACTTTGAGTGCAGTTGAGACATGTAGGCTCTCAGCATCTTCGACCCTTGCTCATCGCTTGGTGGCTCTTTCACCCCGTGGGCCAGAAGGTCTTCCACCGTAAGACATCTCGGGCCTGGGTTGATGCATCCAGTCGCTCTGTTGGGGTTGGAACCGTCATGGATGTCCGGCAGCATCTTGTTCCATACAGTAGCCTGCACCATCTCGCCGAGATTGAGAGCCAAGGATAACCCGGCTGAAGGGCCAACGTATGCCGGTTGCTCGAAGTTTCCAAGCGAAACCTGAGCTACGACATCACTCAAAGCGTTCTTCTCTCTACTCGAGTGACCTGAATGAATGCTTGATCCTTCTCTAGGCGTTGTGATGTTTTCAGGCGTGGGTATCTGGGCTAACTTGTTCTCCAAGTACGCCACCCGCTCCTCTAATGCCCGAGTGTATCTGTATCAGCTTCAGCCAACAACCTCAATTCTCTCCTCACTAGCGTACTCACGCAATTGATGGGGCTTCATCAGCCACGTCTACCTTGTCGCACTGAGCCCCAGATCGTCGGCAGTTTGAGCAAGTGGGATATTGGTCGTCACACTTCAAGACAGGGTCAGATAATTCGGTCAAAGATAATAGACGTGAAACAAGTCTTTGTTTGATACCTTTTGCTTACGACTTTTACATCTCGTACATGCAGTTCTTCCTCTCTTCCTAGGGTTCGATGCGCCTGCCGCAGAGTGGACAGCTGGCGACGAAGCCAAGCGATCGGCGTCGGGCGTCATATCCGCGCCCAGTGTTCTCGGTCTCTTTACGATAACGAAATATGAGGTGAACACGCCCCGTGTCTTACCAAGACAGGCTGGCGGAGGTCCGATTTACATACCTGTCGGTCCATACGGCCGGTGCCGATCTCGCTTTTCTCGTCGGACTAGCTCCGTCTCACAGTAGGCCGGCTTCGGACACTTTCCGAATAATGCCGCCGGCATATCCCCGATCGGAGGCTCCGAACGTGCCCCTCAACACGGCCAGTCGTCTTGTTGTTTTTGTCATCGAATCGAATGCGTTCTTCCCCCCAACAGATCTTCAATGGATCTCGCCGAGCTTTTGAAACCGGCGATGAACTCATCTAGCAGCTTGGCAAAATTTCGCATCTTAGATGAGGGAGAAATAAAGGTTGATGTTAAACAGTTTGGATTGAACAACTGACTACTTATTGCTAGATGACAAGATTTCAGACGCCTTTCACCCATTCGCCGTTGGGCTTGTAGGGGAACTTCTCCCTCATATGTTTCGCGATATCTCTTCTGGTCGTAACCCAGACCCCTTCCTTCTCCGCAACATATTTCATAAACTTCCTCAGAGCTTCCGATCTCCCGGGCTTTCCGATGATGCGCGTGTGCAGCGGGATGTTCATCAACTTTCCACCCTCTCTGTAAAGACAGTCGAAGGTGTTCTTCAGATATTGCTCGTATGTCTCCGCGACAGAGCTTCCAAAACCAGGGGACATGTGGAACTTCCCGTCGTTGCAGTCGTAGTTGTACGGGATGAGAAGCATGCCCTCTCTCTCCGCCTCTGGCAACTCCTTCTCCCAAGGAAGATCCAGCCAGTATGGGACGTCATCGTTGTAACACTCCGAAGACCAGAGGAATTCTCCTCCGAGACTCTTCCAGACCTCTGGGAACAAGGAGGGCGTGTTGGGAGTTCCGCGACCGAAGTACGCGCCAACAGGCATCTCACCCGACACTTCTTTCAGCATCAGAATGTTCTGCTTGATATACTCCTTATCCTCTTCCAGGGAGTAATTCCAGATGTCAAGCCATCTCAGCCCGTGGCATGCAATTTCGTGGCCATCTCGCACGAGAGCCTTGGCGAAGGTCGGGTTGCGCTTCAGAGCCATTGCGACCGCGTACGTCGTGAAGCTCCATCCGAATTCCTTGAACAACCTGATCAAGCGCCATGAAGCAGACCTGCTTCCATATTCGAAGTCTTGCTCGGCATTCAGGTATCTGGCGCCGTCCTTGTAGCCACCAGACGCACCCTTTTCCCACAGGTATGGCTCAGAGAATGCATCTCCGTCCAAAATGCTTCGCTCTCCACCCTCTCTAACAGAACTTTAGCAGCTGAGATCTTTGAACATGGTAGCTGACGTGGTCTTACTCATAGTTCAGGACGAAGGAAATCGCAATGCGGGCTCCGTTTGGCCATTTGGGATCAAAACCTTCTTCGCCGAATCCTATGCTATTGTCAGACACACATGACTATCTCGTTGTCAAAGGTATACTCTTACCCTCAAAGTCTCGGGGGACTTGCAGACTTTCCTCAACGTGAACCATTTTTTGGAGAATTGCGAGTGTGAAAGGGCGTCAATCAGCGAAGCAATCTTCAACCCAGCCGATGGTATCATAAATCTACAATCTCATGAACCAAGCAGGGGCATGTTCGAATTATATCCAGCGACGCGCCATGTTATGAACTGCCTTACCAGGCAAGTTCGCAACCTCGAGGCAGTATCTTATCCGAGGAGAACTCTCTAACATCTCGATAGCTTGTGGGGTGCATATCAAGGTGGGGGTGATCCTGCATCGAGATAAGGAAGCCGTTGGATTGAGGATGCGTCGCGGATGCGTCGCAATCGCTTCTCTTTGTCCGATAACCACCAACAAGACGGATCGGATGGTCCGAGGTCGGAATGATAGTCGAGGCCTAGCTATGAGATAGCTCCGATAAGACTTCTTGTCGGACGCCTCTCACCTATCTTATCTCTTCTGTTCGTTTGACTTATCCAGTATGGCTGACTTTTGTTCAGGCGCCTTTATGAGCTGGGTTTATAATCGCAGTAGGGAACTCATATGAACACAGCTTTCAAGCTGGGTGAGAATAACCCGGTCTTCCAAGTGACTGTCACCATCATATCACAAAGTATTCAATATGTCGGTCTTTTCTTTGGATGTTGAGAAGGCGAATCCTGTCACTTCGCAGGTCCTTGACGACAGCCTGGAGACTTTAGGAGTAAGCCTACCAGAAGGCGAAAAAGATGAATATCAAAGACTGCTCGCAGTTTTCCATGAGTCAGTTGTTGGTCTGATGTCTCTGCCAGGTATTCAAGATCGTCACAAAAGATTGGGGAATCAAACTAATCAGGTCTTCCTAGACTATATACCGCCAGTTGATGAGTCTAGATTCCCTCGGGAGAACATACGATTTCCAGAAGCATCGGAAAATCCCCTCCAGGCATGGGCGTGGCGCTGCCATGTTGAAGACAAGAACAGGAAGGGTGGCTTGCTCGATGGCAAAAGGATTGCAATCAAGGACAACATAGCTGTCAAAGGTGTCCCGATGCTTTTAGGCACAGACTTTGTCAAGGATTACACGCCGGTAAGTTTGTTATTGCGTCCGCTGGGTCCGATAAGCTGACGCATTATCTAGAACACCGATGCTACATGTGTAACACGATTGCTTGAAGCTGGAGCGATCATTACTGGAAAGTCGGTTTGCGAAAACATGTGTCATTCAGCCACCAGCAGCTCCTCGTCAACTGGCCATGTGCATAACCCATACGCACACGGTTACAGCAGTGGTGGCAGCTCGAGTGGCTCCGGCGCCCTAGTTGCCAATGGTGATGTTGACATGGCTCTCGGCGCGGACCAAGGAGGTTCGATTCGCGTGCCTGCTGGTTGGTGCGGAATCTACGGCCTCAAACCAACTTTCGGTCTCGTACCTTATACAGCATGTGGCTCTAATGAGCCGACAAACGACCACGTTGGGCCGATGACACGCACTCTGCTGGACAACGCACTAATGCTACAGGCCATCGCTGGAAACGATAACATTGACGACCGATCCTTCGCTGCGCCGTCACCCGACAAGATTCCCAAGTACTACGATAATCTGGTCGCCTTGACCAAACCAGCAGACCTTTCCGGAGTCAAGATTGGCGTTTTGATAGAGGGCATGAATCAGCCTTCCGTCGAACCTCGAATCAAGACTTGTGTAGAGGAAGCTTTGAAGGGCCTCCGTGAACTCGGAGCGAGCGTTGAGGAGGTCTCTGTGCCCCTACACTCCAAAGGTGCTGCCATTTGGACCGCTATCAGCAAGACAGGAGGTTATCTCGCCAAGAGAAACCTCAATTTCGGCAGAAGGGGTCACGTCATGACGGACTTGACTGAGAAGTTTCAGGATCTCACACAAGAGCAGTGGGATAATGCCTACGTTTCGTCCAAGAACATATATCTTAATGGCGTCTACGCCCAGACTGCATTTCCTGGGTTACTTGGAAAAGCCACCAACCTGAGCCGAAAGCTACGAGACGATTACGACGCCGCACTCGAGAGGTTTGATGTGCTTGTAGCGCCAAACCTACCTTACGTCGCCAACTCGCATACTCCATATGGGGCGTCGCCCTTGGAGAAGATCTCCAAACAGGTAGGGCTCACGGCCAATACTGCCCCTTTCAACCAGTCGGGGCACCCTGTGCTGGCGATGCCAATTGGAATGCTTCCCATAGAAGAAGGGTTTCTGAAGGGCTCTGGGACAAAGTTGCCCGTGAGCATGCAGGTCATTGGAAAGTGGTGGCATGAAGAAGATGTGTACCGAGTTGCCTACGCTTGGAGCTTGAAGAATGACTGGAAGACGAAATAAAAGATGGCCAGACTTGCAATACAATTACAAGTAAAGTAGAGATAACATTTGCAAAATATTGCCAGAATAACCCATTGACTCTTTACCCGATAGGCCTGAGGGTTAAAACATGATTCGATTGCGCCCAACTGATGCCCCAGTGCGCCATGAAGAGCCCATATCACACAGAAGCTGGTCCGTTTCTTCTATTTTCTCTCCCAGGGGCTCACATGCCCCAGTGGTTGAAAACAGAATTTTGACCACCGGGATTCGTGTCGAAGAGCGCTCGACTAGGCTTTTGAGAAAGCCCACAAGCTCATCTAGTTCATCGTTTGTGCTTCTGTGGACATCGTCCTCCAGAATATTCAATCCATCTACTATAATGAGAAGAAGTGGTAGTCGTAGACCGGCGATCAAACGTGAAAACAACGCCAAGGCATTTGGCCACGTTCGAAGGGTTCCGTCCAGCTCTAAGACTTCATCCAGAGAGCCTATGTCCCCTTCGGAGGCAGTCCCAATGGGCAGCAGGGCAACAACCTGCCTGATAATGGAATACACCAGCCCAATAAGTCCTATTGCCTCTCGTGTCCTGTGTGCAGGCGGTTCATCGCTTTGCAGAGAGCAAAAGTGAGAGATGACGGGTAGGCCGGCTTCACGAGCCAGAGAAGCATACGCAGACACAGCTTCTCTTAGCAGATCGGGCTCTCCTGGATGATATCTTGATTGAGCATAAAGAATTTGAGAATTCATTATCGTCGTAAACACGTTCAGTCGTGTTACGAAGGAGGCTTCGGCCGCCACGGACTGTCCAGGATCCAGATCCGGGATTATACTCGATGGTTCGAAGTAATTTTCCAGTTGCCGAGTCCGCGCTTCAATTTCATTCGCACGCTGTAGGGTCAACTGTGCCTTTGACATGAAAGACTCCTTGGCGACACTTTGGATGCTGCTTGCTGCAGTGGCGAATAGCGTTCCCGATGGTTCTATTGCCGTTAACCCCTGACATTCAACATTTATTGATGCGATGCTTACCATCCACGCCATCGAAATCAGGTCCATGGGGATTGGGTACCGTCCGGGACGCTTGTTGCTCAAGCAACTCCATCATGGAAGTCCCTATAATCCCAGAAAACAGTCTGTTACAAAACTCTTCCATGGTGCTCTTCATTGCCTCTTTGATCTCTTCCGTAGAGGAATCAACGCTGATTTTCACTCTCTTCTCAACAATATCTGCAACGGCGCGATTGCGTACCTCTGAGTCCCGCTGCCCATTCTCGTAAAGGTTCACGAGGTACTTTACATCCTCATTGGTTTCCTCTACGATGATCCTATTTACTTTCACGTCGGCAGAAACGTACCTCTGTATGTGCCGTGACAGCAATCGCGAAGTATCCTCCACCCCGGTTAGGTGCTCCTTGAACCTCTGCTCTAAATTCTCGTTGAAACTCAATGCAAATCGCCGTCGGCTTCCGTGGTGGTCTGAGAACCATTTGATGAAGTGACTGAGATACTTAAACACATGCGAATAAAGTCTCATCGCTAATCGCCTAGTCATCTGGTTTTCGTAGGCTTGGCCCCACCGGACAATACTGACGGCGTCGTTGATAGCTATGATGCCTGCAGTGAAAGCCTCGGTGACTTTGATATGGTTGGAGGCCGCCTTGCACTCAATTAGTTCAAACAGTCGAGACCTGCAATGTTGGGAGGGCGGAAAACCTTGAGAACCATGGTGACTGCTCCAGCAATGATAGATACCCACTCAGTCTCGGAAGGAAGCATCTTGAGAGCTGCAGAGTGGTTATTGAGACCATCACAAACACGTCTAAACCAATCTTTGACGCGCACTGCTGTGTTGTCTTTGTGCTGTGTGTCCCATTGCATCTGGACAGTAGATATTATGGTTTCGACCTCGTCCCAGCTGGAAGGAATAGTCTCGCTGGAGGAATGACCCAGGATGAGAGCCTGGAAGCCTGCCATAGACTGCGAAAGGTCCTTCTCAGCACGTTTCAGCGCGACGTAGTCTTGCTGCCTTTTTGTGTTCGTCAGTCAGGGATCGGATTTACGGGTAGCAATCGGCATCCGTCTGATCGATACCCAATTTCCATGAGCTCTATACTAACCCTTCGGAGGAGAATTGGGCATCGATTTGCCTGATTCTCCGTTGCCGTTCTTCATTCTTTCTTTCCCTCTCCTCAATCAAGCCTTTCCTGGCTCGGCAATACTCGTCGGTATTATTCGTGCTAATATCGCTAACTTCCTCGATTTGGGACGAGAACCGAGCGACAAGATCAAGCGTTGGATCGCTCATGATTCATAACTCTGGATCAACAAAACCAGCAAGTTTCTGGTGAAAGACTATGGCAGCAGTAGTAGAAAGTGACGGAGAGCATCGCAAATACTCTGAAGGCAACCACTCACATCATCTATTTTGAGTGCCGTTAGAGTGAGGCGAACGCAATCAGGCCACCAGTCTGATTTCTGCATTTCTCGGGACCAACTCCGCGCGATAAATCCGAGCTGTGGAAATTTGGCGGAGCAGCCTTCAAATTTCAGATGCCACGTGTCTAACGCATACCAGATTCTACTGGCTGGTTGTGGAAAGCCTGGTGCTTACTTGCATGTCTGCCGCGAGTTCCATTCGCTGGTACTCGGAATTCGGTGTGCTGAACGGTGCTTACTTGCATCTATGCTGCATGTTCTATTTGCTGGTTAATTGAGGAGATATCGCGTGATAGTCATGAAAGCGGGGAATCCATATTTCCCAAGGACAGTGGGAAAAAGTCATAAGTTTGACCTCGACGAGTCTGATTGTCTTGCAGTCTCCCGACAAAGAGGAAGGCTGTTAACACCCAATGTCTGGCAGTCTCAGTCTAACACAGATGAGCGACGGCACCGCCGGCACCATGACTGCCACAGAACAAAACACACCTCCCGCAAGCCCCATCGGGATGGATGTACGTTTCCTTGAAGCTCTCCCTGGCTATCTCTCATAATTGATCTCTAGACTGCCAATGCACCCGTGGAGCAACCTGCAGAGCAACGCCATGGAAAACAGAAGATGAATTTCTGGGATGAGTACGGTCATGGCATGGTTAAGCACAAAATTGAGTACGTCAGCGCCACTTCGGATAGGTTGAAACGAGTGTTCGACAAGGAAATCGAGCCGATAACCGACGAGGAAGAACCTGCTGTGTTCGAATACATCGAGGTTCGAATTGCAGAAGACCTACACGAAACCGACACGAAAGAACATGAGCCCAGGAAGTATCACACCAAGTACAAGGGCAATGCTTACATTCGGGTCATTTCACCGGCAGTCAGTGAAGCCTTACGCTGCGTGGTTGACTGCTATCCAGGTATCGACTTGGGCAAGAATGTCATCACTGTACCAGAGCCCTTCTGTGTATTTGTCCATTACGAGAAGGAGCTCACTACATATCGTCAGAGGCTGGAGCATAGAGCATCCACCGAGCCATCATCTTGCGCAAACAGGTTCGCATACAAACATATCGGCATTGTTCAGGAATTTGTGCGACAACAGACTTCTTCTGCAGTTGAGGAAGAACGAGAACGCCATGCGAGAGGATATGCAACATTCCGCATGCTCTGGCTTCTGTACAAGCCAGGGTCAGAGGTTTATGTTGATTTGGAAAGGGCGGGCGACCCTAATCCCTACATCATCAAAGAAGTTGATTTCACGCTGGCCAACGGTAGTACCAGCATATATCACATCCGCTACTGGAATCTGGATGCAAATGAAGAATTTGTTTTTGCTGCAGATGATGTCTTTCATTTTGCGGATTACCCAGGGGAGAAAAAGATCGATTCTTTACCGCTGTATCCCTGCGAATATCTCCGGTTCGCTGAAGGCGTCACCGACCAGGACATTCAGCAAATCAGAGCTCACTTTGTGGAGCGTGGGAGGAAATGGTATAAGACGAGACAAAAGCCGCAGTGCTATTACTTCGACGGCTTGACGACAAATATTCCACGTGAGCAGGTACGTACTCTTTTCAACCATGTCAGGGGAAAGGATCGAGACACTCACGGCGATTACATGTAGTACAGCAGTTTGGTCTGGGTTGATCCAATCCAATTTGATGCAGACTCAGACAATACGAGGTCAAATCAGCTCTTGGCTACACTTGAATTCGCCCCTGGACCGCTCAAGATTTGCTCTTGCGACGACTGCGAAAGGGACATTTACAAACACGCCGTGACTCCCCGATTCTCGGATATCTCGAATCTCAACCCTCACAGGCTTCCCGATATGAGTGACGAACTGTACTTTTTGTGCAGCCCGGAAATCGAAGCCTTCGTGTTCAAGACAAGAACCTGGCGTGAGTCGATTCTTGGCCTTGAATTGATATAAGACATCGATGTTTCAAGCTTGGTCTGACATACTCCAGAATTGCTCCACGCAGACGGTTTTCAACCTGCAACGTTCGAGAAGAACCTGTTTGATCGTTTGGTCTTGAGTCCCGAAACTAAAGACCTGATTCGTAATCTTACCGCGATGTACATCAAGAACGACCTCGCAAATCAACTCCCGACGTCAGATGAGCACTTATCGACGCAGAATATAACTACGATACACAAGAAATCGCCAAAGACCGGCGTGGAAACCTCATGGTCCACCGACTTCATCAAAGGCAAAGGCGAAGGGCTGACATTCTTGCTCCACGGGAAGCCCGGTGTCGGGAAGACATATACTGCAGGTAAGCCGAATAAATCAGGAAGAGCCCTCTGGGTTTGAACGCTAACGTGCATAGAATGCATTGCTCAGTACACCAGCCGCCCCCTGTTGTCCTTGACGACTTCTGACATCGGTGTGCATCCCGATAAGATTGAAGATAACCTGACCAGATGGTTCAAGCTTGCTGAAAAGTGGGGTGCTATCATGCTCATCGATGAAGCGGACATTTACATGGAGCGAAGAGAGGTTCGAGACCTTTCTCGCAACCATCTCGTTGCCGGCTTTTTAAGAGCACTGGAATACTACAAGGGCATTTTGTTCCTGACTACGAACCGTGTCGGCACTTTCGATGAGGCTTTCATCTCCCGCATCCATATTCAAATCTACTATCGCCCCTTTAGCGATGAAGACCGCGAGAAAGTCTGGGACACCTTCTTCCAGAAGCTGGAGGAGGAAAGGGAGACAACAATCCGGATCATGCAGTCGACCAAGGATTACATACAATCTGACGAGCTCAAGGCCTTGGAATGGAATGGAAGAGAGATCCGGAATGGTAAGCCTTCTTCCATGCCTGTGAGGTGAGTCTGGTGCGGACGAGCTAACATCACCTATGCAGCCTTCCAAGTTGCAGTAGCACTGGCAGAAGCTCGAGCTGAGAAAGATTCGAAAGGCAAGATCATGATCAAGCCCGAACACATTAAAGCATCCGCGCAAATGTCGAAAGAGTTCAAGCATTATCTCACAAAGCTCCACAAGCAGGACCCCAGCAAATTGGCGGCGAGTATGGGTAACCGGTATGATGCCTTTGGTGAGCCGGAAACTCCTCGGGCAACAGGCGAGAAGAAGTACTAGACTTGCTTGGAAGCAGCAATGGCCATCAGATTTCGTCGTGTATCGAGTTTTTATTTCCTATAGATTGGTCAGCCGTTTCTACATTCAACACATCATGAATACTGCGGCAAATGTCACGAACGGCATTCAAGTGATTCATCGTTGTTCAATGTAATCAAATATGCATAAGAACACAATGATGGCAACTTTGTATCCATTCATCTCGTTTAGAGTGTTCTCGAATCTTTCTAATTTCTACATTTGTTCTCAAAACTATTGATGTTAATCTTTGCGGCCGGAAGCCCATCTCTAGCCCTTTATGTTGACTCTAGTTCCCAGTTCCCCGTGTCCTAATCGCCCGTTTCAATCAAGTCTATAGTCTTTCGTCGCCTCTAGAGCTGTTTTGTCAAAATATCATCCGTCTGAACGACTGAGCCAACAACGAAGTCATGAGTGCCGACTCGTTTGTATCCCCATTTCTCATAGGCTTTGCGGGCGCGGAAGTTCTCTTCCCACACCCCAAGCCAGATATTCTTGAATCCCTGCTCCCTGGCCATATCCTCCAGCCTGTCCGCGAGTGCTTTGGCGGTGCCTGTGCCGTGGGCTTTAGGATACAGGTATATCCGCTGCAGCTCGACAGTAGCCTCCAGGTCCGCTACGCAGGGCTCCGTCGAGCCGCGTGTGAGCATCGCGAAGCCGAGAATGTCGCCTTCTAAGTCGGTCGCGAGAATAGTGTCCTTGTTCGGGTCGCTTAGATCTTTGGCGACGGCCTCGAGAGAGTATGATTCATCCAGGAACGCCTTGAGCTCATGAGGCTCTACCGAGTGGCCGAATGTGACGGAGAAGACGTGGCAGCCGAGTTCTGCGATGGCTTGGGTATCGTCTAGAGTTGCCGGCCGAATGTTGATGCTCGGACGACCGTCCTGTTGGCTCTCTACCGACTTCGCCATCGTGTTCGGGGCTGATGTTGAGAACGCGCTGAGGATCTTATGAGTTTTGATGCGCTGGAGATGTCGGGCACTGAAAAGATTGGGGAGACGCCGAAACGCGGCGATGGTTTCAGGCGGATGGTAGTTCGGACTAATTTTCACGGGGATCGGAAACTTGAGACCATTGGTCTTTTGTACGTATTTCAAGCATCGCGAAATTGCAGTCATCGTCGCTTCAATGGGTCTATTGTCGTCCAGAGTAATCTAGAATGCACAAGACACGTTGCGCTAACTCAAATTTCCTGCAAGGCGTGAGTGACATTCTGCCTCGAAGCGAAGGACTCGGCAATCCTCGCCTCTGTTAGTGCGCCTTTGTTGACAATGTCATCCCTGAAAAGCCAAAATAATTGGTCTTATCTGCGGTCGGTCCACTGAAGTCTACGCCCTTGGATTGACATGGGCGTCTCCATGAGCAAGATCTTAGTGATCTCCGTCGGGAGATTGTGTCACAGCCAACTTGGTTTGACATGCAATCATTCCTTATGGAATTGAGACACAGTAATTCTATTGACTCCTCAAGTCTTTGAAAGCTTTTCCTCGTTTTGTAGCGCATGCTTGGGGATGAAAGCAGCTGCCGGGTAAATGACTCAGTGAGCACTCCGCCGGACTGGAAAATTCTCCCAGCAACAAATCATTGAACCAACCCACGTTGAAATTCTATGTATTAACTATGGATGTAATTGCTGAAATGAAAAGCAGAAAAAAAGCAAGAGGATATACCGAGTTCAATGTCGCCTAATTTTCCGTAACCGTTGACCTTCATCCAAACCATGCCACCCACCCGGTCTTCACGCGGCCTCGGACTTTACCTCCGGGTTCTTTCTCGTTTCTGGGCCGAAGATCACCACGCAGCAGACGGCAGCACATGAGATCGCAACGAAGAGAGCACTCACTGTGGAGAACCAGCCAACGCCAATGCCCTGCACTCCGGGAAGGCAGACTGCCGTCGCGATGGCAGCCACCGTGTATCGAATGAAGTAGTTGCTAGCTGCGAAGAATGAGAGGTCAGTACGACTCACTTATTCCGGTGCAATTCAATTGACAGCCGACGTACCCATAACTTCTGACGCTCTGTCTCGGAAGACGTCCAAGCAGTAACTGTTCAAGCAAGGGAAACATATCATCTGAGCGAGACCCTGAGTGAACATCATGATGACAGGCAGAGGGATTCCGCCCTTGGCCTTGTCGATAGCCCATCCATAGATGATCGCACTTCCGGGAATCACGAGTCCCATGGCGATAAACGCACTCCGCAAGCGATCTTCCGGTACTCGCTTGCCCCGCTTCTTAATCCACTTCTTGACCGTATGGTCGGCAAAAGGACCGCCAAAGAAAGTCCCGATGAGATAGCCCGTGCCGGGTGCGAGGAAGAAGAATCCGGATTGCAAGGGGCTCGTGAGGTTGAACCTCGGGTTGATGACGTAGCGGACGGGGGTGAGAAGAACTTGCATGTTCCACATGATCGAAGACGCCGCGATGCCCTGGGCGCGTGTTAGCCGACGGTGAACGACTAGAAGGCCTCTTACCGCGTTGAACATCGCGCTGTCTGCGCCATGTCGAAACTTGCCACTGCCCAGCTTGGGCGCGGAAACCTAAGATGTTTCTTAATGTCGAGGGGCTGGAAAACTTACCACGATGAGAATCTTGGGGTATCGGAATAGCGAAATCACCCTAAACGGGTTGGTCCATTCCCAGACCTGGGCGACCTTCTCCTTGGCTGAAAGTCCCTCCAGTTCCTCGGACCATTTGCCGTGACTCGTCTCTGGCAGAAATGCGATGGCCAAAATCATGGCAACACCTCCGAGAGCACCTTGAAACCAGAAGAGCGACTCCCACGTCGAGTACGTGACGATGACGCCTCCAAGGAACGGCCCAAAGGCAGGTCCGATCAGAGTGCCTCCAAGGAACCAGCCCAGAGCTGTACCACGCTCAGTCGGCCGATATACATCGCTGAGACAACTTGAGCCGACAACAAGAAAGCAGGTGCCTCCGAATGCGGTGATGGACCTGAAGATGAAGAAGGCGGCCAGATTGGGTGATACTGCTGTCGCGAGAGAAAAGGCGCAGAACAACACCGTCGAAGAGACGAAAACCTGCGATATTTAGTTCAACGGAACAACCACGAAAGGACGCAGCCAAGAGTTGCGGTGAAAAGCGTATTCCAGAGACTACTATTGTACATGATGAGGCGAGATACAGAGGTTCTTGTGCTTACCCATTTTCTGCCATAGACTTGACTCAATGGACCCCAGAACAGGACACCGATACCCATGATCAACAGGAAAAGGGCGTTGGAATAGTTGATGACGGTTCCTGTTGTGTTGAAAGCCGTAGCCACTTCAGGCAGGGCTGACAACACCAACAGGGCCGCCAAGTTGATTCCAAGGCCACCGAAAGACACGATGGCTGTGATGAGCGCTTTGCGCTTGGGCGTGAACTTGGCGTACACCGTCTCATCTTCACGATAAGAAAATGGCCGACTTGGAGTTTGCGCAAGAATGTTGACACCCTTCTCAGCGTTGGAAGTCCTCAGCGCTAAGAGATCCGGGGGCAGCTCATCCACTCGTGTTGGGACTTCTGACAAAGTGTGCTCTGAATGTGACGACATGGTGCAAATCTGGCGTTCCTTGTGACATAGAAAAGAGACCACGGAGTTGCATGTGATGTATTTGCCAGCTTGAGTTGAACTAAAGACAGGATGAGAGAGTCGGCGACAAGAAAAAGTGACAGGAGCTTCAAATCGGCCAAGAATATTCCACCTATTTCAACAGCAATCATGCGTAAAGGTATCAGTTTTTCAGAGGGAGAGCTCCGCATTTAAATAAGAACCCAACGCTCTGGTAAGGAGCACGAAGAAAAAACTTACCCGGCCGTACCCACTCGGACAGGCAATTCCGAAGTCGGCCAGTAACAATCACTGGATCATCGCCTCCGAGACGCCTTCGAAGACATCATCCTTGGTTTCTGAAATAACAGAACCGGCAAATTGTTTCATTGGGCCGGGTCCGGACAAGAAATGCAAAGCAGAACGTCTCCGCAGCGGGGAACGCCCAAACAATCTGCGACTTCTTCTGCGTCTGTCACCTCCACTTCAGGTTGAAATCAGGCACGATATTGGACAAGGGCGGCCTCCGGGTCTCCACTAAGGCTGCAATTCCCTTATCTAACATCTGGGACACCAGCGGGCTTTGGGCCTGGAATTCATGTGGGAAAAAATGGAAATTTTGCCGGGGCCGGATGCGGAGCGTGGGGGTTCCCAGGAGTGTTGGTTTTTGCTTGTGTCGGTGCCGGCCGAACGGGCAAAACGCCGAAGATGAAGGGCCCGAGGTCGGCCGGGACTGAGGCCGCCGAGACACTCTGAGCTCCGCCTTCGGACCCGCTACTGCCGGACGCCGCATGCCGTGACGCGGAAGAAGAGGTTATGACATACACAGCGCTTGCTTTGCAGTAATTCGCGAACTATGCTGTACACTCACTCATGCAGATCAGTGTGACTACGCTCTATTGCGAGTGACGGGTCATTAGCCAGAGTGTACGCACGGAGGAGCCATCTGTTCTGAACGCAGGTTTTCACCGCCAGGGACCTGAGGACTTGCAGCTGTCGCTGAGGCACAAATAGACAATGAATCTGTTGTTCGTACATGCCGCGTTTATCTAATTCGGTTGGTTCCCCGCATATTCGACAAATGATGTGTTCGCGAGGGGTCACGTCGAGGCCCTTTGGCAGGCCCAACCAACATGATGGCTGTGTTTCCCAAGGTTATCATGACTCCTGAGTTGATTCGCCTTGACCGCCTTGTATTGGTGAGAGGGTGCAAAGTGCATTATGCATGCCACATTTGGTCGCATCGACTCCCTTTGAGGACAATCTTGCCGACTTGAACCAGACCATTCGCCTTTCGGTACGCCTCGGCCACCTCTCATGTTGGCTGCCTCACAATTGACCTCATCTACTCAACCAAGACGAGGCAGACTGTAGCTTATTAAGGGCGCTTAAACCAGGGTTGCTGACCAACACCTAGGTAACCCATTGATGCGACCGGCCTAAGAGCTTGTCAGCCCATTCATGCTGTTGGTGCGGCCGGCGCCAACTCAACTCAAGGCAATTGGTGTAAGGGTTGTTTCGTTGGACAGCATGCGTCTCACACTCAATCTCTCAGTGACTATTTCGATTTGCTAGACTTGCTCACTGAGCACTTTTGGTTATATATATTTCGCAGACATCCTCTTATTTTCGAAACAATTTGGCGGTAGTTTCCAACAACAGTTGACGTGCAGCCATCTGTCAACACCAAGCCTTCCTGGCGGAAATGGCATCTCCACTTGTTGTTCAGAGCATGCAGGAGAAGTGGAAGGTCTGTGAGGAGCAAGAGGATCAGAAAAGATCATTGATTACGGTATGACCTCTAAATTTTATAAATATCCAGGACTTACTCACGTAAACAGGAGTTGTTCAATCACATAGAAAAGCTGTCTTTCAAGCTAAAAGAGTCAGAGCAAAGTCTTGATGAGAAGAATGTTTACATACAATCCATGCGAACTTACAAAACCGAGGCACAGAAGCAAATTGATGAGCTTCTTGCTGAGAAAGTATGTCAAAGGCTCACTTTAAACGTGTCTGGTCACGTAACGCTAACGATCACAGGACAACCATCGTTTTGCACTGGTGGTGATTGATGGCGACTGTATGCCTGTAGGTTCATTCTCTGCCCACTAATTTGGCATACGAACTAACGCAGCTTGTAAAGTTCAAGGATGATCTGGTCAAACAGGGCCTTGAAGGCGGCAAGATGGCTTCAGGCATGTTGAAGCAAGCAGTTCTGAAGGAACTTGCTGCTTTAGGCCCTAGTCTTTCACATCACTTACAAATTGTCATTCAAGTTTACGCCAACCTCAGAGGTCTGATCACAGCATACCATGGTTGTGGCATCTTGACCAGCTCTGAGGTAGTTGAAGAGTTTGTTCGGGGCTTCAACATGGGGGCCTCTCTGTGTGATTTCGTTGATGCGGGGAACGGAAAAGAATGTGCTGATGAGAAAGTGAAAGGTGTGAAGGAATCCCCATGCAGACTTGCAAGGCTATTTAATACGTTTACTGACCAGTATTAGCAAACTTTCAACTTGCCACAGACAATGTCCATTGCAAGCAGATCATCTTCGGGGGCTCAGGTGACAACGGGTACGCTCGCCTGCTTGGAGAACTTCTGGCAAACCCCGTCAAGCGAGATCAGGTTATCTTGCTTGAAGGGCCACCTTTCGAAAAGGAGCTAGCAGACATCAAGGGGAGGTTCAACGTCATGTCGTTTCCGGACATTTTCAGGAACCAGAAGCTCTCCAACGTCAAGCGCAGGGTTCCACTGCAGCTCACACCTCCATCAACACCATCGGTTGGTTACGCAGCAGCTGCCGCGAAGGGTTCATCTACAGCGGAGAGTCCACATTCAGTCGGTTCTCAAAGTGCCGCGCCGCTCGCTCTGATTCTGCCTCTGGCCGGTGTGCTTCGCAACAAGGCAGGTCAGCGTGTCGATGCACCTCTCAATTGTACCTGGCGAGAGGTAATCATGATGAAGAACAAGAAGCTGTGCAACATTTTCCATTTTCGCGGAAGCTGTCCATACCTCAGCAAATTCGGCAAATGCCAATATCGACATGGTCCGAAGTTGTTAGAAAGAGATCTCCAGGCTCTTTGCGCGGTTGCCAGGCAGTCCCCTTGTCCGTTTGGGTTGAGTTGCAGTGATGCAGACTGCATACTTGGCCATGAATGCCCAAGGGACAATTGCACTGGCACGGACTGTAGGTTCTCTTTCGAGTTACACAATGTTAAGAAGGACGGCATAAATTGAGTGCTTGAGGGACTCGACACTACTGAACCAAGAGGTCTAGTTGATATTCCGGGAAAGAGAGTTCAAGCCATTTGAAATATCGAGATGATGGCTCGTTGCCTGGTATTGTGTCTGGCTGAAGTATGAGAGTAATTCGGTTTCGAATCGCTCAGCCGTCGAGAGCTACGATGAAATTCAAGGGAAATATCCGCTATGCTTGAGTCGTAATGAATTGAAAACCGATGGAAAATCAGACGTTCAGTTTACAAGAATTTGGCGACGAAAATGATTATTGTTCGGGTTGATTTCAACCAACTCAAAAAGGGAAGTTGCTTAGAAAATGACTCACTTGAAGCTGTCGTGATGAGATGACCAGGGGCCCGGCCCACCCCGCCAGATGTTTTGGGACGATGACCAATCATCATGAACGCTTTCGTCTGATTTGGTGATGATGCAGAATGAATCATAACAGACCATGTCGCATTCGGCGGTCTTGACCGGAGGTCGCCAGGGGTTCCTGGGACTTTGGTCTGTCTGTGCGAAATCTTAAAGTCCATAAACATGCGTCCAGTTCCGTCTATCATGTGCGAGAGATAAACTGTATCAAGTCGTCTGACTTTTTCATCGTTTTCTCCTGGGAACTCCTCAAAATCAAAGTCACCACATCATACGATTCAGAAAATGACGGCCGGAACCGGGGAACCAGCAACGGCCGGGCATTACAGTGTCCTTGCAACCCGCAGAATATTCCCAAAAACGCCAGCCACCGAGCCAACCATATCGAAACTGTCAATCATTGACGCAACCGTCGCTCGATTCACGCCAACGGCTGCGATATGGCTTTACGACAGAAGCGAAAAGATTCAACTGCCTTTTCCAGAGCTTTGCGAAACCCTTGGCCTCGCACTCAGCGATACGTTGGACGATTATCCTCATTTTGCCGGCCAAATTCAGTGGGCAACGAAGGAGCTGGTCAAAAATGATGCAGTTCCGCGCCATCTTGGTCGCCCGGTAGTCCATCACGGCTCTTCAGACGACCCAGGAGTAGACCTGAGTATCGTTGAATACGACCTGAACTTGGAGGAAGTCGTACCCAGCAGAGCTGAAAGGGCGGAAAGTCTGAAAGTGTGGAACGCAAGCGACTTTCGACAGAGCGACTTTCTCCCCGACGCAAAGATCGCCCTATCCTCTCTCAGCTCCATGGACGGACTGCCAAGTATGGCTATTCAACTCACGAGATTCAAGTGCGGAGGTATCGGAGTCAGCTGCATGATTGCGCACCCGCTAGCAGACGCCGTGTGCTTGATGAACTTCATGAACTCTTGGGCAGCTAGATCAAGAGCCTTACTGAGTCGTGAGTCTTCGACTATCAGCGCAGAGCTGCCAAAACCAATATTTGACCCGACTTTACTCGATCAAGTTGCCGGTCTCAGTCCCGGCAGTCCACCCGACGCCCTTCAAGTTGAAAAGGCACGTTCTTTACCAATGCACCGATTCGACTGGTGGGCAGAGGATGCCCCTGGCTTTCCTGCGGGGACGAAATCTTCTACCCAAGTCACAATGCCACCCCCGGAGGAACTGGAAACAATGACTCTCAGCCCTTCATCATTCCCACCTTGGCCAACATGGGACATGGCAGCCCCAGTCGATCACTATCAGATACGATTCACTGCGGAAGAGGTTACAAGGATGAAGCAGGCTGCACAAAAAAGCCTGCCAGACAACATCAGGACGTGCCACATCTCTCGACTGGATGCGGTGTTGGCCCATATCTGGATTCTCATAAACCGCGCGCGAGGACATCAACATCTCCAAGACAACGTCTATCTGGATATCACGCTCGGTCTAAGACCAAGACTACAGCCTCCACTGCCTGAAACATTCGTTGGATCTCCTCTAGCCATTGGATACGTCAAGAAGAAAGCCAGCGACGCCGCTTCACTTGAACTTGGTGAGATTGCTGCTGCGATCAGACACATGACGGAGCGCTTTACGCCCGATGCTGTCGCTGCCTACATACACGATGCGGCACACGAGGTCAGTCCGCAAAGACTATGGCAAGCCTTCCTTGGTACACATCATACGCTTGTGACATCCTGGGTGAGGGCCAAGGCTTATGAGCTCGATTTCTTCGGGACGCAGGATTTGGCGAGGTACGTACAGGGAGTCATGCCCAAGATTGATGGACTCGTTCAAATCATGGACGTTGCACATACTGGGGATTTCGACGTCAGCATCTGCATTCGGCGTGAGGCTATGGCTCGGTTCTTGAAAGATCCTTCGCTCCGGGAATATGATATCTCAACTTCATAGTGTGGCTAGTAAGCTGATAAGGATCTTGTTTCTTTGCAAGTAAAGACTCACAGTCCAGTAGCTTCACACACGAGGCAGCCTATAGCAGTACAGGCAAAAGGCTTCACCGCAAAAGACTAATAAGTTATGACTAAATGCTTTTCTCCGTGTTTGATTTCACTATGATCATTGAGATATACTCGCAACATTAGACCAATAAATGCGACATTCGACCTCAGGAATCTCAAGTATTAGGGACGACATTTCGACAGGTAATTCTCATTAGAAACGAATTACTGGTCGTCTTCATTATTCCTCCAATTCTTGATCCGTCCACTCTACAGATATTTGTATGTACATCAAACCTACCAATGAGACGCGGTGTTCTCAGAGATAGCTGTGGAAATATGTATGATGAAGAGAATAGTCGTAAGATACAGGAACGCTGAATCTTTTCCATGAACCATACAAATACTGACTGCGTGTGCTTAGGCGTAGACGTAGCACAGAGGTCCGCCAATAGTGTTCAACAGTTCACTGATGGTTCGCTTCTCTGCGTTAACGCCCAAGTTGATGACGTCTTCGACAGTCGCATCGCGACTCGCTGGCCTGTTGTTGATGGTGATGGTGCCAGCAATGTCGAAGGCGCTCCACAGATGCAGTGCTTGCCAAAGCCAGTAGACGCGATCGACCATAGCATGGTGAAGAAAGAAAGTAGGGTCGACGGGGGAAGAGTAGAGATCACTTGCTTCGCCGTTGACGGAGAAGTGCCCAGCAGCGTGCATGCCGAGGAAGCCATCTGAGAAGCGTCCTTGAAGCTCGTTTTGGAAAAGCTCAATACTCCTTGAGGCTGCTCCAACGGTGATGTTGAGCATGTTCTCGTTGGTCATCCAGGTCGACATGACGTATGAGTTGAGGTCGCGGCTCAAGCACCGAGGGTTGTGGCCGAGTCTGCCGTTGGGGTTTGCTTCCAGGCCGTCCATGCCGGGGTTCACGGGACCGAGATTGACCGTCATACTGGATAATGGTTAGCACTGAGAGCAGATCGAGGTTACCGGCAGTAGGACTCACTTGACGAAAGGTCCGCTCTCAACGCATCCACCGCCGTTGCCAGATGGCAGAGGAATGGCACCGGCACCGCTAACGCTGCCATTATGTTGGAGGAAGACACCGTCACCGCTCATGCTTGTATCACTACCATCGAAGACCGGGGACTTGGTAAGGTCGTCCTGGTACTTGAGCCAGTTCCAGTACTGGCAGTCAAAGTTAGATAGGCAGAGAAGCGTTCGACATCGAATCATCCGAACTTACTGGTTGTGATCCCTTGTATCCGCACTCGTTCCGAAGAGCCTCCTCGTAGGCCCAAACGAAATACCGGTGCCATGTCAGAAAATTCCCCTTGCCCACATTGTTAGTATCTCGCCACAATGGTGAACATCAGGCCTACTTACAGTGCCGTGGATCGTAGTGGTCTGGTTGATGTGGACGGCGACAAAGTCATCGTAGCGGTTTCTTGCGCCGGGCGCAAACTCCGGGTCGGATTTCGAAGGCGACGTCAACATGCATTGAACAGCGCTGAGGTACTCTTTCTTTTCCTTGGCCGAGAAAGCCTCCCTTCACACGCATATTAGCATCTGCAAAGTCCCCGCAATCTTCGCGGTACTGCGGGGGAAGTACGAACCAGTCCCGACGGTAACGCGCATTGAAGATGTTACAGCTGCTACGCTTGTTGACCGCACTCGGCTCAGCCCTGAGGGCCTCCATAGCTTGTGCCTGGAGATCCGTAAGGACATCTCGAGCTGCAACGGGAGAGGCGAGAACCGGCGCGCTCAACAGCCCAACGGCTGCGGCCACGACGCTGATGGGATGCATTGCTAACGGGTGTTCGTGTTTGAGAGAAACGAGCAGAATGCAGGGTAAGCGCGTGCGAACAAGGAGGAGGTGTGGTCCTGAGTTACGTTTGCCACACAGGACTGATCTCCCGTAAGCACTGAGAACGCGTAAGAATCGAGGGCGGTGGGAGCGGGATTGACGGTCCGGAACTGAGTTCGAAGTCCAAGAGAAAGTCCAAGTCGGTCCGCCAGAGGGACAACGACCCTCGCTAGCTATATACACGGATGCCTGTCGGACGTTGAGAATATATTAAAATCCGTCGTCTAGCGCCTCCGGAGGCTGTCTGCAGGGCTCCGGATCCGCGCCGCGGACATGCTAGCCACACTGGGCGGGACGGCAGTCTGTGCTCGTAGGGTAGGATTCGCTGGGAGGGGGCGAAATAGAGTGAGGATAGCAAATCGAACGGTTTTAAGCGGCGGGCGAGAGTCGAAAATTCGATAGCCCAGATCCGGGGCCCACGATGCTGGGATGTTGGGATGTAACCCTCCTCGGTCAAGAGAGGTGGATGAGATGCAGGGGATGGATGTCTCCGCTGTTGCCACCAATCGAGGCGAACAAAAAGAATGGAAATCGGAAATAATTGATAACGAATTCAAAGAGAAATGTGGCCAACAGTTCACGGCTTCATGACTGAAGGTTCTCACATCAAACATCATATTCGATGTTCAAGAAACAGGCCAAACCGATCCATATGCCACATAAGCTTAAAGCCAAACCATCGCAGCTAAAGCGCAAATGGTTCATCCCAACTTAGTTACGTACAGAGAAAACGACAGTGTCCATTTTGTCGGCCACAATTCGCCTCCACATAGTCCGCTTTCAACCTCGGGGATGATCAACCGATCCACGACAGATCACATTCTGGCGTGGTTTGATATTCCACCGTCCCGCCCGCCGGCCCTTGGCATGCATACCATGGCGTCGGAAAGACAGCCCTCTCTGGCTCTGGTAGGTGAAAGAGCCAGTCGGTAAATCACAGGCGGCCGACTCCGTCGCTGTTGTTCCTTTCTTCGTAGGTCTGCCGTGGTCGTCAAGATCTGGTTGAGCATGCCCTTGGCCTTCCGGTAATTTCACGTTTCCCTCCGAGTCTAGGGCAAAACGACCACCGTGTCTGCTGGACCGGCCAAACCTAGAAGGTGAAGGACCAATATTCCACGCCTCCGCCACAATGCACCAGGTAACAAATCTACAATCAAACGTGATTACTTTCTGTCTTGTGACTTCTTTTCCGTATGGTTCCCTGAGTCCGCCTGGCCGCTCCGGATAGTCGGGTCATATCTATGACTTCAACTAGACATGTGCTAGCTTTTGCATGCGGGAGTCGGTACAGAAAATGCACGCCTGCGGCACCGTAATGTGGGAGTCATCCTTGCTATCTTCCCTGGTACCTCCTATGCGATTTGACCACTCACATGTTCCATCGATGATCCTGCAAACCAGCGTAATTATTCCAGACTCCACCCCGATGCGTGGAACACTCCGGCCGAAGAATATCTGTTCGAAGTTTCGACACCTTCTGTTCTGATAAGATGGATTTTATTCCTCACCCTGCATTGGAACACAGTATAGAGACCATGGGTCGCACGACACCTTCTCGGTCCGGCTGGGCCACGACAGCAGTTTCTCCAGTTCCTCTAAGCGACCGTTACCGAGTGACGCATCCCTAATTATTTCAGTTTCGGGATATCCCTTTTTGTCCCATGTGTCCTGCATAATAGAGGAGTGGTGTGGTTCCGAGGTTTCCTTATGAATCTCAATCTCGTCGGGGCCGAAGGGCTGAAGATGCTTAAAATATTGCGCCGACCCCCTCGCTGCCCCCAGTGCCCCCTCTCTTGATCTTCGTAGCTCTTTTTTGATTCCGATTCTTCCAGTCCCCGTGCCTTTCCTTACCGCGCCGCGCCGCGCCGTCGACAGAGCCGCCGGTATGTCTTCGACCATGTCCACAACGGCGGTGGACCCGGAACGTGCCAAGGAGAGCAATACTGTTATGATCATAGCCGTCACCGGGTCGTTCCACCTCATCGCCCTTATCTTTGTCTCTCTTCGAACATACACCCGGGCAGCTATTGTCAAGACAATAGGAATCGATGATTACATGATGATCATGGCCGCGGTAAGACGGCCCTGGTAGTTCGGTGCCTCGGCCCCTATGCTGACCCTCTTCAGCTATGTGCGTTGGGTGGAGGTATGGTGACATTTATCATCCAAGCGTTTTACGGACTTGGAAAACACAAAGATACAATCAGCACGGCCGACAATGTCGAGTTTTCCAAAGTTGGCTTTTTCCAGTCAATCATTTCGGCTATTGCTGCCCTAGCCTTCCTCAAAATATCAATTGCACTATCACTGCTGCGGTTGAGCAAGAACTCCTGGTATTCCCGGTCTTTGTGGGCACTCATCGGTAATATTTTAAGATATTTGTAAATTCTCTCCATTCTGAATTGCAACTAACATTTACAGTTTTTGTTGTGCTATACACAATAATGGCCTGGCTGAGCTTCTTCTTGTATTGCACGCCACTGGCGGGTTACTGGGACAAGAGCCTCAAGCCTAAGACATATGGTATCAAGTTGTTCGTCAACTTTGCTCTCATCAACACTGGTAAATGCTCCTGCCATTCTCTAACAGTAGTCTTTGCTGATTTGGATCAGCTTTCAACATCTTCACCGACGTTTGCTTCGCTACACTGCCCATTCCTATCATCTGGGTCCTGCAGATGAAGCTGCGCACACGCGTCTACCTCATTGGGGTACTCAGTTTGGGATACTTGTAAGACTACCAGGAGATTCATCTAGCATCATACTGACCGTGTCAGTGCTGTCATCATGGGAATAATCAAGGCGGTCTATCAAATTGCACAACCCGGTAACAAAGACGGAACGTTGTATGTTCAATTCCATTGAGACATTGAAGGCAACATGGCTGACAACCAAACCTACACATAGCTACCAGAGCGTCCAATTTTGGGGATTGTAAGTGTCTCGCCAAACACATCTCGTTCCCGACATTGACTAACGAGTCGCCCGCAGCCTTCAGCTCAATCTCGGCATCATCGCCGCCTGCGCACCCGCCATCAAGCCCCTGGTAGGCAGAGCCCTCAAGATATCTTCGAGTCGTCGGTACAAGAGCGACAACCTTTACGAGAACCGATACCCCACGGGCCGAACCGGTAGAACTGGAAACGTCACGACGAACGCTCGAAGACATGGATACAGGGAACAAGGGAGCCAGGGCGCGCCGGAATTCGAGCTTGAAGAGACACCGTTCTCCCCAGGCCCAGAGCTGTACAGGACGAGCATCAAGGGAGGGAACCATCCGGCCGCAGTGGCGGTGTATCAAAAGAAGGACAGTTTTGGTGACCGGTCAGGGAGCGAAGAGATGATATTGGAGGCCGCAGGGAATTTCCAGAACCGCGGTATTATGAGAACGACAGAGGTGTCAATACAACGCTAAGGTTTAGGAGATCCATGTATACGCACCGCATCTTACACACTTTACGATTGAAATGAGAGTATCTAAGTATGAAAGTCACCAACCTTCTCTTACGCCAGATTCCTTGTCCTTGAGGGTTTTTTTTATACTGGACCCTGAGCACTCCTGTAGAGGCAACTGATTCGGTCGGTAAGGATTTACCACATCTTCGCCTCTGTAAAACGTACTTGGGAAAGGGATTCCACATATTCATGTCAATGCGACATCCCTCCCGTGTTCCTTTGTTCGTGAGATAGGCCAGGTTTGTGAATATTCGAAAGCAAAACTTTTCGTGGCTCAGGGAGCCTGGGGACTGTTGGCCGTTTAGACTTTCGATAGGGGACAGGGTGAAATGTTTGGTGACAGTTGGGGCAGATTCAAGGAGTTCCCAGTACATCGGCTTTGTCTCTTGCCGATGTTAAATTTGAACACTATCTTTGTGACCATCCGGATGTTGGCACAGCAATTGTTAGTGAGCAAACCAACTTGTACTCAAAAGTTCTATTGCGGCTCCTGTTGTTGTCTGTTGCTGTGCCCTCGTCTGCCACAACAGTATGTAGCGTTGCAGTGTATCATAGCTTTTGAGATCAAAGACACCCACAAATAGAGAATTCAACATATTCACAGTGCTTTGTGGCTGATTGAGTGTTCATATCCTTGGACATAGTATATGTTAGTGACTCACTGCTCTAGCGGCGCATAAAGTTGACAATATAAGAACGTCCCCGTAATTTCTATCCATGCTAACATACTCCGCTTCAACATTGAATCAACACCGCGACGAGGAACACCGCAACGTCAGCCAAGCAGAGTAACAACCACCAGCGCATCAGCCATGATGCACCTACCTTTCTTGTGCTTTTTCTTTGCACTCATACCACTATGCATTCGTGCCGAAAATATCCTTGGTTTCAACTCAGGCGCTAGACTCGCAGAAACCAATCTAGTCAAGACAGAACAGGATTACCTTGACGAGTTCGAGCTTGCTCCTCGTCTTGATGGCACGAACGGAATTTTCAACAGCGTCAGATTATTCACGATGTTGAGGGAGTACGACTCACCCAACCCATACGGAAGAATCGAGCTCAACCCGGCAATCAAGGCGGCCATTGACACAAACACCACCATCCTGCTCGGTATCTGGTGCTCGGGCACCGCCAATATTCAGGAACAGCTAAACGCCTTGAAGCTTGCTGACGAACAGTTTGGGTCCAGCCTAAAGGACTTAGTGGTCGGCATCTCGGTCGGTAACGAGGACATAATGCGTTATGAGGAACGTAAGAAGAACCCCGAGAGCGATGTGGGAAAACCCATGGAGGCGATCATCAAATACGTCGAAGACGTTCGGCGGACGATCAAAGGCACGAGCCTGGAAAGCAAGCCAGTTGGTCATGCTGAACCATGGAAAATCTTCACAGAGCAGAGATTCAAAAACCTCACTCAGACCATTGACTTTTGGGGGGCAAATATCTACCCATTTTACCAAAACGATGGAAATGACGCCAACATGGCTCAGAAGTTCGGCGAGGCCTTCTTCTTGCTGAAAGCCACCGCGAATGAATACGGAAAGCCTGTCTGGATTACCGAAACGGGCTGGCCAGTCGCTGGATCTAAATCTGGGAATGGCCCTGCGACTGCCGGTATCGAGAACGCTGCACGATACTGGCAGGAAGTAGGATGTCAGCTGTTTAACGGAACATTCGAGGACACCAATGTCTGGTGGTACAACCTACGAGATTCGAACTCGGGCATCAAGAACAGATTTGCGGTAGCCGGGGATCTCCAGACACCGGTTTTCCCACTGGCTTGCGACAATGCAAAGAGTCAAGATACTCTGCCATCACAAAGTACGCTTTGTGGAAGCCCGTCAGTCGCAACATCCGTTGCCGAGCGGGATGTGGCCTCAGTTACTACCACTCGACCTCCTAGCACCACTGATGAGTGTCCCGAGTCTGCAACCTGCACGGTCACGATCACCGTTCCAGGAACTACAGTTATACACACTCAAGCAGTGACCAAAACCTGATAAGAGAGCTGGTAATCACGTGTGGCGTTTATTGTCTGTACATACAAATATTTAGCAAATTGAAGATTGAAGATTATGGGCTGCCCAATATGGTAGCGAATTTAACGTGTGTTAGCCACAATTGCTTTCAGTCTTTTATCAAGTTGACCAGGGTAAAAACTCACATTGAATGTTCTGCATACATATAATCAAACTTCGATGCTTTCCTTGCCGAATCTCAGACTCTGGGGGTGGATTTCACCAGTTTCCTCCATTTCCTCCCACCATGGCAATTTCTGGAACCTCCCCCACCACTCCCTAAGTCGCTCCAAGCCTTCCCCCTCAATAACATCAACCTCGTAAGCCAACCATATGTACCGAATCCATCCCGCAAGACATACATCGGCAAGGCCAGGTCCATCGATGCCGGGAGTCAGCCATCCCGTCTTACTCAAAGAGTCCTGTGCCCACTTCTGCATCTTGAGCAGACACTTGTTCATCTGAGCTTTGGCATTCAGAGCTGCCTTATGATCTCTTTCAGCATCATCCAGACCAGCGAATCTGCATGCGATGGGGGATGCATGACGAAGGTAGTAGCTGAAGTCGTCCTGCGCAGCATTGATGGCCAGAATGATATCCCCCATGACGGCCTTGTCGACGGGGTCGGAGCTTTGAAGGGCGGGAAACTCCGGGAAATTATCCTCGAAATAAGCTGGGATCGCAGTACTTTCGTGAATCCAGGTAGTCGTGTTACTACCAGCGTCGACGATCCGCAGGCACGGTGTGCTCTTGTCGGAAGGTTTAGGATCATCGACGTCCACGGACTCAAGCTTCTGAGTGTCGACATTGTAATTGATGAGGTTGATTCTGAGCGATGGTATGGCAGTCTTGCCCTGAAGAATGTCGCTGGGGGTTGCCAAGCCTTTGATGAGAAGGTAGTAGACGACGCGACGGGGATAAAACCCCTTCGGCCAGAGGAATAGGGTGTGCTTAGACAAAGTCGCCATGATTTAGTTCTTTTGAGAAAATGCAAGTTGTTGAAAAACTTGAGTTATGCTTCAGAAAACGGTAGGAATAATATTCAAAGTGCTGCTTTCCTTGCAATCCAGATGACCACAAGATCGCAGTCGTGATATTTATAACCATCAGTCGGAAACTTTTGGCGTAGTCGAGCATTCCTTTTCTTTTGGATCATGAGCAAGTTTCGATTACATTCATCCTCAATGACACACGAATGGATCCCATCTGCCAATCACGGGCACGCCTACGGAGCAGAATACCGGAGGTGAGCGGTGCCCGGAGACTTTTTCGCCGACTTTCGGGCCCCACTCCGCATTTGTCTCCGAGGACCTCCAGGTTCTCACCGGAAATGCGCCTCATGTCCTCCGGCTTCCTCGAATCCTCTCAGTCTGCATCATATTTGTGCATATTCCCAAGCGCTCCCACGTCTTATTTACCTGAGTAAGCAGGTAATGACCCAAGTAATAGCCGCCCGGTTGTCTGCTCCGTACTGGTATTTACCAAATTATCTATATGACCCACTATCTCCGCAATCGCCCTTCCGACCCCGGACCCATAGTTTCCCGCCAGGGTCCCACCGGTCCGGCTCCGCGATCACCATCATACCATCATTGGCTATTAGTAGAGCAATTTGGACGACTAGGTAAGTACGTGCCAGCGTTGAAAGTTAAAAGGAGAAAAAGACTGGGCTGAGTGAACTGCGACTGTGAGTTTTCTCTTTCTGAATCCTTGGGGTCTATGTGCCATGCAGGATTGAGGTGGTAGTGGTGGCTTTTCCTCGGATATCGATTGCGCTATCAAAGCGTCTGATGTCGTTATGAACCCAAACCTGCAAGGAAGATGATTGATTTTGCCCGCGTTTACTTCATCTGGAAGGTAGCCAATCAATTCAAGACCCTAAAACTCGATTTTGGTCTTCCAACAAGATTTCTTTAGTTCTTCCAGCGGCGTGTCCGCCCGTGCCCAGCCTTACGCGTAAGTGATGTTGTGATCGCTACGGAGATGATTTCTATCAACCTCAAGTTTTAGCCAACATTCGTAGGTCTTACCCAATATCAATGAATGAAATCACGTGGCTCTGTGCTTGTTATGTTCTTTCTGAAAGCCACCAGAGAAACTAACAGCTCTTGTCTTTCTACCTGATCCTGTACGTGTTTTCTTTCTGGAGCAATTGGATCTTGTCGGGTACGTGTAGCGTTATCACCAAAGACCATCTGGCTAACTCCCGAGCTGTTGCATGTTTTCAACAAGAACGCGTCTCTTACCGGTGGTTTAGCCATTTACGGTAGATGTCGTCATTTGCCTTCGGTGTCACTACATCGTAAGCTTCCAACGGCTCCTTGTCGAATTGTGGGTTCGGCCGCGTGGGGGTGGAATTCCCCAGTCACTTTGACAGTCGTCCTGAGCGAGTGATTGACAATTGTGCACTAGGGATGAGCCGCTGTGGGAACGCTGTCCTGGAAAGACCTACACCATCCTCGGGGCCCGCGATGAATCCTGACCTTTTGTAGTATATCATTTCATGAGACGTTGCAGCCGCCAAGATGTGGTCCGAGGTGTTCACGGCCACCTCGCAAGGGTCGAGACATAACCAACCTATTGCGTGCTGTCGTACTAGGGAAACTCTACTTGCCAAGGGACCAACAGAGCGATTTCAAGTTAGCCACACCATGGATTGGGGATTAAGCCAAGAGACAACCGATTGTGTGATTCTAGCCCATGTCTTCATCGCTGCAAACACGAGTCGGGGAGACATTATGACAGCGGTTACGCAGCGTATATAGGGTCTGGACGCGTCTGCGACCTTACTTGGGTTCACTTCTTCTAACCCATCTTCTCTCCGTCAAACGTCACGTTGGTTCCCATCATTGGGTTGATCTTGTGCCTCCCTAAGCCCTCTCCCGCGGTTGAGGGTTCCGTTCTCTGCGCGCATCATCTCATGGTGAATGACGATGGCCTTTTCAAAATTCTTCGGCGGCGGCGAGAAGTCCGGCCCGGAGTACCGGGTTGATCCTGAAGCCAGCGACTCCGAACCCTCCGTCATTCACGATGGCGACCTCGCGTATACTCGACAAAAAGGAGGAAACGGCTCGAAGCCTTCATATCAGGAGGCTGTAGGTGCCCCTGTCGAGTCTACCTCGCCGCTTGGGTACCACGTCGGCTGGGCTGCGGTTATTTTTCTGAACATCAACATGATGATAGGAACTGGTGTTTTCTCAACTCGTGCGTTGGACCCGATTGCTTGATTCTTTTTGCGCACTATCACAAGTGGAAGAAGACTAATAGTGAACTGCGCAGCCGCAAGCATTCTCAACCGTACAGGTTCCGTCGGTCTAGCCCTTATGTACTGGTTCATTGGCTTCCTCATGGCCGCAGCGGGATTCAGCATCTACCTGGAGTTGGCTAGTTACTTTCCCAACCGAAGCGGGTCTGATGTCGTGTACTTGGAGCAGCAATATCCAAGACCAAAGCACTTCTTTCCTGTTGCTTTCGCGGTTCAATCCGTGATTCTGTCGTTCAGTAGCAGCAATGCCGTTGGTAAGCTATTCCACTCATCGTAAAGTATGTAGCCTTGGTGACTAACGCTGCGTTAGTTTTGTCGAGATATGTCTGGAGAATGGCCGATATTACGCCTTCAGAATGGCAAATGCGTGGTGTTGCTATTGCAGCTTACACCTTGGCCGTCATCTGCGTTCTTGCACACAACAAATATTCTCTTTGGCTCGTCAATGTCATTGGAGTACTCAAGATTCTTACTCTGGTGTTGTAAGTCATCTCGTCGGAGATTATTCGTGGATCATCACTGACAATTTCGCACAGTATTAGCATCGCCGGTCTAGTCGTGCTCGGAGGCAACGTCAAGCACATTCCCGACCCTAAGGCGAACTTCCGCAACGCCTTCGAAGGTACCACGACGAACGGAAACGATTTGTCAAACGCGCTAGTCAGCATCGTCTTCTCCTACGCTGGATACAACAATGCCTTCAACATGACCAACGAGATCAAGAACCCCATCCCTACCCTCAAGCGCAACGGCATCATCTCGCTCGCGACCGTCGCGATTCTTTACATGCTCTGTAACATCGCCTACTTCGCTACAGTTTCAAAGGCCGAGTTTGCGGAAGCCAGCGAGATTGCCGCCGCCGTTTTCTTCTCCAAGCTTTTCGGAGACAGCAAAGCTGCCGCCAACGTCTTAAACTTCCTTGTTCTTCTAAGTGCGTTCGGAAACCTCCTGGCGGTTCTGATTGGTTCTTCTCGCATGATCCGTGAGATTGGACGGCAGGGCGTGTTGCCGTTCACCGAGTTCTGGGTTTCTACGAAGCCTTTCGGAACGCCCCTCGGTCCGTATCTGCTGAAGTGGGGGATGACTTTCATCATGATCGTGGCGCCTCCCGCCGGCGATGCGTTCTCTTTTGGTACGTTGTTTTGCTCCCAGACGTTGCAAATGTGCAGGTTCTGATCAATGTCACAGTCGTTGATCTTCAGACATACCCCGGTGCCATGTTCAACTTCGCCCTCACCTACGGTGTCTTCATTCTGAGACGCCGACGTAGGAGGTCTGGCATCGGCGGTGCCGAATTCCGCGCCTGGAACGTCGTCCTTCTCTTCTTCCTTGCCATCCAGGTATTCGTCTTAGCCATGCCTTGGTGGCCGCCGAAGGGAGGACCCTACGCTGGGAGTGTCAGCTTCTGGTATGCGACGTATTGCGTCGTTGGTATTGGAATGTAAGTCATCGACATGATCACTATCTTCAAGTAGAGTGTCCATGATTCGTACTAAGACATCTAGTATGATTCTTTGCGGTCTATATTACGTGTTCTGGATGCACTTGCTTCCAAGGTGGATGGGTTACGAGATCCGCACCGAGATTGTAGAAGTCGACTCAGACGGTGCCAACACCCATCGCTTGGTTAAGATCCCCAAGGCTGAGCTTCCCCAGTGGGATGCCACGCACGATGAGGCTGGCAACTTGCGGCGGCGAAATGTGACGACCGTCGAGCTCGAGTCCACCGGCTCAAACGAAAAGACGGCCTAGACGGTCTCTCTAACGACATGGAGACTGTGCTGGCCTTTGGAACAGTCATGTTGTATCAATCGAACACCTTTTTATCCGCCAAAGACTATGAGAAGTCTAAGTGTACACATCTTTACCTGCATGCAATATAAGTAGCTTCCTATCTTGCAACATGAAGTTTGGGTTAACAAAGAGTGCGTGCCATCATGTTGTAGAATTCAACAGCTGAGACGGCTTGCTAATACGAGTTGAGTGATAATTAAATGCTAAGGACAACTGCAAATGACATTACGGACCTGATAACACCAATCTGGCAAGCCGATAACCTCCTTGGACCTTCCGATCCGTCGTCGTTGGTACGACTTCCAAGACCATGTTTGATCGTCTTGTCATTAAAATTACGCTTCAGTTGGTAGACATGCTCCGTCATTGGTAATAAATGACCTTCCTGGCAACAGTCGCCTAGGAAAACGTCCACATTTTGTTTATCAGCAAATGTCAAGTGTCTGAGTAAACTGATCGCATGCCGGGCTTTTACGGATCGCCGGAACCGGAACCTTGAGCTGGGGGGCTGGGAATGTTTCCCGCTTTCTTATCATTTGAGGCCAAGGATCCCCCGCCGTTTGACGAGTCATTCTCGCGCCTTTCGATCCACAGGCCCGTCAACCCCACAGAATGCTACCGACGGAGCTGCAAGACTTCAATAAGCTGCAGCATGAACAAGCTAATTCCCCGGGAATTTCTTTCATATGATGCCGTAATTCTGTCGGCTTTTGCATCCTAGCTATCTAGATAAGTGGCAGATAAGACTACTAAGACACTAGCAGTCTGCAAACAAGGGGAGGAGGGCCAACTCCAAGGTCAAGGTCGGTGTGCGAAGTCGGTCTTTTTGGTCGGCCTGCCCTTGCCGATGGCATTTGAGGTCATTTTGCCGACTGATAAGCAGAACCGACAGCACGGGTCCAGCGTTCGCCTAGCTCACGTTCTTTCAGACCCCAACCACGTGCGATTGGGCACATCGTCCAAGATAAGGACGACAGGTCAGGATCTTGGCTCGAAGTTAGGATGAACCACCCGTATTTCATGGTCTTTAGTGCGAAATCATCGGGTTCAGGCGAGGCATTTTCCCTCTTGGTCGAATATTGGCTCCAGTTTGGGCATCTCAGGTCTTATCGGCATGGCCTCGCCGACTTCAATCGGAGAAATCAGAGAAACCATGTCTGAACGGTAACAGTATAAGAGATTCCCGACATCCCGTCGAAGACAGCTTTGATTGAGCAAGAATAGTGCAGACTTCTCACTCTCAACCAAGCCCATTGCTGCCTCAAGCCAAGTTCTCTCCCGGAACCCCCAAGCAGCAACCAGCAGTCAAGATGCAGACCCGCAACATCCTCCTCGCCGCATCCCAAATGGCCCTCGGCCTGGCCGCTCCGGCTCCGGTCTCCGCCTCCCCTTTCCCGGCGCACCGTCTCTCCACACGGGAGACGCACTTCAACGCCAGCCTGCCCAACGTCACAATCTTCGCCACGGGCGGCACCATCGCCGGCTCCGCCTCCTCAAATGCCCAGACCACAGGCTACCAAGCCGGTGCCCTCGGCGTCGACATCCTCATCGACGCCGTCCCGGAGCTGTGGAACGTCTCCAACGTCAAGGGTGTCCAGGTTGCCAACGTCGACTCCGGCAGCATCACCCCCGAGATCCTGCTCAACCTCACCCGTCTCGTGCAAGAGGCCCTCGACGACCCGTACTGCCAAGGTGCCGTCGTCACCCACGGCACCGACACCACGGAGGAGTCTGCCTTCTTCCTTGATCTGACCGTCAAGTCCGAGAAGCCGGTCGTCGTCGTCGGTGCCATGCGCCCCGCCACCGCCATCAGCGCCGACGGCCCCATCAACCTGCTCGAGGCCGTGACTCTCGCCGGTAGCGACAAGGCCAAGGGCCGCGGAACCATGATCGTGCTCAACGACCGCATCGGCAGCGCCTTCTACACCACCAAAACCCACTCCAACTCCCTCGACACCTTCAAGGCCGTCGAGCAGGGATACCTCGGCTTCTTCCTCGACATCAAGCCCGTCTTCTACTACCCTCCCGCGCTGCCTTACGGCCGTGCCTACTTCAACGTCACCGAGGCCACGGAGCTGCCCGAGGTTGACATCCTCTTCGGACACCAGGCCCTCCAGCCCGCTCTGGCCACCGCCGCCGTCGCGGCCGGCGCCAAGGGTCTTGTCCTGGCCGGTATGGGTGCTGGCGGTTGGACCACCCCCGGCCGTGACACGCTCAAGAAGCTTGCGGAGGAGAACAACACTCAGATTGTCGTTTCCAGCAGGACCATGGGAGGTTTCGTCGAGGACTCCGATGCTCTGAACACCTACGGCGGATGGAACCTGAACCCGGAGAAGGCTCGCATCATGCTGCAGCTCGCGCTGAACGCTGGTTACAGCTCCGAGCAGCTCGCGACCCTCTTCACGTACGCGCCTTAAGAGTAATGATTTATAAGGTTATGAGATCATGAGTACATAGAAACATTTATAATAGAACAGAATTTAATGTTTATCACCATGCTTGCTTCCATCCAATGCGTGCCGTTAGCCAGAATGCGCGTTTAGATCGGTTTAAGTTCCGCGCTTGCAGCATTTCCTCTCCCAGACTACTAACCACGCTGCGGTTCGACAGCCAACAGCGCTTCTCATCTGAACTGGATGAAATCACGCTAAGTTCCAATACTAAATGTGAATTGAGGAGTCGCAATGATGTCACCGAGGAAGCCAAGGCTAACTGCTGATAGCTGGCGCGGGCCTTGATGCAACCTTGCCCACCGCTCACCACCGCTTCCCTGTTTCGGCAGTTGACTTACCCCAGGTTTGAAGGTGACAAGCCTCGGTTCAGCTTTACAACTCGTACGGCAAACCAACTGTTCAACAATGAGACATTGCATCAAGAACGCCGACGAGACGGGTAACTCACTCTGCTGCCTTGGTGCTATCCATGCCTTAAGCTGCTTTTGTGTCTGGGTATCTAGTTAACCTCCCCTCGGCAAGATGATATCAGGCGTCGTATTCAACTCTCTTCAAATTTGCGCCTTGGTTCTATTGTTACCTCGCTTGACAAGAGGAAACATTGGTACAAGACAGATGCGGTAAGCGATGCGGGGTGCCCCTTTTCAGAGTCATAGGAAGACGTGATATAGTTGCAGCCCAGCTCGACGAAAGAAGCCAGTCTTCAGTACTGAATAGTCAAGTCATTTATTCTGCTCGACACGTCTTTCATCTGCTGCGAATCTTTGGTCTCATTATTTCTTACTGCTCATCCCATATATATAAGCTGCCACCTGCATTGCAATGCTTTTCTGACTTTTGAACAATTCGATCAAACTCCCAGAAGCTGCCTCAATTGTCCATCCGCACCATAATCTCTTTTATTCAAAATGAGCCCAAGTCTCAGTGGACGCCGCCTTCTAAGGCTGATGATAGCCTTGAGCGCCATCGCGATTCAGCTACCCTTAATCCACAGTCTTCCGACATCTTCATCCGATATTGAAGAATCTTCAACCGTGCTGGAAGGAGTACCAGCCGCAGGCCTACCCATGGAGCCTCGTCAAGATATCCCCGATGTTCTTGCAAAGTTCCCCTCCGGCCCATTGAACCAATTCCTCAGGATCATCAGCACCCTTCCTGCAGGCGCAGCTGCGCTCGACGCCGTTGGTCTCGTCCTCACACCCTTGCAGCAAGGTTTGGCGGATTCAGTCGGTATTGACACCTCCGAAGATGACTTGAAACAAGATGCTGCTTGTGCCGATATCACTGTCATCTTTGCGCGCGGGACGACCGAGCCTGGAAACGTTGGACTCGTTACCGGCCCGCCCTTCTTCGACGCCTTGAAAGCGCAATCCGGGGGCAAATCCATCGCCGTTCAGGGAGTTGAGTATCCGGCTACATTTGCCGGCTTCAATAGAAACGGGACCGAGGGTGTACCGAGCATGTATGTCAGCTTCTATCTATATCGCCTTGCCGGTCGTTTTGACGTTGTCCACAAGCATCTTTTCAACCAAACACTGACCCAACTTCCGCAGGACGAATTTCATCAACGAAGCAACCACAAAGTGCCCCGATACCAAGATCGTCATGGCTGGGTACTCCCAAGGGGCTCTAGTCGTTCGAGGCACGGCCGAGACGTTGCCAACAGACACAATGTCAAAGATCAACTCGGTCTTGACTTTCGGAGACCCCAGAAATCCGGCTCCTATCCCTGGTGCAGAGGGAAAGACGAAGATAGTGTGTCATGAGGACGATGCTGTTTGCAGTGGGGGGTTCATCACAGTTGATCATCTGACTTACGCTGAGGATGCCGACGCAGCTGCTCAGTTTGTGCTGCAAAGAGCTGCTGGTGAGAGCCCGAACTTGTTGTCTTGACATGCGCACATGAGGCTGATCGGGCACTTCAACTCGTTTAGTTTGAGCTTTCACAGCCTTATAGGCTGGGAACGAACTTACTACTCGCTTCGGTATGCGGGTTTGAGGAGGTGGGAAACAAGAAAGCAACACACTGGCGAGTGCACGAGATTGCATGCTCTGAACTATACAATCAGTTCGTCTGACGGAAGGTGTTGGATCATGTTCGTGAGATCTGTATCGCCCCACACACCCAAGGGCTTCAAGTTCAGGCGACGATACCGGCTTCAAGTTGAATTCCTAAGAAACTACTCCACAAGAAGACTTCAGGCCCGCTAGAAGCGCCATTGCAGAATGCCACGTCACGAGCGATTGTCCTCACCCGCCGAGAACCCTTGAAGAGACCGCTTCCAGTGCCGTGAACTAGACAAGGGTGTCGTCCACTTTTAACATGTTGAGCAACTGACAACTTCACTAAGCGAAGGGGGCTCATCAGAGCCATTGGATAGATCGCACTTCGCGCAGCAGTCCAAGTGGACTGCGAAAACTCACTAACTCTGCATTGGTGTTCCGTAGATTTTCCTTCACCGTTTTCTGCAAGCCCTTTCGCGCGATCACAGGAGCACGAGATTACGTGGCACTGAGGAAGTGATCGACCCGACTAAGTCCCTCGTCGAAGGAGCTGCATGTACTTAAACAAGCCTTATGCTGGCCAAGACATCCTCGCATGCTGAGCTTTAGTTTAATTCCACCTCTCTTCAACCATGGCCGAATTCGAGATCGCGGATAAAGACCTCGCCGGCCTCGAGGGCAAGGTCGTCATCGTTACAGGAGGGTCCTCGGGCATCGGCCTTGCAACGGTCAACACCCTTCTCTCCAAGGGCGCCTTGGTCGTCAACGCGGACATCCAGCCCCCGGCTCAGCAGCCCGAGGGCTCTTACACGTTTGTGAAGACGAACGTGACCGTCTGGGCCGAGCAGATCGCCCTCTTCAAGAAGGCAAAGGAGATCCACGGGCGCGTTGATCACGTTTTTGCCAATGCCGGCCTTGGTCCTCAGGCAAATTACCTCTCCACCGAGGTCGACGAGAACGGCGACCTGAAGGAACCCACGCACGCTCTGTTGGACGTCAGTCTCACGGGTGTGATGCACACCGCTACCATCGCGATCTATTACATGCGACAGCAGGCCGAAGGCGGAAGTATCGTTATCAACGGGTCCACGACGGGTCTTCAACGACTTCGCGCCGTTGACTACTGTGAGTTATGAGCCATCGCGATGTAACCTCACCGCCTCCTGTTACTGACATCATGGCTCAGCCACCGCCAAACACGCCGTTTTGGGTTTCGGTAGAGGTCTCATTCCGCTGCTTGACGCGGCCAAGATACCCATCAGAGTCAACACTCTGGCGCCTACGTGGACGGACAGTAGCGTGCTTCCGGATCTCAAGGGGTTGATGAAGAAGATTGGGGTGGAGGTGCAGCCGGCGGAAGCTGTTGCCAAGGGTGCGGCTTTCTTGATGGCTGATACGACTCGGAATGGGCAGGTCATTCATGTGCAGCTTGGAAAGTACAAGGAGATTGACGAGACTGTTCTCCTACCGGCATTCGAGTCAATCAAGGGACCGGATTATCCCGGCGAGGATGAGGTTTTCCGACGACTGACGGAAGTCTTGATGGGTGGTTCGGGCTGAAGAAATATCAATGCTGCGACTAATTGAAAAGATACGTCAAACTGAGATATGTTTGCAATCGAATGAATCTCTCCCTCTTGTAAAATGCATGTCTACGGCAATTGCAAACCAAGAAGAAGGACTCTGTGATAAGTTGATCGTATCTTCCAGACGTCCAGACCAGAGTATCCGGGCTATCCGAGATCTACATGTCGCAGCCAGGTCAATTTGTTCGAGCAGCTGACTGCAGCACACTCACAACACCATAATTCGCCGCCAACCTCCTCCGATCAAAACTCCGTGACAACCGGAGCACTCCGCTCCCGTAAGGATCCATTTGCCCGCCCGCAGATCCTCCGTGCATCGCACCCTTCGGCATCCGCGTTTTTCGCAGCGGGCCCCGGTAATCCGGGGCTCTCGGGGCACCCGTTCAAGAAATACCGCACCCCAGCGCCAAATGATCTATGGTGATTCAGCTGGCCATGCATTCTTGCGACCCGGAACCCGAATACGACCGGCAGACGCAATTTCGCTTGGTGTCTCGAGCCAATTAGACACGCCGTCTTGCTGACGCTTGGCGGGAAACTGCTGATGGGCCGATCCGGATGGTGAGCCTCCCGGATGCGCCAATGCGGGTCCCCGGGCCCGCGACTTCCCTCGGATTTTGTATATCTGTGTCTGGCTCAACTTCACCCAACGACATCTCGACATCTACACTCACCAAACAACCAATTCAGCAAGTCAACGACAGCTCCGACCCTCCACGATGGCTGCGCAAATCATCATGAACGACTCCGTGCCTCTGCACCCCTACTTCCCGCTGGACACCATGCTCCCGGGCTATGCCGAGAACAAACTCGGCGCCCTGGCTCTCTGCAGCACCTTCGCAGCCGGCACCGTCGCCATCCTCGCGCCAACGTACAAGATCATCCGCCGGACGAACCCGAACCTCTCGAACGGCGAGGTCGCGACGGCGCTGTGGTTCGTGCTCTGCGGCTTCATCCACTTCTTCTTCGAAGGTCAGTTCCCTTGCCTTTGCTCCTCAAGCACCTCAGTCAAACAAAATTGACACTGACATGACCAAAAAGGCTACTTCGCCTACAACCAGTCCAAGATGCCCTCCATGACCGACATCTTCGGCGAGCTCTGGAAGGAGTACTCCAAGTCCGACTCGCGCTACCTCACCCAGGACTCCTTCGTCGTCTGCATGGAGTCCATCACCGCCCTCTTCTGGGGCCCCATGTCCTTCGCCTGCGCCTGGTGCGTCGTCCACGACCACCCGCTGCGCCACCCGCTGCAGGCCATCGTCAGCCTCGGCCAGCTCTACGGCGACGTGCTCTACTACGCGACCTGCACCTTTGAGAAGCTCGTCGAGAGGCTGGTCTACTGCCGGCCCGAGGACTACTACTTTTACGGCTACTACGTCCTCATGAACGCCTTCTGGATCGTGATTCCGTTCGGGCTGTTGGTCAGCAGCTCGGTGGCGACCAAGAGGGCTTTTGCGAGGGTCAAGGAGATGGAGAGGGCGAAGGGGAAGAAGATGCTCTGAGGGGCTCGGGATTCGGGGTGCCAGGTGGAAAAGCTCTCGTGAAAGTCATGAGTGGTGGTTGATATTAGATTATACAGTAGAGAGGAAAACCCTAGGCTATATCTATCCAGCCGTTCTTGTAGTCTAGACTCTAAAATATGCATTCCACCCCATCCCAGAGCAAATCACCCTTGCTCACGACATCTATCACCACCCCCATCTAACTCGCCTCCACCAGTCTCCAGCCATCGCCCGCACACGACACACCTCAGACACTGCCCTTCTTCTCAGCCTTCTTCTCCCGGATATCAACCCAGCCCATCCCCCAACCCAACAAAAACACGCACCCCGAGAGCCCAACGCACAGATAAAACACCTCGCCGATACTCCTCGCATACGCCATCACCACCCCGTCCAGCTCCCCTTTCCCGACAACCTTTCTAAACCCCGTCCCGCCCGCGTCGAGCACCGTCTTGGCGTCCACCGAGGGCGCGTACCTCGCCAGATTCCGCCCCAGGCCCGAGGAGAAGATGAGCTCCGCGAAGGTGAGGAATACGGCGCCGCTGAGGGTCTGGATGAAGACCAGCGTCGCCATCGACACGGAGAGCATCGCGGCGGGGAGGTTTGCTTGGATCGCGATGATGTGCTGGCGGGAGGACGTCAGTCGAAGAGGTCTGGATGAAGCAAAAGAATGAAGAGATGAAGATTGTAGGTTTGACTCACCATTTGCATGCTCGAACCGCGCCCGATGCCGAGGATGACCTGGTACCCGATCCACATCGCCGCGCCCGTCGCCGGAACCCACGTCGAGATGAGCCCGCTCCCAACGGCCGCGAAGCCCGCGCCGAAGAAGACCCAGGGGAGGTAGTATCCCAGCCTGCCGACTACACCATTTCGTCAGCAACCCTCGAAACTTCTCACGATCCATCTATCAGAAAAAGACTTACCAAGAGCCCCCGAAACAACAGCAGAAACCAACTGCGCCAAGATAGTCGGCAAATAATCAACACCCCCGCGAAACGGACTCTCCCCTTTCACACTCTGAAAGTACATCGGGAGGTAATAACTCCCCACGAGCGTCGTACTCATATTAACCCCGCCCACCAGCGCGCTCGTCCAGACCACCCGTCGCCGGAACAGCCCCAGCGGCACCATGGCCCTCCCGTCGCCCACGCGGCGCTCCCAGAGGAGGAAGAGGAGGGCCGTCACGCCCGCGCCGACGAAGAGGCCGATCACCACGGACGAGTCCCACGGGTGCGAGGTCCCGCCGAACTGCAGCGCGAGGAGGAGCATGACGGCGGCGGGCGCGAAGAGGGCGAAGCCGGGGAGGTCGAGGTGGCGCGGGAGTTGGCGCAGGGGGAGGGGGTTGGCGATTTTGGAGGGGACGTGGATGAGCGCGAGGAGGATCGCGACGAGGCCGCCGATGGGGAGGTTGATGTAGAAACCTACAGCAGTCACAATCAGCAAATCCGAATCTATCGTGCGAAAAAGAAGAAAGAATGGAGGTATGACACTTACACCACCGCCAGGTCGAATACTCCGTCAACGCGCCCCCGACCAACGGCCCGACCACGAGCCCCATGTTCGACAGCCCGATGACGACGCCGATGATGAACGGCCGTCGCGCGAGCGGGACCGTGTTCCCGATGATGGTCAGCGCGCCGTTGAACAAGCCCGCGGAGCCCATGCCCGCGACGGCGCGGCCGACGATGAGCATGGTGGACGAGGTGGCGAGGCCGCAGACGAGGGAGCCGAGCTCGAAGAGGAAGAGGAAGGCGAGGTAGGTCCGTTTGGAGCGGATGTGGGTGTAGAGTTTTCCCGCGAAGGGTTGGAGGGCGGCGCTGTGTTGGAGTTGGGTGTTTAGTATGGTGAAGGTTGAGAGGGAGAAGAGAGAGAGGGGAAGGGTTACCCGGTGAGGTTGTATGCCGCGCCGTACCAGCCCACGTCGGAGAGGGAGTTGAACGCCGTGGTGATTTGCGGGACGGCCTATGTGTCGTCTTAGCTGTGAAGTTCTGAATGTGAGGTGAGGCGAGGTGAGGTCGGCTTACGGTGACGACGATGGACATGTCGAGCAGCATCAGGAACGTCGTCGCCGTGAGAGCGGCGAGGACGAGCCAGAGCCTGACGCCGGTGATGTACTCCTCCTCGGCCTCGCCAGCAGTCGCACTCCCGCCGCTTCCTTCATTCTCATTCACGTCCTTCTCCGCGACGTCGGTGTCAGATTCGTGCTGCAGAGCCGTCCTCGACTTCTCAGCGTCACCGAGACCGCCCGGCATCGAAGACATTGCCGTGGTATGTTGTCCCACGTAGGAGCTTTTCGAAGAAGGTCTATCCATGGCCATTCTGCACGTCGTCTAAAACAAAACTCTCGTCTCAACTCAAAAACAAAAGTCGTGAGAACAGATGAACCATGATGTTACACACCAACCGCCCAACCGCCAAGAAAAGGCGGGCTCATATAACACTCAACCTTGGCCTTACATCCCGCCCACTTCTCATCGAAACTCCGCTTACACCCAGCGGAATAACATACAACAGTGGTCAGACAAACAGAAACAATACCAATCACAACTCCGATTGCTGACCAAACGATTGAGTCCCTCAAAACCAACCCAACCCAACCCAACTCCGAGACCGGAATTCCGAACATGGCATGCCTGGCTGATTGCTGAGCACGGGGTTAGCGTCGAACCCCGGATGTGCATGCTGTGTTGGTGGGGACTTTTTGCGGTTAGATTTACGACGCGTGCGTGGGAGGCCGGATCTGGCGCTAGGCGTCGACTACCGCTCGCTAGTCGGAATTCTCAAAATGCTTAGTTTCGACATGTTGGTCTTGCGTCTTGCGTCTTGCGTCGTGGAGTTCGAAGGAATGGCGGGCGTCAGGAGTTGGGTTCGTGATGCCTCGAGTCATGAACTCCGTCCCGTCAGCCATTGGTCTTACACAAATCCCGCTCACGCTCACAATTGAACGATAAAAATCCCGAGACGGGGGGATGTGTGAGATTTTAGGCAGAAACCCCCGAGAAAAGAGGCAAGGAACTTTCGTCCGGTTTTGTAATACACGTGATCCATTAACCCGCCCATAATCCATTGCCTTGCTGTTGAGAGGCGCATGTGTGCATGTGTGTGTCCGTAGATATCCCGGCAAATAAGCCACCTTTCCAACGCCCCCATTCATCCTAAGAGTACTGATACACTATTGTTAACTCCGCCCCTCAAAAGTCAAACGGGGTAAACATGTCCGTAAACCACCGGTTATCCATCAGATCCAGCCCGAGCTGACTAAACTCCACATCCCCGACCCCGGCCGGCGGAGGAGCCCCGGCGCCAAGCACGCCCGCGACCCCGGCATCCGCACCGGCTGTCGTGGTCGCCGGCGGAATCAGCGGCCCCAGCGTGGTCTCCCACGTGCCCCGTAGCCCCTTGATGGTCTTGACGGCCTTGGCGAAGGCGTTGCCCTCCTCGACGTCGATGTTGAGGCCGGCCTCGGAGCAGACGCGGGTGAAGCGCTCGGCGACCTCGTCGAGGGTGGAGATGAGGTCGAGGGTGTTGCGCACGCTCTGGCGGTCCCAGACGGGGTCCTCGAGGACGGTGAGGCGGTAGAGGGCGATGGTGCAGTGGGAGAGCTGGGCGAAGAAGGGGAAGGGGATGGCGTAGTAGGCGGCCGGCGGGAGGGTGAAGAAGTGCTCGAACCAGGACTTGACGGCGTGCAGGCAGGCGTAGAGGATGTCGAGGCGGGCGACGTCCGGGAGGTTGGCGGGGACGCAGGCGCCTGTCTTGGAGGAGAGGGCGATTTCTTGGATGGCGAGCTCGGTGGAGTGGAGTTGCGAGATGATTGTGTCTGTTTGGGTGTGTTAGGATGAAGCTCGAGGGGGAGGTGGCAGAGATAGTACCTGAGCTTTGTTGTTCGGAGGGTAGGTTTTGGAGGATCTTTTGGAGCTGGCCCTGGAGGAGCTTGACGTACATCGAGGGCGGCGTCCTCGCTGCGTCGGTCGCGTCGTAGGTTACTTCCGGACGCCACGACAGGCGGCCTGCCTCTTCGTTGAGGAGCTGCATCCTGACGAGGCCGACGAGGGTCTGGTCCGACGGGACGGCGGTGTTGGCCTCGAGGATCTGTAGGGACTCGTCCATGTGCGGCGTCCAGCGGAGGGGATCCATCTTGCCCAGGAAACTCGCGACGCTGTGCCAGTCAGTCTTCTCATCCTTGATAACAGAGGCCCGCGGCTTACTTGGAGGTGATCATGTAGCACGCGAGGGCGGCCCTCCGCTGCTCCATGGTCCTCGGCATCTGGTTCTTCAGAAACAGGCTCTGGACGTTGCTCTTCTCCTTGTCGGCCCGCTCCTGGGCGGCCTTCCAACAGAGGAACGGGTTCATGCCGTCGACGGGGTCCTTGGACAGGCCCAGGTCGAAGACCAGACCGATGGCGATCTGGCAAAAGAGGCACATAAAGGGCTTGTTACCCAGCTGATGATTTGCCCTGGTCGCGAGTCAGCGTCAATAACTCAAGAAAAAGGCAGGTAATGAACTACTCACCACCCCAAAACACAAAGTAAACCAAGCAGGTAGTCAATACTCCTCTCGTTCTCGACGAGCAGCTTCTGCCCCACGATGTGCCTCACCCTCTGCCCCAGCGCGAGCTGCTGGCTGGCGACCCTCGAGGCGACGGTCATGATGCAGATCCACAAAAACGGCTTCTCCGCGCGCAGCTCCCGCGCCGTCATCGTACTCCTGAAGTGCAGGAACGGAAAGTACCGCAGGTTCTGCCCGCGGAACGCCTCGAAGAGGGCTTCCGCCTCGTCCGGCGAGGGCAGGAAGTCGTCTCCGTCGCCGTACCCCGTCCCTTCCGGGCTGGCCGTCTGCGTCGGCGTCGGCAGCGAGGTGCCCCTCGCCCCGGCCCCGCCCTCGCGGCCGCGGGACGCGCCGTACCCGTTGCTGCAGATGTCGGGCTGCTCCGAGGACTCTTCCCTGCCTGCTACGCCACCGCTCGACGAGGCAGCCGAGGCGGCAGCAGCAGCAGCAGGCGGGGGCACGACGCCAGGAATCCCGCTGATGTCCACGCCCAGGCTCGCCGGAAGGTCAGGTCTGCCGGACTGCTTGAGAAGGGTGACCAAGCCGTCGAGCTTCTCCTCGAGCTGGGCGGTCCGGCTGGAGGGGGGCTTCTTGGAGCGTTTGCGCTGGGGGTTGCTCGGCTGGCAGATCTTGTTGAGGCGGTGACAGCGCTCGCAGGCGCCGCCGACGGGGCGGAGGATGCATTTACACTTTGCGCGGGAGCAGTTGGTGCAGGCGCGGCCGTACGGGGCGGCGATGCCGCTGCCGCCCGAGTCGGTCGCGTCGGCGGCCGTGACCGGATGGGGCCCGGCGTCGCCGTGAATGCCCCCCGTCGGCATCCGGGATTCGGGTCCTTGACTTGGTTGTTGGGAGGGGGGACCTGAAGACGCAGTTCAATTCAATCCCGGGCGCAAGGCTCGATCCGGGGAATGGCGGGCCGGTTCGGCCGTGACGCAAGACCGGGCCAGACCAGCAGACTGTTGTAAAAAGCCCCCGGCGGCGGGTTTTCCCTTGTGGTTCGTGAGGCAGGACCCTGGATCCCGAGCGAAGATCCGTGGGAGAGACCAGCGCGAGAGCCAAGCTTTGATGTCGCAGCCGAGCGGGCGGACGGGCAATGTCTCACGATCGTGTGTGTATTTCCTTTCCCGACAAGCAAAGCCGGGCTTCAGATCTGATTTGTCCCACCAAACGCCGTTCCTTGGGGATCTGCAAGAGAGAGGAGGATGGAAAATGGGTGACGAGAGTGACGACGAACAAATGCAGGAGGGCGCGAAACCCGGCGGACTTGGCACAGGGGCGGGACGTTTTCGAGGAACGCTGACGCCTAAGTATGCGGACAGTCGGGGTTGGGGAGAGGTTTGGTGAAGTCCGGCCGCGGTGCTGACGAAGTTTTTGGGTGGTGGCTTGGTGGGCGCACGGATGGGAGACGGAAAGTGGAAAGGCACCGAAGGCCGAAGTCCGGTTCTGGCAGCCACACAGAGACGAGAGAATCCGAGATGCTTTCTGATGTAAGCCATATTCGGATATGACGAACCATAAAAGGGACGACATTGAAACATAAAGAAGAGTTTTAATGTCTATGAAAGACTCTTTCAGAGCAAGGGTGGGGGTTAGCTCAGTTTCATCACATCAAGACAAGCATTGGCATGTGCTGCAACCATCACCTTTGATGCACTCTCAATAGACATCACAAGCATTGTGCAGAGACGTGAGAATCATGTGTGAAAGGGTATACCATTAGAAGTTATCAAGCAATGTTCCTAACGCCGCCAGTCACAACTACATGGCAAGCAACCAGAGCCCCCATTGGATATACCACGCGTGTTGCCTTAAAAACGAATGTCAACGTCTCCGTAGAGATGGTCATGACCGACTGTTGACTGTCCTCCAACGCCCAAGACACCCCTCCCTCCAATTACTCTACACAAGAGTCAGAACCACCAAGCCTCTCAATGGATCGGGTGGGCAGCATCTCCTGCCAACGCCTTCAATCCTTGTACCGCCCCAGTTATACGTAGCAGATGATCCCATTCTGGGCGAGGCATCAAAAGTCGTGCCGCATGCAAGATCGCAAATTCAGTCGCAGGGTATAGTCGTACTGTACAGATGCCGGTCCGAAATGAGTTGAAACAGTCGCCCCTCGAGAAGATGATTCCTCTCATCAGATTTGACAAGGAGCTTAGACGCCACCGCCCATGAAGGCAGCGAGGTCGTCGAGCTCCAGAAGCTGTCGCTCGAATGCAGAGCAGAGCTCACTAGCCGTCATGTCCTGAGGCACGGGAGCAACAGACTCGGCGGAAGGAGTGACGCCGTTGCTGACGATAGGCTGGGCAATAGGTTCAGGCGACGCCTTGGACTCGGGCTGCTGCTGGGGCGGCGGGCTGGCGGAAGCCGGGGTGCCGGAGACGGAGCCGCCGTTGATGGTGGCGACGCCGGGGCGGCGGGGCAGAGGAACAGGAGGCTCGCTGTCGCGTCCGTTCTCGCTGACGGGGGCAGTTCCGTTGTTGACGGGGGGCTGCGGCGCCGGAGCGTTGGAGGTCTGGTCGTAGTCCATCGCATCCGGGTTGGTGTCGGGGTTGGAAGCAGCCTCGTCCTTAACGGAGGCCTGATCGGCGACGGGCGGGTGGCCAGCAGCAGGGGGAAGGGAAGTAGGGCGAGCAGAGGGGCTGCCGGTGGCATCATTGCCGAGGACTCTGTGCATGACGGCGAGGTGACGCAGCCACGAGCTGATGAGGGGCCAGGTTTCGACGCCCTCCTGCATGAAGTGCAGGCCGTCGCGAACAATGTGTCCCGCGGTCTCCACGGCGTTATTCGGTGTGAGGCCCTTCAGAGACAGGTAGGCGACGGTAGCGCTTGCGGTGAAGGAAGAGAAGAGCATGAAGATGGGGAAGCAGATGATGCCATCCTTGTCTGAGCCGGTCTCGAGCGCCGTCAACATGGCGATGGTGCTGTGGCACGAGGTAAAGAGCCTATCAATGATCTCGTGGCACTGGGGCGACAGACGCCAGGTCTCGACATCGAAGCCGGGCGCAGTGACGTACTGCAGCAGGCGGCGGCGGTTGATGAAGATGGACGCGCAGTGCAGCATGCAGTGCAGCATGGCGTACGTGAAGCCGGAGCCCATGGTAATGTGCAGGTTGATCTGGCCAGGCTTGTCGACGTACTGCATCGACAGAGAGTTCCTGAGGCGCTCAATCTCCCCCATGAGACCATTGCAGACGCCGTCGTTAAAGGTCTCGGTGGTCGTGGTCATCAGCATCTGAACCACGTCGCGCCAGATTCGGGTGGCCATGACGATCTGGCCGAACTCGCCGATGTCGTCAACGCGGGTTCCGGCGGGCAGACGGGACGGGTCCGAGAGGTTGATGGTCTGGACGAAGACGGCGTTGCCGAATGCGAAGTTCATGTCGGAGCACGGCAGCGAGACGTCAGCGGTGTCGTTGGACGACAAGGCCGGCTGGCGACCGGGCGTGCTGGTCAGCAGGCAGTCGAGGATGTACAACAGCCATAGGACACGGCGGAAGGACTCGTCCTGGAGGAAGCGGTCGGCCTCACTGACAGCGGCGTGATGGCTGTGCAGGATACGGTACATCTGGACCATGCGGCTGGCCTGGCCAAGGTAGATGTAGGCGCGCACGGCATTGCGGGAGCCCCATTCGTGAATGATGATCAAGCAGATGGCCTGAATCTCAGCGAGACTCGGCGTGTCGAGGTTCTGGTTGATGATACCCATGGCCTTGGCGGCGAAGTGCTCAGCGGCACCGGTAGCGCCGGACTGTCCACCATAGCGGCGAATCAAGGTGGGAGAGCTCCTGCAAGGTACAGTGTTAGCGTTGCAATTCCTCTGAGCGGCGATCGACTGAGTCGGCCGAAAGTCAAAAATTGGAGAAGGGGACGCTTCGGGCCAAGTCCGGACTTTTGGGGCTTAGCGAGCCGAGGACGCAGGCCCGACCGGAAGGCCGCGCCACCCACAAAAATATCGGACATTGCGGGGGAGTTGGTGAAACGCCAGGGCAGGGAGAGGATGAAGATCGGGAACAGCTGCAAAACAACCGTCAGTGAAGTACGTACCGAGCAGCGCAGGTGAGCAGCGCGTAGATGAGAGCCGGGTCCAGCGAGGCGTTCTTCAGCTGCTGGATGAAAGACGGCTTGTGGAAGGCGACACAGGCCGGGTACGTCTTGGAAATGACGCGTTCGCATTCCTGGATCAGCTCCGGAGTGAGCCTGGGGGGTTATGTCAGCGTTCAAGTTCGGTTGTCATTTTCTCGAAATGGAGACGGCAGCAGAAACCGGCGAAAGAGCCGGGCGTGTGGAGAGGGCGAGCCAGGGTGGAGGGGATCGGGATACGACTCGGGAAATGAGGATGCGATGGCGCGCGAAAAAGGGCTGTGGAGGCAAGGGGATGGGGTTCAAAGAGCCAAACAGCGGCTCCGAGGCCAGGTTAGCGGCGGTGGACGATGCCGCCGGGGGTGGGTGAGATTGAGGGCCGCCTTCGGGAGATCGAGGCAAAGGCCCAGAGATCTTGGGGACGGGAGTCATGGACTCTTGGGAGAAAGGGGGAACCAAGCGCAGCAGGAGGTGGACAAGACAGAGTGCGATGAGTGATGAGAGAGGGACAAGCCACCGCGCCCAGGCCGCATGCAGAAGGGGCCGAGCTCCCTCCCTAGTCGGCGGTCATGGGCGGCGAACACAGCCGAAGACCAGAATAGCACGCCGGGCACACGGGGCGCGGCAGCTGAATTCTCGGGCGCTGTGGGAGGAGGAAGAGGACAGGATGGGGCAAGGGAGACAGACGGGCGGTGGATATGGTGATGACGACTGCTGAAGGCCGGAGAAGACTCGATAAAGACGAGGTAGAGAGAAAATGACGCGTGACTTACTTTTCGGGAGGCTGAACGTGTCGCGATCCAGTGGATGCCGGGTTGGCGGCGCGCGTCTCGCCGGCCGGGACCGAAGCTGGCAGGCTCTCGCGCGAAGGACGATGAGCGGTGGTATGGCGAGCGGGCGACTGGCCGTGATGATGGGCCATGGACTCGGAGGGCAGATAGCACTCGTGCATGCCCTTGGCGCAGTTCTTGCATGGAGCGCGGCCGTTCTCGTAGACGCACTTGGTCTTGCCCTTGCGGCAGCGCACGCAGGCGCCGCCGGCTCTGAGGGCGGTAGACCGCACAACACCGGTCGACATTGTGGGTGACGGTGAGTGATGTGTTGAGATGGTCAGATGTGGTGGTAGAGATGGATGAAGCGGTGATGTTTTGGTGTGGCGGCGACAAGAAGGTGATCTCGTCGAGTTGAGGTTGGCGACGACTGACGACTCCGGAGTCGCGTCGGAGACGAATATGCGATGCGATGTGATGCGACAGCAGGCGCGGCGCGACGCGAATGCGAAAGGCAGTGTTTGCGACGGTGATGTGTAGTGTGCGACAACCGTGACGGGTACGGCGGTGTCGGTCGCGTTGTGTCCCGGAGAAGGAAAGGAAGTTGAGTTGCAAGAGAAAAGACGGGAGAGAAAAGGAAGAAGAGGTCGGAGGGGGAAATGGAGCGGGAGGTGGTGTGTTTTGTTGAGGGGGGGCGGGCTCCGGAAGAGAAGAGAGTTTTGGGGCCGGGTGACGCAGAGAAAAGACGACCCGTCGCGCCGAGATTATGGAGCCTCTGGTGCCTCTGGTGAAGGGTGGCTCCAGAGGCGAGACCCCCAGGCAGCGGGCGGCGGACGGGGGCAGAGGGACGCTTGTGGCCGGTGTTAGGGCAGAAGGCGTCTCCGGAGCGGTGTCGGAGCAGACCGATGGTGTTTTGGCAGGCGACGCGAGCAGATTTGTGGAAGAAATGATTCTGTTGGAAAGGAGAGAGATTTCGGAGCAGGAAGAGGACACGGGCGGCCGCGATTTCTCGGTGGTGGGCGAAAAATCCGGGCGGTGGTTTCTGGTGGCCGTTTCGGTGGACTTTGGGGAGGGGTGTCTTTTGAATCAATGGGTGTGGGTGAAAGAAGGGTACAAAGGGCATGTACCTTTGGAGAGTAGGGCAGGAGTGGGCAGCCGGACAAAGGAAGAACTGTGAAAGGATGCAATGTCAAGATGCATAACAGCAGACAGAATAATTCACTTGAAAGCAATTAAGATGTATTACTTAAGCTGAGAATTAATTATTCAAAATGGCAATGACAAAATCCGTCTTCTTTCCCTCTCTCCTTCCTCTCCCCCAGGCAGACGCGGCGCGGAACGGGTCACGGTCGGGTGTTGTCAGCGGGTGGGTCTGGGGGCGTGCGCCGAAAAGCAAAGGAAAGAAGTGGAAATGGACGGGAGAAACGAGGCGGGTGCGGACCACCTCATCACACAGAACGGAAGCCGCAGCTGCGAAATGAAAAAAGGCCCTGATTTGGATTTGGGGGCGAGGACCCAAGGCAGAGACCGATGAGAGGACTCAGTCTTAATCTCGTTGTCTGACTGATTGAGGTGACTGAGGTGATTGAGCTTGAGGACTGAGGTGAGGACTGAAGGTGAGGGAGGTACGGCGATCGGCTGGTGTGCCGGAGCTGAATGAGGAGGGAGGCAACGGAGACACGGGAAACCAGGAGGGAAAGGCCCCACTTTGCCTGCTGAGCTCCTTCCTTTCACTCGGTGGTCCACGGTCCACGGTCCTCAGTCGCTGCTTCCCTCGCATTTCGGTACGTGCCAAACACTGCTGACTTACACCGTGTACCGAGGTACTTCTCTCCTCTCCTCAATTCTGCAGGCGCACCTGCCCTCCGATCTGTCCGTCGTGTCGTACCTGCTTCATCCAGAGCCTGGCACCTGGGGAAGGAGGAAGGATGAGAGATGCCCGGCAGGTGCCTTCCACCTCAGTCCTCATCCTGCTCCTGCCCGTACTGCTACCACCGACATCATTTTTTTAATTGTGCAAAAAATAAAATAAAAATTCAATTTCTTCATTCTCGACACTTCTCTCGTCAAGCTTCATGCCTCATTGATATCCTGACACGACAGCTGCCGGCTGAAAGCCAAATGAATACCTACAGTGCAGCACAGTAGACGCGGCAGACTCCCCGACACATCTCGTGTCTCGCATCCATCCGTCCTCTGCCCACCGCCGCCGACCGATGCCTCCCGTTTGCAAGAGACGACGCATCTGAAGATCATTGCTCTTCTCTTCCAGCCATCTTGATTGCTCTGTCGCTCTGTCGCTTCTTCCTGGTCTGGGTTGACGACGCTTCAACCTCTCCAACAGTCCTTCATCGCGCAAGAAAACACCAACGACCATCTCCGGCGGCAAATCCGACCCGACCGGCAGCGCCTGTCAGCTTCAGCGTGCGACACCCCCGGGCCCGCCGATTGCTACAGCGCCTTTCACCTCGGCACCACAGAGTCAAAAACCCTGCCATGCCCGTCGCGCGCCCGGCTTTGGCCCACTCAAAGACGAGAGAAGCGCGGACTGGGCCATCGGACGATTCCCCAAGAGTCAAGACTTTCTGACTGGAACAACGACTCGCCCTCACAACAACATTGGTGGTCTCTAGACTCTGCCGCCTACGACATGGGGGCGTGGACGACAAACGCCGCCGGCCGGGCCTAGAAACGCCCCGCCCCCTGCTCTTTCTCCGTCCCGTACCCTCCTTCAACTCTTTCACCGTCGAGTCGCCTCTCTCTCTCAATCTCTCAGTCTCCTCCCGTCGCCCGTTGGTCTCGCAGAATTCTTCCACGGAACGCCCACCTCCAACGCCGGCGGCAACACGTTCTGGGGCTTGCCTGCCTGCCCTTGCTCGATCAAGGTCACTACGGCGCCAACCGTCCCCAGCAGAGCGCCCTACGCGTGCCTCGCCTGCAGAACTGTGCGCTTCGCCCGTGGCTGTGGACCTTCATTTACGGCACGGCCAGCCGGTTAAGAATCAAGACGGCCGGGTTACGTGCCTCCAAGTCTATCGAATGCCCTACGTGGCCCGTCTCCTTCCTGGGAGCCATCGGCCTCCCGCGCGGGCGCTGTCCGCCTAAACGACGAGCAGAAGCTTGTCGCTATATTTAATATGCATCCTGCACACCCAATACGCTTTCATCTGGAGCGGGGCCGATGGCTGTCAGCTGGGCTTCCTCCGGCGGCGCAGGCACTTTCCGGACCTTGGCCTCCATTCTCCCCGTCCCCAGCCCGTCTGATCCGTCGCTGCTTCAACCAGATGCGCGCAGAATTCCACGGCCATCAGCGACAATCCAGTCGATCGTCTTCCATCTGGCAAACCCCCTTGCCGGTTTGGTCTGGATCGATGGACTGGCATGCTCTCAACTGGCAACCGTTGCCACACTTCACCAGGCGGGCAGTCGACCTCCGTGTGCTCGTATGCGCCTGTAGCATCACCATTTACTACGTCCGGTCTGCCGCTTGACTTGATTGCCTGAATTCCGTCATTTTCGTCTCCTGTCTGGCATCATCTTGAAACGGCACCGCCGAAGCAGCTCGGCAACTTTTAATTACCACAGCAAGCCGGCGTCGTGCACAAAACCACGCCCGGCAAAAGCTGCCGCTCTGTCCGGGCGAGCCAGGCACCTTGTTCCGTCTTCGCTCCGGGGGCACCCACCCTTTCCCCTCTCCCAATTTTCGCCATGGAGCGACAATCCCGAGAGCGTTCAGCGCCATCTCGTTCCGGCGACGCGCCAAATTTGTGTTAATCAAACTCAACCTGCCCCGGCCTGGGCCCTTTCTTTACCCGCCCGTGCTGAGAGCGGACTTGCGCATGGCGACCCACCCCGGCCGTCTCTCGCCAGCACGCAACCAAGTCTCGCGGGATACAGCAAACGACTGCGGCGCCATCTTCAGCGAATGCCAGTTCCGATCTGGTTCGATTCCCAGAGAGAGGGCTGCATCGACCTGCTGATGCTCTCACGAAAGCGAACCCGCCGCCAATCGCAACGTCGTCGACGTGCAGAAGGTGTCGGAAGGTGGGAACACCGGCGACATCAACCTGGGGGCGCTCGGCTCGCTGCTCTCGGAGCTGCCCTCTGCGCACTGTCGCCGTGTCGAATAGGGGGTCAAGCCGAGTGTACCGCGGTCGCGACCCCAAACCCCCAAGTCCACGCGCTACGTGCTCCAGCCGTGAGCAGAGGTTCAGGCCCCGTCACGCCCACAGGCAGGCGCCGCGTCAACTATTGCCAGCATTCCCCGTTTCTGTAGTGAACGTAGTGAACACCTGAACTGGGGAGGACGGGGCTGAGACAGAGTACAACGATCCCAGGAGGCAATAGGCATTTCCCGCTGCCGTTACGTCTCCCGCCGGCGCCCACCTGCTTCGGGTCTCGCTACGTTGCTCTCTCGGCCGGGAGATGTCTGGCGTTGCATTCTTGATGCGGGACGTCTGAACAATGTCCCGGCGACCGAAAGAACGCATGTTCGCAATGGGCTCGGCAAATCTCCAGACAGGCTTACCGGCCGCTGTCGACATCTTACTGCTGTTATTCCGAGACGATCCTCGGTTGACGAGAATCGCGACATCTAACACCGGATCATGTCGCTGGGCCTTCTGGAGCATATCACTCTTGGCGGTCGCGCTTCTTTGGTGCGATTTCGGACACCAAGTCTTGGTTTCCGCCCCGGATGAAAATTGTTTCCACTGCCTGGGGGGTTTGCCGCAGGCGTTCCCGGCAATCTGGCCAGTGCGGTTTCCTCGAAAAGCCGCGCCGACCCGGGGCGTGCCAGTGCCAGTGCGGTTCGTTCAGCCGAATCAGCCCAGGTCAGCGCTGCGCAGCGGTCCGCGGCACAAACAAAACGAGAGGGACTCTGCTGGGCTCCCATCTGCTACCGATACAGCGTCATCCGAAACCCAACATCCGACACAGTGCAAGCAGCTGTGCTACCTCGTTTCTTCCAGCGTTGGTTCAGAAACAAACGAGCGTTCCATCGGCCATCCGTCCGCATTCCGTAGAGGCCCAAGGCCGTGGGTGTGCCGGCCAAGAGTAGCAGCGACCGGAGCAGCCCACCGTCATGCCACTGAAAGGTTGCCGCTGCGGTGCGCCATTTTCTCTCTTTCGAGCGTCTCCGGGCGAGCGGTCAATACCCAGAACGAAGGCGCTTGAGGCTGGATGGCAAGGCCAACCGCATGCCGGCGCGATGAACCCGTAAGCTGATGAGCGCTGACGACAGCCACGCTTCCTTTCTCCGTGTCTTCCGGAGGTCGCGCCCACTTTTCCCTGTCCCTGTTGGCCCCCTTCCGGAAGCTCTGCCCAGAGGCACCACGCCGGAGTTGATGTCATTTTCCAGCAAACCTCCGCCCTAGTCTCGCTCTTCTGCCCCATGTTGTCTTGGTACAATGCATGTAGCCCCGGCGCGTAATGTGATCCTCTTGACTCTCACGGATGTGGTGTCACGGGTTTTGTCCGGCACTCACTCGGCGATACTTCAGCCAGATTCGTGGGAAAGGAATGCCCACGAAAGTCTGCCAGGGAGTGGTTTAGCACAGCAGTTAGGCATCTGAACGGCGCGAGTTTGAACGGGTGCAACAACTGATCCTGCTGAATCGGTCTGTACCTGCGGACGGGTGCCGAGGACTGCGCGCTTCCTCGGAAGTGTCCCGACTCCCCTGCTCCTGGAGTCACTGGATCGCCAAAGGCGATGAATGGGAAAAAGCAGCCGAAACGATGGCATTTCTCACGCGACCGGCGATCAGTGCACCGACCAGGATGGGTGGCGTTGTGGCCTTGAGGCCTCGCGGCACTCGCGACTTGTGGGTCGTCCCGGAATCACTTCCGCCGGTTTCCGGACCATCGGCGCGGGCGAAGGCCCACTCGGTGAGGCCTTGAAGCGCCTGGCGCCACACCGATCCCCGCAGCCAGCATTTACGAATGCTGAAGCCGCCCAACTATGATGTCGCTGGCACGATTTTAGGCCTTCTGTCGGAAGATATCTGATGCTTTTCATTTCGCGAAAGACATGCTGGACATCTGGTCGCCCATGGATAACGGACTCAGAGGGTTCCACAGCGTACGGCCGACCAACACCCGTACCCGCGTGGCACCATGTGTGCCGTGAGCGTCCGCCCGCAACTCGAGAACGGTGCCCGACCGGATATCCAGCGGCGCGAATACCTGCCCCTGCGGTGCCTGCCTCGGAGTTTGGACGGCATTTTTCTTGGAAATCGACCCCTGCAAATCGCATTCTCTAACGGGTGTGGCACCTGGCTGATCTGTGACGTGTAGAGTGGTTCTGCCCCCCGCAACTTTGATTGCAACCCACGGCGCCGTCGAGCCAGTCCGGGCTGCCGACCTGGTCGCCGTTTGGAGGCTCCGCGGCAAGCGGGAGGCCTATCGTTTGCAGGAATTCGCAGCAATTGCAACTTTGGTTCGCGTTCTCCAGACGTTGTCGACCCTGACAAATTCATCGGCATTAGCACGATGTTAAATCCGAAGAAGAAAAATGCCGCCGGAGAACTCGGCCCCTCCCGGCAGCTTTCCCGGATATGTCAGCGGGGTCCTCGAATCCTCCGTCGTCCGAAGATGCCGAAACGGGGCATTCTTGCGCTTCGGCTGTTGGAATCAGTGAAGAGCTAACAGAATAAGCTTTCCAATAGACTGTCGCGTTTGTGCCCAGGCGTTTCCGGGCAGAAGTACGATTGTGCGGAGCAAGCTCACTATCGTCCGCAGTTCTACCCCGGATTCTGTTCTGTTCCACGCCTTCGGATTCTCAATGCTAGATTCGTCGAGGTTCCATATCTTGTTAGATATTATTTTCACCAGAAAAGCAGCGATGGCTTGTCCTCTGTTAACATGGATAGGAGGCAGCACTCTAAATGTCACCTACGCACCTTGCTGTCTCATTTGTGACTGCCTGTCGAGAAATGCTGGGGAAATTATAGGATACAGAGCTCCAGCCGGCTATAGCTGACCTAATTTTCCACTTCAGAAGATCCTCTTTACTCTGCTAGCCAACAGTTGCACACATTACATGTGCTTGAACCTACTCAAGAAAGCTGATTTTGGCAAAAGCTGCCGCGTATGGGACAGCCACCATCGGAACATCCGAGAAAACACGGCATAAACGACGCCGACCGCGCCGATTACCTACTTCTCAGTTATCAGATGGTCGGCGAACTCAATGGAAATATGTGGCTTCCTGTGCCCATGGTGTTGGGGACGATGTGATACCGATTTAGTGCCGAACAACCATGATACATTACCGAATAAGATCGCGTCTATGCACCAAGCGAATGAACATCGCAGTACACGACCTCTCGCATTTCCAGAAGCTCTCGCTGTTCAGATTTATATACATTGAGCCCACTCAACGCCGTGACGTAGGACCGACTCCCCCCGCACTTCCGGAGCCGCGGCGGCAGTCCCGGTGGGGTCTGTGAGCGGTAGAGGGACGGCAGTACGGGGTGTATCGAGACGCCGATCCCAGCCGTCGACGTCGGAAAACCCGAGCTGGTAATCTTGATATATCGATTATCTGAAAGAAAAGCAGTTTGAATCTTTGACGAAATTCTTGTAATTCGTCTGGTCGCTAAAACACATCGATAATGGAAGCAACGACGAGACAAGGTCTGCTAAGGCCGGTGCTGGAACACCCTAAAATCAGTCTCTTTCTCATAACCATCCTCGTCCTCGCGATATACGCACAAAAGCGGAAGAACAAGGCTCCGGGACGACGGGTACCCGCGCAACCCCCCGCGACCCCGATTCTGGGGCACCTCCCGGAGCTGATCCGGGAGAACAGGGCGAGGCGGTGGCATTTGAAGTTGTGCGAGTGGGCGCGGGAGTATGGGCCTCTGTTTGGGGTGAGGACGGGGTTTGTTGTTGATTATTATGTCAATTCGGATGTTTTGGTCAAGGTGAGGTTTTGTTGCCAAGGGGAAAGAAAGTTGAGAGTGGTTTTCTGACGATGGGTGTAGGAGATCTTCGACAAGAGGTCGGCGCAGACCGCGGACCGGCCGACGTGGATCATGTCGAGCGGGATCCTGAATAACGACTTCAATGTGTTGTTTTTGGATGCGAGCCATCCGAGGTGGAAGGTATGATATGATGATGCTCGCGAGAGTTTTGGATTTCGAGAGAGAGGGTTGTGTGTGGGTGCTGACTGTGAGGCAGAATCAGAGGAAGGTGATTCAGCAGCTCGTGACGAATGTGCAGCAGGCTGATAAGATCGTTCCGTAAGTCACTTACACCAAATGGATCGCGGATGATTTGACTATTTTTTTGCGCGGTAGGACTGATTGAAGGGTACAAGGCTTCTGGAATACGAGACCCTCAAGTTCCTCCGTGAGAATGTCCTCGACGAGAGCGGCGGGCTGGCTGGGTCGAAGCTGTATCAGGCTATTGGGAGGTATACCTACAGTGCCTTTGCGACGGCATTTATGGGCATGGAAGTAAGTTATCTCCTCGCTTCTGCGTTTCCATGTTTGCTGATGGTGAGCAGATTCCGGATACAGATGACCCGGTGATTCCCTTCATCATGGGTGAGTCGCGCTGTTTCCGATCTTGAATCGAGAGGATGAGGCATGCTGACGGAGTGTGTACAATAGAGGCCGAGATACAAATCATCAGTAAGCCGACATCCCTAGCTAGAACCGTGACCCGTCTGAAAGCTGACGATGGCGGTGCTTAGATACGTTCCCGGGTTCGAATATCATCGATCTGATCCCTTCGTTGGGAAAACTTCCGATGTTCCTCAAGCCGTGGGAGAGACGGGGACGAGCGAGGTATCAACGGGACTTGGCTTGGGCGATGAAGCGCGTTGAGGTTCGTCTACGTACTCCACATTTGAATTTCGGCTGCGCGAGTTGCAAATCTGACGGGGAGGTTGTAGGCCATCGAAGAGCGTCTGGCGAAAGGCGATACGCTAGTTGAAAATACGTTCCTTGGTCAGGTACTGCGACACGAGGAGATGAGGGGGATGTCTTGCAAAGAGGAGGTCGCGATCTTGGGTCTTTCTTTCATCGTTGGGGCTGCGGACACGGTGAGTCCATGTTTTTCCTCCCTCGTTAAAGCTCCTTCGAGGATATACTGACGGATATGATGTGGTAGAGTCGGATGACCACGTGGGCGTTCCTGGAGGCCATGATGATGTTCCCCGAAGTCCAGGCCAAAGCTCAGCGTGAAATCGGCAAGTTTTCCCAACCTCGTCAAGCTTAAACATCGTTGCTGATGGAAATGGATACAAGACCAAGTCGTCGGTGACAGGGTACCGACATATGCCGACTTCCACCGGATCCCATACGTCCGCATGATGATGAAGGAGGTCTGGAGGTGGCGGCCGCCCGTCGCGCTGGGACATCCGCATATCACCGCGCGCGATATGCAGGTTGGGGAGTATTTCTTGCCAAAGGGGTCGAGGTTGCATATCAACGCATAGTATGCTTGTCTTCCACGAGGAAAAGGGGGAGGATGAGGCTGACGGAGGTGTAGTGCGATTAGTCACGATCCGGCGAGGCATGAGGATCCGGAGCGGTTCTGGCCTGAGAGGTTTAAAGATGATGAGACTACGGTAAGATCACTTTCTTGCCGCTATAAAGGGAGGTTGGATATTGATCGTGGACAGACGATGGAGAGTATCAACTCGCAAGACCCGACGAAGAGAGACCACTTCGCCTTCGGGGCCGGCCGTCGCGTTTGTAAGCTTCACCCCTCCGCCGCTTTCCCCTTCTCAAACTCTCAGTCAGACATACAAACATCTGACCACAACACAGGCCCCGGCTACCACGTCGCCGAGCGCTCCTTCGTCATCACCATGATGCGCATCCTGTGGGCCTTCGACATCGCCCCGGCGCCCGGGACGAAGACGCCGTTGAGCTTTGCCGATTACGCGGGGGCTTTGCCTGGGAATCCGGCGGAGGATATGCCGGTCAAGCTACGGTGTAGAGGGGAGGGCAGGAGAGGGGATGTGTTGAAGGCTTTTGAGGAGGAGAGTGTGGAGAGACCGGCGATGGTGAGTTCGCGTTCGCGAGAGCTTTGATTGAGTTAATATGAAGCTGACGGGTGGTGTGTAGGTGCCGTTGAATTTGGGGGAGAAGTCGATACCGACTCCGGATGAGTATTTGTGAACTCAAGGAATGGGTAGAAGGGAATGGGATGCACTGGTAATCCAAATGCGTTGATAACTGCTGCAAGTCAGCGACTCATCACAAATGTCGTGTAACACAGACGAATTTGGCGACACGCATTTGTCTCCGCCTATCATCGTGTTGGGCATCAATGCAGAGGTATCTCACACAAGCCAAGACCTTAGTGAGAAATCTACATATATATATATATGTAGGCTCCATCCTCTCCTTTCATGTTTGGTGTATGACAGCGAAACCAAACTCCCTACACTGATTCACTTTCGCTCACACCAATGGACGGCTCGAAATGTCCCGAGAATGGCAACTCCACAGACTGTCTTCTTCGCAACATACTCCAGTTTCTGAACAACTCTCAAGCGGTCGACGCTGCCAAACCCGAATATGAGCTATGGAACCTCTACGTCACGATAGTAGTCGGTGTCATCGCCAGCTATATCGCGTTAGGGTCATCACTAGAACGCGTATACATCCGATCTGCTTCGATATATAGGAAATGCAACAGAAACACTATTGGAAAATGGTTCAGCTTGAATCGATTAAGATGGAATTTAGCGACAATGAACTTTCAAGTCACAGCAAATACCCCTGTATTGGGGACAGCGTTCTTGCAGGAGTGGAAAAGGCAACAGAGCCTGGTCAGTAAACATGAAGGACACGCGAGCTTACCGCAGAGGCAAAAGCGATTCAAACCCGAAGCAGCATGGTGTGAGTTTCTCGAAGAAATTGGGCTGGATGGAGTAGATCCAGAAAGAATGAATGTGGGCAATGCTTTACGGCCAGTACTAGTCGATCACTTGCCCGACGATCTCGCAGCACCTCCTGCTTATGCTCAAATCGGGTTCATCGCTGCAGCTGTCGCATCCAAGGGGGTCCAAGTACGGTCTTTCGATTCGAAATCAGGAGAATCTACGTTCATCAGTCCTGCGTTCAGGTTTGACTTACGCCAACACGCAACACTTGGGCTCGTGGGAGTTTACCTACGACACCAGCCAAAGGACACTGAGGTACCCCCATTATGGGGAGAAATACGGAACAACATGGATTACGGGCGTGGTATCATTGGTGTCAAAACCAGGAAGACGATGGCCTCTTACGGAGAGAAATCGGCTCAAACGGAGGTTATCCATCTTCTCGATGGCATGAATCGCAACCAGATCTCAGACAGCTTGAGCGGCTCATCGGCAATTTTCTCAAGATATCCAGACTGCTTCTGGCCGCAAGAAAGCTCTCTGCCAAAAGACTTATTGCTGATCTTCAGCCTCTTTTTCTGCACCACCCCGGAGACGGTTCCAGGTCTCTTCCCGGTCTCGGCGCTGAAGACGAAACATCCGCTCACCATTCTTGCCTTGAACGGCAACTACTGGGCGAATGCTCGGCTGGGTGATTTCAGCGCCTCGACATTCTCCCCGGAAACGAACTTTTCCGAAGTTCCTCAGTGGAAGAACGTTTCGTGGTGCGCAAACGCCAAATCCTTGATGGATATCAAAGTCGACTTTGGGGGCAATTTTTGTGAAATTCGTCGTCAGATCGAAGACGAATTTCGAGTAACTAAAATTGCAACTCCAGACTGTGCTCCTAGCGTGCTCTCGGCCACACCAGGAAATACAGAAGATGTCACGGCAGCTCCAGGGCCAACAAATGAACTCAATGGGGACGTCATACATGACCAGAAGGTCTACAGAGGCAGTAAAACAGTTCTTCGTATCTGTTTGAAACTTCTCCACAATCCCGACGAGCTCGAAGACTGGTTTTCGAAAGCCTCGCCCTGGACCCGGGAGTATCTACGATTGCTATCCTTAGAACAACTCCGGCAGGTGGACGAATCGATAGAGGAGACGTCCCATGGTGCTCAAGACGAAGACCACTGCCGTGTCGCTACTTTGACCGCCAACTCTATGATTCTTTATAAGGCAATAGAGGTGTTAGACTTCGACGAAGGCAACGCCAAGGACTCAAAAGCGACAGCGAAGAACGGCGATACTGAGCAACAAGAATCTGACGAAGATCATCCTGTACGAGACAGTCCACGCGGCCGACATTGCGATTTGCTATCAGCGCTTCGGGACCTTCTCACCACCTTCAATCGGAACACAAATACCACCGAAGTTCTTGCGGAAACACGCAAGCCGAATGAAGAAGGCCTCAGCGACGAGCATAAGTCGGCGGAATTCAGGGGAGCGATTGACGACCCATTCGACCTGCAGTCGTTCTCCCGCAAGAATAAGAAACACCGCAGATGGCTCTCGCATCTCAGTGGCGGTCCACCAGTGACGGGCGATCAAGTATCCAACACGAACGAGGTCTTACGTAGGTTGGGTAGAATTGTCGTTAATAACATGGAGTCTGCGGATGACTGGCCGCTGCGAGGTCAGTTCAGTGGGGAAAGAGATCACGGAGGGATGAGAGATCTGGATGATATGGTCATATACCGCTGTCTGATACTGGTGCTGTTGTTCAGGACGGCACAGGACAGCACTGAGCTATTACGATCCGGGATGTGGGAGCATGTTATTCCTATTCTATAGATTACGAGAAGAACAATGGTTATATCGTAAACGGAGAAAATGTCGCGACGTCGTGTTACCGGGGGGCCAAAACGGAAAGAAGATCGTGTCATACAACATCTCGAGGAGTATATTTCCATGTAGGACATCATTCAAGTGCACTTGCCCGCGGAAAAAAAAAAAACGTTCAACATTCTCCTAGACAAGGATAAAGTCCTGTCTTCGGCCATCTTCTATCCATGCCGGGGCTAGGATGCGTCCCCAGCCCACGCGCTGGTAAACAGCTCTTCCGCAGCCTTCAGGATCGACCCGGCACACAAACAAGCACCACAGATAGAATGGTTCTGCCGTGTCCGCGGGCGGCATATACCACGGCGTTGCCGATTCCTTGAAAAGCGGCAGACAACTGATCGGCCCAGGCGTCTGGTTTATCTCATCGAAAGCACACCAGCCTACGTTTCCCCAACGTTGATCTACCAGCAAATAATGCTGCTCGTAATGGTTTGAGTGACCAGTGCACCAGCTGATGCTGCCCGGGGCCGGATGTCGCAGCGTTTCAGACTCCGCATCGATGGCTTGAAGATCCTCGAGGTAGGATGGGACACAGTCAAATGGCCCCGCGATGGCATCGACTTCTTTCACCAACGATGATTCAAAAAGCAAGGCGCCATGCGGGTTAGATTCATCATTTGGTCTAACACGACCGCACAACGCCTTCATTCCCGGCGTCGCCTCCTCGTTCTCTCTCATCAAGAAGTCCAGACTTCCTGTCACCGAAGCCCACGACCACGAAGGCGCCCCTTCCACATCACGCACAAGCTTGTCGTCGCCGTGTCCACTCCAGAACCAGGCAAGACATAGCGGCATGTCTTCTAGGAAGAGTCCATAGTGAGGCGTTTTTCCCTGCTTGCTACCCCATGAGGACGCAAGACCCTGTATTGCGATAAGCTTGTCAGACTTGTACGTGATCTCGCGTTTGGAATAACTTCGAATAATGTTCTCCCATGTGTTTGGAACCGGGTGAACAGTCTGTTTCCCGGAGTCATACTCGGACACAGCGACGGCAGGGTCACGGGAGCATGTCCAAACGACCCCCCACTTGGTGAAGTGTGCGGTTCTTCGAGCGAGAACATACTCCTGGAGGACCCATGCCCGAGTATTCAACGGCCCGTTGTCAACGAGACCCTTCGGCCCGCGGGAATTATAAGCCATAACTCCGCTACGGACGTCTCCTTTGTAATTCACCGGCGCGACGTCGTCTGGCAGCCTGACCCCGAAGAGGCCTTGACTCGAATCGGTAGCCGCCGAGGCTGCGATGACAAGGAGGGCTTCCTCGTAAGTGCGGCCCATGATGGCCGCTTCCGTCTTCCAGTCCGTCGCATCGTCCTGGACGATGCAGAGGGAATCGATCCACAAGTATTCGATACCGAGATCACAGCAGAGCGCACACGCATCTTTGAAGGTTTGCGAAAGCTTTGTCCATGGAATACCCTCCTTGTGATGGGAAAGATTGCCCTTGAGCGTGCAAGGGGGCCGTTTCTCAGGCGGGCCCCAGCAGTGGCTAAGCGCTGCATACTTGACTGCAAAGCCGGAGTCCGTTTCCATTTCCACAAGCCGTATCTGCGATGGCAAGTTCTCTCCTCTCGCAGTAACGACGTGCAGCAACCGACGAGGGGCTACGGATTTCCCTCGTTGTTCCACATCATGCCCTGAGAAAGACGTCCGACAATCTTGATGGCGAGATATACAGATATCTAGACGTTTTCTAATGAACTGACTAGGCCGTAGCGTATGAGAATCTAGAGCTACTGGGAGGTCAGACTCGACAATCTCGCCGCTCAGTGACGCAGGGCTCCCTGACTTGCTGGTCAGCAAAAATAAGTCTTCGAAAGTCGCTCAGATACGTGTACACGAAACATTTCAACTGACCTTTCTCAGCATACAGTGGGATCTCGAACTTCAGCTTCCCCGGCCCTACAACGTGGATGCCGCCAAACTTGGTAGGCAAGACTCTCACTGGCCGTACTTTCCATTCAAGAATTTCCCGATAGAACTTTACGGTCGTTTCTGCGAGATCTTCAACCAGCCCCGTTTCTGTCAAGTACGGCTCAGCTTGAGTGGATCTTCTGAATCGCAACTCTAAAAGACGACAGAAGGGGCATGCCAAGGCGACACCTTCGAAAATCTGGCGAAGGGTGGCTTGTGGAGCAGAGTCATCCGTTTCTGGATCCGATGAGTCGAAGGCGGGCGGTAGACGGTAGATGTCTAGCCTACTGCATCGCTCACACAAGTCCATGTTCATACCTGCGATTTGCAAGTAGAACCCGGATCAAGGAAGTGCAAGATACAAGTCGTAGACGCTGATGATGGGGGATGGTGAGGTTGAAAAACAGGTAATGATTACAGCCCAACGATATTGCCTAAAAGTATTACAACATACTGTTTGAATATTACGTAACCACTCTGCCCACAACTCTCTCATGAATGCCGACTATGGCTGGCGTAGGCCAAGTGCTGTAATTATGCCTCATCCTTGGAGATTCGGCTCTGCAACACAATTTTGCGTATTGACTCCATGATTCAATTCTTTATAAGGCTCAGAACGCGCTGACATTTAGTGAGCACAACTCCAAGGACGGCTATAGGTACAATATCCATCATTCAACACAATGAGAGTTCATAAGCCGAAAGATACAAAAGGTGAGGTCATCGCGAGTTACGAAGAAACAAAAAGGAAATAAACCCGTATCATACAATATCTTGAGGAATAACTTCCCACATGACGCGATAGAAGTGCAATACCCAGCATTAAGCAGAAAGATATATATAAGCCCTTCCAGGGGCCGAGAAAGCAACTATACATGTAATACTTGCCAGTTCAAACGATTTCATTACATACTAGACAAGGCAGCACCTCTTTGCCAAGGACGCAAAATATCCGGCTGAACGGATCACTTTAGTGATATACTCACTATGACTGAAAAGAGATTCAGCTAAAGAGGTTTTGCAGCCGCTATGTTATAGAACCAGACGCCACCAAGGTGAACTACAATGTTTACAAGGATTAAGATATGAAGTTCAAAGTTCGCACCTGGCTTGTCTCAATTACCTCGTTGACAGCCAAGGTGCGCAGAACTCTATTCCGGCCATCTATATCATAAGGGGTACAGAAAACAGCAGAATTTTCACACTCCAGAACATCCCATCCAACAATCACGTCGCCGAATCTCAGCCTCCAAGCCATGGAGGCAGCACCCGAGAAATCAGCAACATGTGCCTGTCCCGAAAGCGAAAAGGAGTCGAAACCTCCCCAACAAACGGAAGACTTGAGCCATCGGGATCTCGAACTCAAAGATGGACTGCGACCAAGCAAAATGACGGTGTCGAAGATACCCAAGAACCTCTACCCATCATGTCTCAGGGGACTTGAGATAGCGAATAGCGAGATCGTGAATTTTGCTGCGCCGATGAGAGGCCTTGATCTGCGGGAACCTGAAATAATATCCCCTTTCTTGCACACTCCGACCGAACATCGTTATTGTCTGCTACACAGGCCAGAGGCCAAGATGTTCGCCACCAAGGATTTAGACAAAGACGAAACGATTTACGAGACGAACAATCAGGTCTGGCCGAAGACTTACAGATTGAGGTTGGTCAGCCGACACTGGATTCCGGGCTGGCCGTACACCGCAGCCGTCGTGATTCATCTTCAGGGCCTTCCGCAACAGGTTCAGGACGGAGCCGGAATCGATTGGGATGACCTCCAACAGCACTTCGAATTCACGCGCAGCTGGTGTACCGACCAGGAATCTTGGAAATCCACGACGGAGTGGAAAAGGTTTCGACTAGGGGTTCCCAAGTGGGAATTGAGGGTACACTTGCAACACTATTCGCTGAAGCAGGTTCATCACCCGGATTGCCGAGGACTTATTGACCTGAAGAAGATGAACTTGTAAGACTTTTCCAATTGTGAATGTCATAGTATCTTGGACTTAACTAACATGCTTTGATTGCTCTTAGTCTCAGCATATATGAACGCATCGGTCTCGATCACCACAAGGAGGTTGTGAGGTTCGATCAGAACGTGATGTATGGCAACGATCTATCAGGCCAAGAGGTGCAGGCATGGAACACCGAAGATATGCCAGAGGAACTTCAGGCTTTCTTGAAGTCGTTGTATCCAACTCCTTAGTAGGGCGACTTAGGAGATAGACATCAGAGTACCCACAAGCATGCTTGCTACGTTGGAAGGTGGACCGTATGTAACTTTCCCAATTTTCTTCTTGAGAGAAGCATCCTATAGGAATTTGATATTGCCTCTTCATGTCTTTAGAGTGTTATTTGAATAGTCATTGCAGCCCTATCAAATTCCCCATCCCGCCAGTAACTGACTCTCAAATTGCCATCGCCATATTGCCCAGGTTCAATGTTGCGTCGTTTGACTGATCTCTCGGCCTGCAGTTTTGCGTGTTGTATGTAACCAGATCCAATCTGCCTCAGTGCTTGAACAGCGGCTGACGAGATCTATAGAAGACAAAGTAAAGGCCTCCATACTAGTAAGCTTGATTCCTCTCATCCCCGACGCTCCCATTTAATTTAGCACTCGCAAGCTAATTCTTGACCTCAATGAATAGCCACAAATTTCATCGGCTAAAATGACTAAATACGAACTCCATGCATAGGCCTAGTGCATGCGTTCGCTTGAGCATATCAAAATGGCCTAGTGGTAGTTCCACAGTCTCACAGCCTTGTAATAATATTAACGCAGATCGACGGAATCAGCTTTTACTTGCATGCCAAGTCACCATGCAATGCACGTCGAAGTAGCCATGAGTCTCACATCTCCGCCTCACCGCATGTTGGGCAGCAATGCAGATCTAATCTTGCTCATATAACCGACTCAAGCCCCGATCCGAAGTTGCTTCCAGGCAGGTTCTGGCACTCCCACACATCGCCGCTCACACGCATATCTTTTTCCTTACACATCTTGTTCTCATCCGCTTGTACCATGAAAGTCGACGGTTCGACTTGTCCTGAGGACAGCAACTCAACGGATTGCCTACTTCGGACGCTACTTCAGCTTCTGAACGACAACAGAAAGGCTGAGGACGCCAAAACCGACTGGGACCCTATCACTTTTGCCTTTACTGCAGTTATTGGTGTTATTGCTATTATCTTTGCCTTTATCCCCATTATTCAAACTCTTCTTGCGGCTGGGAAAGGAAGACGAAAGACTAGCAGCCGAGCCATCGGAAAATGGTCACAGAAGAGGGAATGGCATTGGAACGGCGACGAGTGGACAGTCGAATTCACCGCATGGACTCCTGTCATCACGGAAAATTCGCTCCGCAGGGCAGCCCAACGAAAACCAAACGACCTAGAGAAAACAGGCCAACCTGCATCTCGACATGCATCCGCAGCTACATGGCTTGGATTCTTTCAAAGGGTCGGTCTTGATAACATTCCGATGCCTAAAAACCATGAGGGCTTGCGGTCCGTTGTTCCCGACTATCTTCCGGATGATCTCGTTGCTGCTCCGGCGTACGCACAAGTTGGGGTGATTATTTCGGCTGCTGCCACAACAGGAGTGCGAACGCTGTCAATCGACAGGCAAACGAATTACCCCCTCATCATGGGCTTTGATTACCAGTTTGACTTCCGCCAACATCCATTACTTGGTATTGTTGGGGCATTTTCACGGAATGAATATGACTCACGGGACGATACCTTACTGGTTCCGACCCCAGACGAAATTCTAGTAGCGTTGCGCTATGCGAAAGGTTACATTCGAACATGTTACCGACACACAACAGAAGAACACGATGAACCAACCAGAGATGGCCCGAATGAAATTGATGTTTTCGGAGATAATACGGATTTAGTCTTCGATTCGATTGCAAACGACACATATTGTGAGAAGGCTTTTACACAATATCACGACATGATTCTGCCAGACTATGATCTCATGAAAGAGTACTGCGAGCCGATTTCCATTCTTTTTTTGGCCAGTCCATTAGAACGTCCTCCAGCCTTATTTCCAACTTCGAGGCTCAGATATACGCATTGGCTCACAGCACTTGCATTAAACGGGAGATTTTGGGCCGAAACACCACTCCAGCAATTCAGCAAAATAAGACTCGCAGACTGGCCTTCATTTCAAATACCCCCAGATTGGCTCTTCCCGTTTCGAAGGGGCGAACAAGAAGCGGCATCCACAGGAGATCAAGAAACCGGTTTCTCAGATTTCTTGACCCAACAGCAGCAATCGTTTGCGACAAAGACAATCCATGATCAAGATTCACAATCTGGACGTCTTGTCGTCCTCAACATGTGCATGAAAATGCTCCACGACCCACACGAGCTCCGATGGTGGTTTGCAATATCAGATTTGGGAACTAGGAAATACTTGCGATGGCTTGCTCTTGAGCAAATCAAAATTTTGGACACATGGTTGAAAGCCAGACACCAGAAAGAACACGATGGCCGCTGGCCATTGCTTTGCAGCACCACCATTGTTATTTTACAAGCAGACAAAGCTATTCGCGAAGGCATGTTGGCGGATTGGGTGACAGACGAGCGGCCACGCAGCGATGGAGAAACCGTGCGCAACCGCCATTCTGATATGTTGCAAACGCTTCGACGATTTCTAGATTATATGGCTCTTGATGACGCATTTGAGGTGGTTAATCTTTGGAACTCTAAATGGAGTCACAAGCGGGATATGTGGGGTGTCGACGATGCGGCGGAAAAAGTCATCTGGGATGAGATTCAATCAGAACTTTCCGTCGAAAAGTTGGCTAAGTTTGAGATTTACTCCAAAACGGTTCAAAACCAAAGCGCCTTCATCAGAGAACTCGGATTCAAATTGGGTCAATTCACCGATGTAGAGAGGCTCTGTTCCGTGTACCAATTCTTACATAGGCTCCGTGTCGTAGCATCACCGAAGACCGAGGAAGCAAGCGATCGGCAGACGTTGGACGACATGATCATTTTTCGGTGTCTTACTGTAGCGCTAATTTATCGAACGGCAGAAGACAGCGGCCCGATGCTAGAATCCGGCTTGTGGGAGCATGTCGTTCCTATCTTGTAGCATCCAGTAGAAATAGCACTGAGTGGCTCTGATTTTTGCGCAGCCGTTCGAGCAGCTTTGATGCTGATTTCCATAGACAGGTATGCGAGTGAAATAGTCATAAATGAAATCTAAGGTTTGATGAGTTGCTGATGTTCTGAAGTACTTACACCATTGGCAAAGCTAGGCTTTACATCAGCTTTGCTGCCCACCGATGGATCGGATAGAATTTTCCTTCAGCTTTCATTTCAGTTGCTGATACCTACCATGGAGAGCACCTTCATAAGAAGCATTTGCCGCAGAGCATCATCCTTTGGGAGTGTCGCGATCAAGCCAGGTGCAACAAATGCAATATGCCGCGCAATACAATGCAGCCACCCTTATAATCTGGTCATTGATATCAAGTCAGGTGCAGAGACGAGTATTTCAAACACAATTCGACAAAGTGAGTTGGACACAACAAAGAAACAGTAGCACTATGATTATTATTCTTAGTAACGATGCAAGTCTCAAAGAACCGCATAGGGTTAAGCAAAAGGCCAGTAAGCCAGCTCGTAGATATATCCCGTCGTCATCTTGGCGTGCTGCAGCGCGTGGTCGAACGAGACATGCTCGATGGTGTCGTTGGGGGTGTGGATATGCGGGTTGTGGTTTCCGAAAGGCGCCTCGAAGATGAACGACGAGGGGTAACCGTTACGGTTGGCAGAGGCGTGGTCGGAGCATGCGTATCCGCAAACAGTCTCTTCGTACGGAATATCGGTGTACTGTTCACCTTGTCAGCAAATATCTTCCTAACAGAATCACGTAGAAACTCACAGCATCGATCACACGCTTCATGTACACAACCTGATCCGCGTCCGTCCAGTCCGTAACGACACCAAACCTCTCAACGCCATCGCGGCCAACATACCCAACCATGTCCTGGTTCAACATCGAGACAACCTGCCTGTTGCTCGCGCGATACTGCGTAAAGATGTCCTGGCTCCCCAGTAACCCAGCCTCCTCGGCGCCGTACCAGTGGAACTCGACCGTGTTGAGCAAATCCCCCGACGCGATCCTCGGGTCCGAGAGGATGACGCGCAACACCTCGAGAATCATCACAGACCCAGATCCGTTGTCGTCGGCACCAGGCGCGCGGCCGGCTCCGCGGTCTCCCGAAATCACGGAGTCGAGATGCGCGCCCACGACGACGGTCCTCTGGTTCTGACCCGGAATGGTTACGATGATACTGGGCTGGGACCAGGCAGTGTGCCTGACGTAGCGCACGTTGGCGGTGGGATGTCCCGCGGCGTCGACGATGGCGCTGATCTGTCCGTGCAGCCACTCTGCCGACTCCACGCCGGTACGGGAGAGGTAGTAGCGGTTGTGGAAGGCCGAGAAGCGCTCGAGGTGAGCCTGCATGCGGTCCTTGCTGAGCTTGGGGATCAGAGCTTCGACGTGGCAGGTCTGGTTCATCGCCGTGGGGAAGGGCAGGGCAGCGGCCAGTTTGAAGGTGGTCTCGGAGGCGACGGAGGCGACGGAGGCGACGGCGGGGACGTCGGCCCATTCAGTGATGTCGAAGAAGTGGATGCGTTTCTGTGTGGCCTGTTAGCGGTTGTGAGTAGGTGAGGTTAGGAAGGGGGTTGCGTACGTCCATCATCTCCCACTTCTGCTCCTCCGTCACGGTGACGGTCTCGCCGGGAGCGATCTCGAGGGTGAAGAGCTTGTTCTCATCACGCTTGATGGTCTCGGCGGTTGCGGAGGAGGCCGCGAGGGCCGCGAGGAGAGTGGTGAAACGCATGACGGCGGCTCAGCGAGGGACTTGGGGATAAAGAGAGGAGGCTGTCGAAGGGGAATGGGAAGTTGAAGTTGGGGGCCGGCTGTTGATATACTCCTCCACCCAGGAGGAAGCTACATGGCCATCGCGCTCCTGCGTGGTCGTCGTGTATAGCGCCTCGCAGTTTCCTCCGAGTAATCCTGCCAAATCTTCGCTGAGCGGCTGAGCGGGGAAAGAACCGCCAGCTTGAACCATGCACGCCGAGAAATGTAACGGGCAGTTGGTAAACCTCTGGGCTAGGCGGTGACCCGAAACCTAACGTTGAACGGCTTCTTATGACGAAGGATTCACGCGATGATTGATGGGAGATCTGCAGGTACGGCTGTTGTGTATCCAATAGTCTGATGATCCCAGTTGATGATGAGTAGCCAAGTGCTTGATGACCTTGGCGCGGCCCTCCAAGCTCGCGGACTGAGTTGTCAATTGAGTTTCCCCGCCATCTCCAATTCTTTGACTTGAAATGAGGAGATATTTCAAGTTGACCACTTTCTGGACAACGTACATTATCCCGTTCGTCCCCTTCCAAACTTCTAGCATCCTCCATTCCAACCGAGTCCTCCAAACCAGACATAACCTTCTCCCAATTGTGTCTCTTCTTGTCTTCGTAGAGACTTTCCGGATATCCGCATCTCAACTTTGGTTTTGCCAGTGTCGCGCAGGGTGCCGACGCGCCAAGAGCGGCTGTAATTGGAAGGTGACTTTTGGCCAAGAACGTCGTGGTGCGGGGAATCGAATTGAGGGGTCGAGAGGTTGAAAGTCTGCCTGGCGAACTCGTCTTACTTGCAGTTGGAACCGAGCATATCCCAGGCCGCCAAGTAACCGTATATCGCGACAAGAAACAAAGGTTCCATGCGTAATCGGCGGGGACTGACCGGAGGCCGTGGCGCCAGATACTCGGGCGAGTTCGAGAACTTTTGTTTCCAGTCGAGCATGGAACATAAGCCGGGCGGTGGGCCGCTGCGCTGCAACAGAGGTTTGTTGGCCAAGCTTCTCGTCTAGGAAAACCTGCCCAGGAGGCTCGTAGTAGTCGGATGTGCCATTGTTCTCATCCGTCCGACAACAAAGGCTGCGTCTCAGCACTCGCAATGCTGTCAGCATCTCCCCCATAACCACGAGTTGCGATCCAGAGTAAAAGAAGCTGTCCCAGAGCAAAGAAGCCGTTATTCACCACGGGCCATCCGGTCAGACGGTACCACTCATCCCAAGATGGCAGGTAGGGAGGGTACTTGACCCGAATCATCCAGGAAATCGCCAAGATTGCAAATACGACCGCTTGTCCGGCTAAACCTGGCAAGCTCAAGGCACCGGGGCTTCCTCTCTTTCGTGTCATGCGAATTTGGGGGATGACCGCCGCAAGGATGAGTATGCTGGACAGCGGCAGGAAGAAGAGGTAGTGAGCGAAGAGGAAAATCTCTTGAGCCCAGCGTCGGGGCTCTGACCGAGGGTCCGGGTTGGCGGCGTCAAATACAACCGGGACGAGAGAGATGGAGAGGACGAAGATGTAGGTGGCCGATGTGATGTCCCTGGTCAGTCGTCTTCCATCGGTGGCCGAGTAGCGGAAGCAGAGGATGAGTCTAACCACGCATTAGTCTGCTGAAGGTTGGAAGCCAGGACGGCTACTCACAGGACAAGCGAACAAATCCAGACGATCGCGAGCTGGGCTAGGTTGAACCAGTCGCCCGCCGTGGCCGGGTTATTGACGAAGACATCCTCCCTGGGCGAGCCGGTGTTGTTGACATTGAGAAAGAAGCCGACGGTTAGTTGTTCCGTCGCGCTGATGAGATTGAACAAGACGTAGTAGAGGGAAAGCCCTTCGCTGTCGCCCTGTTCGAGTATGCGATGGTACTGAGGGAGATATGACACAACGGTTACTGCAGTCAAGGCTCTAATGGAAGTCAGCTACTTCTGTCGGAGGACCATGAGGGACAATGGAGATATCTTACACTCTGGCCCAGTCGGGCAGAATATTCGGCACCATAATCTCAGAAGCGATGTCGTCGTTCTCGTGTCGTCAGTCTCTCAGCGAGTTCGCTCTCGGTGCCGGCGTTGCGGTCGCGTCTCGGATTACAAGGCCGCGCTAGTCGAAAGCCGGAAACTAACTCGACAATAAAAACACAGCGGTCGAAGACATTGAAAACGGCGAGGACTTTACGTCTATTGTTGCCTGCGGGCTGCCTGTGCGTTTGGCGAGGCCTGCTGATCCTGTAGGATTCCTCCATTTCGCCACGTGGGACGAGCGAATCATGGGCCGCTCAAGGGGTCAGCTGCGCTTTATGGCCGAAGATCGGATGCCTTCTTGCTGCGCATGCCTCAGAAAGCGATTGAAAGTCGGTCATTTTGTGGTGATCTTGAATCGAAGAAGGATTGCTGCATGGTACTGCGCGGCGAATTGATATTTGTCATCTTGAATCGGCAAAAAAGACAAGAATAAGGAGGATGTAGGCGACGAAGGCGACCAGAGCAGCATAGACGACAAGGAGATGACAAGGAGAGCAAAAAAATAACAAGGACATAGAAAATAACAAGCACAGCAAAGACGGCCGCGTCTTTATGCGATCATGTTAGGAAGAAAGAAGATGAAGGAGAGAAAGCTGGGAGCTGATCTGAGGCCTTTGGTGGTGGTGAGAAGGTGCCCCACTATTTGGCTGAGGACCTGGATGGTCTCACAAGGAGCAAGATCAGTGTCATCAACACCAGCTTCACTTGGTATCCAGATGGTGACAAAACGGCGAAAAGCGCTGACAAAAACAAGCAGCATCACTGCCCTGAGGTGGTCAAAGGTGCCAAAGAAAGTCTATGATTATCATTCCAGGAAGCTCTATGCATTATCGGACTACTTTATTAAGACTGGAGCTCAGTCGCCTTATGACCTCGGCATAATTCATGCCCCAGAAATATCAATCCATCCTCGCTCCCAGTCCGAATCTCAGTGCAATCATCTCGAAAACTTTTCCCCAAAACCAGAACCAGTCGAAAGAAATCCATGCTCATGGCCAAATCTCCCAGAAGCTGCCAACCTTGCTAACCCATCGGTCCTCGAAGTCGTAGCTTAAGAAGCCCTAACCGCGCGTGCGACGGTGGGGGTTGTCAAGCTTCTCGATGTCGAAGCTCAGATATCCAACTCTCCGATGGGGAGGTTGGGGTTGCGCCAGAAGAGGCGGAATTCGCCATCGAACTGCTCACCACTGTCGTCGCCATCGATCCAGCACTTGACGCCCATCCGGGCCTTGGTACCGCCGTTAGCGGTCTGGCAGTTCTCCCAACGGACAGCATTGTCGACAAATCTGGTCATGTCGTAGTTGTTGACGATCATCTTGGGCTTGGTAGTCTGGAACATGATGCCGCAAGTGCCGTGGGCGGCGAACTTGGCCCAGTAGTTGAGATCGCGTTCCTTAAACTCGATGAGGGCGTTGCTCTTGGCGACGAAGTTGAGAAGCTGCTCGCAGTCGGATCGGCGGGGAATGGGGGTGTCGTCCCAGGTGGAAGACAGCCAGGTGGGCTTGCAGTTGGGGCCCTTGATGTTCCAGTCGGTGTGGATGAGGAAGTGCTTGGAGACAGTATCGTTGATGATGGCACTCAAGTCGGTAGAGTTGTCGACAGAGGCAACTTGAGCATGGCTGTGGAGAACGTAGGCGGAGGTGTTCTTGGGGATCATCTCGAGGGAATCGACGACAAGAGGAGCAACGGGTTCAGCGTCGCGAGCCTCGACGGTGGAAGGAGCGACGGGCTCATCGGCACGGACAGCGAGGGCGGCAGAGGCAGCGCGCTCTTGGAGGCGCCAGTACATGGGGGCCTTGCCGACGCTGCCTTCGACGACGGCGCAGTCGGCTTCACCAGAGGCAGAGATGCGACCATTGACGGTCCAGGCCTTGCGGCTGAGGGTTCTGTCGAGGAAGTTGGCGACGTCGGCGTTGCTGAAGACGAGGTCGCGGTCGAAGGTCTTGGCGCGGAAAGCACAGGTTCCAACCCAGAAGATCTCAGCCCAACGAGCGGTGTCGGCGTCGCCATCCTCGAAGTAGACGACGACGTTGCGGTTCTTGATGTAGTCGTGAAGAGCCTGGCAATCATCGCGAAGAGGCTTGCCGGAGCCCTCCTGCTGGGTGGCGACGACCTTGCAAAGCTCGGCGTAACCATTGACGCCCTCGATCTTGACGTGCTTGGCGACCTTGGGAGGCGCGTTGTTGAGGTCCTCGCCGACGATGCCGAAGCCGGCGCCAATGTTGAAGGTCACATCAGAGCCGTTGGAGGCAGTGAAGGTGAAGGCGCGAGAGATGGCAGTGGAGACCGGCATGGCAGAGAGGGTAGTAGTGACACCAGCGCCGGGGACGACGTTGGCACCAGCGACGCCATCGCGGGGAACGACGAGGGCGCTAGCGGAGGCCGCGAAGGCAAGAACGGGCGCGAGAGCTTTGCGCATCGTGAGATTGAGTGAGTGGTGATGTTGCGGGTAGTGAAGGAAGCAAAGCAAAGCAAAGCGAGAGTTGTGAGGGTGAGGATATCTCGAAGGATGAGGGAAGGGGGACGCTCAAGGCGCGATGGTGAAGGGGGGTAGGTGAGAGACAGTTGAGATGGAGGTAAGCCTGACTCAAGAAGTTTTTGTGAAGGAGAAAACTCTGTGGGTGGTGGGAGAGGGAGAGAATTCTTTTGTCTGTGGCCTCGAGTGAATTATTTTATCGAGGTGGGTAGGGTTGCTGGGTGGACGCGGGACGGGATGGCCTCACTTGGGTGGCGTAGCCTCGCTTAGATAAGAAAATAAAAGGTCGTCAGGTCAGGTGACTGTTGAATTATTTTGAAGATGGAAAGAAGGAAGGTGCGGTCGTGCTGGGAGGTGCCTTCCGTGCATGGAGGAAGGACGAGAGGTCGGTCAAGTTTGCTTCCACGCGCTGGTAAAACGTTGACCGAAGAGAAGGCGCGACGCGTTAAGGTGAATGGATCGTATGAGTGAGAATTAAGGCTTACTTTAAGTGGCATCAATGCAGTTACTTAGATGGATATCTGTGGTGAATCATGCATGATGGACTCCCTCAGGTCCAAGATTCCTACGATGACTTCTTCGATGTGGCAACCTGCAGAGGCCACCAAACCTACATTTCTTTTTCATATATCCATGTCAAAAGATGTAGAAATTGCTGCTGTGGTATGGCAGACCGCAGGTTAAAGACTGGGCTGCTTAGATCTATCTAATCGGGATGGCTTCCCTCAGCTGTTTGAACATGTGATACAACGCAAGGGGTGCATAAATAACAAAGGACACAACCTATCTGCATACCGGAGCGATCAAGCTGTCAGTTATGAACAGCATGCCATATTGATGCAATATGATATCTGCGTCAGCTAATCTAGATCTATCCGCTTGCTGGGTATTTAAAAGTGCATAGATACGAGGACGACGGCAGCATCTGAGCTGCAGTACTAGCAACACTTTGTAAAGTAGTTGGTCTGTAATATCACAAGATGAACAAGTTCAAGGCCGAGCAGCAAGAGAATATGTGGAACATGAGACAATCAATTATGTTGATTCGATAAAAATGCTGAAAAGCTCGGCATACATCGTGGTACTACGCCAACTCCAAGCTTTGCTTTGCTCTAATGTCCCCCGCCGAGAACCCAAGCATGAACTCATACGCTCCTTCCACAAATGTCTCTCCCTCAGTACTAACATCCCAAATCCTCAAATCGTTCTTCGAAACCACCATTTCCACGATCTTGCTGCCACCAGCCTCAACTTCAACTTTGCTGAAAGCCTTGAGCAGTTTCGGCGGCTCCTTCGCTGCGTCAGGGTAACCAACGTACAACTGAACAACCTCCTTTGCGTTGAATGCACCTTCGTTTGCCAGAGTAGCTGTGACAATAACAGCACTGTCATTTGCTGATGTTCTCAAATCCCATAGGGTGAAGTTGGAGTACGTCAATCCGTGTCCGAACGGAAACAGGGGCTGAACACCACTCTCGTCAAAGGCCTTGTATCCAACATACAGCCCCTCAGTGAACGGGACGTCGATGTCCGTATTAATCTGGATCGTATCATGCAGCGCCGCCGGGAATGTCATGGGCAACTTCCCACTCGGACTGATATCCCCGAAAAGCAGACGCTCCAGAGCCAGGCCGACCTGCTGGCCAGGATACCAAATCTCCATCACCGAGTCGACGTCCTGAATCCAGGGCATCAGGACAGCAGAGTTGGTGTTGAGAACCACGACCGTCTTCTTCGACACGCCTGTGATACGACTGATGAGAGCATCCTGGTCACCCGGGAGAGATAGTCCCAGTCCGCTATCCGCGCCCTCGGATAATCGGTCGGAAGCGAAGACGATGCTGATGTCCGCCCACTCGGCCAACTGGTCGGCGGCAGAGTCGCGCGTCTGGTTGCCGATGTCTACACCGAGAGTGACGCCGTACGCGCCGGTGGAGAGCGAGTAGCCCATGTCGTACTGGAGCACCATCTTGACCTCGGATCCGGACTCCAGATACGCGGTGCCCTGTACGTAATTTCCAAAGTTGGCATATGACATGTTGGCGACTAGCTTGTCGTCCAAGTACAGAAGCGCCGTTCCTTGGCCGTACATGGAGAAGTGGTACGTGCCGGTCGTGTTGGGGAGGAAGACGCCCTCGTACACGGCCGAGAATACGTCCGGGTAGGCTTGCCACAACTGTGACGGATACGTCGCGATGGTGATGTTTGAGACAAACTCCGTCGTGTTGATGGGCCCAGAGAAGTCTGTCGTTGTGTAATACGTCGCATTTACTCCTCCGTTTTTGAACATCGACGAAGGAATGGTGGGAAACTGTCCAGTGCCGGGATACGCCTCCGAGTACTTAACAGAGATATTCTCCGCGCTTCCGCGACGGTTGATCGCGTCAAAAGGTGCCTGGACTACCATTGTCGAGTCAATGACGAAGCCGCCGTGGTTCTCCGAGACCTGGTTCTCGGTGGTTGCGCCGACTCCGAACACGGCGATCTTGGAGTACTTGGCCGGAGACAAAGGAAGTGTGCTCTGCTCATTCTTCAACAGCACAGCGCCGTCTTCCACCATTCTCTGCGCAAGGTCGAGATGTTCCTGGGTGCGAACATGCGCCGTCGAGTCTCCCGTGACAGGATCGTCGACCTGTCCAAGCTTGAACATGTACCGCCACACCCTCTTGACCATATCATCAAGACGGTCTTTCGGAATCGAACCATTGTTCACAGCCTCGACCAGCAGATCCCCGTAATATGCGGGGAAACCGTAACTATTCGTCAGATCCCCGCCCGGCATCGAGATATCCAACCCAGCCATGACAGCCGGCACGGTGCTCCGCGTCGAAAAGTACCAATCCGCAACAACAAACCCCTCAAACCCCCAGTCCTGCCTCAGCGTCGTGTTCAAAAGCCAGTCATTCTCACACGTAAACTCGCCGTTGAGACGGTTGTACGAGCACATCACACACGCCGCGTCCGCCTCCTGCACGCTCGCCTTGAACGCCGGCAGATACAACTCGTGCATCGTCCGCTTGTCCACCACGGCGTTGACGGTAACCCACTCCGGCCCGAGACCGAAGCGGTTCGTGTCCTGGTTGTACGCGGCGAAGTGCTTCGGACACGCCAGTGCGCCCTGGCTCTGGATCCCCTGGGTGACGGCGACGGCCATGCGTGCGGTGAGCCACGGGTCCTCGGAGAGCGTCTCGGCGGCGCGGGCCCATAGTGGAGAGCGCAGGATGTTGATGGTCGGGGCGAGGACGATGTTGCGGCCTTTGCCCATGTGCTCCTGCGCCAGTGCTTGGCCGTACTCGTACTGCACGGATGTGTTCCATGAGCTGGCTGCCATTACTGGAGCCGGGAATGCGGTGACGTTGTTCAGGGAGTTGCCGACGCCGGCGGGACCGTCGCCCATGCAGATATCTGGGATGCCGAGGGTGTCGTTGCCCGCGATATGGCCAATACAGGCGTTCACACCGGTGCCGTTGTCCGTCAGCTGGGATTTGGTTAGTTTCAAGACGTTTTATGGCCTTACAAGGGAAACCAACCTCGGTGTCGCCTTGGACCATGGCATATTTCTGGGTGTCATTGAGTTGGGCGATGAAGGAGTCCAGACGCTCCTCAAATGACAGACTCTTGTCTAGCCATGGCTGTATTGCGAGGGCGGTTGATGCCCACGAGGCAAATGCGAGCTTAGTCTGAGGCTTCATGGCGAATGCTCTCGGAAGGAAACTTCATGAACATCTTACAAGTCAAGATCATCATGGGGCAGAACCTGAAGTTTTGAACATAACGGATGCAGTGCCATTTGCACGCGGAGTATCCGCCATCGGCTATCGATATCCTTGTTGTTTAATTTGGTGCTTGTCAACCCCGTGATCCTCCAAGCTCGGGGGTGGAGAATAAGTCGGTGTGGGCGTCCCCGACGACCGGGCTCTCAACGATCGCCCCTTCAACTTTTGAATGCCGGCCATTACGACGCCACGCACCCGGTTGATCAACAATGACTTCCAGATGATCGGCCTTATCATCGTTCCTGCAGTGTGTGGAGAACAATTATCAGGCTAAAGAAAGTGAAAATTAGATTTCTCGGGACTTATGTCGACGCATTGGCCTTAGCTGCAGGGATATCCTCGACTTTGACCCGAGCAACACGACGACGTTGATTCACGTCTTGCAGGAAACATCACCATCACTTCAATCCTGCCATGACTAAATGCAAAAGAGTACATGCGAATTGAAGTACTCCGATCCCAAATTATCAATGTGAAGTCCACTGCTCAACTGGCCGAGGCTGAGATCGAGTACATGTATTATGAGTTAACGATACTCGCCTCCGCAATCACCCATGTCCTCGAACATCTCCAGCCTACTACTCCTCTTCAACACTTCCTCAATCGACGCGCGATCATTCTCGTCAAGCGACCACCCCAAGCTCGCCGTGTTCTCATCCGTGTGCTCACTGATACCCATCCTTGCCCCGACGATGACGGCCCCGACGTAGGGGAAATCCAACACCCACCGGATCGCAACAGTGGAAACGCTGACGTGATGCTTAGAAGCAATTGTTTTCAGCACGCGCAGCAATTCTTGGAATAACGTCCAGCCACCCCAGCTCCGGATCATGGCGTAGTACTTGCGCTGGCTGGGCGTGATCGACTCGGCGTAGAGGTCGGGCTCGTCCTTGCCCAGCCACTTCTCGGCGAGGAAGCCACCGCACTAACAAAGAAGATCAGAATCATAAGAGCACTTTAGTCAAATAGGACATAACTTACAAGAGTTCCGTACGTAAGAAGTTTCACGTCATGCTGCTCGCAGACCTTGGCCATGCGCACAACGGGGCGAGAGTCGATCAAAGAGAACTACATGCCGTTTAATATCGTTTCCAGTGTGAGAAGATCAATGTTTTGCAGCTGAATCTTACCTGGACTTGATTTGAGTAAACCTTGATGCCATTGTCCAGCACTGCTTCGAGATGTTTGGTGTCGAAGTTGCAGAGACCAAGGGTAGACACCCGCTCATCTTCGGCCAAGAAGCGCAAAGCGTCGAGGTACTGAGAGTCGTCATACTGTTTGTCGGTTAGATTCCTGGCTTAACACACATCATGAACCTTGGTTCGACTCACGAACTGCCAGTGGAACTGGAGCAGATCAACCTTCTCCGTTTGCAGTCTCCTGCATCTCTCGGACACATTGGCCTGCACAGCCTCGCGGGTGACTTTCATCGGGCTGAAGACGCAATACTTCGTCCCAGCAAAAGTGACACCTTTCAGAGGATACAGATAGTTGAAGCGACCCTAGTCATATTAGCCAATACCGCAGAAACCATCATATGTTGTATCACACTTACGAAGACTATTTCTGCGTCGCCGTAGTGGTCAGCCATGTCGAAGGCCACCATACCAGCTCGGACATATCGAGAGAATTGGGCAATGATCTTGGAGGTTGGCGCTGAACCCCATGACGGACTAGACATTTGCCAAAGCCCCGAGAAGATTCGCGGTAGTTTTCGTCCGTTCAGCTCGAAGGTCTCCTTCGCGACTGGCGGAGCTGAGTGTAAGTCTGCATCAACTGAAGCCAAGTTGACAGTCTCCGGCGCAGGGATTCCGAGAAGGATGCAAGTCGCCGTGAGCGCTCTCGTGTAAGGATACTCCAACTGGTTTCCCCCGGTCGCCGTCTTGCAGTCGATAAGAGATTTGTGAAGGCCGTTCAAGATACTCTTCTCCTCGTCCAGAAGTTGTGTTCGGCCAGCACTGGATAACGTCTTCTCGACTGCGGTCACCAGTTGCACGATATCGCCGTCAACCGATGCCAAGAAGTCCTCAACTCCATCGACGGGCTCGGAGCTCTGGAGCAGATCAGCACCCTGGACAGCCAACTTGCTCATAAGAGTAATACTCTCATGGCTGAGACCGCATCCCAGCATGCACCGAATTGTTTTCTGAGTATCTTTCAGCGCAGATATGTCTGGCTTAGATGCTTGTTTCGAGATCTTCGGCAGAGCGACATCTTGGATGTACGTCTTGGTCTCGGCCTCAAAGGTTGAGGTGACGTCAGGGTGAGATGCCAGTAGCGACCGCAAGACAACGCGGAGACCTTCAGCTGAGATGTTGGTGATGATGGTGTCGGTCATCATGTTAACGTGGGCCGTTTTGGCTCTGCGGCCATCCGAACCTGCCGCCATTTTGACACGCTGTTGAGGCAGGCTGCGACGAACTGGTTGGTAACCGTTTGACTATCAAGCTTCTCGCTCATTCGAACTCGTTTTGATAGCGAACAACGATGTCGCGCTTCCTCAAAGACAATCTTCGAATCAGAGGCTGTTCCTTTGGCGGAAGACGGGAATAAGCCGACGTCTGCAGCTGCGGAGATCCCCCTGCGGCCGGCAACTAAAGGTCGTCATAGATCACCGGCGGCACCCTGCTATCGAAGTCGACAGGGAACCCAGCGGAGGCGGGGAAGCGGAGGGGACTATTTGGGCATAGCGTTGATAAGTTATCATGAGACACGGCCATGGAACCTTGTCTTGAAGAAGGGCGAACGATACCGGAGGTGGGGTTCGCCGAAATTGAAGTCGGACTTCATCCGATGAATAAGATGCCGGCGTCGGCAACAACAGGTTCGCCCTCCAGATCGCTCTACCACTGCTGATTTGCTGGACCGAAACGATGGAAGTCCTCAACGAGACCCCACGTGGCCCAAAGTCCGTGTAAGACCCTTGTGCGGTGGATTGAATGTGTCTTTGCTGATGAGGAATCGGTGGACCAGGAGCAAGGCCTGCTTACAATGCAGGAGTGTGAAGATGAAATGTGTGACTGGGGAGAATGAGGCGAGGTGTGAGCGTTGTACTCGCAAATCGTTGACATGCGTCTTCCAAGATCATCGACGAGGAAGAAAGCCCGGGACGCGGTTTGTGGTTATCCTGTCATGTGTACAGATACATTCAACCCGCTGACTTGAGGCCCAGTATTGCCAAACGAAATCCTGTCTCTTCCAAGGTTTTTGATGAGTTTACAACGCCACGGCAACCAACATCCGTCGGTGAGAGACAAGATGAGACAACAGGAAGATCAGCCACTGAAAGAAGCCCGGATTGGGATAACGGAACACTCCAGCCAGCTGGAATATTCAATACTCAGACAACGCAAAAGGGCTTCTGTCTGGGAAGTATCTTGAATACGTCTGACTCCACGCCAACTTCAGATATACAAGAAGACGTCCTGACAACCTCATCCGATGATCCTGTCCAGCTTGGCTTGGTTAATCTGTCTATCGCTTCATCATTATTCGAAAAGTATGTTCAAGCCTGTCACGGCCATCTTGGCCATGCATAGTTCATGTGTTGACGGCCATAAGTTTCATGAAGACTTTGAACCCCTACATAAGCCAACTAGATCCTCAGCTTCATACCTTCAGTTACGTGAGGCAACGGTCCTCGTTTCTCGTGACTACGGTACTTGCAGCTGCTGCTAAGGCATTCAATCCCGCTCTTCATAAGAAACTTCGCGACCATGCCGAAGACATGCTTTCAGATAACCTCCGAAAGGGCTCCAAGTCAGTCGAGACTGCGCAGGCCATTATGATTATGACGTACTGGAAGGATCCCGACGACACCCGGGCATGGATGTATCTAGGGTTTGTCATCAGGATGGCCATGGAGCTCGGATGGCATAGATTTACTCCATACAGTTCCAAAGATCAGGAGAATCTCGACGAAGTTGGCGCACGCGAAGTCAGGAATACTGAAAGAACTTGGCTGGTGTTATTCGTCTATGATCGAAGGTGAGAACACCAACGCAGTGAAATCGAAGACGTTCGTTGGCTGACCGCACACCTAGCATGAGTCTTCAAACAGGAAAGCCGTGGATGATTGAAAGAAGCGGATTTATCGAATCTGTAGAAGCGTGGTGCAAGGACCCTTTGGCCATCCGGAATGACAGACTTCTCGGAGCGTTAGTCACCTTGAGGCTTTTGAGCTCCGAGGTCTTCAGACTACTAGGGTCGAGATCGAACCGATTTCAAGCCGGGCAATTACACACGCTAGAGTCTCTTCTGGCTATCATCAATAGCAGGATAGAAGAATGGGAGTCAAGGTGGCTCGCGATGGCCGATCGAGGTACGATCCGGCGGTCTGAAGCAGTGGTCCTTCGGAAGTCATTGACTCGTTGTTTACAGATTGCTGTCATCCTTTCTTGATCCAGTTCTACGGGACGCACCTACGGCTACAACTATTTTCGCTTCCCTTGCAAGAGGTCCTCGGGCAGCCCAACCAAGACGCATCGTATCACTTGGAGGCGCTATGGGTTAGCTACTCAAGCGCCTTAGAGATGTTACATCTCATATGCCGTCACGCCTCCTGGCTCTACTTTGCCCAGGACTCGATACACGTGATGACTGCTTACAGCGCCGCGTTTTTGATCAAGGTAATGTGGACCTTCGTTCCTTCTCGAAACTGAGAGTACATACTGATGCTTGACAATAATAGCTCTTGATGTATTCACAAGAGTCAATAACACGCCAGGTGGAACCCGCAATCAAGAGCGCCATATCCGGCGCCGCGCTCGTCTTCTCTCAGCAGGCTGCTCCGGTAGGCTCGAGTTGTGCGTTGCAGTCGAAGTTTCTCGACAACCTCATGTCCAAGTTTTCCAGAGAACCTCTGCCTGGTCAAAACCATGACAGTGACAGTGCTGTTGGGTCAGCCAATGAAAGACCGCAAAGCCAGAGGGGAACAGGTGTTCGGGAAGCTTGCGATGGAGCACGTTGGAGTTTGACCGATGCTGGAACTCTTGCTATGCCCGGGCGAGGGACCGTGGCCGATGACACTGGTCTCACTTTCGAGTCTGCCGAGGAGGCTACTTGGGCAAGTTTGATAGCCGAAGCTGGCTTCAGTGCCCAGGATGGGGTTTTCTTTACCTGAAAGTCTCTACGGATGCAAAAACAAACCATTTGAAAGTTTTTGGGTATCTTCAATTGATAAGAGCGTGGCTTTGTGAGCCCTGTAAATGTGTTTGAGATGTACTTGCTCAACCAGTTCGCTTTCCGAATCCCCTCCTCTACGCCCCAACTTCAATCGCTTGCCTCCTTTGGTAGTGGTACAGCGGTAGTTTCGGAATGGCGGAAGGTTCGAATGCCCTCCCGGATGATCTTGAGTTGAGAGGGACAGCATGGATCTGGGCATGCGATCAAGGCGTCGCTGGTCATCCAGTCGTTCTTGGACGTGACTCTTTGTTTGGCGGGGAGAAGAGGAAGGACTGATGCTACATGGAAGTCCATGTTAATAACCTCCGAAGCTCTATGCGAGCTTACGAATGCTCTCAATACGTACCCAAGCTATAGATACTGATCCCCTGATCAGGAGGCAGGTGCAACATTTCTCCTTTCAGTGTGAAATAGTCGCCCTCTTTTGCCCCGCACATGATTCGTTTGCCGGGCGGGCAAACGACTTCGACGCGGAGGTCAAAGAGCTGAAATTCGTCACTCGCAGTAATACTCGATGCCATTGCCAATGATTGCCGGAGATATCTCCAATGATAGAACAATCAAGCAAGCCGATCCTCAATCGTTTAGCATGCCTTTGTCTTATCCCGCTGTTGTTTACATGTTATGTTAATGGCAAGCTTATCGACCGGCGTTCTACCCACCGAAATGGACCCCGCACCGGCGTCCAAAATGTCGGTGGCATCCTGGCTGGCCAGCTATCTTGATAGGACGTGGAGCCCAGCAGATAAGTTCGTCCGGTCGGCCCAAATGCAGTAATCCCCTGCTGAGCAAAACGAACGGCAAGTCAGTTGCCCAACCCGAGGATATGGATAAAGCTGCGGATATAACTTGGCCAGAAGCGCCTAATTATGCCGGGCGCGGATGAGTGCCGGCGGGTCTGTCAATTGGGAAAACCGCACGCACACCTCACGACGTATCATTTTTTCCCGGCCGTTTCGAGTCTCTCATGTTGCCATACAACATGATGGAGAGCAAAGAGAAATATGACGCGACGTCTGATACGGTCCCTGAGCCGGATGTCGGCGGTGGACAGAACGTTTCTGTTTCGGACGAAGATGGCGGCATAAAACGGGACTTGAGCTCGCGGCATATCAACATGATTGCGATTGCCGGAATGATCGTTAGTTGATCGATAAGAGAAGAAAGGAATGTTGCTAACGTTGTTTCAATCATAGGGAACTGGTCTGTTCCTCAGCTCAGGCTCGGTAATCGCGACAGCAGGTCCAGCTGGTGCCCTGTTGGCGTATATCGTGATGGGCCTGGTAACTGCGGGAGTGTCTTACACCACGGGCGAAATCACCTCCTTCATGCCGCGAACTGGTGGTTTCATAAGACATGCGACCAAGTTTGTTGAGCCGGCTCTTGGAGCTGCAACTGGGTGGAACTTTTGTGAGTCTAAAGGACAGGTTCCTGAAGCAAAGAAGAGAATAACTCTAATAGTCATTAGGGTACACGATGGCGATATCCGTGCCTGCAGAGATCAGTGCAGCTGCGACACTCATTCAGTTCTGGAACACATCGGTGAACCCAGCTGTGTGGATCACAATCTTCTTGATCTTTATCACCGTTGTCAACTTCTGTGGAGTCAGAATCTATGGTGAGGTATGTCGTCCCTTCCTCCTTCGGCTTACCGGTATGAAGAGCTTTGAAGCATCTCAACGCACTAATCATATGAACAGACTGAAGTTGTGTTTGCCTCGCTGAAGATCATGACCATCATCGGCCTCATCATCGGTGGACTAGTCATCAACCTCGGCGGCGGACCGAACCACGAACGCCTGGGCTTTCGCTACTGGCAAGACCCCGGCGCGTTCAACAGCTACATTGTTCCTGGCTCGGCCGGGGGTTTCTTGGCTTTCTGGAAAGTGCTGCTGTCCGCAGCCTTCAGCTACGGCAACATCCAGGTCGTTGCCATCTCTGGCTCCGAGACGCGCCAGCCTAGAAAGATCATCCCCGCCGCAACGAGAAAGACGTTCTTTCGAGTCTTTGTCTTCTACGTTCTGAGCATCCTCATTGTGGGAATGATTGTGTGAGTTACCTTGTCTGTAACCGAGATGAACTTGCAAAGCTGAATGGTTGGATAGACCCTCCAATGACCCTGCTCTGAGCATTTCGACCGGCACCGCTCAGCAGTCTCCATTCGTCATCGCCTTTACCCGCTCAGGAGTCTCGGTGTTGCCGTCAATCATCAACGCAGTTGTATGCACCTCTGCGATCAGCAGCGGATCAGCCTGTGTCTTTATCGCGTCTAGGACTTTGTACGGACTCAGTTGCGATGGGCATGCCCCGAGGATTCTTCAGCGCTGCAACCGTTTCGGCACGCCCTATGTTGCCGTTGCTTTGACGTGCGTTCTGTTCCCGCTGGTCTACCTCAACGTCGGAAACAACACGTCTGTTGTCTTTGGCTGGTTTGTGAACATCACGACCGTTGCGGGCTTGATCGGTTGGATCGTCATTGAAGTTACATATCTTCGCTTTTATGCTGGTCTCAAGGCGCAAGGCTATTCACGTAAAGGTAATGATCAAATTTATTGACTGCCGAAGCTTCAACTCACCATCGTTTGGCAGATCTACCCTACCGAAGCCCCGGTCAACCATACGTATCATGGGTCACGTTGATTGCGGTGGTTCTCGTCGTGTTCTTCTCAGGTTCGTCTTCATGGAGGTATAGAGTTGCCATGCTCTGTACTTACATATCTCACAGGCTTCGACGTATTTGTCACGGGCAACTTCACTGCCTCTGGCTTCCTGACTTGTTATCTTAACGTTTTCATTTTCGCCGGTAAGCCATTCTCCCCGTATTCCACCGAATCAACCTGCTAAGCACTCGTCGCCCATTAGCTCTGTACGCGTTCTTCAAGTTCTACCTCAAGTCAAGAGTGATCTCACCAGCAGAGATGGACTTTGAGGAGGAGTTTGCGTCCATCAGGTTGGAAAAAGCAGCGGCAGAAATGTTCGAGACGAGGCAGACTGGATTGAAGGCTTCGTTGCGCAAAGTCATCCACTCGGTTTAACTGACTGTCTGTAATCGGCGTTAGAAGGAATTAAGATAAGGTTTCGTCATCTTCCTTGATGTGAAGTTGCCAAGTGTTCCTCTGCAACGTCTCGTGATAAGCTACCCCGCGGCGGGATTGGAGGACTTGTGAGTTGCCTTCTTGGTGCTCTCGATCGTCTGCATATTGACCCTTTTCAATCCCGAGTACAACATCGCTAGAACTCAACTGCCAAGCACAATGAAACATTTGGTTCATACTGTCAATGTTACAGCATTTGATGCAGTTCAACCTTCCATTGCAGCGTCATTGGTCCGGCCTCAACTTGAGTCCGTCGTCCAACTCAAATCAGATCGTTCGCCGCTATGCGCTGTCGAATGTGTCGTCTCAACCAGATTGAGTTCCAAGAGATGTTCGTCTCACAGCGTGGGGGCATCAGACGGGGGCTTTACTCCGATTATTGAACTTCTCCTGCATCTGTACGTAAGAGGATACTTTTCGCCCGAAGGCCTCATCCGCGGAAGCCGCTCCAATTGTGTACCCCGCATCGCCAAAGCACGATGAAATGTTGTCCAACCACCTAGTTTTAGATCCTAGCCAGGGGTCTGTCAGACGGCGGGTGCTCCCGGGTCGCCGCGTGGCGGCACGGGCATCTGTACATGTTGCCCAGATTGAAGTATATGCCATTTCCTGCAATTGATATTTCAAGTTGGACTCGATTCAATGGCCAGACGTCTTGTGTCTACACAACGATCGTTGCTGTTCAGGAAATATCCGTGCTTTCTTCAGCAGATTGAACACCTTCTTCAACAGATGAATCAGGTCTTCTCCGGATGCCAAGAAGAACAGAACTTGGGAAGATGAGACACAATTCATCCCTTGCAGTCGATCTGGGCCAATGAATAAGCAATTACATCTTAAGATGGCCATTTGCCGTCCTTGGCGGTATTAGTGTCGGGTAAAAGGCCGACGTGGGTGGCATCGCATCTCGCGTCGCCTTCTGCCAGTCGAAGCACGTAAGAAATCTACCGAGAGCGGGGTGCTGGGCTTTGCCCAGGCCATTTGTCTGGGTACACGTATCTGGCTAAACTTGGGATATTGAAGGTGGGGGATGTTTCTAAATTGTTTTCTTATTCTCATTTGGGCTGGACACGTTGGCTGGGAAAACACACGAAAACACCACACGATGCGCATGAGGCTTTTTACGGAAGTGATAAGAAGCCAAGAAAGTGGTGCAATCCTGCGCCCTGCATGCAACGGACAGTATCCGATTGAGTAAAGCGAGACACGAAACGGAGCTAAAACTGCGCGGCGGCGGCGCGATCATCACCACCACCGGGACTAGCCAAGTGAATTCCCACTTTTGATACGGAATAGGCACCGAAGGAGCTCTCAGAAAGGTCCTCAGAGAGAGCTCCAAGATGCTGCCATTGATATTCCTGGTTTGGCGCAGCCACACATGTGATATGGGGATATGTGCCGATTGGCCCGAGACCCCGCACCGCTGCATGAAACTCTAGGTCTCACTCTCAATGGCGATGTTGGTGCTAATCTACTGAGCAATATGGAAGGAGGATAAGACAGCTCGAAGACGCGGGCGGGTAAGTTTACGCAGCGTGGCAGCTGAGAGCAGTTTAGCTGAACGTGAGGGGCAAATGCATGATGTGAGCTCTCTCGTATTCAGGGTCCAGGCCTGGCAGCTGTTGCTAGGCGCGAGAGCTTATAAATAGGAGGGACCGAAAGCTTTCCTCGTGCGGGCCTGGGGAGAGCTGGTTGTTTCTCTTCTTTCAAGGACGCTTCTCTGATATTCAGATACCTCACGATATCTTCTTTTTCCAACTACAAATTCTTGTTTAAACTACATCGAACATCATGGGTATCTCCACTGAAGTCCCGCAGACCGTCGAGTGGGCGGGGAAGCGTGTCCCCATCTACCCCATGGAGACGATTGACTTCGGACGAGTGCTTTCTCAGGAGCCCGCCGAGCTCGAGAACCTGCTCCGCTGCTGCCAGCAGTCCGGTTTCTTCTACCTAGACCTCGACAGCCTCGACGGTCAGAGGTTCCTCGATGACCAGCAGCAGACGCTGAAGCTCATGCACCGCTACTTCGACCACTCTTTCGAGGAGAAGAACGAGCTTGGTCTGGTCACCGCACACCTCGGGTGAGTAGAACGAACATTAAACTTCTTGAATCATGAACCGGAGCTAACGAGCTACCAGCTACGAGCCCGTCGGCTCCCGCACCGGCGGCCTTCCCAACACCAGAGACGGATATGAGATGTTCAAGGTGAGATCGACAGCACCCCTCACAGCCACGTCCGCACGCAGCTAACACCCTGAAGGTCTCCAGAGACGAGATCCAGCGCAAGGACCCCAAGTTCCCCGCCATCCTCCAGAACACCACCGACAAGAGGGTTCTCCGCAACGCCATCTCCGGCTCCAACATCGTCACCAAGGCCGTCCTGTCGGGCCTGTCCTCCGCAATGGGCCTGACCGGAGCCTCTCGCTTCGAGAACGCCCACCGCAACGACCGCCCCTCCACCTCCACCCTGGCCATGATGCACTACGTCCCCTCGGACCCCCTCAAGGACAAGGAGATCGGCCACCAGAAGCACACTGACATCTCGTCGCTGACGCTCCTCTTCGCCGAGGAGTGGGGTCTGCAGATCCGCCCTCCCGGATCCAAGGAGTTCGGCTTCGTCGCCCCCAAGCCGGGCTGCGCCATCATCAACGTCGGCGACTCGCTCCGCTTCGCCAGCGGTCACACCTTCATGTCCTGCATCCACCGCGTCGTGCCCTTCCGCCCCGACGAGCACCGCTACTCCATTGCTTACTTCCTCCGTGCCGAGAACGACACCATGTTCAAGGACAGCGAGGGCCGCTACATCACTGCTGGCCAGTGGCACGACGAGAAGTTCTTCCTCTTCAAGGCTACCCCCGATATCCAGGCCTTGGCCCCGCCGTCGATGTTGTACGGTGGCATGTCTGCCGATGAGGAGTTCACTCCGTATGCCCAGCCGGAACTGGCTAAGGCGAAGGTTGAGGAGGCTCAGTCGGAGCCCTTGGTGAAGGAGGCCCTGGTCCAGGCTCACTAGATATACAAACGACCATACGAAATATGACACGACAGTGCGATTCAAATGAATAAATGAAGAAATTACACATGTTCAGAGATTCTGATCTAGATGACATTTCTTACCCATAAAGTGTCCATTATGGTGAACATTTGCGACCAATGCGATGCACGTTAGATCCATCGCCAAAATGAGGCTACGTCCTCCCCTCATTCATCAATAACAACCTCTCAGAAGAAAGTAGTCTCAGAATTCAATCCAGATGATGTCTATGGGTGTTCATTTTGATCCTGAATCTCGTTCTCAGAGCAAAGACATGATTGAGCGTCCGAGAATAGTACCTCGTCATCTTCCATCCCGAGGGACATCCGATCTGCCTGAATACAGCATGCCCCCCTAGCTTAGCACGATTTTAGGCGAGCATCCGTCCTCATTATCCCTGCAATAGCAGGGGCTCGACCCCTCAAGGTGTTCAAGCTCTCACTCTTCGTCCCTGACGGGGTATTTGAACCATCTTCCGACGTCTTGACTACGTCCTCGTCGGCATCATCAGTCCCGGGAGACTGAACGAACGATGCTCATGGCCGACGTAAAGAGCGAGCTTCCCACTTACAGCGCCGCCGTCGGGGTATCCTCCGCCCCCGGCGCCGTGAGGGGATGGAATCCCGATCTCCAACTTCCCCGCAGATCGCGAGTGCTGCGCGTATTCGGTCTGGCGTGCCTCGCGTTCATCGTCTACGCGCAATGGAGGCAAATAGCACCCATTGATGCTGGCTCAAATTCGGAAGCCAATGTCCACGGCCTGTCAATCGAACAACTCCAAGAAGATCTCGCGACATGCGGCAAACTGCACCACAAACCGGTGGACCCGATCGGCTACGGCCGGACAAGGAATGCCCGCTACGTGGAAGGCAAGAAACCCACTGTCATCAAGAACGCGACGGTCTGGGTCGGAGAACCGGCCGAGGGGACGACGAACTTCAGCTGGATCTCGGCGGATGTGTTCATTGAACATGGAATGATTAAAGAAGTGTCCAAGAATATCGCGATCGCGAGTTTACCAACAGATGTCTTGGTTTACGAAGCGAAACGCAGGCCTCTGACGAGCGGAATCATCGACATGCACAGCCATGCCGCGGTACATTCCCTGCCAACGCTGCATGGAAATGAGGACGTCAGCGAACTATCAAAGGATATAACACCATATGTGCGATCCATCGACGGCATTCAACCGACCGATCATCAACTCCAAGTCATCAAGTCCGGCGGCGTCACGACCTCTCTCATCCTACCCGGGTCTAGCAATAACATCGGCGGCGAAGCGTACGTGATCAAGCATGTGGTGGGACAGCCCGACGGACGCAACGAAACCGGTGTCATCGACATGCTAGCGGACCCGGATCGCACGTGGCGGTACATGAAGATGGCCTGCGGCGAAAACTCCAAGCAGATCCACGGCAAGGCCGGCGAGCGAGGCCCGTACAGCCGGCTGGGCGAAAGCTGGGAGTTTCGCCATGCCTTTGAGCATGCCACCAAGCTGAAGCGCGAGCAGGATGACTGGTGCAGGGCGGCTGCCCGAGGGCTGGACAATGTCCAGACGTATCTGCCTTTCGAACTCGAATGGGAATCTCTCGTGGCTCTCCTGAGGGGCCAGGTTCACGTGCATACGCATTGCTATACCATCAACGATTTGGAGGCTTTTGTCGACCATACCAACGAGTTCAAGTTCCCAATCAGGGCATTTCACCACGCCCATCAGACGTATCTCGTGCCCGAGGTGAGTTTCTCACATGTTCGTCCCATGTGCTCGAGAATTCCCAACTAACTCGCTCTGCCTCTTCCAGATCCTCAAGCGGGCCTGGGGTGGAGATCCGCCGGCATCAGCCCTGTTCGCGGATAACATGTGGTACAAAGCCGAGGCCGCCATAGGCTCCGAGTATGCAGGCAAACATCTTTACGATGCCGGCTTGGTCCCCATCTACGTGAGCGATAACCCAGTCCTCAACGCGCAGCACGTTGTCCTCGAAGCCGCCAAGGCCTATAAGTACTGCCTGCCATATCACGCAGCGCTTGCATCGGTCACGAGCGCTCCGGCGGAGCGTTTGGGTCTTGGTAGCAGACTAGGAAAGGTCAAGCCTGGCTTTGATGCGGACATCGTTGTCTGGGATAGCGACCCGTTGAGTGTCGGCGCGACTCCGGTCCAGGTGTGGATCGACGGCACAGCGCAATACGAGAACCCAGTCGAGCTGAAGAAGCCGTTTGAAGGAACCATCGTGCCGGACAAAGACCTTGGCAGGATTTCGGAGCAGTTGGCGGAGGTAACTGGTGATGTTGTCTTCACCGGAATCTCCGAAGTCGTCCTATCTCTTAAGGCATCCGGCGTTGCTGCCGACGGCGAAACCTACAACGTCGCCATATCTAATGGCAAAATTACTTGTGTTGGCCTCTGCAAGGCTGAGCTAGAGATGGCATCCCGAACGGAGGGTGCCGTGATCTCCGTCAAAAATGGGTACCTCTCCCCAGCATTCACCGCGTTTGGATCAACTCTCGGTCTCAACTTCGTCGAGACCGAACGAGCGACTGACAACGGCGACGACGGAGGGCACTTCAGCCGTGGGGTAGACGGACTTGCCCTCGATAACGAGAAACTCCGCGTCGCCCATCGCTACGGCGTCACACGGGCCATCTCGGCGCCGAAGTTCGCCGGCGGTGGGACCCACCACGGCACCAGCGCGGGATTTCTCACCGGAGCCGAGACCGTGCTCGATTCCGGTGCTGTTTTCGCACGCGACGCCGCCCTTCATTACACTCTCGATCTCTCAGCCAAACGCGGCGTTGACGGTGCATCTACCACGTCGGCGGCGGTGGGTGAACTGCGCCACAAGCTGCTGAAGGCTGTGGCTTCGGCAGCGTCTGATGAGCCTATCAGACTGGAAGAGAGTTACTCGGAGGCAGCGTTTCTGCGCAAGGTCATTCGGGAAAAGTTTCCACTGGCTATCACCGTTCATAGTGCGGACACAATTGCCGCCTTGATCGACGTCAAAGCTTCAGTAGAGCGAGCTATGAAAGAACTAAACGTCGGACAGACTCTTCGGGTGATCGTTGTCGGAGGCGCTGAGGCTCACATGGTTGCGAAGGACCTTGCGTCTGCTGGCGTTGGTGTCGTTCTTGCTCCTGCGCAATCGTTCGCCGTTTCTTGGGATCAGAGGAGAGCTCTCACAGGAGCACCACTGACTAACGGGACGGCAATCGATGCACTAGTGGATGCTGGGGTCGTCACGGCTATTGGTCTCGAAGAAGACTGGCTCGTGAGAGATCTTGGTCTGTTGGCTGGTGTTGCCTATAAGAACGGCGAAGGAAGACTACCCGAGAAAGACGCGATTGGTCTGATTTCACGAAACATAGTCAGCATGCTTGGTCTCGAGCCCGCCAGTCCATATCAGGACTTTGTGATCTTTCGAGGTAGCCCCCTCGAGATAGACTCGAATGTTATGGCAGTTGGGGGTCATAATGGGAAACTTCACATAGCCTTATAGTCTAGGAGTAAGATGTTATATGGTTCTATGGAAGTCTAATCTAGCTGCGCTTTATCAAGTCTACCTTAATACAACTCAACTCGGATCAACCGCGTTAGGTTCGATCAGTGAGCGATTAAACAAATGGCCAGTTCATCCCTCTATACCAGTGTAATATCACATCGCTTTCTCTTCGGAGTAAGAAGAACGTAGTCGACCATGTCCATACTGTCAGCAGGCATCTTATCGCTGAGCGTAGCCCCGCGGCAGTGCCGAAAGAAGACAGCAGTGGCGAGGCGAAGCTCCATCATCGCTAGATGTTGGCCGAGGCAAACCCTCGCTCCAGCTCCAAGCGCGATCATGGCCTGCCGCTGCTGCAATGCTACTTTGGAAGAATCGAGGTATCGGTCCGGATCGAATCTTCGTGGAGCAGTGTTAGCTTTCATCACATAACTGCCGGGGAAAGCCATTAAACGTACTTTTCAGGGTCCGGAAATATTCTTGAGTCGCGATGAAGTGTGTAAGCCGGACTGTACACTACCGTGCCGGCCGCTACAAAATACGACGCGAGCGTCACGCCTCCTTGAGGCACGGTCCGTGGCAATGACGACGGCACAGCTGGGTAAAGCCTCAGAGTCTCTTCGATGACCGCGTTGAGAAGGGGACATCCTTCCAATTCTTTATCGTCGAAGTCCTCACCCAGACAAGCAATTTCGTTTTCGAGCCTTGTCTGCAAGTCGTTTTGCTTCAGGACAGACCAGATCAAGTAAGTCAGCACGGCAGCTGTGGTGTCAGACCCAGCAACCATCATGCCAGCCGCCTCGATCCTGACAGTGTCATCACTCTTCCACCGACGCCCTTCCTTGACGCAGTCGTCGATCATCTCTTTAAACAGGCTTTTCGTCTGGTCGTCTCGCCGAGAGAGCTTTTCTACCCCGTCTTTACCCGCAGCGTCGCACTGCTCGAGACAGCGCGATAACGTCTGGAGAGAGGACTTTGGGATGAGTCGAAAGAGGAAGTGGAGGAACGGGATCTCGCTCTTGAACACAGCTCCAAGCAGCGCTGTCTCAATCGCCCTCATGTAAAGTGTGCTCTGATGCATTGTCAGCAAAAGAATGATCACAATCAACCAACTACGTTGGGCAGAGCATCTTAACTATACCTTTCCAGTGCTTAACATCCCAAATGACTGGCCGAATGACAGTTCGCTGATGATATCCGCCGCCATCAGCGTCCACCACTTGTGGATATTGACTGAGCTACTAAGAGCTTCGGCCTTCACCTTATTGACTGCTAGGTTAACGTTATGTCTAATCTCAGTTTCCCAGTTCTGACGCAAAGACACCAGAGAAAACGATCGTTGAAGAAGTCTTCGTCGTTCTTTTGCCTCTTTCTTGTTGGTGAGAAAGGACAGGGAAAGGGAGGGTAGTTTCTCTGCGAAGTCGCCAACCCATTGAGCCTTCTCGAAGCCGCCGCCCATCTTGTAGACGCGGGTGAAAGATTCAAGATCGACGCAGGATATCTCGTTCGGGGCAACCCTCACGATATCTCCGTACTTCCTGTGAAGGTCGTAGATGTATGTCATGCGGGTGCCGGTCAGCCGGCTGAGCTTGAGTCTCCATCTGCAGTAACGTGTGTGCCATGGTCCTGGGACGTGGCTCAAGGGCGACCGGCGACCTGCCAGCCATTGCTTGGTTTTGTCAGTGTTTGCTGATTTGCCCTTGAACAGAAGTATTATGAAGTACCTGGAGGAGTAGAAGGAGACATGATGCCCCTAAGAGCAGGATGGTCCATTCATAGCAATTAAGGCTATCATGAGAAGTAAGGTTGTGGGTCAACATTTTGTTTTAAGTGATTTCAGTCTGATGAGGAATTGCAAGAGAGCAGGAAAACATATTGATATTGTTTTATAGTGGTATGATTCAGCTCAAGAGTTCCATTTTGAGGCATTATCTGTACTCCTAGGCATAACAAGATGTCAAGTCGACTACGTGACCCCCAAATGTAGGCAACACTTTACAATATTCAAGGGTTCAACATCATTTCTGCTGAATTGTTGGCAAGCTAAGATAGAACGAGGTGTCATGTGAAAGATAGCGGCTGAGCCCGAGACTCAAACAGGGCAAACCGAAGTGCTGAATTCTGATCTAGGGGTCCAGCTGAGCTGGGCAACCCAGTTTCGACATGGGTGTTGAAGCCACCGAAGATGGTGTCGACATACAAATGGGGCACAGCATTCGGTGTCTGCCTGCGGCTTAGAAACCTCGAAACCCCCAAAACATCTCGTATGATGGCTGAACAGCCGCGAAAAAAAATTGGGCAAGCTGCCTGGCCCCCCTCGTGTTGGTGCCAACACGTGGGGTCGAGTAACGCGGATAAGTTGGCGATTCGAATGAGATATGAGTACTCAAAGTCTGCCTACGCAGACTTGGCGAAAGTCCAGCGAAAGTACTCCATAGAACGGTGTTCGTCATGGTAGACTATTCCTGTGTCGCATACGTATAAATATGATTATTCAACATAATTATAATAGGTTTCTATCTCTGGCCTGCACACGTGGGCCATGCCCAATAATTGTTAGAACAATTGTCTCTTACAATGCGTACATGAAAAGCGAATGAGGAGCATCCCGTGCATTATGGGAACTTGTGTAAACATGTTCTAAAATGCCTAAATTCAACTACACTTGAGATTTGGACGATAGAGTAAAAAACATGAGGCAGAGACCATCATTCTTCTCATATTCTGCTCAAAGTGCCATCCCAAATCTTTCTTCCAGATCCATCCAGCTCCGATATTCGTACCGAATCAACAAGTAGGTGACAACTTCTTCTCACCGTCATCACTCTGAATACTACAAGTCATGCGAAAAGCAAAGAACCCACCGCTGGATCATCACTGTAAACGAATAATCTTCCCAATTCTGCCGTGTTCAGATATCTCAGCAAATTCGTGCAGCCATTGATCTCCAATAACGCTTTAATGATGTGCGACTCTCAATCGTCAAGTCATGATGTTCAAAATCGACCAATCTTGGTCCCTAAGCCCGAAACCTTCATGGAATGGTGATGAGTGGATTATTCATCGCTATCACTTATGAGTCCACTTTTGACGAATTCCATGCGAAACCCAATCTTATGACAGGCGAGATGCAGATATGCCAATGTCCAACTAAAGTTCTAAACATTCGGATCAAACGCGAACTGCGGTTTCTTGTTTGTGGGGTACTGCGGTTGCGAACTCAATGGCATGTGTTTCTGAACCTCGGGCGAATCACAAGCTGCATGCATGCTGCAAGGACGGTAGAAAGAAGAACTGTAAAATCTGCGGAGAACACCACCAGTACCAGTTGCCCAAGCCCGAACTTGCTCGGAATCCGGCGGGATTCACATTGTTGGTGATCCGGCCGGGCGCGAAGTCGAGAATCTCCTGCTCAATATCTCGGCGCTGGCGGCGGTGGGGCCGTGCATAGTCGGTGGGCGGGGAGAAGACACTCCGACGGATGGAGACCCGAGGACCCCGAGACCCCGATGGCTTTCGACGAACGCGGTTTCACAGGTGAGATGAATGACGTACACGACCGGAATGGCTGTAGCTTCCTTTACGCGTATGGGTTTGGGAGCTGGGCTGGCCAGAGCTCCCGCGTAGCTCTCGCGAGCTCCCACTCAGGAATCACCTCATCCTGGTTGCCCATCATGCGAAACAATGAGGAGTATTTCAGCATTTCTGCGGGAATGGCATCAGCCTTTTGTTTGAGCCGTTGGACGCCCAGGCTACTTCTGTCCCGCATCCCGCATCACGCATGTAGGGCACATTGCAGCCGTCTGGTGTTCTCTCCGGCTCGCCCGGGGCCTACAGTCCCATTGGAGGGGATTGGGCGGAGAGAGTTTCACGTCGCTGCTGTTGTCCGATCACCTTGACGTCAGCTGACGATTAGATCTCTCGCTCGGCTGGCGTAGCACTACTGTCTGCCTGTGGTGCCTCCAAGCGTGGGTTGGCGTATCCGCATGCTTCTCCCTTTGAGATGTTCTCCAACAAAAAGGTCCCCTTATCTGCCGCCCTGCACTCTCTGCTTGCTTCTTCTGACTTGACAATCCATACTCCCTCTTATCAACCTTTTCTTGTAGACCAAAGATAAGGTGTATCGTTATCTGGGAAATATTAAAACGAATTCAATATGAAGGCTGTTGCTGCTCTTTCCTGCGTGGCTTTAGCCAACGCTTTTATCCTCCCCGACCCCCAGATCTTCGAGCAGGCGGCGATTAAGAATGACGAGCGCCCCTCCTGGTGGGACCGCGTTCCCTCCAAGGATTCCATCGTGAACACCGTCGAGGAGGGCATTGATTCTCTGTCCTCTCAGCTCGAAAGCGCCTTCCACTCTCTGGAGGACACCGTCGAGAACAAATTTGAGCACATTTTGGAGGAGGAGGTCTTCAACGGTGGGGATGGTGACACGTCCGACAAGTCCATCTTCGATCTGGTTGCCGGCAGCAAGTACACCACGACGCTTGCGAAGCTCGTCAGCGAATACGACGACATCGTCGAGACCCTGAAGAGCACCAAGGCGAACTACACTCTTTTCGCTCCCACGGACCGAGCTTTTGAGAAGCTCCCCAAGCACCACAAGCCTAGCAAGGAGGCTCTCAAGTCGATCCTGTTGTACCATGTCGGCATTGGCGAATACGACGCGAAGAGGGTTCTGCGCACCCACACCCTCCCCACGCTGCTGAATGAGCCCTGGCTCGGCGACAAGCCCCAGCGTCTTCGCACCAGTGTTGGTCTCGGAGGTGTCCGCGTCAACTTCTACAGCAAGGTTGTTGCAGTGAACATCGTGAGTATTTTGCTTGACTACGGCTGTTGGATGGAGCAGTCCTGACAGATTTTTCAAACAGCGTGCAAGCAACGGAGTCATCCACGGCATCGACAGCTTGCTCGTCCCGCCGCCCCTGGTCGGCCGCGAGCTGACTCTCCTCCCGAGTCAATTCTCGACCCTCCTCCTCGCCTACGAGAAGACCGACTTCGTCAAGTTCATCCACGGCGTCAAGTCCACCGGCACCACCGTCTTCGCTCCCTCGAACAATGCCTTCGCTCGTCTCGGACCCAGGGCCAATGCCTTCTTGTTCAACTCCCCGACCGGACTCAAGTTCCTCAAGGCCCTGTTGAAGTACCAGATCGTCGCCAACACCACCCTCTACAGCGACGCTCTGTACCGCCCCGACAACAAGGGTGATGCCAGTGTCGAGGAGCACATCCACGTCGACCTCCCGACTTTGCTCGGCGGCAAGAACATCGCCGTTGACGTCGCTGTCTGGCGCGGATTCAGACGCGTCAAGCTCAACGGCTACATTCCCATTGTTGTCGCCGACGGTATTGCGAAGAATGGCGTGATTCACGTCCCCGCTCGCGTTCCTATTCCCCCTCACAAGCACAAGGCCGACAGCGAGGATGGCTCAATCACTGTTGAGGAGCTGAAGGAGCGCTTGGCTGAGTACGTCGACGAGGATGACAAGAAGGACGAGTGGTCTTCTGAGCTCTAAGGTCGAATTACTCAATTGGACGCTCCATGATTGGAACATGGAGCCCGCAGCTGGCCCGACTCCCACATGACATCGGATATGTATTCTATCAAGCATGCCCAAAACAAAAGTCTGTCGTGATTCGTAATGAACTGTTTTATCGCAACGTGAAATGAGTAGTATCATATTGGGAGAAGACCTTGAGCTCATTTTCTTCTTCACGGGATGGCTTCTGTTGAGCAAAAATGTGACAATTGTTGTCAATTGGGCACTAATATCTCTCTAGGCCCTGCATGTTAATAGACGATTTGAGCGCAGAAGGAGCAGCTTCAACCAAGTCAAATACATAGACAATTGTTAGCTTGGGGCTTATTCTAGCAAGACTTCATTCACATTGAACGTTACCGCGCCACCACCTACAATTTGACCAGAACCGAGGCAGATACTCGCCCAGCCAACGGACTCACAATACTGCAGTATGGCTGAAAGGTCTGTAGCGCTGCCCAGGAAACACGGGATGCTAGCCATCGGACGTAGTGAAACACCAGGACCCCCGGCCTCGAAATAGCGGGCTTCTCGATTCATGTCGCTAACCGTCCCAAGCAATTCCCGACTTCAGCCCTATGCTTCGCCGCTGCAGAGCATTCCAGCCACTTGAAGGAAGTTAAGGGAGACCCTGAACAGCGGTAATGCCGGCAGTGCACATGTGCAGCGAAGCTATTCTCCTAGAGCTCGAGCTCGAGCTTCTGCATCATCCTGTCAGAAGCTTGGCCCGGTCTGGTTCCATCTTTCAACCTCCGCTGGATGAAGAGATATCCTTTCATTCACGACGTGCCATTCTGAAGCCCATTCTCACCTAATAGAACATAGGCCAATGGCAACTTGCGGTATTCTGAATCTGCCCGTCCAAGTATTTCACCACAACTCTTTGCAAGCCGCTTAGCCCGCGTCAGCTTAGCCCAAAGCCGGATAGTCTTTCGCACCAAAAAGTGCCATGGCTCAGCTCTGCCGTCCCCGAGTACGCATCTCGACTGGTGTCGCCGAGATGGCGTGTGGGCGCGGACTTCAGCTGAGGACGAACGTACGCCTCTTTCAACCAAGAGTTGCAGTGATTGGTTCCCAACCCTTTACTCACACGCAGCAAACCCACGACGTGCGAAAGCCGACGCGGTCTCAGACACGGTCAAGCGGCCTCCCTCCCCTGGACTGATGGGGCTGGACCGCGCCGGCACAGAAGACGGCAACGAACCAGCGTTCGTCGAGATTTGAAGTTTATGGCTGTGCTTGGCCACTATCCGACTGTCTCAAAGCCAAATGTAGGTGCGAGAAAGGAAACGGGCTCGAAATGAGTCGCTTGCCGCACTAAGAGCTGGCAGACCCGGGGCCATGGTTTGGACATTCTTCCAGCGCCAAGTGGCTCAAAAGATGCCTGGGCCCCTCTCGTCGTGCTTCGTTTGGGTCTCTTTAACGAAGTTGAAAGTTTTATGAATCACTTGTCTCGCAGAGATCGTGGACGGTGGAGGAAGACATTCATTCCGTGCCGGCGACGGTACTTCTTCGACGATGCACCAACCTCCGCCCGCCGACCAGTCGACCTTTGAGTCGCAAGCGCAGTACAACCCGCAGGCCACCGAAGATGTCGACGAGGAGCAGCATTCTTTGGAGGAAAAGAAACGTTATGCTGCCGAAATACCGAAAAGGCCTAACTACAGGCCGAAGCCGTTGCGATGGCCCTTCATCGCCGCCATGATTGCCTTATTGGGGTTACTCATGGTTTTGGTCATCGTCGCTCGCACGACAATGCCAAACTCCGACAGTACTGCAACTATTGAACCTCGACACATGTTGGTGGTAAGACAAGATGGCAGCTCTGCTGGACAATCGCCATCCCCGGCCCCGGAGCCCTCTCCAATCCCAACACCAGTCAACTCGGCGCAAGCTCCGACAACCGAGACTCAAGCTGGGACGCCGAGTAATCCAACGCAAGTGTTGATACCGTCTAGCACCAACGATCTTCCAACAAAGTCTGAGGCTCAACCATCAGCAACATCGATATCACCAGCCACGTCGGCGCTGCCATCAGTCAAGCCGTCAACGATCCAGGAACCAAACACCTCGCAGGAGAAGCCATTCGTGGCCTCTTCTGCAGACAAAGAGGTCACACCAACAACGAAGGAAGACTCTGTAAAACATACTACAACTTCCAGTGATGTTGTTGAGCCGAAAACAACCAGCCAAGCAGTAACTCCATCACCACCGAGCCCTATCAGCTCGGTGAAAGACACGGGATCTCGGCAGGGCAGCATTACTTCGACAGGTGACAAGGGCGACACAGCATCAACAAGTGATATGAAATCCACATCGTCGAGATCGGAGACTGCGATCAGCGCTACCACTCAATCAGCCTCAACTTCATCAACCGTGTCAGAGAGTATCCTCGATTCTTCCACCTCTGATCTGTCCGGTCATCGCAAAGCACCGCCGATCATCACTACTACAATTTCTCAATCAAAAAACACATCTCCCACGCCAACTCCCAGCCGCGACGATGAGATCATATCAGTCATCACCAGCGAATTCACATCCACCATCACCAAGCCCGGTTCCACCTTCACTTACACTACCGAAATTGTGACCAATATCTCTTCCACTTACACGACCGTGATTAGGACCACGTTTCCGGGAACTACCGGTGAGACAACCTTCACCAGAGTCATCACAACGAGCATACCGCGCACCGTCACAAAGTCTGCCGCAGTCAGCTACTCCTTGACCACATTGACGATGCCCGGGGAGACACAGGTCAAGACAGACACCATCAGCGACGAGAAGACTACCTACATGCAGACAACGACGAAGACCATCGCATACCTCAGCACATCTACGGCAGCCGTGACTCGCCCGGAAGTCGTCGAGACATCGTTCGAGCAGGTCGTTACCACCTACACCTCAAAGGCGACATTCACGCAGCCCGAGAGAACCAGTGAAATCACCTCGGTCGTCGTGAGCGCTGTGCCTTCCACATATCAGTCCGTCGGAACTTCTGCGGCGCCCGGTCAGGTCTATGTACAGGTCGGAACCACGGAGATCACGCGAGTGATTACGGTGCCTGGTGGCAACCGAGGGAGCCCGCCGACACAACCGCCAGTCGTCCAAGTCATCACCAGTGTCGTCGATGGAAAGGTTGAGACGATCGTTGATAAGCCTGCCCCGCAGACTATTGTCACCAACGACGGAGGTGTCTTCCCGATTGTCTTCACGCCACCCGCGGAAACCAGAGTCACCCACGTCGGAGGCCAGGAAGCTCAGGTGGTCATCACTGTGACACCTTCTCCAGAGGTAGCCTTCGTGGCTGTTCCAACAACTAAAGACGGAAAGCCAACCATCGTCATAGTCCCCTCTACATTGAACGCAGCAGCTGGGGCTTTCAAAGAAGTAGCGACTACTATCAACGGGAAGGCAACCGTAGTCAATGTCCCTGTGACCCAAGAGCCAGTTCTGGTCGCTGTTCAGACGACGATTGATGGTACACCTACTGTGCTATTGACCAAATCGACCCAGTCAGCGGGCTTCAATCCAATATCTCTGACTCTGGTATCCGAGGTAGGAGGTAGCACTGGCGTGTTCGTCACCACGGATGCTCTAGAGGCTATCAAGACAACCATTGATGGGAAGGAGACGACAATTGTGACAACTCCACCCCTGCGAACGTTCACCTCGGTATCGGGAGGAACGCGGACGACTATGACGATAGTTACGACTCCGTCTGGGACAGCACCGCTGGAATTCACGGTAATCACGACAATCGGGGGAACCCTAAGCACCATCGTATCGACTCCCAGTCCAACAACATTTACTACGACGATCTCTGGAAGCCTGAGAACAATCATCTCAACCCCAAGTCCCACGACTTACCTCTCCACAATCAAGCCCGCGACCACTGTCATTACTACCACCTCCACACCAACACCTACGAACTCCGCAGACACCGTCATCACGCAAGTCGAGAAGTTCGCTTTTACTAATGGTGATTACTTCGTCGGAAAGTTCTTACCTGTTATCCTCGCCGTGATAATCGCCGTCCCGCTCCGCATCATCGATCTCAACGCCAAGCTGTATCAGCCCTTCCATGCGTTGGCACAAGAAGGGGGCTCTTTGGGAAGGAACAGTATGACATTACAGTTCGACGGTTGGAAAGGCTTCTTGGCCCCGTTCGAAGTGTTGTTGCAGGGCCATCCAGTGCCATTCATCACGACACTGATGGTTCTGTGTTCGTCACTCCTAGCGCCTCTGGCCACCGAGGCAATAGGCATGAAGCTACACGGAACGTGTAAGATCACGGCAATCGAGGGCTGCGGAATTCAGTTGGGCGTTTCCACCATGTCAGCCAATGCCCTGGTAGCGTTGCTCGCGCTCATCATTGTACTGCTTTTAGTTCTCCTGTTCTCACTCCGCAGCTGGGAGACTGGGCTGCATGCCAATCCGTGGAGTATCGCCGGAATTTCGTCCCTGGCCCGGAACGCCGATATCAGGTCACCCAATATCGACTTCATAACCGGCAAGAAGGCCATGATGGAGAAGCGATATGGTCTCGGGTACTTCGAAAACAGCCTAGGACGCGACGAATACGGCATCGTCTGCTACAATGACTCGGCAGAGAGCCCTCAAGGCACCCCGGCAGCATCTGGAGCTATCCCGGCTGATGAGGAGTTGACCGGTGCATATCAGCGGGACGTGGCGAAGAAAGAGCGTAAGCCGGTCCCATTCATCGCGCTCACGTACTGGTGGCGCATCGTATTTGCCTTCTTCTTGGCCGCTTTGTTCATCGTTATACTTTATTATCACATCACATTGGGTCTCCGGACTTCTTTCAAGGATTTCATGGATAGCCAGACGTTCGGAGTCAGGTTCTTTTTCGCGGCGCTGGGCGTCATCATCATTTTCTGCTGGGAATCCATCTTCGTCAGTAAGTTTGCTCGTTCAATCCTTTACTTCGAGAAAGCGGCTAAGAAACCACGCAGGCATCGCGATTATCAGCCCATACCATCACATGGCGCGCCGCTCCCAGCCACCGGAGAAGTCCATTCTTCTCACTCGGCCTACGAATGGTTTCTACGGTATATATGCCGCTGTTGTTGAGGGCAACATCATCCTCATGCTCACGGCTTTCATGTCAATTTTGGCCGAGTTCCTTCCCATTCTCTTCGCCAATATCCCGTACAACCTCACGCAAACACTCATGTCTCACAACGTCTGCGCAAGAGTCAGTCTGTCGATTCTAGCTCTCATGTTGGTCACCATAGTGGCGAGCCTGTTCATCAAGTGGCCCGAGATGCCAGTCGACCCTCGAAGCATTGCAGGAGCCCTGTACTACGTCAATGAGAACAAGCTGCTGGATGACTTTGAAGGACTGTCGAAATTGGACTCGGGGGAAAGAGAGAAGAGAGTGAAGGAACTTGGCCGGAGGTATTTCTACGGTGGCATCAACGGAGCTCATGGTAAGAGGATGGGCGTTGAATCTGTGGAGGGTGTTGAGGATACGGCGTACACTGGTGGGCATTGGTTATTACCTCGGCACGAGGAGCGGCGTGCGGAAGATGATGACCATGGAAATGAGGAGGAGCGTTTTCTGGGAGCCAGCCGCGGTGACGAAGAGGAAACTGAGGAAGAATCTCAGGAACGACAGGGCTCAACGAACCTTGAGCCCAAAGATCAGGATCGGGATCAGGAGTCCCTGTTGATCGAAAGTCAAGAGACTCAAACAGCACAGGAGGCGGAGCAGCTTCGATGAGGGGATCGCTCCCCGTCAGGATGCATTTGATGTCAACATGAATGTAGCCAGCGCCTGTCCTGACTTTGCATTTGCTCGAAAATTTCGTAGATCACAGCCACCGTATCAAATGCATAGCGAAGGACTGCAAGTCAAAAGGAAATGTTATTTTTATTATTACGGTATTATGAACCCGAATCTGCAATACATGTATTGCAAACGCTTGGTAATGATTAATCCTCAGTCTATGCAAAAGCACTTTTGATCCCCAGCGAGGTCAAAGAAACCAATGGTTCTGTCCTCGACCACATCATTCGGACAATGCAGTGAATGGATCTATAGTTGCAAGGAGAGTTGTTCAGCAACGGCCGTCGCCTTTTGTTTGTTTCTTGACGTAAGCCTTCATGTCCTCGTACTTGCCCTTGCGGACGTTTTCGATGTGGTTCAACACGCGAGGGTAAACCTCCTCATGCGCAGTCGGACTCATCCAGGCGTCGAGGTGGCCACGACCCTCGAAGACCTGTCTCTCGTAGCAGAAGCCACCATTGGCCTCGCTGAGAGTAGTGAATGACAGGTCGGTGTTCTGGGGCTCGTAGACGGCGTTGTCGGATCCCGAGAAGAAGAAAATGGGAAGACCCTTGAGACGGGCGATGTTCTGGGGAGTCACGAGGTCCACGTTCTGGTTGTCCATTACGTGGCCGGCGAGACCTGTCGACATGAGGTGTTGAAGACTGGCCATGGACGTTCCGCCGATGAAGTTCTCCAGCTGTGCGTGGGTGGCGTCGTTGAGGTGCTTGTGAGACCAGAGGCTTTAGGGAAGTAATTAGTAACCTGGACATATACATGACGTGGGCATTAGGATAGCTTACCGTCCAAACACGAGAGAGCTCCGATGGCAGACAACGGAGTTGCAGATCTCATCACGGCGACCGACGGGGTAGAATCGGAGGACCTGGTTGATGGCTTGCGAAATGATTCCATCTTGAGGTGAGCTGCTGCAATCAAACCAGTTGCCCTGGAACAGGTTGTAGAGAGTCGCCGGCGAAATAGGCAGGCTGGCCTTCAGACTGTTGACCTTGGCGAACATCGGGTTCATGAAAACTTGGGAGGCGGTCACGCCGCTAAGCCATTCGCGAGGAATCGTGCCGTCGAGCAGACCGGAGGCAAGAGCAACAGAACCAGCGCAATGAGCAATGACGTAGGTCTGCGGATATTCTATGCTGTCGCTGTCGTCTTGTAGGCGCTTGGAGTGCCTCTCGCGGATCATCTGTAGAGCGGCCTTGATGTCGCGGCGGGCATCATATGTGGTCCAGTTCTGCTGGGCAACAATCGTCTTGCCCACTCGGTGAACCATAGAGTACACGCGGAATCCCTTGCTGCGGTAGTAGTTGACAGCGTTCTTCTCAATGGTGGGCAGTGCGAAGATCTGTTGATCGACGGCGGCGCCAGGGATGAGGAAGACGATCGGGGCGTTCGCCTCATCCCAGTCGCGCTTGTCATATTGCTCAGTGAATTGCGGACTCCAGTAGAAAAGCTTGGTCTTGACTTTGTCGGTTGCCTCGATAGTGATCTCTTCCGTGCAGCGAGAGGGGTTCTGATAGTTGGTGAAGGGGAGGCTTGGCCATTGCATGGGGATGAAGGGGGTGAGGAAAGCACTGGCGGCCTTGGCGGTGAAGTAACCCAGGAAGTTAGCGGTGGAAGAGACGCGGGCGTAGAGAGTCGACCCGGTGGTCTCCATGGTTGTGACCTCCTGGAGGAAGGAAGATGGCCGAATGTGGATGACACCCTTGCCACGGACCTTCTTCTCATCGGGCTCTCCCTGCTCGTTGAACTCCGTGATGGTGCAGTAGAGGGTGGTGGTAGCTCTCCACAGGTTGAGAGGGTTGAGAACGACGTTGGAGTTGACGACCTTGTAACCATTGAAGTGGAACCTCTTGCCATTGGGGCAAGACACCTCGAAGTTGTAGGTGAGGTTCGTGGTATCCGGAGCACGAGGGTCGTCGTTGAAGAGCTGGAACTTGCCACCCTGAACCATGCATGTTCCGCCCAGTCGAGGGCAAGTGAACGTGCCGGTAAGCGTGGCCATGTGGTCCTTGTCGTGAACAACTGGCCAAGTTAGTGATGTGATTGACTAGTCATACTGGAGAAGCTTGCTTACGGTTGTGAGTGTTCCAGGAGCGAGCGCTCAGGAAGAACCGAGAGTATTCACCACGGCTGCGGGCAGTGGCGGTAGCACGGTCAAACGACAAGTCCTTGAGGCTCTCGCCCTCCTCTCCGATGTGAATCCATCCATCCATCATCTCAGTGAAGGCAACTCCCGGAGTCTTGTCGTCTCTGGCCGTCTGGATGATGTCCTGGACTCTCATTACATGCTGATCGCTGTCCTCAAAAGGGGCGTACGCCGGCTGACCAAAGAGATTCAGGGGACCTGTAGCATTTTAGCATCCTCTGGTAAAATTGTTGCTGTCGGTCTTTGCTTACCATTTGGCGTTGTACTGATTGTGCGGCCGAGGTCTTTCAAGATGAGATCCATAGATCTCTCCGCCAAAGCCGTGATGGTCGCGAAGGGGTTCACACCAAGGGCTGCAGGGACAATAGCGCCGTCGCAGACAACAAGTCCACGATGAACATCCTTGCCTTCACCCTTGAAAAGTTGCCCTACGTCGTTGACACCACCGCTGGCGCCCGTGTCGTCGTTGCTGATGCGGGCACCACCACTGGCTCTTGGTCAGCATTTGGGAGTGATCGAGATGAGGGCATGGGCTTACATGGCGTGGACGGTGATTTCCTTCTCTCCAAAGGCAGCGTAGAAAGGACTGTCGACATAGGTGCCACCAATCAGGCTGGTAATCTTCTGGAGGTAGCCTGCCAGCTTCGTGGCCCTCTTAGATGTGCCGACTCCAGAGAAGTTGATCAGCGGCCTGTCATCCACCAGCTGCATCGTAGCCTGACTGCCTAGATGTGCATGTTAGATGATTTCGCCCAAATAGAAGCGATGGTACTCACTGTCGTGGGACATGATGAGATAACATTGTGTTCTCTCAACACTTCCTAGCGGGTTGTAGGGTCCGAAAGCTCGGCTTCCGAGAGCAGCAGCGACATGTTGAGCCTTCTGGGTGAAGGTGAGGTTGTCCGGGCCAACACTACCGGGAAGGTATTGGAGCATCGTCTGGTAGAAGGGGGCAAGGGCTGCAGGTACGGCACCCTCCTCGATCACGAAGCCGTCGAGCGGGTTTTCTTGGTCACGGCAGTCGATGACACCCGTGATGCAAGGCCCAACAGGACGATTTGGTGGGGGGTCTGGCCGGCCGATTGAGTTGACGTATTCGCTGGTGTTGTAGCTGGTTTACCGTTAGACACGTACCCCTTGAACGATGATCGAGGTCCAGAACTTACCCAAAGGCCAAGATGTCACCATTTCCGCTCATTCCGTGGCCGACGTCTTTGCTCATCTGCAGACCAAACTTCTGGCTGCGGAGAAGGATCTCAGTGGTTCCGATGCTGCCAGCACCGAAGCACACAAACTCCTTGGCGTGAACCCACATGAGGTCATCGTAGAAGATGTTGCTGAAGTTGCCACGCTTGCCACCGTGCCAGCCAAAGTGCACGATGTAGCCGTCTCTGTCTGGGGCTTCAGTGACGTAGCGAACCTCGCACTGGCAGAACATCTCGGCGCCCCAGTTCCAGGCGTCACTGAGGTAGTTGACCAGGGTGGTCGACTTGCTGCCGTCGTTCAAACCGGTCGTATCTTGGCCGGTAAGGGTAGACGCCCTCATGGAGACGCCAGTGCTGTTGTCGCCGTCGACGAACTTGGTGGTTTGAGGGACGCGGTAGAATTTGTCGCCCCATCCCATGAGCTTGGCTTGTTTCTCCAAAGTCTCAAGCTTATGGAGCTTGGGATAATCTTCAGGGTACGTCGCAGGCTCTAAGACCTTACGAGCCTCATTGTAGTCTGATTCTGGTTAGGAAATCTTGTCATGACACTCAGCTCTTGCGGAATGCGCCACTTACAATGCTTCAATCCCTCTTTTCTGATACGGTCGGGCCAGATGGGCAGGTCCATGGTGCCTTTGTCTGCCTCGAGGAAGACGTTGGCGTTCAGAAGACTAGTACCACCGAGGCCATTTCCGACGAATGCATTTTGGCCATCGCCAACAATAAGGTGGTAAAGCCCCGTGGGATCACCTCCCTCGGCAACCTTGCCTAGGCGGCCAATGAGGCCATCCGTGGCTGCGTTGGTCATGTGAAGCTCCCTTGAAGCAGGCAAAATTTCAGAAGGGAACTCTCCAGGCCACTTCTCCTTGCCACGCTCCAGGAGACAGACGGTCTGTCCAGCTCTAGCCATGCGGCTGGCGGCGACAGCACCGCCATATCCTGAGCCGATGACAACGACGTCGTATGAAGGGCGGATCAGCTCGACAGGACGGGAGATACGGGGGTATGACCCAGTCACGGGATCGAAGTTTCCGTCTCGTTTATCGTAGCCATCTGCAGACTCATCGGTCTGGACATCCGGAACGCTTTGATTTCTACTCTCGGGCTGGTCGACGCCGTTGGTGTGGCCGTTCTCGTCGTGACCGTTGGTCTCCCAGTCGTGGCCGTTCATGGTGCCTTTTGCCACACGATTAACAATCAAGTATATGCCTTTCAAGAATCACAAAAGAACGTGGTAGTAAAGGCTTATCTCAACTCGCAAACTATCAAGGTGCCACGGACACCATCATCTTCTTATAACGAGATGCTCTGGCGTTTCTTTCGAACAACGATCAGTCGCGACGGAAACATCCTTCTCTGTTCTCATCCACATGCGTCTTACAATATTGTTTTCGGTGTACATGGAAAGGAGAGTCATCAGTTCGTACATTCGCCGAATGCAGCACGATGGCTGTGCTCGGCGTCAGCACGAGAATTTCTCACAGCCGTCACATACAGTCAGCAAGCTTCTGGTGGTGTGGGTGCTGAGCCGTTCGTGTCCGTAAGAATCGGTTACATTGCGCCTCAATTCTTGTCAGCCCAGCTATGTAACAGTTCCCATTCGCTCACGATATTGTCGAGGCTTGCGGGCATGTTTCCCGGAGAGGCCGATCTGACCTTTGGCATGTGATTTGTGTACACTTCGGAAATGGCACGCTGGATTTTGTTATCTCTCAGAGAACAGATTTTCTGATAGAGTTGAAGACAAGACAGGATCCGGTGAGATTGTTCACCTCGAGCTCGTTGCTCTCTCTGCAAGCAAACGTTTTCGTTAGTTTGACGATGTCTTGCAATTGGTCGAAGTATAAAAGTTGACCGAAAAGACCGACCGCGACGTGGAATAACGCGGGGGCGGGCACTTTCAGTGAATGTGAAAGTAGCTGCGTATTTGGGCGTTCCGGTTTGTTTACAGCAATTTCCACTATTGAAGTGCCGCATTCCTGAAGATAGTAAACAAGTCGGGCTTGGAGTAGTACCGGCATTGATGTGGCTCAACGTTTGGAACCCAATTCCCCAGTCTCTCGGCCGTTGTGGCTGTTCCCAATCTGTCTATGAATCAACGAAAGAGGTAAGGTTTGCTTGCACTGGTGATTTGACCGTCAGGGATGAATTGATCAAGTCCTACCTCGGACATGTCTTACCATGGAAAGCCTCCCGATTGGCGAGCTGTCAGTCATCACATCAATACCAGCACCAGAAGCAAGCGCAGGCATATCTGCGGCAGCCCCAGCGGCCCGCAAACGGAGCTGAGCTATTGAGGGGTTCCGGGGCTAAGATGCTCGTCGCGGAGTGTGTGGAGCTGCCAAGTACGGAGGGGGCCGTATGCCGCGCAGCTCCGAGACAGAAAACGAATTTGCCTCGCGGTGAGGCTGCTTGGAAAGTACACTAGCAATCAGCTTGTCTCTTCTGGTATAAGAGCTGCGCCGGGTTGGATATGGGAAAGGCCCCCAACATGCCACCTTTCAGCCCTCCCGCCCTTGGAGAGGAAGCTTTCAACATGCAGATGTCATCCCGAGCTGACGCAGGCGGCTACGGCAACTCAAGAAGAGTGGAGGAAACAACGCCGTAGAAACCCTATCTCAAAAGCCGTGGGGGATTTTGGGGCTGAATCCCACAGCATTCACCCCTGAATTGCCATGCTGCAGGCTGACTGCCTCATGGCAAATGCCTCGACACGTGAAAGTCGGAACCAAAGACATGTGAGTGAGAGACAATAAGGTCTGATTTTGCATTCTCAGCTCGCGTATCCTCCCTTTCTCATGCTTTACATGAGATAACGATTGAATTCCAGCCTGCATGAACGCCAATAGGGGGGTGACGATTTCCTGGCATGATGATATAAGAAAATAGTCCGCCGCTGAATTGATGCAGGCCGTCTTGGCCCAGTCTTCAAGACAATATTTTTCTGTTGGTCAATTAGCACCACCTTTCCTTCAGAATGGCGCAATCACCCGTCAATGTGTATCATTCCCTTCCCAGGGACTTGAGCAACCAAAAGATCGTCGCATCATCGGTCCGCCCAGTCACGACCGCCGACCTCCGCTCCCTCCTGAGAAAAGAAGGCCCTGTGCGTCCCATCAGGGACAGACCTGCCAAACTAGAGCTTCGGAAGCCCGACTATTACACCGGCTCCCCTTGGAAGCTAGCGAAAGACGATGCCATCTTGTTTTTCAAGAACATTCTTTACCTGCCGGGTATCGTCTTCCCTCTCTGGTCTCGGCCTCCCCAGCGCTCCTTCGACATCGATAGCCGCGCCGGCGATCAATCAGGCTTCATAATCGCCCGTCTTAGGCGTCAATTTGAGGTCTACGCCCAGCAATACTTCCATTCCGGCCCCCTCGACGAGCTTTACCCGTCCTTTGCCAACTTCTATGACGTCACGTTTCACTTCATCCTCATTATTGCCCAGTCGGCTTTCCTCCTGTCTATTCCCTTCCTCTCTTTCTTCTCCTTCAACTTGGTTGTCGCCTACATCATTGGCTTCACGGTTCTAAACTACGTCGTGTGCTATGGGCTGAACGGTTACTTGCCCGATGGTTACATCCAGTCCACCGATTTCCCTGAGGCTAGTCTCTGGGATGAACAGCACAAGAAAGAGCAGTGGATCTTCCTGAATGGAGTGGCGGTCGGGTGAGATTACTTCCACCGATATTGGCTGCGTGCAAACTGACCGCCGGACAGACAACATTGGTTGCGAAGCAACATCGACAGAATCTCTCTGACCTTCCACCGCCGAGTCATTGGCGTTCACAACAAGACGTACGCAGCCCTTTTGAGCTTCAAGAGATCGCCGCTAACATTGAACACAGCAATGGCATCATCTTCGACATAATCCAATGCCTCCTGGAGCGCTGCTTGTACTTCGGCACTTCCGACACCAGAGCCTGCTTCGCCCTCATCTCCGAGGCCCTTCTCAGGCCTAACAACGAGAAGGTCGTCCTGATTCTCCACTCCCAGGGTGGTCTTGAGGGCAGTATCATCCTAGACTGGCTCATCAACCAACATCCGCGTTCCGATCTCCAAAAGCTGGAGATTTACACCTTTGGCAACGCCGCGAACCACTTCAACAACCCGCGCATCTTCAAGGACGCAGAGCCTGGCCAGGAACCAGGCACCAACCGTGCCATTCGCCACATCGAGCACTACGCCAACTCTTCCGACTTCGTCTCCCGCTGGGGTGTCATGAACTTCAAGAAGAAGACCGCCGACCAGCAGGACCGATCTGTCATCTACAACCTCAATGCGTCCGTTCTGTCTGGCCGCACCGAGCCCAAGAAGCAGCTCAGCAGGAGGCAGATCAACGAGAACAACAAGCTGCAGGAGGCATGGAACTCTTACGCTGGCGCCCTTTTCGAGCGCACTGGCTCCGGGCACCAGTTCAACCAGCACTACCTCGACAACATGTTCCCTCTCGACAAGGGCCTTTCTCGCGTCCAGCAGAACGGCGATGGATCGCCCCTGCCGGGTACCTTCATGGCAGCCGAGGTCAACGTCTTCAACGACCCCAAGCAGATTGACAGGCTCAGAAACCTGCACAACGGACACCACGATCATCATGGCGGCCACCACCACCACCATGGTATCAACGGTGACGTCACTATCAAGAAGGTGTACCAGCTCAGCCGTCTGTGGGAGTATGTCAATGGCAACAGCCCCAGAGATGAATATGCGACGGAGTACTAAGTCGCGTGAACGGAGATCACTGCAATAGTAGTTGTGCAAGCAGACAATGTTGCCAGGGCTCGCTGTAGATCCCGGCAACCGCTAGTGGGACACTTGTATTATTCCAGATAGTAAAAGTTTTCATGTCACTTTGATAACGAAGAAGACCGTGAACATACCTATTGAATGCATCATTTGCGTCAAATTTCTGACGACCACCTCCGCATCTGGCTGAAGTGCCGAGGGAAGCCTGCTGTGCAAGTCACAGCCGTGCATATCGCTTCTCATAAATGGAGTTCCTGACCCCGACACTGACTGGCAGCTGAGATTCATTTTTTGAAGTCCGCGGATTTTGAAAGGATTTATACTGACATGACATCAATCTGCCGCATCACATCGGCACCGAGTTGTGACCTCGAGCTCAAGTGACTTAGGCTCATGCTCTCCGGAGCTCTATGCTCTCTTCTCAGAGTCTCGAGATGTTTCTTTTTTGTTTGTCAATTGGACAATCGCCTGGTTTCAGACTTATTGATTATACTGATAACCGAAAGATCTCATGGCTTCCAATGAGCGCTGCCACGCTGAAGGCTTTTACGCCCGTCTGGGTGGGCTTGATGATGGCGAGCTGTTTAGTTTCAATGGAGACCGCCTTTCTGCATTCTTGAACTCAAAGTTCGATACTCACCACATATAGCATTACATCATGACCTGAAGCTATATACCTAATCGCTTTTAATCGCTGTCAAGATGAAATATTGGCTCTCTTCATGTTGGAGGCTTGGACGCAAATGTTTCCTCCCAAGCCAAGTTTGACTGGGACCGGGCTTCCGGATCTATATGGAAAGGTGAGCAATACAACTAGGTTCCCTAGATCTGAGAATGTATTAGGAGAAACTTTGCTGAGGCGTTATGAATCATAGGTTTACGTCGTCACTGGGTCAAACGCGGACGTGGGCAAGAAGCAAGCTTAAGTGTTCTACGCCAAAAATGTAAAGGTCTACATCGCGGCCCTATCTGAGTCAAACGCATTGGCGGGAATCAACGACATGAAAGCATCAGTAGCGTCGTCTACCGGTAGTCTCGCGTACTTGTATCTTGACCTGGGCGACCTGAGCGGCATGGAGGAATCGGTGGGCTTCTCCTCACAGCAGACAGAGTTACATGATCTTTTCGACCGGGCAGCAAGCCACCACGCGGACTCCTCAAGGACATGAAGTCCATCTGGGGATCAACAACTGGGCACGTTCCTCTTCACGAAGCTCTTGACGCCGATTCTGGCGGGCACGGCAAAAGTGGGACTGTCCGGCGCGGTCCGCGTGGTGTGGGTCTCCTACTCCGCAACGGAGATCTTCGGCCTTCCTTCCATCGCCATGCCGATAGAGGAGCTTTCCAGTTATATGGATGGCTCTTCATCCGTGAAGTATGTATGCCAAGCGTCACCAAGGGAATGGCATTTTCAGCGTTAATGTCAACCCAGGAAATCTTAAATCTGAGCATTTTCGCGAGGAGGGCCTGTTCATGAGGATCCTGATCTCGTTGGTGGGGTATCCTCCTGTCAATGGTGCATGCACACAGCTTTATCCTGCACAGAGACCAGACTTGGTTGACGCAACGAAGACTGCGAAAGACGGAGGCAATGGCACAGCTCGGGAGTGAAGCGAGGGCCACGTGAGTCGCTGTTCCTGAGCTGCGTGTGCTGGACTTCATGTTTTATTAAGACCTGGAACGATTTGATCATTTGATCTTCTGTTGCTTTCAACTTTCGTCCCAACACGCTTTGTAATTACTCGACCCATTCTGACGAAAATCACAACTAAAAGGGGTTGAGGCCCTGTTCAATAGTGTCACGTAAGGTGGGAGGAACACTTGTTGGTCCCGACATTGCGCGGCCCGGTGCAGGGTGACGATGCAGCTCGAGTCAATCAATTTACAAGCGCTGGCCGCACCAACAGCGTTGGTGATCTGCAAGAGCTGGGATGGCACGGCCTGACGGTTCCCCGGGAACGAACCGACTGCTCGATCTTGAATCAATATTACATGCTGACGCGATTCCCGCGCGAGCCGTTCCCGTGCCAGTAGTTATGCAGCAAAGAATTTCCGAGAACTGACGAGAATCTCACTTGAGATATATTATTATCTTCTCTGCGCAAAATGCCTTGATTGACACCCGCTGGGGCTGAAGACATCGCCAAGATCTAGAATGGCACAGCGGCTAAAAATATGGATCGTTGCAACGCGAACCCGCCAGAATGTAACATGTTGTTGGTGGTTTTGAGATTGCTCGGTAAACTTTCAGTTGATCTCTGGCGGTTAATCGCATGAGCACACGACACCGCCCGGGCCTCTGGAGTCGTTTTCAGGGGCGCAGAAGAGTCCACCTGGCTTTGTCTGTGTCTTGGGCATTTCGCTGGGATATCTGCTGCAGTTGGTGGTGTTCGCAAACAAGACTAGGGATGAAGAAACCCGCCCCCAAGTGTGAGTCGCTTCGCCATCCATGTCCTGTTTTCCTGCCCAACCCGAATAGGCAAGACGAAGTTGATTGACGTTTGCCAGAATCCAAACGAATTTCCCGCTTCATTAAACTCTACATAAAACCAATTGTTTCCAATCACTATCTGTACACAATTAGTGAGACATTCGATGCGTTTGCTACCCCCTAATTACATGCCCTCAAGTGGAACTTCCAGCCACTTTCGTAGGATAAAGCTGATCAGTCTCACCGATGCTGTGCCTCCTGGATTTCCGTGCCCATCAGTTCTCTGGGCTGCCCATCCCAAGCAGCCGCGACTGGTGTTCCATTCATCTCTTGACTTGGGTTCGGGATCATTTGCGAGTGATTTGGACTAGTGCTCAAATGCTGAGCCGAGCTTTTGTCATACCCTGGCTGAAGGTGTCCGCTGTTGGTTGGTTGTTGGGTGATCTGATGCTGGTTGTTTCGCCTTCTCTTAATGAATACCCATGTCGCCAAGGCAAGAACGATAGCAACCAAAGGGATGCCAACGCCGAGGCCAACCTTGAGTGCGAGGGATTCGCCAGAATCTCCACTGCCTGAGCCCGGGCTTGAAGCACTGGACTGGCTTGTACTCGTCGTTGCCGTGACTGTTGCACTTGTCGTGCTCGTCCTGTTGATCGGTGAAGGAACAGGCAGGCCGTTTTGGTCCAGATATTGGAGATTTTGCGTGTTGCCGCAACATGAATTGAACCCTACGCGGCAACAGAATGCATCCTGTTCTGGGCAATGCTCCACCCTAGGAAATACGCCATCTGCCCTACCTGTATTCATCTTTGTCTCCTCTGTGTTTGGTCGGTCAGCCAGACTGGAGCCTCCAACTGAGCACAGGTAGAGATCAACTTACCAAAAAGACAGATTTGTGCGCAGTCATAATCCCAGGATTCCGATAAACAAGTGCCGCGAATGAAGACTCCCGGCCCCTCTCCGTCTAATTTGCAAAGTCGGTTCTGTTGGCACGCAGCCCCAGCTCCACAGCAAGCATTGGTTCCTGGACATTGGACTTGGTTGGGTACTCTCCCCCCAGCGTAACTGTTGCAAATGATGGCGTGAGTCCTGGACGTGAGGGTGGACAGTAAAGCGAGGAAGCTGATGATTTTCCAAGAACAAGCCATAATGATCACGTTGACCAAGTTCTAGGCCAAGCTTTCGACGGATGAGCAATCGAGTCAATGGTCCTGACAACAAACCAAAAGAACCGAACTAGCAAACAACGATTCAAAAGAGGACAGCATCGAGTTTTAACCGACGTCCTACCCCTCTCCCTGTGAACAAAAGGCTATCTTTCTGACTGCGATGCCAAGATGCGTAATCATCATGTCTTGCTTTAGTTCAACCTCGTGGCTTGAGGGCACGTACCTGGAAAGGCAGATGCATGTCACCGCCCGGTGGGACCCACGCGCGTGGTACCCCATGCTCAAAGTCGTAGCTATTTGCGCTTCTGTTCAATGTTGCTTTCGCGAACCCCTGGACTTGCATAAGGTACCTAGTTACACCATGTTGCTAAAAGCAAAGCTGATTCCCCTACCCCTTTCGATGTCTCGGTTCTCTTCATTAGTCTTCTTTCGTTTCTTTTCTTATTCTAGCATGGCCGTGGCTATAGTGAAATCGCCGAAGGCGAAGGCCTCAATACTTTCTGTCTGCCTTCTGTTCATGTTTCTGTACTCTCTATCAAGGCTTGCTCCGTCTTATCATTCGACGCCACCGGCAGCGCCGGCACCTCCGGAACCGCTAGAAGTTGAACCGCCGCCGAACGACCACGATGAACAGGTTTCCCAGCATTCGGATCACATCAGTTTATCAACATGGCAGAAAGAGGCCCAAGTGATTCTTCAAGAAGCAAGATCATTCATTGACGCTCCCATCCAACCCCCCTACAAGCACAAATTCTACGATCTGGGCCAGCGTACACAGGTTGCTCGCGAATGGATCAGGTTTCTCGACAACGCACCACCATCCGGAGACAAGACTGTTCTTCTAGAAACAGTCGAAAGCGCAATACGAACAATGTTCCCTTATCTCGAACACTCGCCAAAGAATCCCAGCAGCAAGACGCCGCTGAGCGACCTTCGCGCTTCCATAGCCCCCGGATCTCGTGGCATCGTCATTCCAGCGGGGAAAAGTACCAAGAGATATGCCACTCATCTCATCGGCTCTCTTCAGGAGATTCTTCAGAGCAATCTGACAATCCAGATTGTTTATGCCGGAGATGACGACTTGCCCGCCGCAGACCGCGAACGGTTGCACGCCCGGTTTCGCAATGTCGAATTTTTGGACATGCTCACGCTCATCGACGACACCACCGTTAAGCTTGTCAACGGAGGCTGGGCTATCAAGGCATTCGCTGCTCTCTACGCGCCGTTTGAAGAAGTTATATTGCTGGATGCGGATTCGGTCTTCGTCCAGAGACCGGAGACATTGTTCATGGATCCCTCCTACGTCACGTCAGGGGTTCTACTCTTTCACGATCGTCTTCTTTGGCAACATTATTTTTCTGAGCGACATGACTGGTGGAAGTCGCAAATTCATGAGCCGAGCGCAACTCTCAACAAATCGCTCGTATGGACGGAGGATTTCGCTGAGGAGGGCGACTCCGGTGTCGTTGTTATCGACAAGTCACGTGTGGATGTGCTGATGGGACTTTTGCACGTCGCTTGGCAGAACACGCATGCTGTGCGAGAGGAGGTCACTTACAAGATGACGTACGGTGATAAAGAAACCTGGTGGTTCGGATTTGAGCTTAGCGGAGCGACGTACTCTTTCGAAAAGCACTATGGCGCGATGGTTGGTTGGCTCCGTGACACGATGGAGGACTCTGTGGTGAGGATCTGCAGCTTCGTCATCGGGCACGTCGACGTGAGGGACGAGCTGATCTGGTATAACGGAGGGCTCCTGAAGAACAAGAAGGTCGACAAACACGAGTTCGGTCTTCCAACACATACGATGGTGGATGGGACTTGGGAGAAGGGCGCGGACCGGACGGAGATGAGCTGCATGGTCGGGAGTAATGCGAAACCACTGACGCAGGACATGCAGTGGATTTTGAAGACATCAATAGACTTGGCGAAGAAGCTAGATGATGAGTTTGGTTTTGTTTAGACAGTAGTAGATCCTCCAATACATACCCCGAGCAAGTTCAACCACGTGGAGAGTATGATAACGAGCAAGGCGCGTTGCCATTTCGTTCGTCTAAACCCCCAGGCCATTCAATACACTCTATGGTTTGTTCTCAAAGCCCGTTGAGACAATAACTCCGAAAGGTCTTCAGTTCAGAAGCCCCGGATACTCACTGTATTGTTTCGATGTACAATGTGTTATACATAGCGAGCGAAGACCGCCCTGCTACCGTACAAAAACTCCGGTTAAAACGTTTTTGTAATGCAGCTTGAGAGTTGAGCAGAAGTGCTGCGAAGAAAGTTTAGTCTTCTTCAAGTCCACGCCACAGCCGTCATTCGACTGGTCTTTCTGTTTCTGTGCTCAGATGCTACCAGGCTTTGAACCAGTCGACTGCCTGAAAGAAAGCCTGTTCCTTGCCGAACTTTTGTTCGGGATTGCTGATGTTGGCCCTGGTGCCAAATCCATGAAACGTGCCGGAGTAAAGGGCAACTTGGTATGGGTGAGCAGTCTGGTTCAACAAGCCCTCAACCTCGAAGCGGCGTGCAGGCTCAAAAAGAGTGTCAATTTCTACACGTGCGGAAGCCGCTGTTAGTGTGTGCTTCCCTTTGCAGAGAGAGGGACAATAAAATGAGCGTTCAACTCACCGGCTGCGGCAATGCTGGCGGGACCACTGATGGCGAGGACTTCGTCATCTTGGAGGAAACTCGGGTGAGCTGCGAAACCGATATTGGCACCTCGACCCTCTTCGAGGAAACGAAACGCGTATCGGCCACCAAAGCAGTAACCAGTCACGGCAATTCGCTCGAACGAGAGCACATCACGCATGTAGCGGATGGCTGTCTCGATGTCGCGGTCAGTCACGTTGGTCGTATGCTTGGCGAGGAACTCTTCGGCATCGAAGGTTATGTCGTGAGGCGCGGGTTCTCCTTGAAAGATGTCGGGCATAACGGTTGTGAATCCAGCCCTGGCGAAGCTGTCTGCCAGTCTGTGATTGTGTCAACTTTGAAGCTCTAATTCGTGTTCGATACATAGACATCAGACTCACAGCTTATTCTGTAAAAGTGGAAGTCCAAACGCGTCTGTCAAGTACAGGACGGCCTTCTTGGGGTCATCGGCCTGAGCTGCTGGGCTGATATACAGAGTGACTGATCGAAAGTTAGCTTCTAAAGCCATCTCACATTATGAAAGTATACCTACCTCCCTCGTGAACTAGCTCACTTCCCACAGGTTCACCTTCATGTTGAATGATGTCACCGGGAGTTGACTTCGGAATGTATGCTGCGGAGGCAAAGCTGCCAACGACAAGTTGAACAACAAGGTAGTGGAGAGGAACCATTTTTCAAACGATCAGATTGTTTCGTTTCGTGGTGATCAAGCGGTATGGTTGATGGAGGATCAAACGCAAGTTCAGACGGAAGATGGGATGAAAGCTGAGACGGAACTTGGAGAAACATGGAACGAGTCAAAGAGAGTTCTCGAACGTTTTCGAGCGGGGGAATGCAACATATCTGCCATATCACATCTTGGGTTCTTCACTATTCCTCCCTAGTTAAACTATCCATCCGCCAGCCGTGGCTCAATGCTGTTCTGAAGGCTTGAGCAGCAAGATGCTGTGATTGGAAAGTGATGATACGCAGCTGCCAAGGCTGTAGCCGACATGCTCCTGACTGCCGGGTGGATCTAGATTTCGGTCACGGTCTCGGTTTCGGTTCCAGCAACGAATCACAACCCCGCGCCTTGCTATAATCACTTTTAACTTAATTAAGCTTAAAAAGTGCCTGGCTTGATGAACAGATTCCATAGGTCCGATGAACTTGAGGGGACTAAATGGTCATAGTATTGGCCACCCCCGACTCTCTGCTAACGTACGTCCGTGTCTTGGCTCTATGGAGAGATTACGCTTCATGCATTCAGGCAGCGTTGCGTTCGGTCTCGGTGTATTTCCTTGGTCCAACCCGTCTTCTTGGCCGCGGCCCGCGCGGCGTTTTGCTACCCCGTGCCCTCTCGGGTGTGGTCAGTATCGCCGGCCGGCGCCGAGTCCACTTCCGGCCCCATCCAGAGCCCCCGGGTTTTCTGAACACGACCCCTTTCTCAACATGGGGTATTAGTTCCCCAGCCACGAGTCCTCGCCGTCATCCTTGCACTAATACTTGATGTCCGGACTGGTCGGCATACTCGCTATCGCTTTTCTTCCTCGGAGCTGCCCCGCAGTACCTTAGGAGCTGCAGCGTGCTTCCCGCCTTCGCTAAACACCTCTGCCCAGTCATATCTCTTTCGGACTCATCCCCTGGCTCGCTTTAGTGATTCACTGTAACTTTCCGTCTTTGCCTTTATGGATATCGAACTCCGGTCTTCCAGTTGTTTTCTCAAGTGGCGAGGCCACGCCATTAGGTTACCACGGATGCGCTAGTGGTGAACAGCCATGCTGCTTAAGTGCCTTGGCACTATATCTTGTGGTCTGCCCAGACTTTTTGAAATAGATGAGCTCGGAAGATTAACTCGTGCTAAAGTGATGTCAACCAGGTTTAGGGACCGAGCACGTGGTTCACGGCGAGCTTACACCCGCAAACGATGCTTTCGCGAGAATGCAACACAGCGTAACGTCCCTTTCGCGGCTTTCATGTCATGGCGCTGGCGGCTATATAAGATAGTTATGACAACGCCCATCGAAAGACAGAGGTTTAGAAGCATCCATCGCACATCGTCTCTACCATCCATCTTCTGAAGATTGTCACTCATTCCTATTGCGCTCGTTCAGATCAAAATGTTCCATCAGAGCTCGGTCCTCGGGCTCACCGCATTCGTTGCGGGTGTGCTATCTGCTGCCGTTGACGATGGATGCAATGCGTTAGCTTCTCAGCACCCTGAGAAGACATTCTTTCCCGACTCGGCCCGATACAAGCATGAGAATGAATGTAGGCGTCTTCCACACATTTCTTGCACTTTTGAGGGTGTTCCGATGATGCTAACTGTACGTAGTGTCCTGGACCTCGATCACTCATCTTGGGCCGTCTTGTGTCTTCGCACCGCAGTCTCCGGCGGACGTACAGTTCGCCGTTGCTACGTTCAAGGAGCACCAGGTCCAATTTGGTATTCGCAGCGGAGGTGCCATGCCTATCGACAACGCTGCCAATATCGGTCCGGAGGGTATTCTGATGGCTATGACGAACCTGAGCACCATGGCTATCTCTGATGACCGCCAGACTGTCACCATTGGATCGGGAATTACTTGGCCCCCTCTGTACGCCTATCTGGATCAGTTCAACGTCTCCGCCAACGGCATTCGCTCCGGTAATGGTGGAGTCATTGGCGCAATCCTCGGAGGTGGCCCGTTTGGTTTCATGTCCTACGAATTCGGAATGGCGAACGTCGCTAGGTCTCTGGATGTGAGTATTCCTACGCCTTCGAGAGGACCTCTGCCCGGTTGACTGTAACGCCCGATCTAATCTTGCTTCAGTGCGTTCTTGCGGATGGAACTCTGGTTACGGCCAGCGCCGACGAAAATGCCGACCTCTTCTGGGCTCTTATCGGAGGCGGCAACAACTACTGCGTTGTCACCGGGGCTGTTCTCAACACCCTCCCTGTCTCGTCGGCCCTGATCGGAACGGTCTCATGGGGACCCGGTGTCTCGGAGCAATACATCAAGAGTGTTGAGCAGTTTGCGCTCCACGGCGCGGAACACCCCAAGGCTTCCTTCGAGGGTCAGACTCGTTGGGTGCCATCCCGCAGCAGCGAGATCTCATTCGACGGATATCTGTGGTACAGCGGCGAGGGCGACGTTCCTTTGGGATTGGAGAACTTCACCGCACCCGTCCTACCGATCAAGACCGGCAACATGACGCGCACGACCATCGGCGAGTGGTCGAACCGATTCAACTACGCTCCTCCTCTCGGCACACGCGCGACCTTCCACTGGCTCACCAGCAAGGCCGATGCCAGAGCCGCGAGAATCGCTTTTGACACGTACTACGAGTCAATCGCATCTCTGGCTGACGTCGAGGGTTTCTCAACCGCCTTCAGCATGCTTCCGATCACCCCCATCGTTGTTTCGGCGCCTGAGAACGCTATGGCCTTGGGCGCGGACGACGGCCCTGCGATCTGGTATGTTGAGAGCCCTCTGTGGACAAACCCCGCAGACGACGAGCGCGTGTTTGGTGTCCACGCCGAAGCCAACGTCAAGATTCGCGAGAGACTTACCGAGGCTGGGCTTGGACCTCTCCCGTTCATGTACCTCAGCGACATTCAGAAGACCCAGATCCCTGAGACTTTCCCGGCTTACGGAGCTGAGAACCTGAAGAAGCTCAAGGAAATCAGGGACAAGTACGATCCTGAGCGCGTGTTCACTGAATTGGTACCTGGAGGTGCGAAGGTCGCCTTGTCTTGAGCGAACAATCATACTTACGGGCAACGGGTATGCGAGAGCGCAAAAAAAGCTCGGCAACGTCCACCTTGTAACGAGATTCTTGATACTTCTCCTCTTATTCTCGAGCACTGCCAATAAACACCTCAGTCCAAGAACAAAGGTTGCGCGTTGTGAGACTTTCAAACGAGGCTTTTCAAACTTTCTATCTATTTGCCCATCAATCGTGAAACAGAAACATAGATAATGTCATGGAACAGCTTAGACAGGTTCATCAGCCCAACATTGAACTCAAGCCTGAAACCGAATCATATTACCATTCAAGCTACCTTTCTGCTAATCCATCTTCAGACCTGTCAAACCGAGGGACACCATTTGATCTAAGGCTGCACTCAGGTTTCTGTTCACTTCGTCACTTTGATGTCCTTGGTCGAGGATTTCCTTGAACCTCGATCCCCAGCGATTCCACTTCTCGAGCCCCCACTTAGGCTCATTCGTTTTCCTCATATCCTCATAGATGACCTTCCCAGCGTGAATAATCCACTCAGATGCCACCAAAAGTCGGCACTCTCCCAGCTTTCCGCCAGGAAGATCTTTCTCCAGAGCCATGGACACGTCGATGCTGGGGTACTTCAAATGGGACGGCCATGGCTCGTAGATCTCGGCCCCGTGATAGCGGGCTTGGAAGGAAGAAAAGTTGACCCATTCATCGCAAGTTAAGATGAAGTCTTCTTTCAACTTTGGATCCTCGGGCTCAGGGCCATCGGCTTCGTAAAATTAGCTGTTAAAGTCATTTCAAAGGGAGCGAATTCTTCAGCATACCGAACTTAGCATTCCAGTTGTCCTCACACATCATACCGAAAACAGGATCGTCGTGGTATGCATGGTGTTCTCTCTATAAAAATGGGTTAGCTGAGACAGTCCGATAAATAGGAACAACAGCGTAATGTACCCCCTCGCTCTTGTATGAGACTTTAGGCAGATTCTTGAGCTCGATCAAAAGCCTGACCAACAAGTCCTGGCGAGAGTCGTGGTAAGGCAACAACCAAGACTGAGTAAGAATCAAGTCATATAGCCTTGCCAGATACTGCGGTATTCCCTTGTCTTCCAACCTGTAAGGCCTGTTGAGAGGATCCTGGCTGGAAGGGAGAAACTTCGCCCAGTAATCGGCGCCAATCTGAAGAGCAGCCTCTAACGCTGCTACGAACCCCTTTTCAGGGAATGATAAAAACATCTTCAGAATGATTGCAGATGCCTCGGTGTTTTGTTGATCTCCCCAGCTCTCATCGACTTCGATTTGCTCTTCGAGCTCAGCTCTCCAAGGCTCATGAGAGGTATCGGCTTGGATTTCTGCAACGCTGCTGATAGCCATGTTGTGAATGCGGGAAAAGGTTGAATGGGATCGATAAATGAATCTGGAAGGATGAAAATCGGCTTAAGAAGTACGCGATAAAAAGTTCGTTTGAAACGAGGAGCACAGGTTGATGATAAGAGTGACAGAACTTACCGTTCTCCAAAGATTGTGGCTGTGAAAGAGGAGTAAGCGCTTCGCCGTTGGTCGGGTCTCTTCGCCGGGCCGTGAAGAGTTAAGCGCCGACCGGGGCCGCTGACAACACAGCCCACTCGGCCTGTTACCGGCTGGCCAGGGTCGGAATAGGCCAAGGCGAGCCACCGACCATGAGCAGCCGGACCAACAACAGAGCAACTGTAACAAGGTTTCTGGGCCCGGCGTCAATATTCTCGTATTTTTTGCCTGGTCTGATTAAGGTTTTGCTGGGGTTCGGCCGTGCCAACATCATCGCCAGACGTTCAGATTGATGTTGACAGGCCAAGTACCAAAGTCTCCAACGCTGACCTGCAATGCCATGACTGTTTCAAGACGCCAGAAATGATACATAATTATAGATGGGCGGCTAGTAGTCTTCATGGCGGGAACAGTCCTATAAAGATGGGTGTTGCGAGGCTCTCTTGCATCTTTTCGAGATCGTCCCGCTCTCAAGAGAGATTCATACTTCCTGGTGAAGTAGCTCTGCATTTCTTGTTGGGTCCCTCCCGTATCAGTTGAGACTGTATCTCGTACACTACTTCACTTTCTAAAACCCATCACGCATCTCGCCATCCCAGTCACAATGGGTAACAAGAACTCCGCCCCTCAGAGGCGCAACACCGACAACAAGGAGAATCAGCTGGTACGTCTGGTCACGGCACTTGGGCACGTCGTCGAGTTTGCCATACTCTGCGTTTTTTATGTGATCGTATCACTCATAACAACGCTCATTTAGCAATATCGTACCGCGAATGGGGCTGTTCCAGCTGTCAACGTCCCTCATGATCTTGAGGATGTTCCAAAGCCCGGCACTAGGACACGATCCAAATACCCTCATGTATACCGAAACCAGGAAGGCGACAAAAAGGTTCAAACTCAAACTTTCGAAAGCTACACGACAGGCCCCAAGAACTCTCAAGGGCCCGCTGGTGGCCTTCACGAATACCCAATTCCAACACCGAATGCACAATTTCGATTCGACTATGATCGACCGTGTGCATCTGCTAGCCGAGTCAATCGGCAGATTCATCCTAGGGAGCGGGCTAACGTCATGGGACCGGCTAACGGCAAACCTCTGAATGATCCCCAACAAACCAGAGCGGCTGTTCGCGTCGCGAATGTGGATGGCAAGAACGAGAATGTCGTCGTTGGGGTAATGGAGCATCCGCCGGGGGACAAAAGAAAGTTTCAGAGAGCACCCTTCGAGCCCTTGAATCGAGAGGGACGACAAGCAAAGGACCGACAAACCGATGAAAAGGGTCGATCACGAACTTATCCGCCCCGAGGCTTAGACGCAGGATTTGTTGAGGTCGTTGAGCAACGGCATCAACGGGTCAATCAACCAACTTATCCCAAAATGAGGGTTCGATAAGTGTGGTTTGAGTCACCAAACAGTTCTGGAAATAATCATATAAGTAAATGCCTACAATCTCGGATTTACAAAATCATACAGGAATGTTCGTCTCGGTTGGCTGAAACTGTTATTCGTAAATGTGCATTGGGTGGGTATAGTGCGATAAGTTTAAATAGACTACAACACTTGCATCATACTATATCCATCGTATGATGCTTTTCCGTTGTTTCAGAAGCGTGACTTTCTGCATGCAACTTTCGATTCCACGCCGCCTCCCAGTCTTGATGAACCTCTCCTATTGCATCCACTTGCTGGGGAAGCGCAACAAGTTCACCCTCGACAATTACATCCTCGGCTTGCCGTAGCCAACCTTCCCGACGCCCATCTACTGACGTCGCTTTCGCATCGTAACCCCAGTTATTGTTGGCCGTTGTTAGATCGAGAGTCGGAGATCCTATAGAAACGCCGTGAGCCGAAGTCGAACGTGTGTCATTGGATGACGACCTGGTTCAAGATTCCTTCGTCCATCGGTACCAGATTGCGGTCGCATGCTCTCCTTGATTCCTGGCCTCACTTCGGCGTGTTCTTGGCCTATTCGGTGATATTTCCTTAGCATCGTTTGTTCTCTGAACCAAGAGATGAATTGCCGGTAGACATGCACAAACGAGCCCAATTGCCAATTCCAAGGCCCTATCCGTATGGTCAATAAACAGCCAATATCTAAGGAGAGGAACACGAGACTTACGTCGTGATATCCAATAGTACAAACCCCTCGGTAGTGTCAGTCGGATTGAGAAACAAAATAGCCTTGTAAAGCCTATAAATCGATACCCCAGTGGCTACTCCGCCGGCACCCAAAAGGGCTACCACTTTGATCTTGGTCCAGATGGGCATGTGGAGCGAGAACGTCAGAACCAAGGGCAAGATGAGAATGACCAAGTCTGTGAGCACGCCCAAGCACATGTCGGATATGAACACTTTCCGCTGGTTGAGGCAATTCGCAGGTTTGACGTCCTGATCCCAAGCTGCCGCGATTGGTATGCACACCACCGCTTTTAGTAGCATGATCGGCACGTAGCAAATCAGCAATACCGTTATGAAGATGAAAACACCCCTGGAAACCTTTTCGTATACGGCGAAAACCCGTGCCTCCAGGAGTAGAAGTGTGACTTTGGTGAAATAGGCTGCTGGGCAGTAAAGGATAGAACCGACGTAGAGCCACTAAGAAGGGTCAGCATCCCATGCACCCTAATATTCACGAATCTCCGGCTTACTCGGAGTATCTCCTTATACGCTTCCTTTGTGACCTCCCATTCGTGATAGCCTTCGCCATAATGGGCCACTATGAAGTAAATCAGCAGCGTGATCCTCTTGTTTTCGAGAAGTGTTACACTCACTGACGAGAACGGTGCTGATGTAGAGCATCCAAAGCCCCTACAGGTCGTTAGACGGGTCAGATGATACATATAAGCGACCATGGATTTACATATGCTGCAATGCAGGTCCCTTGATCATGCACGTGGTCAGTAACATTTCGTACGTCGTCACGCACCCGTGTAATCTGCTACTTACAGTCTTCGGTGTACCATTGAGAGGTAATGGTCTTCTTGGCGTAGTTTCTCAGGCCAAACATCACGGTCGTGAAGCCGGCCATGATCGCCAGTCCCACCGTCAGGCTCGTCCGACCCAGATCCTCTGGGTGGTCGAAATTTGGTGTTCGCCCAGGTGGCGGTGGAAAGGCACCCACCGGGCCAGCTTCCTGAGCCATCGTGTCGCCCTTCCCAAGCCCAACGTGATTGTCGAGGAAAAGCTATGACAGTCATTGAGTAGAAACAATGAGTTGTAGACGAACTGCGGGGGGAGGATGGGCAGCAAAAAAGACGTGGGGCAACATTAGGTTTTAGTAGAATCATCCAGGCTTACCTCTGCACACGCTGATGCATGGGGCATGCCGAAACTCTGATATGGACAGGATGCGGAGGAAATGCTTGTTTTCTCTCTTCACGACTCATGGCTCCCAGCAGACGAATTATGCACATCCTTACAATTGGCATACGTATTCCCAGCGAATTGGCGGCTTCTTCCATCCTTGTGATGTTTCGCCCGGGGTGAGGCTGCTTTTGCTTGTGAGAGGAGAAACTCCGGAGCAAATATGCATCGACCGACAGGCTCGCTTTGTCTCGCATCGAGAGTCATGTTCTACAAGTCATTGTTCATTTCTGAGTAGAGAAAAAGGCTGTACCCCCCGAAGGCCTCGGGAAACCGGGAACACGCGTTTGAGTGACGAACGCATCAATTCCGAGAGCTACCCTTGTTGTAGCCTTCAACCTTGGCACATGGGGCTCTTAGGCGAACAGGAAACAGACACAAGCCGGAAATGGTTGAAAGAGATTGCGGAAACGTAACTGTGCAAGACAGACAACAGCATATTCTTATTGCTACATGTACTAAGAGTTTGCAACACGTCCGTCTTCAAACATGTGGCTGTGAACGATAACAGCATTGATACAGTCCCTGACGCTGGTTCCGAGGGATTTCGCCATTCAGTTGAGGCAAAAGGGTTTAACAAGACACGCCTTAGTAGTCCGAACGACAAGCATAATCATGCGAGAGCACAGTTTATCCCATATGGGGTTTCTAGTGTAATCCTCCACGGAGCCTCATATTAAAGGGTAATATACATGTAGGTCTATGTCGCATTGCCGCGACCCGATACCCCGAAAGGTGTTTGGGCCCGTACAATCTTTGATGGAATGAAAAGAGGCTCTCGCCCTCGGACCGTCAACCGTAGTTGAAACTTAGTTTCAGACAGAGAAAGAAGATATCTTCTGATGTCTCCACGGGTACTACAATTTCTCGCGCCTTTAAAAAGCTTGTGCTCGGCTTTGGCCCTGAGTACCGCCACGGGTTTCCGATTATTTTTGTGATGAAGATCCAGTTCCTAATTGCGCAACAATATGTACAAAAGAATTTCTAATCGCGGAGGAAGCGCTCGTCTGATGTGTTCATATCATCTCGGTCCTCTGACAAGTCGATGCAGGGCGCCATCTTGTTGCCGCCTAGATAGCTGATGCGAATTCCTTGCCTAGAAGCAAGGCATGGAAACTATGGGAGCTTAAGTGCTGGCAGAAGGGTCACATCAGAATCTCACCCGGGTCCTATCATGATAGAAAGTCTTTCATCGAAGAACAGACGGAGAGGTCACGGAGGGTAGACATTACCACCCGATCTGGAAGGCAATATATCCATAGAGATGGATCGGCGACCCAAGACCAAGCTAGAAATCTGGTAAGTAACTGTGAGAAGTGCCGATTGGTAGACTAATTACTGTGCCGTGGTTGGGCTCATATCTACCCACCTTCTATAGGCAAACGGCTGAGCGTCGGGAAATGGATTCATTGTGGCATTTCGCCTAAATTGGATCTCGACCAACCAGCCTGCCATTTCAATACAATCGGTAGCAAGCTTCCGCATGACCCGATAGGGCTCAGTTCAACTCCGTTCAATATAATTGAAAGTCCGGTGGTTTCGACAAAAGATTGCTTTCGGCCCTTTCGGTTCAGCGTAGCTACATGTACGTTTTCTGGACATTGCTGGCAGTGATCCTCCGCAATTACGGCTTGATAGTGATCCTTGTCATTCAATGAAAATGTTTCCTTGATAATCGTTCTAGCCCCGCATTTGCCGGCGTAATGGACCTGTCTTCCGGAGGAGTGGCGATGTCGAGCCGGCTAGTGTTTATGATCTGGCTAGGACTTGGCCTGGTCTTATATATATCTCGCATCGCGGACTTTAAGAAGCTCTGATCTGAAGCAGTGTAGATATCAGGTTTATTTTTGAGGCGTACTGCCGATTATCTTGCGGAAGCACATAGCCCATCATGAAGCTATCAATTGTCTCGGCGGTTGCCTTTACGGCCTTGGCTCATGGCCACTGCATTTTCCAAGTACACCACTGCTGGCTCCAGTATCTCTTGGTAATTCTACTAACCATTTGACCAATAGAAAATATCAGTCAATGGAAAGGAATACGGATCTCTGGCTGGACTTCGGGCCCCAAACCAGAACAATCCAACCGAGGACGTCAACTCCCAGGACATGATCTGTGGCAAGGTGGCCACCTCGTCGCAGGAAGTCGTCACGGTCGCCCCCGGAGACAAGATCGGTGCCTGGTGGCAGCATGTCATCGGCGGCGCGCAATTCCCCGGCGACCCGGACAACCCGATTGCGGCATCCCACAAGGGCCCCATCACGGCCTGGCTCGCCAAGGTTCCGAACGCCGCCTCCACCGGCGTGACGGGCCTCGACTGGTTCAAGGTGGCGGAGGACAACCTCGACGCCGCCTCCGGAAAGTGGGCGGTCGATAGGATGATCAGCAACAGTGGCTGGAGCTACTTCAACCTGCCTCAGTGTATTGCTCCAGGCGACTACTTTCTGCGCGTCGAGCTGCTCGCTCTTCACTCGGCCCATGCTCAGAAAGGAGCGCAGTTCTACATCTCGTGCGCCAATATCAAGGTCACGGGATCTGGATCGTTCTCGCCGAGCTCGACGGTCAAGTTTCCAGGGGCGTACCAACAAAGCGACCCTTCTATTTTCATCAACATCTACGGAACTGGCGGTGTACCCAACAATGGGGGGAAGGCTTACACCGCACCGGGACCGAGGCCGATTACTTGCTGAGGGTCGAGTTAATGTCGATTTCCTACGAAGCTCGTCGTGGACAGATCATCTGATTCGGCGTGTCAATCTCATGGCGAATTTCCACATTGGCATCTCTCGGCAGATAGAAATCAAAGTCTATTCCCCTCAGATTTCAGACTGAGAATATGAATCATGGCCAGTGAGATAAAACAATTGATAGAATCCCGACGGGTTTGGTCGAGTTCCGGGACTAAGCGTACCCTTCACAGCAGAGCCATAGCTTCAACTCATTAGAAGCTCTGGTAGGTTCAGAACAGGTCTTATTTCTGCAGGACTCGGAAATTTGAAGACGGTTGGCAAATTGCAAACAGTAAGAGAGACTTCTCCCGTGATTTGCAACGCTCTGTGGTCTTTTTCAATACAGTATCCATCTTGTGTCGTAGTTGACAATGGTCCGTAATCATTTTTATTCAAGATAAAGAATGTAGTACAGTGAGAGCATGCTGAGGCTTCCATGACTAATAGATGGAAGAAGTCAACTGCTGCACCAAACGGTCAAATGTGAAATTGATTAGCAATCTGGGAAAGTTAGAATCTAGATGCTCAAGCACCATCTGCCTAAGGAAAAATCGGGCGAGGAGAATACATGACCTCAAGAACACCAACTGATGATTATCGGTATCCAAGTCCTCGAGTCATGTTGAATTGGCGGTGATAAGTAGCGGTCGATGCAATGGGTCCGTCCAACGTTGGGATGAACGTCGATCTGTCTATCGCCATTGGAATACGAGGAACGGAGCGTCATCAGTGTTGCCGTCCAAATCAATTTCTAAGAATAGCTGACTGGACAAAGGGATAGGCGAGGACTAGCCATAGAGACTAGTCTAGCATACTTTTGTGGTATGCCGATACTGGTTACTGAACGGCTTGCATTGAGAAGACATGAGAGTTGACGAGAACGGATGTCTGCCTTCCGCCTCTCGAGGGTCCCTAACAGTGTACCAGCATTGCAGATTGACATGGTGGATGGGAACGGTACGATCCGGCACGCCATCATTATGCGGAATTCGGATTTTGAAACGAAAGAAAGACATCAACGCCATCAAAATTGCCCAATTCAGTCACATTGGGAAATATTTCGTGGTGCATACCATAACTTGCACGACCAATTACAGTGATCATGGCATGATTTTCCTCCCAGCCACTTCCAAATATAGCCTGAAAGCCTGTGTTATTTATCTGACACACGGGGGATTCCCGTCTCGGCCGTGGATTCCCCCGATACCCCACCAAAAGAGCTCCCGGCCCCATTTCCTCGGCCCTACGGGCGGCCCGGGCGCCGCGATTTTCTGGGGAGAGGCCGCCTGACAGCTGGATGAGGTTTCTGAATGGCCTCATTTTTCCGAGAAAGAAAACATGCTAAGGCTAGGCTAGCTATCGGACTTTTCGACGTTTTTTTTGGCATCATGAAGATGATACTTGTCAACTCACTCTTTGTAAAAGTCGCGACCACTCTGGTATCTTCGCATCAAAATTGTATGCAAAAGGGGTACATGAATCCCTGTTGCAACCCAGGTGCGCATCTCCCACTTTGTCCTACAGGGCTGCAAGGCTGATATCCCACTGGCATAGCGGTGTGCGTATTTTGGAAGCGAGGTCGCTCAGGTTTGAGAAACGCATCCCTGGCACTATGCCCTGTGACTCGAGATCACGACCGACCTCGGATTCCAGTTGTGTTATTGTAAATAGACGATGGTGGGTTTTGGAGTGGACATGACGGAGTCCCTGAGCAAATTCCTGCCGTCGCAACCGAAATGGGTGTCCATCGAGCACATTCAGCCATTTCGCGAATGGAAACATCAAGGTTCACGTTTGAGCCTCAAACCAGGGGTCAAAGGAGACATTCCGACAGGTATGTGAGCGGTCTTGAGGGATCCCGCCGGCTAGGAACCGCAGCCGAGTAAACATTCATGTCCAGAGCCTCACCCAATATCGTCGCATGGCAAAATGCTCACGATAGCAAGCGGGAAGGCTTCGAAGTCGCGGATAAAGTGTCATCTGATGCTTCTTTCCGAGAAGCGGGGAAAAACAACACAGACGTCTGTATTTATGGAAGCAGGTGACAATCGCCCCCCTTGCTTCTGGGGTTGACTCCAAGCTTTCTGGGGCCCGGTGCGGTGTTGGGATGAACACAAGCCGGGTCGCTTCGGCGCGCCTTCGATGGTGCTTCCTTGCGTCCCTTGGTCCAGCGAAAAGGCTGAGGCTTGAGTCTCTGTGGATTTTGTTCCCTGTTTTAGTTACCTTAACATAACGTTAAAGGGGACTTGGAGTGATATGACGTCGTTATTCTCCTATAGCGGGGAGCCGGCTCCCCCGAATACGAGTCAAGCATTGCTGAGCTCCACAGATCAACAGCACTGATCGTCATTTGCGAGCGGGAAAGACTCCAATTCCTCGTATTTGGCAACCGAAGTCTGGAGAGATCGTGGCAACAATTCTAGTATATAACACCTCCGATTCTTCTGATGGAAGTTGTTCTTGTCTCCTCATCCTCACCACAGACAATCATTCAACTCTCCTACAACTACCAATAACTCTAATCAACTCAACCAACTCTCTTTTACCAACCAACCAACCAACCAAACAACCATCAAAATGCAGTTCCTCACCATCCTCGCCTCTGCCGCCGTCGCCTCCGCTGCCGCCATCCAGCAGCGCGACGTTACCTTCAAGGTCTCTGAGTTCTCCGCTGGCTGCATCCCCCACAGCTCCCAGTGCTCGTAAGTGTTACCACGATCCAGAGTCTCTAGTCAACTCAACTAACTCCCATCTCAGTTACTCTTTCACCGTCATCCAGCCTGGCACCATGGAGACCACCGGCGTCAAGTGCTCCGGCCTCTTCCAGGCCAGCGGCACCAGCAACCTCCCCGACGTCAAGGAGGCTCCCTGCACCGACTCCTCCCGCACCTTCGACGTCGTCCGCTCCGACGCCGGCCTGACCCTCACCGTCTCCCAGCCGGTCACCCCCAGCTCCAACCAGACTGGCTCCCACCTGATCCCCAACGACCAGCTCGTCACCGCCACCCAGCCCAACGCCCAGGTCCAGTCCTACAACGGCCCTGCTGCCTTCGATCTCGAGTAAGCGGTTTCTTAATCGGCTGCCATCGACGCTTGACTTCGGTCACCTCAGACTTTTCATTCGACGATGAACGCTCCCTCACCTTGCCACTGTCATACCAAGCAAGCACAAGATATACATGCAAGGGTGGAAGACTGGCGCTTGCTCAGTCTAGGGCTGTACAATTTTGATAGACTTGTAACATTATAAAAACACATTTGGTACCAAATTTGTCTACTTTCTGGTGAATTATTAGTGAAAACAAGTGTTAAACCTTTGACAACGAAGTAAACGACTTCTCCACAAAGGTTGTTACCTTGGTCCCACTTTGCTTAGATAGCTCAGACTAAATGAGGAGTACTTCGTCATGTTTTGATGCAGACACTTCAGTGAACATAACCGCCTGAACTTGAAGCTTCTTCGTAATGACATAACATAGTTGTAATCTAGTTGTTCTAAGATGGCTTTATAAGATGAATCTGATCAGGGTTGGTTTTGAGCTGTGGTGAGACTGTTAAGTCTGGCTAGTTTGATATCACGCGTCCGGCAGGAGGCATTCCGCCATGTTCAATCCACCTACTGTAGCTAATGAAAGCGGAAACGAAGTTGTCAGTGACTTCCTCGGTCGAGGGATACGTTCTAGTGTTCCAACTCATCAGTCTTTATCGCACTTGCGATGAAGTCACGTTTAGGAGTGTTGGTTACACAGGACCACACTTTTCTGGTTACACAGGACTCGGTCTCCTTCTCCTGTGCCGCAAGATTTGTTTGCTTGTACAAGAGCACAATGATATTCTATTTCGCTTCTCGACCTCAACCGGTCATGCTTTGGGCACATAAAGGCGCTGTGAGTAAAATAAAGACGCTTTGGTTAGGAGCAAAGTTTGCAACCAAAGTGATGAGAATTTAATGACATTGGAAAGATTATCATCAAAGACAGCAACCATAGGGAACACGAGGGATGTTTGAGAACGAGAAACCACAGACAACTTTCTATACAAAGAAAGAGATCATATTTAATCATGGTGAATTCGTGATGAGTTCCAAATACATCCTAGTTCAACGGTCACCAATTTATCTCACAATCTTCTACTTACAGTCTCAAATTCACCATCTCCATCCTACCAGATTCAAAACTTCTGTTTACTTATAAAATCGCATTCTATCCAGCCACATTGCCATCTTTAGTCTCCAAAACACCTCAACATCCCCAAGTTCACTTCATTCATCTTCATCATGAGAGTCTCAATCACGAACCCGCGCGAGGTCTCTCTTGGCTCGGTACAGATATCCTCGCTGCATGAGGTTCTTGAGCTAAAGGCTGGGTCTGGTCCCAGCACATCAAGCAAGGAGCAATCGACCGCCGAATCTTACGCAGTCTCCGACGGTGACATAGCCGCCATCCAGTCCAAGATGGCAATCATTGTACTATGCAAGAACGAACCGCCAAACACCATCGAATCTGTCTTCTCCGGCATCCCTCACAACTCCCTGATCATCCTCGTCTCGAATAGCAGTCGATCTGAAATTGACAGATACGCAGCAGAGGCCGAGAAGCTCGAAAGCTTTTGCAGACTCACAAAACGCAGCGGCATCACAATTCACCAGAAGGACCCGGGAGCGGCCAAGGCCTTCATCGCCGCAGGATCCTCGGATATCGTGGGCGATGACGGTCTCATACGCAATGGAAAAGGCGAAGGCATGATTCTGGGCATGGCTCTTGCGGCGTGGAAAGGTCTCGACTACATTGGCTTCATTGATGCTGACAACCACTCGCCCAGTTCCGTCCTCGAGTACTGCGAGTGCTACGCCGCGGCACTTTACTACGAGCGATACACTCGCGGCGGACAGGACATCATGGTTCGTATATCCTGGGGTTCTAAGCTGAAGTGTCGTGACGGAAGTCTCCAATACGATCCGGAAGGACGCAGCTCCCAAGTGGTGAACGGGTGGCTCAACAAGCTACTTGAGCACTTTGCGGGCCGCCCCGTCAACAACTTCATCCGGACTGGCAATGCCGGCGAGCATGCGATGTCCATGGGTCTCGCGAAGCACATGAAGATGGCGGGCGGCTTTGCTATTGAGCCCTACGAGATCATCTATCTACTTGAAGAGCTGAGCAACTTGCCGATTCAGGATCCAAAGTACGTCGGAGCTCCCGTTTCTTACTCCCCGGCGGTCATCCATCAGATCAAGACTCGGAGCCCGCACCTACACGACAACAAGGGCGACGAACATGTAAAAGGCATGTGGGCTCAGGCGCTGGGTAGCTTGTATCATTCAAAGATCACGCCGCCGGAGATGAAGAAAGCTCTTCATGAGTTTATGGTCAAGGAAGGAGATCTTTCACCCGATGAGATGCCGCCTAAGGCAAGGGTGTACCCGGCTCTTGAAGAGTTGAAGATGGACCTGTTTTACAGTGTCTTGGGGGAGCAAGATGCGACTCTGTCTGATGTGCGATTCTGGCAGTAATTGGGAGTTTGCCTCGTTCTCTTTTGGTTCTTTTGTCTGTCGTTTAGCGCAAATTCTCTGCTTATTCAGATACCCTAGATTATTCTTTCATGATTTGATTCAGATGATCGCCTATTTCCTCATATAATGTTACTCTGTGTTTAAGATGATCTGTTTTCGTTTTCTCTCGTCATCTTCCAGTAAATATCATCTGACTGTCCAGCTTGCTAATGTCTGAAATAGCTACTCCTAGTGATACCCATGGACATCGTGAGCCATGCGGCGCGGTTCATCTAGCTGTGCCTCTGGGCTTGTTGCATGTAGCCAATACAATCTCTTCAACCTTCATAAGCCAGCTGGGATTTTGAACATCACATATTTCCATCTGCGCGATTTATCAAGTTTCCGTATGGCTTAACAGTCCACTACCTCATTTGAGAGCCGCAGGCTCTCGGGTCAGCTAGTTGAGCCTTCATCAGCCTTGCAACGAGTCCCCAACACAAGGGTACCTGAAAGACTGCAATGGTCATAAGCTTTTGATTATTAAATGTTAATTATTACATAGGAAATACGTGTTATCTCTTGCACATGCTCATGGGAGAAACGCAGTATCCAAACACAACGATGTCTCGCGATCATTAAACCAACTTATGCCTCCCTGGTTCCCTGATTCAGCACCACGGTCTGGCAGCTGCTTACTCTGCCTCCCGTGACAGTGTAAATAACATCTTCGCTCTGCAAAGTGTTCACGCCCTCGACAGGGTCCTTAGCCAGGAAAACCTTGGAGGCGGTCCCATCGGCATAGTCGCAAATAATTGGGTAGAAGATGTCCTCGTTGGGGTCAACAGCGATGTAGAAGTAGTCGGTTCCTCCAGGGGTCTCATAGTACGGTGCCCAAGCCACCACGACGCTACCCACAGGAGCCTCCAACTCAGCCTCAACGCGAAGACGAGAGACGCCAAGAAGGGACATCGTGTTGCTGTAGTAGTGCATCAGACGCTCTGCTCCGTCGTAGATGAGCGCGTCCTGGGCTGAGGCCCAGAGCTCGGAGCAGACCTCGCTGTCTGGGGCGCTGGCGCTGACGGGGTACATGTTTCCGTTGCTGCAGGAGATGATGATTGTCGACCCGGAGGGATCGACGAGAAGGGCGAATTCGCGGCCGTCGCTGTCGAAGTAGGGGTTGTTGCCGACGGGTTCGGATGAGTAAGAGAGATCTTCGGTGCCTGAGTCGTTGACTGTTGTGTCGATGACTTCGCCGTCTTGTCGCTTGGGGATTACCCTCGGGCCCTGTTGGAGAGCAAGCTGTATATCCGCAGGAGGATCGGCCGGTGGTGTGGCAGGGTCTGCCGGGGCAGCGGCGGGGTCAGCAGCCGGGGCGGGGTCGGCAGCCGGAGCCGGATCCGCCGCTGGGGCCGGGTCGGCAGCCGGAGCTGGAGCCGGGTCAGCAGCTGGAGCCGGGTCAGCAGCAGGAGCAGGGTCGGTAGCAGGAGCAGGGTCGGCAGCAGGAGCAGGATCAGCAGCCGGAGCAGGGTCAGCAGCCGGAGCCGGGTCAGCAGCCAGAGCCGGGTCAGGTGCTGGTAGGGCCGGAGGAGGAGGAGGAGCAGGAGGCGCAGGAAGTCTACATGTACGCATGGTTAGTATGGTTTCAATCCAAATCAACAACAGGGTTTACTTACGCGATGCAGTTGCGAGCCAAAGGTCTGTCGTTGGTATCCAGCAGAGGTATCTGCTTAAGGCCGAGGATGTCGATGTACAACCTGTTACGCCAGCTGATCTGCGTCGCAATACCCGTGCAGCCGTTCGTCTCAGTGAAACCAGCCGCGAAGGTCCCACCGGCGTTCCCAATCATGGCCGCAACCTGGGCAACACCCTTGATGGACGGCTCGTCAACTATACCCACGGACTTATCCCACGAACTGATCTGGATACCGCACTTGATGCCGATCGGGAGTCCCAGGGTCGCAGACAGCATCAGATCTCCAGAGGCCTCGAAGACGGGCTTGAAGTAGGGTTCCCAGCCTCTCTTGGTGCTTCGGCTGGAGTCCACAAAGTCGATGAGAACGTGAGCATCCTGCAGACCCATCTCCGCACCAGCAAGAAGTCGTCCCTTGGCAGCTGCTTGGATCCCGACCTTGGTGCCGACCGAGATACGGGGTCCGATGGTGACCACGCCGAATGAGAGACCCGGGAGTCCGACGTTGATGAGATCCGAATTGAACTCCCGAGAGTACACGATCTGAGCGTCGATACCGATCTTCAGAACGAAGACGATATCCGTTCGGAGCTCGACCTGGCCCTCGAGGAATCCGCCAATCGGGGTCCATCTCGCGCGACCGGCGATCTTGGCGTTTCCGGACACGCCGCAGCCGACGCAGTAGACGTTCATGAACCCCTGTGTGTTTTGTCCGTTGCTCTGGAAAGTCTTCAAGAGAATAGAGTCGCCCCATGGCGACACTGCTTGCTTCGCACTGGGGTCCTTCAGCTGCTTGTCACCAGGGTTTGACGACTGCGGATTGGGGACCTTAAAGGAGAAGTCCTTGTTGATGCTACCGCCGATAGAAGTCGCCTGTTGAACAGCTTGGTAGACCTTCTTCGCCGGCTGCACGACGTACTTGTTGATTGCTCTGGCGACCCACCCGAAGATGCGCTTGCGGTTGCGGTGTCGGCGGAGCTTGAAGTTGGGATCCGACGGGTCCAGGTCCATGCCGAACTCCGGCGGGATGGACTCGTCGATGAAGTCGGGAGCGAAGTCGAGAACGAAGGCCTTGCTTGCGGGGCTTAGGTCGGCGTAGCCGAGGTTGTCATCGAGGTCTTCATCGAAGTATTCACCCAGGCAGGCGGTCGGGAGGCCATACTTCGCATCAGGCGGGGCAACACAAGATCGTGTGGCAGTCAAGCCACTCGTGCTGGTGTCCCCGGACGGGTCCATGGCAGGTGGTGCATCTGAGGCCGGGGGTGGTGCAGGTGCAGCCGGAGGATCAGCGGCCGGTTGGCCCTGATCCGGAGGCGGCGCAGGTTGACCTTGGTCTGCGGGAGGCACTGCTGGTTGACCTTGATCGTCTGCTTGCACCGGAGGCTGCCCTTGATCCACAGGCGGGGCAGAAGCCGGGTCCGAGGCCGGGTCCGAGGCTGGAGCCGGAGCCGGAGCCGGAGCCGGAGCCGGAGCCGGAGCCGGAGCAGGAGCAGGAGCAGGGGCCGGGGCCGGGGCCGGAGCTGGGTCTGTAGCTGGGTCTGTCTCGGGATCAAAATCATCAAACTCCAGTTCCAGACCTCCCGCAGAGCCGGTTCCGGATGGACGAGGGCTGGCAATGACATTCGTGGGTCGTCGATTTCCACCAGCAGCCCCAGGAGCCCCTCCTGAGCCTGAGCCAGAGCCATAGGAACCTCCGGGTGACGGTGGGACACTGGGCTCGGGAGCCCAGGTGAAAGGGGAACCGGGACCGGACGCACTGCCGGAGTTGGGCTTCTGGCGTCCGCCGGCGCCCTTCCTCGGAGCCCAGTATCCCCATTCCGTCTCTCCAGACGAAACGAGATCGTCAGGGTGACTCGGTCTGCCAGTAGCCGCGATGACGAGTCCAGGAGGACCAAAGTCCAAGTCGGAAACCTCGAAGTAGCATCTCTCGCCCTTGGCGTAGTCACCACAGCCCTTGGCAAAAGCTACGAGAATCAAACCATCGTTGGTGACCCATGTATCGATGGCGTGCCAATAGGCTTCCTCGGACGCAAAAGTAATGGTGAGTACCTCCGTCTTGTAGTCGATTGAAGCTACGTGATCGCAGTGATCAAGATTGACAGATGGGGCCGTGAACCAGTAGGTCAGGAAAGCGAAAGCACCATGTTTGGAAGGATCTATGTCCCAGTGTAAGCGACAACTCGGGCTCACGAAGGAGTTCCTTGCTCACCTCCAACACCGTAGTACATCTGAGAACCCTCGCTGGCGGGGATGGGAATGACATTGGTGGCCGGTGCCGTATCATATGTCCAGTGGATGTTGGGTGAGAGAGTGGCCAGGGGTCCGTTCTGCGCAAAAGTAGCCGTCTGCTCTCCCGAGAAGCCGAACCGGTTTTGGCCCGGGCCTCCTTCCGGAGGTGTGGGGCATGGCGGGGGTGGTGGAGGCGGCGGAGGCGGCGGTACTTGGCACTTGGCCTTGTTGCAGAGAAAGGAGGAGGAGGAGTTTGTGTATCTCTCACCAGCGGCTGGGATTGCGTGAGCACCGCTCGCTGCCACAAGAGCGACTAATGACTTGAGTAACATATTGACCGGCTATCGACCGTGCCAAAGCCTGATGAGACGGGAAGATTGGGGCTGAGGGACGGCTCAAACCGTCGTAGAAGTGGTAAAGGAGAAAAGCAATTAATATTTTGGAAAGGCTGTCAATAGTTAGATCAGCATGTTGAAAACGAGTGTGGAAAGGAGCGACTAGAATGAGCGGCGTGGGAAGTAAGTCCCCATGAGAATGATGAACGAGAGAGCGGGTCTTCTCTGTCTGAAGACTTGTAGACGAGGCAGCGTATATAGCTGGTTAAAAGGGCGCATGCGCGATGCCTCATATCAAGTCAGAACGAGGAAAACGACTACGCGATCAAAGCCAATCAGAGTTTTACGGTGTTCCTTCCATACCAGTTTCCAGCCATAGCATTCCCCTAACGGCGACAGGCACTCTCGATTCATTCTCACTCAATTGGTCGAAATACCACAGAGATGTTCAAGGGAGACCCAACTGAAGCCTCTGCAGACAGTCCATCTCTGCAGAAGAAGATGTGTCAGTGTACTCCACAGAGAAGAAGAGAGCACCTCATCTGAGCCATGGACCCTGAGCTGAACCGTTGTCTCGGTCCGAAAGTTCTACATGGTCAACGGCCAACTAAATTAGACGGCGCGAACACCCAAATCTAGGGTGGCATGTTAGACAGCGAGCAATGAGGAAAGGTGAGGAATACGGAGCCAGTAAGAAAACCCGGAAGGTCTCGTTCCAATTTTACCTCATGCTAGTGAAGCGGGGGATAGCGCGAGCGGGAAGCTTCGCCAGCGCGGGAGGAGACATTTGAATAAGCTTGATGTTTCTTAACTGAACCTCCCTCCCTTGTGGCGTACCTGACACCGGCGCGCCCACTTGATTGGCATTCCAACTCGGTCAGGGAGCTTATTCGACGTCGGGTCTGGATTGACATCCATCGAGTAAGTTGATCTTCCTCAAATCTGGAAGGCAAGTAAACATCAAGACTCATCAGCTTTCTATGCCCGAGAACAGGCCAGACGATCATCTAAGGCTCACGAACTTCCTCCGCAGAACCGTAACAGCAGTCGCAGACCTCTGGTTTTGGGAATGACTGATAGGATTATGGTAGCTCGCATAATTTCAGCAGTGATAAATGGTGTTCCCTGTTGGCTGTGGTGGTGTTGGGCGAGAATGGAGCCATTTTCTATTTCATAGAAAGCCGACATAGTCTTTAGATCAAAATGCTGTATGTTGATGTTCTAGCTTCTTTTGTCTTATTCATTTCACTTGTGGTATACTTACAACAAATAAAAGAACAAAATTGGGTTTGAATCTGAGTCGAGGGCGATGGGTGTGTTCTTATTGTCGGTTTCGTCGGGATTGAACTGACTGAGTTGAAGTGCGGGCTTCAACTCAGGAGATACACTCCATGGAAGTTCAACCCTTAAGATCGGCATGAAATATTACAATCATAGGTTGATTGGAAAGGAGGAATAAATGACCCTCACAGTTGAACCTCCGGGTAGCCAGTCTCCCTTGCTGTGAGAGTCACTTAAGTATTGACTCCAGGGCCCTGGGCCCGGGCCTGTAGGACTCAACAAACTTTGGTGAGGAAATAGAAAACAGATTATGATCTTTGTTTCTGGTGCCTCAAGCTCTAAAGACAGAAGGACAAGAGCAAAGACATTCGTTTTCCATCATGTCCAGTGTGACAGTGGCAGGAGACAATGTCATTGCGCAAGAATGTTGGTCTGTTTGCTCCCATGATGTCTACAGCGAGAAACCTATTCTCTAGAGACTGGCACTTTTCCATGAACCCCTTTTCCCTCAGCATTTTACCCCGTCCTCTGTGATCTCTTTGCTGGAAATCGTCGTTTTCGAAGTGTCGCCGGTTCAGCTTGGTCGATTCATCTTGGGAATGAGCCTTTGCATTCTGTATGAAACCCGCAGGTCCCAGTGACATCTGGGCAGTACCATGTACTTCAACACACCCCGAGCAGCATTATATGCGGTCTGGTAGGTGCGATGCAGGCTGCAAGCCGAAGCAATTCCCTTGCTTTATTGGGAACGTCAGGGCCTGACGCCCCGTCTGCGCGAGGAATGGAAGTCTAGGTGTTGACTGGGCCCGGGTTCTTCAACACGAAGACAACTTAAGCAGCGTACAAGTGAGTTTTCTTGTTAAACTCTCCAAATAGGACGGGAGTGGCCACACTTTTGGCCTGTCGTGATATCTATTTTATTGAGGCAAGACTGGTGGAATCTGCGTCGCTCGGAGATTTCTCTTTGAATCTGATCACGATCTCTTGTGCTGGAGGTTTTCCGTCCGACACCTTGGTGGGAGAAGATGCCTGATCCAGGGATAGTTGTTGTTCGGACTGAGTAACAGTAGGGGATAAAAGGGATATTGTGACTGTTATTGAAGCAGCTTTGCTCGAATAGATGTTCTTGTTTGAGGAAAATTAAGAATTTCCCTCGTGAAGATTAGGTTTCGATACCAGATGCTGTGAGTCTCCCCGCAAAAGGCAAAGCGACTTGGAGGGGATGTTATTAGTGGGAGGAGGAGTACGGGCTCGGTTTCTCGGCGGTTGCACCACCGGGCCCGGGGAATTCGATAGCCCTGAGATGATAAAGATGGATGCGATGGGAAAAGCGTCTGGCTGAAGACGTTCAGTATGCGGAGAAAATCGGTCCAGCATGAGAAGGCTGGTTATATAGATTTCGCTTGGGCCCGGGGATACGGTCTATTGAGAAGAATGAGACCACCTTAGAGCCCTATTAAGGAAAGCTTTCTAGAATATTCATGGAAATGCGCACTTGACGGTCATGATGAGATTTTGGATAGAGTTGGGAAGAATAAGGGTTGTTGCATAATATGGCGCGGCGAATTATGAGCGTTAGCAAGAGACAGCGTTTGAGCAGCTACAACCTCCAGCAAAGCCTCTCTGCTGCGAAAACAAAGATATCATAGCGTTGTGGTTGAATAGAACCAACAAGCTATTCAATCTCCAGACAGGCACGAACCATGATTCTATGGATCGACGTCAAACTTTCCATGCAGCCGGGAAAGCTCAGATATGTCCCTGGAGGCCAACGATCGACGGTGGTACAACTTCCTCTCAGCTGAGTGAGCCGAATGGATGCCGCTGGTTGGTTCGAAATCGACCAATCCCTGGTCACCAACGACAGAAGAAACCAGGATTTGTCGAAGACACCGAGAGCCGGCTACCTCGATCTCAAATAGTAGCCAAATGCCCCGACGCAGTCCACGGGAGGTGCATACATGCGTCTTACTCTCGACCTCACCAACCCGATGACATAGGCAATCTCAGCCCTGACACGTCCGCAGACCTGCATATCCTCCGGCTCAGCCATGCCGGGGCCCTCGTCCAATCTGGCATCGTCTCCGTGGTGTCTCATGCCCGTATCCGCATGGAAGATGGATCCGGGCCGTCGTCCTATCAGAGACACCACGACAGGAGGAAAACGGACAACCGCAGGCCCAAGTGCCGATCCAACTACCCACTGGTTCGTCGAGAGACCGTTTGTTGGTGTCGCCTCGGAGGCACGGAGCAGCACTAATGTGACGCCTTGGCCGATGGGTGGGCTGTACGAACAAATGTTTGCTTACTGCCTTGGCTGGCTCAGCTTGTTGGTCCTGGGGGTTGCTGTTGGTCGTGGAACGCGACGAAGAAGAAAGCATTGACAGATGGGCTGACGGGCTTAGAAGAGAGGAAGTGCAGGGAATTGGAGGTTGAAGGGGTGAAAGCTGTTGGCTCTGCTGCTTGTCAAGGGAAGGTGCAGATTCTCCTTTCTTCTTCTTCTTCTTTTTTGCCTCTTTTTGCCTCGGTCGCAACTTCCTCGAGAAATATTCACCAACTAAGCCTTTCTTTTTTTATCCGACAGCCTTCGACCTCGAATTTTCTCGACAAAACATCACAATTCGATCGAATCGATTGTTGCTTTTCACCTTTGATGAGGTGGTCGCGGACTGCCACAGATCTCTCTCCTGCAACACCCTTCGACACACCTTGAACATCACGATGCTCACAACCCTCCCCTTCCTCCTCCTTCTGGCGACCCTCGCCGCAGCGCAAAGCCCGGTCAAAGACTGGGACCAATGCTACTACGCCAAAGACTCACCCGCTCACCCGTCACTCGTCCCTTGCCTGCCCGAGAGCGACGGACTCGCCAAGCAAGACGGCGACAAGTACGCCAGCAGCTTCTGCTGCTTCGCCGGCGACAACTGCATCGTCCAGGCCTGCTGGGACAACACTACGGGTGTTACGTACCAATATGGCTGCAACGATCCCACATACGAGCACAACAACTGCCCGCCGAAGGGCGGTCTCGACATGGGTAGGGCTCGCCAATCTCTGAACCATCCAGCAGATGACGTCTAACGAGATGAATACAGGAAAGTCGCCGTGGATAGGCCTCGTCCGCTGCAACGACTCGGACAACGAGGGCTTCAACAAGTTCTGGGCCTGCAACCACCCCGACACCTGCGGCGAGAACTGCCCCGTCGACCCCAAGAACCCGCAAAAGACGCAGACCAAGTGGCCCGAGACGATCCAGAACCTGCCCCCGCTCAAGAAGTACTGCGACGACCTCGGCACGCGCGTGCTCGCCTTCTACGCCTCGGTCGAGATCAACTCCACCGGCGGCGTGCCCATCAGCGTGCCGACCGCCGGGAAACTCTCGCCGACGTACCCGGCGCCTTTGGCCAACGACGCCACCCCGTCTTCCCTGACGCGCACCCAGTACGTGGGCACCGTGGAGACGAGCACCCCGTCGCCGACCAACTCGACGGAAGCAGCAGGGGCTGCGGCGGCGGCGGCGTTGAGTGGAGGGGCTATTGCGGGCATTGCGGTTGGATCGACTTTGGGTGTTGTGGCTATCATCGCGGGATTCTTTTTCATGTGGCGCCGGCGTCGGGCTGGGACGAAGGGTCACCACGATGTTGCGGCTCATCCCACGGGAGACAAAGCTACCGCGTACCATGGGGCAACAGGCCCAGCCGAGTTGGCGCCGCCGGAAGAGAAACGTTACCTCACTCAGCCAAACACACCTTCAACACTCTCGGATGGAGCGGGCATCCATCGACCTGTGTCCGACATGAGCACGAGCACCGCCGTACCCAGCCCATTGGGCACGCCGAGAACGCCAAGTTCGCCATATTACCAACAGGGGCAAGGAGGATATGCTGAGCTGTCCGAGGACGCGAGGGTGGTCCACGAGATGCCGGCGATCAACGAGCGGTCTGAGATGCCATGAAAAATGACCGGCATGACGTGAAAAGAAAGGGATTCATGGGTACGAGGGTACTTGATATCACAAACGGCGTTGCTTTGTCTTTTATATCCAAATAGCTTGCTTGTCTGATTTCCTTCAATGAATGGATGAGAATTCCATCAATAACGTGTCCTCCTCCTTGAACATTGACATATCCATCGCCAGAATCGAACCATTAGAAAGGGCGTCCAGCCAAAGAACGACACACGTCGTCGGGGATTAGGTAACGGCATCAAAGGCCGTTCTGGACGGATGCCCTCGCACCCCTAACACTCTGTCGCCGCGTCTCCGGATGGCATCGCGACAACATACTCCAACCCGAGCTTGACGGCCTTGCCAGCGTTGAGAGTGACCTCCCACTCGACCTGGCCATCCTTCTTGAGGTTCGACACCGCCTTACCCCAGTTGACGTCCTCCTTGTCACTACGACCAGGCTGTCCGCTTGAAACGCCAGCACCGCCGATGGCCATCCCCTTTGGATCCAGAATGTCCACCTTGAGCCGCTCGTCCTCGGACACGGGGAGCTGGTCGAGCACCAGAAGCGAGACGGGCTTACCCGCCGCGGCGCGCGTGTTGGCGATGTTGATGCTGCGCGTGTACACGGAGCTGTTCTCCTTCGAGAAGAATCCCGTCGTCGCGCGCCGCACGTCGGCTACGGGGTAGGTCACCATAATTGCGGGGTCAATGCCCAGGCCGAGCGTGAAGGCGTCGCCGGCGCTGCAGCGGGGTAGCGTCGTGCGGCCCATGAAGGTCCCATCGAGGGTGAGTCCCGCTGCGCCCTTGAGAAGCGTGAGCCTGCTTCCGTTGCGGATCTTGGCCTTGAGGTACGCGGCGGGCTTGTACTTGGCGACGACGGTGTGGCTGAAGGCGACGTTGGAGAAGTTGAGTCGTGCGACGCGTTGCTTCGAAGCTGTCGGCCGAGGGGGTAGGGTCTTATTGCCCGGAAGGTCGTATGTCGTCGTGAAGCCCGTCTCTTCGATCGTCGACTCTTCAAAGTCCAGCGCGGCCTCTCTTGGGTCCTGCAGCGGGTAGTTGTACTCTTCGCCGATTCCGCCACCTCCGCCGCCAGGGGATTCTTTGCGGCGGCTGGCGGATGCCACGCCGTACGCCACGGCGGAACCGAGCCTGCCGACCATGCTCCCTCTGGTTTTCCTTGCCATATGGGGCGCGGGTAAAATTTCCTCGGTGCCTTTCGGTGGGCTTTCGTCCTCGTTGCTGTCGTCGTTGAGAAAGAAGCCCATGTCTTCGTCAGATTCTTCCGCCTCCTCGCATACCGCGGCGGCGCCGGCGAAGGCATAGCCGCGCTCGACCCCGAATAGCTTTTCTCGGTCCACGGGCTTCTCGGTCTTCTTCTGGGCCTTGCGCCATGTCTCGCGCTGCAAGCGCTCCTCACGACTGTTGAGTATGTTCTTCCCGCCGATGCCGCTTCCCATCTTGGGCGCCAGCATGATTTTCCAGGGCTTGAGCTCGGGGATCTCTTCCTCGAGGCCGGAGAAGGTGGTTTGGGAGGTGGAGAGGATGACCTTGCAGTTGGTCCACGTCTCCGAGGTCTCGTTGGTGATGCTGGCGTCGTAGCAGAGGGTGGCGGTGTTGTTCGTGGTGGAGAGCTGGAGGTCGTAGCTCGGTTCCCAGGAGGCGGCGGAAGTGACATATGTGAGCGAGAGGTCGCAGGAGAGGGGTGTCTCGGTCTCCGATTCCGCGGAGGGGTTGAAGACTTGAGCGGTGTCGCTGGAGACAGACGTCCGACGGGATGACATGGGCGTGAAGGCGTGCGCTTCGAGGGTGACGCGGACGGAGTAGCAGACCTTGGGCCAGAAGCGCTCGCGCTCATTTCGGATGCGCTCCTTCTCCTTCCAGGCCTCTTGTCTCTTCCTCAAGGACTTTTCTTGCTCCTTTTGCCTCTTCTTCCGAGCCATCTTCCTCTCACGCTCGAGAGGTCGCGACTCCTTGCGCTTCAGCTTCTCAAGGCGGTTCCTGTTCTTGATTGCTGCAGCGAGGAGTTTGGCGATTTCTCTTGAGCGTTTGGTGCCGGCGATCCGGTCTTGGAAGACCTTCTCACGCTCGGTGCGGTAGGCGGACATGGTGTCCACGAGGTCCACGCTCGGCTTCTTTTCGAGAGACTTTCCGTAGGCATCGAGAAAGCCGAGGCGAGTAGCAGCGCTGTCGACAATCTCGTTGGCTTGGCGCTGCTCGTCTTCGAGCTCGAGAAATCTGGCGCGGGCGGACTCGAGCTCGGGGGAGTCTGGGATCTCATCGTCGTCGTCGTAGAAGTCGGACTCGTTGTCGACGTCGGACTCGTCATCCGGGTAGACTTCCTCAAAGATGTCGCGGTTGGGGAGTAGTTCGATGGCGATGTCGCTGATGACTGCGGAACCGGTGCCCTCGACCTTGATGGTGGACTCGTCGACGGTTGGGGTGAGGCCGATGATGGTGACCTCGTTGGTACCGGGCTGGGGACGGGTTAGTAGTTGGTTCTGAGTAGGGGTTTGGGGTTACCTACCTTCAATTGGAGTTGGTTGAGGTCGCGAATGACTTGAGCTCTGGCAGGGAAGAGAGTCACGGTCCGAGTAGGGAGGTCTCGGACATGGTACTCCCTCTTCTCGACGATAGCGTCCATGGTAGCGATGGCGACCTCCAAGATCGGCCTGGGAGAGAATTGGTAGGGCAGAGGAGGAAGGCAAAGATGATTTGGTCGAAGAGCTAATTACGTTGAGAAAAAACGGGATTGAAAGGCCTACTTATACCTTGATCGGAGATGCATGGCTTGGGTGTTGCTCATACTCTGCGGGAAGGATATTGACCTGCAGCTTTCACCGAGCTTGGTAAATTCATCACCGGCTTGACCCATTCTGGAAACTCAGGCGCGCGATTGGATGACAATCTCAACATTGAACTTTCCGGAGATCAGTGATCGACGCCCATGGCGAGGGGAATTGGCCGTTGTTGGAGGGAAAGCCACCAAATTTGGCCAGTTGCTTCATGGCGTCGGTGATGAAAGAGCGTTTCTTCAGCTGGACGCCCAAGAATGCCTTGGCTTACGCTATTGTTCGTCTTATCGATAGCTGCTTGGGTACACGATAACATGACGATAAAGCTCTTATCGGCAAACAGGCAGCTGTGCCGCCGCTCAGGCCCTGTTTTGGCTGCTTTTTTAGCGACTTCTCGCCGGTTGACTCACTAAAGCCAGCACCCTCATTGGCTCATCACCAGCACGTTTTACGCGGCAGCGCATTTCTCGACGGCTTCACCTCCAGCGTGTTAGGTACGTCACGGCGCAATGTTTGCCATTGTTGCACTCATCGTCTCAATATTCTTTCCGGATTTGTTTGTGACTCAGGACTTTGTTGACCCTTGCGGGTCAGTGTTTGCTTGCTGCCTGCTATTCTCGCAAATAAACGATCTGCATCGGTTGGTCACTGAAAAAGACTCATTCCTTCGGCCAGGGTCAGTATCAGTATCAGTATCCGCTGTATGCGAGACGACAGTGAAAAATCAGCTGGGCGAAAAGAAACCCTTCTCCTCCCCAACGATCTGGACACCTTTCCATCTCAGCACATGAGTGAATTTTTGCCAGCAAATATAAACTTGTCCAATGAAGTATTCCCACTTATCCAGTGAACTTTATTGGTTCTCTGACGCCCGCGTCACACAATGCTCATGTGATAGTAGGGAGGGGTAAGTCAAGATCTCACCAGGCTGATGGGCGGTATTACACATGATCCTGATACATTATCATGGTCTCAGTATCAACCCCACAAGCCCTACCTTCACGTATATCTCATATTAATCCACCACAACACAGTACGGGAACAGTTCCCTCCAAACCGTCCACTTACTGACAAAGCAAGAGTAGAAATAACTTCAAGTTCGGCTTACCAACATGGATGCCCCTCTGTGCCTCCCAATCGAAGGAAACCCAGACTTGTACGGCCTAGGAATCCGAATTGGTATCTACTGCCAGTGGGTATCATCATGGCTACGCCTTCTACTAGATCCATCAAGTGCTGAGGAAGTCCACGGGGTAAATGCCATCTTCGTTCTGGCCATTACAACCGCCAGTATCATTGCCCAGAAGGACGGCTCTATCCAAGTGATTGAGTTGTATATCATGCTTCAATTCTCAAATGGCTTCTTTTTCACCGTTCTCTCAACCGTCGGTATTCGTACCACTCTCCTGAGATCAGAGGGAACTCAGTTATTGCTTGATCACATTTTCAACTACCTTTCTCAGCAGCGGGCAAACACGGTTGCGCTTGTTCAACGCGCCAACACCTTGTCGACGGCTTCTTGTCAGCGACCGACAGGTCACACGGTCAACCTCGCACACCAGCATCCTATCGAGAACCTCGGAAGAGGAGCTTCTCGCCAGCAGAACTTCAACACCTATCTTCCGATGGACCTCCTGGCTGGCTTCAAGAGCAGGTATCTATCTTGGGCTGGTGTTTTGTGGAGAATAGCTATCTTAGGCGTCATCGTAGGTTTCAACGTCTTCTTTTGGTTTTCACTAGCTAGTACAGTGAACGAAGATACAAAATGTGGACCTCCTTCAATATTTCTTCTCTCACGCCTGCCGATGAGAAAACCGATAATAATAGCATGTCGAGTCTTTTCCATATGCTTTGTTCTTTTCGTTATTCCTCTCGGTTTTTGGGTCATATTCTGCGCCTGCTTTGTCATGTTTGCTCTGCTTTTCTGCGTTGTTCGCGACGTCCTATTTCTTACGTATCCCAAAGCTAAAGACATGACCGCAATCGTCCGTGGAGGATTTAAGCTCACAATAGAGTGGATTCTCACTGCTCTGGGGGACACTGGGCCAATACCGGGCTTCCTGAACGCTTCGGGCCCGAGAGTGAAATTGGAAGCGTTCAAATTGGGGCTTGTGGACATCTTGGCCCCCACCTTTCTCTTCTATTTACACCTTCTCGACGACACCGCTACCAGCCCAACTGCCTTCATCGGCATCATCATATCCTTTCTCAGTTCAGGGGACGATAAGAAGACTGGGCGACCAGTGTTCAACGAGCAACAGGACATGCGGTGCGTTAGGGTTTCAAGACGTCGATAAGACCTATGTGATATTGACCATATTAGATCATCTTACAAATGGGTGCCTTGGATTTTGAATATATCTACGGCTGTGGCGATAGTTTTTTTCATTTTGTCTATCGAGCTTACTTTGATGTGGAATGATGTGCAAGGCGTCAATATTCTTCGGACCACAGGCCAACTGATTCCGTTTATAATTGGATTGGTCAGCGCATGCCAGGTCTTGAAGCAAATGCTTACCCGTGGGCTTCAACCGGTGCGTTACTATTATATCTCAAGGCTTGGTATTCATTAGACTAACAGCTTGCGGGGTTCATAGCTGTTTCCTGAGTGGAATACCTATGAAGTCAAGGCTGATTCCACTACGGATGGAGGCATTCAGTTTGTAGTTAAAAGATCCAGGAACAGCGATGAGGTTGATTGAGCTTCACGCTACAAGAATGGGTATGGTTCAGGGTGAGAATAGATAGATAGTTGGTCTGGAGTATCTCGAGTTGTATGAACGATCTACTGGGCTATTGAACATTGAAATCATCTAGTAGTATCATGGTGTTCACATGACAACCTTGAAGTTTATAATTACCGGATTTCCCCAGAATAGTAAGAGTGCTCGTATATGTACCTTCCAAGGCAACTAGACATATCATGATCCTGATTGCCTGTATTCCAATCCCAAAGGTCAAGAAGAAGGCATGACGTACTCTCCTGTCTGAAGCAACTCAACAGAGACGTTCTTATGCTTCACAAACTCGCCCTCAACTTTGGGCACATAGTCGGGAAAGCCGTCAACAATCTGACTCAAGATTGCCCAAGACGTTTGGCCATTGACATCGTAAGTGGCTGAGCTGTTGAACCGACTGGTGTCGAAACTGTAGTAGAGCATGGGAAACTCCTCGAGACTGACATCGGCACTCATGTAAGCCACCCTCTCGCCCGTCGGGTCGAAGATGAAGCTCGAACCGATGGACGGGACGAGCGTGTACGCGCCGCTCACGATGGCGTATGTGCTGGTGACTCCCTGATTCACCACATCCTTCTCCCAAGCACCCGAGGCGGTTTCGTCGTCGTTTGTGGTCAGGTACGGGAATGCCGCCAGGTGGACATGTTCGCGCTGAACCCACATGTTGAACGTCATGCTCGGCCAAAAGTGCCTGACAGTGAGAACACGCGGTGAGCAACTGCGTCGTGATGGAATTCGACGTTTGGTGTAGATGACTTACTCCCAGCATGCAAGCATTCCCCATCTGCCATACTCTGTCTCCAAAATCTTGAGTCCGTCGAGAGTACCATCGCTGAAAATGTCCCGCTCATTGCCGTTGGGGCGCAACTTGCGGCGGTGATGAAGAATCTTTCCCCGCGCGTCGACCAAGCTTTGAGATATGTAGATGAAGTCGTCCTCACGCTCGACAAAGTTGAGGATGGTGTAGATGCCGGCCTCTGCAATGGCTGAAATCAGGCGGTTCCACTGTTCGTCTCCGACGACGATCGTGTTGTCGATGTAGGATGGGAGGTAATCCTGAGTGAAGTTGAATTCACTACCCAATCCCTTCGGAAAGCTGCCAATCGCGATTCTCAGTCACATGGTGCTTTCCGCAGCAACAGAGTTGCTCTTGATCATGTATTCATTGGTGATGACTTACCCAGGGAACCAGAGTTCCGGGAAGGCAATGAGATTTGCGCCTTGAGCCTTGGCCTCGCGAATGAGCTCGATGCCGGTATCCACACACTCGCTGATGTTGAAAGTGATGCCCGTGTAGTCGTAGTTGGTGAGCGGAAGCGGCCAGTTGGGCGGAGGCTTGCGAACCAAAGCCACGGTCAGGTTCGACCGGTCCACTGTGCCTGTGCCATTGGTAAAGGCGGGCGCGGCCAGGATGCCTTGAGCACCAGCGATGGCGAGAGTCAGAGTTTTAGAGAACAGCATCTTTCAGGCTCTTTGAGATTGAAGTTCTCATAAAGCTGGTCCGGTCGTACCTGTCGGATGAAGAACAAGCTGTCCATCGTTGTAAACCTTGGCTTAAGTATGATTCTAGCTGATTCCCTTTCCCACTGCTGACAAGAGACAAAAAGCGGATGCCAGTAACTCGTATTACCGATCCATCTGCCGAAAGGTTCGCCGTACGTAAATACAAGATGTCTACATAGATTAATGACATGGCATGGAACGATCAGCGCCACCGCCTCCACCCTTCGTTCGCATCTGCCAGCCATACGATCGATATATCGGAGTGGATCGGAAAAGCTGGTGATGTTATCTCGCCATGCGAAAGCAAGTCTCTACACCCATGTGTGTAAGGTATGGCGCGATATGGGGCCTCGGGGTTTGAACGGGACGAGCCGCTTCGAGGTTGACTCGGTATTTGAAGGTATTTGAAGAAGCCGAAATAATGGGCTCTACCCACCGCGGGCCACTCGGGATCAGAAACCGAAAGTGTAAGCTTATCTATGATTCTCAGGAACGGGGGGCCGATTTCCCTCCGGTCACTACTGTAACCAGCAATGCTTAGCATTAGGTGATTGGAGGTTGACAACTACAGTATCTTCGCTATCTAACGATGAACGATTCAGTTCGGTCTTTAGTCACGGAAAGGTGGATAAGGAGTTATGCTCAATTACCCTTATAGGCTTTAGGTTCTCTATGCTTCTTTCAGTCTATTGGTCGGTTGCAGATGTTAGAGATCTTCGATGGGCCGTGGGGAAGATGAAGGCCTTCGATCCAGTTATTTGAAGTCTTCAGAACGGAGGTCTTCAATTCTCCAACACCAATTACGAATGTGATAATGTAAGTTTTGAAGGTCGAGCCAGTCTCGTCGTCTCAGCAGAACGGCTTCAAATCCGTGAGAGTCTGGTGGCGGAATAATGAATCTCGTTGAAATGATCCAAAACAAAACTGATCTTGAGATTGGCCGGCGACAGATGTTGATGTCTAACTAAGTCATTGCATGTGTAACTGGGTTCATATATTGCAAGTAAATTGCGAGAGGCTTATCAAATACACAGCTGTGAAATGAAATCTACACAAGATGCTCTGCCTAACGATTATGTGACCTTGCGCTTGGAGCCTGACATACTGGACACCGCAGGATCGATTTCTCAGGCGAGAGCCTAGCATTGGTTGCGTCGTCCAGAGTGCAACGGCTGGCCACTGCGAGATCTTATTCACCGCAAGATAAGATGGAGGAAAACCAACGGAAATCAGGCGGTGAGTCCGGGTGGTCGCCTTTGGCTGTCCAGGCAAACATTGGCACGCCCATGTGCCCGTACCAAGTGGTGATACATGTGTCACCGACAGCCGATACTGTTAATACTACAACAAAAGGCATTCTCTACCCCAAGACTATGTTCATTAAGTTCAACCAATCCTATTTCCAAATCACATCAAAATCATCATGTTCCGTCCGTGGACTTACAACCCTCAACCTGAGCCACAATTCCCCTGGGCCGGGCCTGGGCAGGCCTTCAACAATGTCCACACCGGCGATAGAGTCAACATCAACACCAACAACTTCAACGCCTTCCCCCGAGCCAACCCCCACCCGCCCTTCAACCTCAACGCGGGCCCGCGCCTCTTCAACTTCGCAAACCTCTTCAACACCACAAACAACTTCCCCAACGGGCCCCTCCGCCCCGACGGCCGCCTCCGCAACCGCATCACCGTCCTCCTCCCCGACGGCACCCGAATCCTCGTCGACCGCGACGTCATGCACGAACACCTCCCGCGCACCCGCAACGCCGTGCCGGGCGCCTACTTCGCGGTCCCCGAGTTCCTGCGCGGCTACAACCCGGGCCTCGACCCGGCCGGCTTCGACCGGCACCGCTTCCAGGACGCCTTCGCGCGCGCCGCGGGCTTCGTCTTCCGCTACATCGAGATGCTGTGCCGTTCGAACCGCGAGGCATCCGACGGCTTCGACCTCTTCGCGCGCCCGCGCTTCCTCCTGCTCAACGCCCGCAACCGGCTCGACACCATCCAGGAGATCTACTGGCACCTGTTTCTGCTGTGCTGCGTGCTGGACCAGGACCGCGCGTTCGGATGCTCGGATATGTTCGCGCGGCCGATCGGGGAGTTTCTGGTCGAGTTCATGCCGCGGGTCGAGGCGTTCATGCCGCCCGGCGCCGCGCAGTTGTTGTTTGTCGGGTACGCGAGGATCTTTCGCGAGACGAGGGTGGAGATTGGGTTCTTGAGGGAGTTGTGGGAGATGATGGATGACATTGACCAGATGCGCCTACGGGAGACGATCGGGCCTCAACTGGCGGGCAATGGGATGGGAAACAACGCTCATCGTATCTGGACTGCGCTGAGGCACTTGGGATTGGTTTGAGTTGGGACATTGGAGTTGAATCTTTTGTCTTGTTCTGGAAAAGCTTGCTGTTTTGATTGTGCATTACGAAAACATGATATTTTCACGGAACGTGGGATATTGGGATATATACGGCTCAGTTCAATTGAAGTATTCATAACGAATGATAGCTTTTCAAAGTTCCCGTGTGATAGCAGATGCTGTAGATCAACTGTGGCGAGGACCCTAAGCAATTACCTTCGACTTTCCTCACCCCCTGTTCTCTTTAAGCCTTCCAAGATCTCCAGTATCTTATCCTCCAAACCTGAAATCGTGCTCATATTGATCCAATTTTTGTAATGTACGAGTCTAAAGTCTGAGTCTGGGGGAACAGTAGACGCAGTTCTTCCTGTTGATACCGTGAGGGCAAGTTCTGTTGATCGGAATACAGCTGTCGTGAGGACTGTCGGAATCGAGACATCGTTCGGCCATTGTGATGGTTTGATGACGAGAATTGGTAGGATGAGTTGAAGGTTCGAATTATCTTTTGTTTGAAATTAGTTACTTGGTTCTAACAACTAGATTTTCAAGGTTCACGGCAGACTGCGGCTTATTTATGCTTTTCTTCACATCTGTGGTCTAGGTGAATGATGAAGTTCGTTGCCCACACAGCTGTTGGCCGGGGACATTCACTTAACAATGTCCTTCTGATCAAATCTTCAGATAGTGACTGTGAGATATGTTCACTGCCAGCATTGATGATCTGAATCATCTGCAGCAAGCCTAGCCCGGCTTGATCGGGTTAGAAAGCCTCGGAAAGTGGCCGCTTCACGGACGCGTGGCAGCATAACAAGACGGAGTTTTGGCGTGTGAAGTTGATCAGGAGACGTTTCGTTCTCGTCACGTCCCGAAAGCTCATTCTAATTGAGTCCTATTCCTCATCACTTCCCTAGCGTTGGCAGGTCCGCCAACCTGGTTTTCAGGAAACCGCAAAAACTCTGATACACCGAGAAAGAGTCCCCTTGCCTCCATCGGCAGTGAACAGAGATCCCGTCTCGTGCCACGCTCAGAGAGATCTCGAACGCAAACCTGCATTCCTCCGAGCCCGTCCGGTCTACCGTCTTGCCCTCCCGCTCCTCGCGCATCTTCTTTCGCCTCCACGCTCGGCTCCATACATCTTCCCTAGCCTTCCCCAAGCCGACGAGCTTCTCACGATCCCACTCCCACGAAATCAGCTCCAGCGACGCCATCAGCTCGTGCACCTTATCCGCCTCCCTCGCAACTCCCCCGTCCAACGAAAACCCAATCACCTCAGTTTCCACACTCGGCGGCAGCACCCCCTTCCACTGCGCAGCCGCCAACCCCCTCGCGGCCTTATCAGAAGGCCTCATCGACCCAAAACTCCACGCGACGGCCCATCTCCTCGTGTGCTGTCCCTGCACGAACTCCGTCACGGCGTAGTTGTCAATCTTGTGCTCGCGGAGCCTGCCGATGAACGTCTCGAAGCTCGACTTCATCCCGAACATGGCCGTGTACCACTGCACCCGCTCTCGCAGGACGAGCGAGTCTTCCAGGATCCTCCCGACGAAACCGAGCTCGCCGCCGGAGGTGAACTGCTCGTTCGGCGCCATGGTGAAGGCCGACTTCTTGGGGTCGGCCTTCTTGGACGCGCAGATCTCGGCTTCTTCTTCGGATTTGTAGAAGGGCGGGTTGGTCATGACGAAGTCTAGGGTATCGGCACCCAGCTCGTCTAAGGGGACGAGGTTGTCTTCTGGGCGGCGGGCGACGACGGAGATGCGGTTTTGGAGGTTGTTGCGGTCTATGTTTCGTTTGGCGTATGAGATACTTTTGTCGTCGATATCTGCACGTGTTAGATTTCCGTCAACCAGTAGTGGGGAACTCCTACCAGTCGCGAAGAAGGACCATCGTCGCTGGGTGCACCCGAGGAGGGGGTAGATGCAAGATGCGCCAGTGCCAATGTCCAAGCCAACTACCTTGCGATCTGGATCATCGTAAGTGGTGCTGTCCATCAGTTCCTTCAGCCATAGGATGTAACGATGCCTTTGCGGCACCTGCAACTATTAGCATAACCTCGTTTTTGAAAGAATGGACCCTACTCCTGGAGCGAGGCGGTCGTGTGGAAAGTCAACTTCCAGGCCGAACTTTGTTTTGAGAAGCGTCTTGTTCAGTTGTGATACCGCAAGAGGATCGTTAAAGTCGAGAGAGTTCCCGCTCAACCTGCTTCAAGGTTAGTCTTGTTCACACCACAGAGGACTCGGAGGTGGCAGGTTACATGGCACCAAGCGCAGGGTCCTCTCTCCCTAAATCGCTCAATTGAAATGTCTCTGAGAAGAGTTTGCTGTAATATGTATCTGCATGTGTCCCAGGTTCTGAGGGTCTCGAAGTTGACTGTTCAGCGCGACGGACAGCTTGCGCTAGGGACGCATCGTTGGCGGGAGGCGCGTCGGCATCGGAATGTCGCCTCTTTTTGCCTATCATGTCTGTTTCGATCGCCGAAAAAAAATGAGGTATGGACTGAGAAGACCGAGCTTCTTCTTTTTCAGCAACTGCAAAATAAGAACAAGATGCACATGAACGTATAAGTAACGCGGCGCAGTACGGTCTTTTCCTCCAAGTTGAAGATGTTTAGGGAGGCCAATTTACCAATCAGCAGATTTCGTGTGGGGCATTTCGTGGGATATGACAATACCACACATGCAGCAAAGCAGCAAATGTCTTTGACGCATACAAATACCCCGTTAAATTCCATTCACACACATCAATGAACAAGAATCTCACTGAAGAACAATCAGAGACAAAGCCGTTTAACTTTCTAGCTCTCAGCTGAGCTATAATTACCCTTCCAGATGTGTGCTCATGAAAATGTCCAAAATTGAAACAAGGCAAGGGAAATCCACACTGTCGTTATGCAATGCCGTCATCTACTCATCCATCATATGCCGCAGGCTCATGAACTTCATTACTGACCCCACATCAACACTCTCCAGCGCCAGCCCTCCAGGTACTGCATGTCACTATCAACGACCTCGATGTCTCCCCTTTCGATCTTGGCGCTGAGCCTCTTGAGGCGCTTCGAGACCGTCTTGGCTACTAGTAGAGACACCTCATTGGAGAAGACGTAAAGGACGGCGAAGACGAAGAAGGCGATGCTGGCAAAGCTGTTGCGACCGAGCACACTATCCTTGATGCGTTCGAGAAGGGCCTTGCTACGGGAGAAGGCGTACTCTGTGTTGTTAGTTGCCATGCTGGTCCCCTTATCCGCCGTTGAGCGTCGAAAGATTCTCTTCACGGCTGGGATAAAAGTTGCCCTGGGATAGTTAGCTGACGCCGCCCAAAGCAGCGAATGACGAAAGGCCACTCACACAGCACCACCGATGAGCCAGTTTCTCCAGCGATGGTTTTCACCCTCCTTGATCACCACCCCCACCTCCTTCCGCAGAGTCTTGAGGTCCCCCAGGACGATGCGTCCTTGGGCCTGGATCTGGTTCTCCAGGTCCAGCGACGTGGCACCGTCGAGGCGACCTCTCTTGCGCTGGAGAGATAGGTACTCGCGCAGGGCGAACTGCGTGCTCGTCTTGAGCGACTTGAGGTCCTGCGTCGTCGTCGTGAGAGGGTTCAGGGCGGTGGCGGGCTTGGGGACCTCGGCCATGGTCCCGTGCTGTGAGTGAGGGGTGGGATAGGCCGCGGGACCTGCCATCTGCTCGATCGGAGGCTGGACGGCGACGGCTGGGATCGGCGGAGGCGGACCATAGTTGCTGTATGGCGCCGAAGGCGTCCCGGGCTGGGGTGGACGGGAATACTGGTCGGACGGCCGGGGATAGTCGTCGGGTCGCGACGGACGATAGTAATCTTCAGCAGCAGCCCGGGAGGGACGGGAGTAATCCTCAGGCTTGGAAGGGCGGGGGTAATCTTCAGGCCGGGACTGACGAGAAGGATCTTCAGGCTTGGAAGGGCGAGAGTAGTCCTCAGGCTTGGAGGGACGAGAGTAGTCCTCAGGCTTGGAAACACGGGAGTAATCGTCAGGCTTGGAAGGACGAGAATACTCAGACTGGGACGGACGATACTGGTCTCCCGTTGGTGCTCCTGACGGATAAGCGCCAGGGCCGTTGTACGGCGCGGATGTCTTGTCAACCGGCCGAGTTTCCATGGTTATCCCGGGTATCAAGACGCAAACGGGTGACACCAAATTAGCGGCGGTGAGGGGAGCTTCAACAAGTACAACCGAGACCGAGAAGCCGTCGAAAAGCGGATCAAACGGGTCTATCTTACTGAAATGCAAACAGAACGAAGACGAAACAACTCGAGGAGGGGACTAATGGTCACATCGGCAAGGACAAGGCGATAATATGAGCTATGAGATAATGAGGTGGCGGGGGAATTGGAGCGAGAACAGCTCACTCGCCTCGCCTCGCTTGACAAAGTGACGGGGCAAGCTGAAAGGCGGGATGAAGTGGGGCTGCCAACGGAGGGTCCACCGCGGGATGTGGGTCCAGTCACACCGTGGGAATTGAGGCCAAAAAGCGACGCCGCACGTTGCTTGCATTTGCTGAATGTCGTCAACTTTGATCTTCAGCCGATCACTTTCGTCGTCTCGACACCTCAAGGCCCTGCCTATCTCACCCAACAATGTCCGACCAAGCGCCGTCGCGCTTTACGGCGCCCAATCAAACCACTACCGAAAGATTGTCGAGCAACACCGTCGGCCTCGTCCAGCTCTCCGACTTCCGCAAGCGACGCGCCGAAGTCCTCGATCAGCAAGAACGCGAACGAGAAGCCGCCCTCTCCGGCACCTCCACCCCCAATCGATCACACTCGGAGACGCCTGACCCCGGTAGTGATTCGGGCAGCGGCGCGAGCAAGCCGAAGAAGAAAAAGAAGAAGGTCGGCGGCAGCAAGCTGTCTTTCGGCGACGATGAGGAAGAGGAAGAGGAGGGCTCGGTGCCGATAAAGAAGGGCAAGAAGGATGCGGAAAAGGATGGCGCCGACAAGGGAGAGAAGAAAACCAAAGTCGTCGCGAACTCTTCCGTGGCGTTCGTGCCCAAGGTCATGTCCAAGGCTGCCTTGCGACGCGAGGCTGCGGAGAGAGAGGCTTTGCGACGCGAGTTTCTGGCCATCCAGGAGGCTGTAAAGGCCACCGAGATCGCCATTCCCTTTGTTTTCTACGACGGCTCCAACATACCCGGAGGAACGGTGCGCGTCAAGAAGGGCGACCACGTCTGGGTGTTTTTGGACAAGAGTCGCAAGGTCGGAGCAGAACTGGGAGTCGGAGAAAAGGCCAATGCACGGAGAGAATGGGCACGAGTTGGAGTGGACGACTTGATGCTTGTGAGGGGGTCGATAATTATTCCGCATGTGAGTCAATTCTTCCTTCGATTGGTGGGTATGTTCTAACTGTTCCAGCACTACGAATTCTACTTCTTCATTATCAACAAGAGTACCGGCCCCGATGGCCAGCAGTTATTCACATATTCCGCGGAAGCTCCTCCCAAGACAGAAGAGTCTGAGACCGAGGAGGCTCCCGCGGTCCCCGACGGTGGCCTGACTACCGCGGCGGCGCTCAGGGCCAAGGCGACCGCGGCGAAGGCGCTCCCCGATATCAATACCCTCGAGGGTGCGACCGACGACGCGACTCTCACGAAGGTGGTGGATCGGCGCTGGTATGAGCGCAACAAGCACATCTACCCAGCGAGCATGTGGCAGCAGTTCGACCCCGAGAAGGATTACCAGAACGAGGTTCGGAAGGACGCCGGCGGTAACACTTTCTTCTTCTCGAGGTGAGAGGCGATGTATCGTCGTCGAGGAGACATATCAGCCGGGGGCGGGTTGTGGAGAGTGATCATGCCGAAAGGCTGTCTCGGACTTCTTTCAGCCCGCCAACATCCGCATGGCGACGAGAGCGCCGATGATGAAGATCCACCCCGGCCAGAAGACCATGATGATCAACATGTTACCCCCGGGCCCGAGTATAGTTGTCGCGAACTCCATGAAGACCTTTTTCCTCAGCTGTCGGATCTTCTTGGAGTTCCACGCGCTTCGTGTCGATTTCCGGAGCGTGCAGAACGTTTTCTGGGAAAACCAGGCCGAGTGAGCGACGAACAGCCTGGTCGCGACAACCCCAGACGTGAGGGTCGAACTGGCGAGCAGGTGGCCGTAGACGAAGAGGAGAGACGAGGCCAGGGTGACGAGCCTCTGGAAGCGGACGGCGAGGTCGAAGGTCGGTCCGAGGAGGGCGATGAGGGAGCGCTGGCGGATATTCACGCCGGGCTCGTGCGTCGACGAGGTCAGGATGGCGACTTTGTTCATGATGGCAGACGAGGTATCAGCAAGGGCCTGATCACGACCTACAGCGGTGCCTCTGGGGTGTCTTGAGGAATGAGAAGGGGGAGGAGCGGGGTGGTTGCCGCCATCAGGAGGGGCGGCGGCATGCTCAGCTTGTCGCAGTTGGAGATATTTATTAACAGGCCGCATCAGGTCACCCAACGACTGAATGCAACAAAACCCATCTAACCCCTCCCACGGGACTGACTCTTTCTGGTGGACTTTGCGGCTACGGCGCTTCAGGTGTCTCTGGTATCCGGGACTCTTTTGTGAAACTGAATCGGACGAACGAACGTGGACTTGGTCCCTGATAGTCGTCGGCGCGTTCCTTTCGCCTATGTACCTAACACGCCTCTTGTCTAGAAAATTCCACATCCTCCACTCTGCTCTGTATCAACAGCCAACTCGGGGAACCTGGAAAGTCGAAGACTCGGGAAGCTGTGACCAAGAGGCCCCACCCGACGATTCCCTCCTCTTCCATTTTGGCCAAACCAAGGCACCCACGTGGGGCACTTGGCTCGCGCGGGATCGGTTCGTGAGCCTTCGAATCGCGCGTCGCGGGAAATGAGAACGTGGATTGACGAGGGTTGTGATTCGCGGATGGCCCGGATGGGCGAATCTGCAAGTTTCCATGTACGATCTGCGTGCGGGTTGGTGGGCTGGAAACTGTTTACCCCTCCCCCGCGCTTCGAAAAGAAGAAGGCGGAATCTAGACCCTTTGATTGTCTTCTGACTTGGTTCTTGTTTGCCCGAGATTCTATCACGAGGAGAGAGGACGTGAGATTATAGGAAGAGAAGAGAGGCAATACAGTAAGCAGATTGGGGCGAGATTCAACTGCCCGAATAAGACTCTGCATGTTTGCAACTCTCAAGGGTTGATCTTTCTTCTCTGCAGCCCTTCGCGAGAAAACCTGGGCGCGGGACTGTTTGATCACCCAGTTTACCCCTCATCACGATAGATCTTATCTCTCTCGATGAGACACACTACTCCGGAGGCTTTGGGCCTGTCGGGAAGGATGTTGGGGGCCATGTGCCCGGCTCCGTGACTCGGGCCCCGGGCGTGGGTGATGGAAGCATCTTCATAGGCTCAGGTCTTCCCGCTTGTTCCGCCTGTTTCTGGATGGCCCGGAGCATCGGGACCGACCGGAACCTGATGGAAGCAGACTCCAGCCACAAATTACGGACGCCACATTCATGTGGCTGATGTCTTTCGGGTAGCCGAGTTGAGTATTCCGGTTCTCTCACATTTTCCTCGTGAGATTTCATCGAGTTCATCGACTGAATGAGCTTCACTCGTTCGCAATGCGCACATGATCTTTTTACTTCCTTTTTTTGAGTTCTCAGTTCATATCTTCTTCAACGTGGCTCGAGTGGCTGCGACTGTTCATCTTCAACCATCTCATGCTCATTCTCATACTCATTCATCTCAGGCCCATCAGATCTGGCGCTGTCTCTTCTTGTCAGGCTGAGCCATTGAATTGAGCGCTTCCCAAGCAAACCCCGATCTTTGGTGAATGCCAATCTTCTCACACTGCACGTTCCGCGATGGTGACACATGCGTGTCTGATTTCCGAAGCCACTCGACGCCGCGGCAACTTTATGCGGCTGGTGCCGTCGTGAGAAGTGAGACCTTTCGTATCCTGCCCTGAGACATGCTACCATAGAAATTCCTGTTTGTTGTCTCCGTCGACCAAGTATGGCATGATCATCTCTCTCGCTGTCGATTCATTCTCACCGTCTTCGATACAAACACCACAGGAAAGAATCTGGACGCGTTCTCAACTACCCCAGCGACCGCTGGATAGTTACAGACCGCTCCGCTCAGCTCCCCAAAATACTCACCGGCGATGAGGCGGTCAGATCCGGTGCGCCCTCCCGAAACCGATAGACCGTTTCCTGGGGCTACACAGCAGAGAAGGTCAATAGAGTTCACTCGGCCGAACAAGTTAAGGTCGCGATCCGGCCAGTCGTTCAGGAACGAGTCGAGTCGGTGAAGAACACACACAGCCTCAACCGCTGTAACGTTTCTTGCGCTACAGAATGACGGAGGCGAGAAGCGGGCAGCTCTTCGAAATCTCTCCGAGTCTAGGAGTCTAGTACGGGTCTGAAATGGCTGGGTGGACAAAGATCCATCCCATGATTCCCGTCAGACTCCGCCCCGTCGATCGGCCCCGGTGGCATGACGAGCGTGACAAGCGCCGACCGAAAGTGGTCCCCTCGGTGGAGCGAAGCAGCGCAAAAAGGCCGTGGAGATTCAGCTCCGTCACCTTCGATGATGCATCTGCATCGATGCGATGCGGCAGTTGGCGATACCGTATTCACCCGCCAGCGTTGCGTTCCATTCACCACATGCATCGGTAAAGGTGCACTGTTCATCTATTCTTCCTCGTAATGCGAAGAATGTAACGAAGAAGATCTTGTCCCGTCCCATCGAACAAGACCGCCCAGCCGGCACCGAGCAGCCAAGGACCCTGAAGACCGTCCCAACACACCACACCGACCACCACGCCAGCCACCATCCCAACGTCCCTAATCGACCGGGGATCGTGGCTGCATTCGACGGGCTGTGTGTGTGACCGTTAATGCGCACCAAACCAGTGCCTTTAGACAAGCTTCCGCTGCCAATACGAGCCAGAGATCGGCCACCAGTAAGACTTGACTGTTTAGCTGCCGGCCTCCGCATGATGTGAAAGACAAAAAAGCCCATTCTAATAATGGCATCCTCGGTTCCGCCCAGGCGCAAGCAATGGTGCCTGCGTCCGTCGCAACCGGAATCGGAGAATTCGACGCGCTCCCTGCGGCCCCTCTTTTTGTTTCTCCCGCTTAGCTGCCAACGGCCATGATCCGCGGTACGTTTGGAGGGGTGATGCATGGGAAAAGAATGGGAGAATGGGCTGAAAGGCGATGGCATTCCCTCGCAGGAGGGGAATACGAGAAGAACAACTCGGTGCTACGTCATGTTTAGCGGCGTATAGCCCCCTCCGGCTTTACCGACTTTCATGCGACGGGGGCGAAATGGTATGGCTGGATGGAGTCACGGAACCAACCAACATCTGACGATCTTTTTTCTCCGACCCTTGATGAGGTTGAGTTTATTTAAACTGAGGTTCTCCCGTCCGAACATGACAGCTTATTCTCAGCAACCCGCCTCAACCTCGCAGAACAGTTCATCTCATCTCATCTCATCGCATCTTAATCCGATCTCACGACATCTCATCTAATCTAATACTTCTCATCTCCAAAACAGCCACCACCGCCAACATGCAGCTCCTCTCCGCCCTCCTCCTCCTCACACCCGCTCTCGCAGCGCCCCTCGTCGCCCGCGACGAGCCCAGCTGCGGCCAAAAGTCCGGAAAAGTCTCAGAATGGACCCTGACCGACTTCGACTTCCACGCCAGCTACATCTTCAGCACGCCCTCCCACCAGAACTCGTGGGGCTACATCAGCTTCAACGTCACCAACCCGGTCCTCGACTACGCCGTCTCCTGCGGGGCCGCCAGCAGCCGCCTCAACGACTTCTTCTACGGCGAGCAGGTGTACCAGTGCAAGGCGCCCGACGGCGAGAGCACGGCGACCTCGTTCACGTTCAGCCGGCCCGACGGCGCCGTCACGCTGAACCAGAGCTGGACTTGCAACGACGACCCTCAGTACCCGTAGGTTTTTCCTTCCTAGATGATGAGGATGAAGGATGGACGCTGATGATTTGTGACAGGGCACGATACACCGCTAAGGGTAACGCGGTTGCCGATCTCAAGTGCGAGGAGACGTCCTGGCAGAACCCCAACTGGACGATCGGCCAGTTCTACTCGACGCGGGACATCAAGTGCGACATTATTACTCTGCTGACTCCCATCAAGGAGATCCAGGGCGTTGCCTAAGGGATCCGAATCCTTCGAGAGGGCCGAGCGCATTCGGCCGATGGAACATGAATACTTGACGACTTGATGATCACCATTTCGCTTGCCTGCCGCTCCCTCAGGCTCGCAATGCATGGTTCTGGGACCCGGAGGATTACTGTCTCCGGGGACATAAAAAGGGAAATAGAAGTTACATAGCAGCGTGTCGATTAATTTTAATGTATCAATTGCCTTTCAACTCTCATGATCTCAACCCGAACTTTGTCCTTTGGGATGATCAATCAGGGGTGTTTATGAATCCATTCGCTCACAGGCGTCATTATAACACAATAGGGATTCCAAGGCAATCAAGTCATCCTAGATGCCTGTGAACAACAACTCGCCCAAGAAGTGAGAAAAGATGGAAATGCCCGTGCTACAGCGAGAGATTCACAAGCAGTAATTCACAGAAAAAGAAGTTTGGCAACATTGCTCATAATTGAAATCTAAAATCTTCATCTTAGGCAAGAACTCCTTTTCTCAAGGCTTGCAGGTGTTGCAGTTGGATCTACTCCAGTCGTATCTCCAATTCTCGTCCTTGCCGTTCTGCTCAGCCACCCCGTAGCTAATGTCCAAGCAGCAGCCCAGCTGGGTGCTGCGGCAGGTGAAGCCAGGCCAGGATGTGGTGCATGTGGCACTGGCAGAGGCGGCAAAGAAGATGCCGGCAAGGGCAGCGGTAAAAGTTGTCATTTGCATGTTGGCGGCGTTGAAGTTGTATCCCTGGGTATGTGTCAATACTTGAATCTCATCCCTTAAGGGCTGCACCAGGTACTCACACAATGAATTTTGCTTTGCATCTGAAGCGAGCGTGGTACGGATGAATGAAACGAAAGTGGGTTGGGTATGGTACTCTTGGAATAGACAAAGTAGTCAACCACCGGAGGGCAGAGCTTTTAAATAAGACTGCTTCGCGGGTTGACCGAGCCCAGCCAGAAACGTGTATGAAAGCAGCAATGCCTCAATTAATTATACTTTCCTTCCTCAGGGATTCGAATTCCGATATCAGCTTCAGAAGTGCGAGATAGAAGACGCAGAGATTGAGAATCATCCCGTCGGCTTCCGATGGCCTTGGCTTGGTCCCGCAGGATTCGTTCTGTCGGAGACATGACTTGGTGGATGCTCCGTCAATTACTTCCTGGTGTTAGCACGGCATCATCGATTCGAAATGTATCGTGTGATAGAACACTATTTTGTTAATTTCAACAGCAAGGTGTTCTGGAAATTCGGTTCTACTCTGAGAGGTTGATTCAGGAGCCCAACCATCCCATTATTCACCGGCTCCCATTATTGGGTCTGATAGGTCATCCGGTGGGAGAGTTTTACTGCGACAAATTTTAGTATGTTCGAGTCACGAACATGACTAGTTTTCCCGATTCTTCAATTTTCCCATTGGCTCTTCACAGTAAAAGATATTGAAGGTAGTTGTAGAGAACCGCCCTTTTCCGAATCCGATTGTTATGCAGCATTACTGCGTGTACTGAGGGGGCTCCCAGCCTTATTGCTGCACGTCCTATCTACGGGCTGTCAATAATATTGTATTCATATAAAAAGAATAAGAAATAAACGAGATCACTTCCTTCAAGAGGTTTGAATGAATAAGATGATTTGAAATTACTCTGATGAAATCAAGGGCTTGACAACCAAGAAAAGCTGAATGCCTGCTAAGTACCTATGATTTACGGTTTATGGTAACTGGACATCTCAGCAAGAAGATATGTCCAAAATTCCATCTTGGCAGCCATTCGTCGCCAGACTCCAGAAACCGACCAGTAATTGACGTGTTGTGCTTCAGTGCAGGCTTCTTCCTCGTCTCGATCTCCTTCTTCGCAACAATTTCGTGCAGCCTCGGTTGAACCATCAAAATGCCGATTCCTGGATTCAGACCCTAGTAACTTACACTATCAGGCCATGAACTTGGCCTCTACCGCGATGTGTGCATGCCCCTTCAAATTTTCTCAAGTGGAAAAATCAATATTGCATTCGGACAGCCAATCAGCGTGAGACAGATGGCAAGGCGTATCGCCAAGTTCGCCCAGTAAGACTGGCCGCAATGCAATTGGCTTACTTGATATCCCAACTGTATTTTTACAATCACTTACCTTCACCGCTTGAGAAGATCATGCCCATTACCCTTGATAAAAGGGCAGAGCGGACTCACACATTTCGACATAGGTCAAGCGTGAAACATCGAAGAATATGGCTGTTCACTACACTGTTGGTAGGTGACCGAGAGTTCATTACACCGAAAAGGACATTGACAAAATACCACAGTTAAAACAACAATCAAAATTTAGACCCTTACTATTGGCCAAACTCATGGCGCCCTGCAAAGATATCCCACCTTCCGAGCTCTGCAGTCGATGCTCCTCTATAGACCTCAAAGCCGTTTTGCGCTTGACGGCCACCGAACTCCGAGCTAGGCCACAGCAAGGTTGCTTAGTCGCTAACCTTTGCGACAAATCCGACAACGCTGAGTCAATTACGTGTGCTTTGTGTCGATTGTTCAGAGAGGGGCAGAATCACGTAACGTCAAAACCATCAACGGTTCAAGACTTACAGCTTCGCGCCTACTCCGGATACACCAAGACATTAGGCCAAACGTTCAAGCGACTCCCGGTTAGATTGCTTGATCAAGACATACCGCATCTTGCGGTGGTGCCATCGGATTCCAACGCACATCCGGCTTTTGGAGCAGGGGCGAGTTTCGTGCTTTGCTCGAGCACGATTCAAACGCATCATCAACTTTTCCAACCTCAAATCCTATCTCCGGAGGTTCAGTACGAAACTATTATTGCGAGCTTGGAGTTTTGTAAAAGCCGACACAAACTCCTATGCGGCAAAATCGACTGCCTCACTGGCCCTTCGAGGCTGATAGACTGTGGTGCTACTCCAGTGTCGGTGGTTAAGTCCCCGCCAGGGGTCCCCTATATCGCTCTCAGCTATGTCTGGGGACAGCATGGAAAGCATACTTCTATTTGGGGCACAAATAAGGCCGACCCAGCTGAAGCCATCGTCATTCCGAGTCTACATCTCCCAAGGAGTATCCTAGACGCCCAGATCGTGGTGCGGAAACTCGGGTATCGATATCTATGGGTTGATCAGATCTGCATCAATCAAGAGGATCCGGACGACAAACAGTCTCAGATCGAGATAATGGACAAAATCTATGGGGGGGCTGAGTTGACCATTGTCGCTGCTGCTGGTTCGCACAGTGACTATGGACTTCCCGGCGTATTTTCCAAGATGCGCCCCTCAACGCAAAGCTTGGAATTAGATGGACTTCGAATCATTCGCATGCCGAATGATCCACCGAGTCTCATCAGATCCTCCACATGGTGCACAAGGGCATGGACGCATCAAGAAGCCCTACTTTCTCGACGTCTTCTTTTCTTCACCGATTCCGAGGCTTACTTTGAATGCCATTCCATGCAGGCTCGGGAGTCCCTGGTCTGGGATTTCGACACTCTGCACTGCAAGCAAGGCAAGCTCTACTCCTTCTTCAACTCGGGTCTTTTCTTGCAGGGCATATCACATAACGATTCCTACGTGAGAACACCAATGTCTGCTCTCATCAGGTTCTACAATATTGTAAAAGATTTCACAACTCGAAGTATGTCTCACGAAGAGGATGCCCTGAGAGCCTTCATGGGTATCATTGCGCATTTGGAAAGCTATAAAATTCCAGTCTTTCAACTACAAGGAGTGCCATTTGTCACCCTTCCAACCATAAGGTCAGCTCCCACGACTTTTCTCCACAGCCTTCTTTGGGTATATGTAGAGAGAAGCCGACCGAAACCTACTTCAAGGCGATTAGAGTTTCCTTCATGGTCATGGGCAGGATGGAAGGGACAAGTCGAGTTCATCATGGAGTCAGATGAACTACACCGCCACCTCGAGCCTCAAGGAACCATCGTCGGTCTCAAACTGAATGATAATACCGAGGTGGGCTTGACCATGCTACACACGAGTCCTCTCGAGATATCCCACCTACCGGTGCTTGCCATCGCAATGAACGCACGCATGCTCGTGCTAGACTCTGTGGCCATACACTTCACTAAAGCACCACCAAACTGTCGGATAGTCAGTCGGGTAGTCCCGCCTGTGCGGCCATCACATTTGAACCAACCTCGTCCAGTTCCCCCGAGTCGTCGCGGAAGGAAACCAGTCCTCCCCAGATGGCTACCCCCCGGTTCAAAGGCCGTCATCCACTTGCATAAGTGGCCAAAGTTTATAACGAGGCTAACGGAATTTTGTACATCGAATAAACTCAGATTTCTCCTCATTGGAAACGCACCACGGATCCCCCGTTTGAAGGGCTCTGGAAGGATATATTTCTTGATACTCGAGCCCTGCGGAACCTCCTTTTCACGGATGGGTGTCTTGGAAGTAAAGGAGGACTTGGAATCGTTCAGCAAGTTTACACGCTTTGAGGAGTGTGTATCAATCATTTCATAGCCTTAGATTATTCTTTCTATCACATCTTTAGGTCCGCAATTAGTGACTTTTACTCTCCAAGTGCTAAGAGAAGTTGTGATTCTAAGAGATAGATTGTGAGAAAGTATAGCTTGGCAGTCACATGGTTCGGTATCCAAAATAAAGCATGGCCAAAGACTACTAATGGCCAGATATCCTAATTCCGTCGATTGTCCGACGGTTGTATTCTGTTGGCCGTCAAAGTATTCACGGTTCAACCACCTAAACAGCTTTAGGTTGGTGTAGCCAACTCACACTAGCCCTTGAAGACCAGTCACAGTCACACCTATGTATTTCGCTCTGTTAATTGTTCCTGTCTGAGCAGCAGGTAAATAAGCTGCATCTAGGCAACATAGTGGCAAGATCACCGGCGACAGCGCCAACGACGACGAGGACGATGACGACAATAGCGAGCATGTAGGAGAGGTAATCGCTTTGACACAGGACCAATATGGAGTTTAGCGTGTTTGTCTACTAAAAGCAGTATAGTTACATTATTACGTGCAACCATCTGATGAAGAATTGAATTACAGCACCGTCGTCAAACAATATCGCATGCGATCAAGCTGAGCTACATCGCAATGCCAGAGGCCTTCCACCTGACGAGTCCAGGATTGGATAGCCACGAAATATCCCAAACTGCACAGTCGAGCGAGTCTAAACCACCAAGACTCCAACCCCGAACTGGCCCAGTTCAACAGTGAAGATTCCGTCGGCATCTCCTGAAACGTTGATCACTGCGGGTGCAGCAATGACATCAGGGGTTTCGACAGAGTTGGCGTCGTCAGGGCCGGCCGTGATGGAAGTGAAAGAAGCCTCCAAGCCCGCCTTACCAGGGATTTGAATGCGAGCCTCAGTCGAATTGGAAGCGTAGTTGGCAAGCTTCACAATAAACTGGCCGTCTGTCTTCTTGCTTGCAGCCCACCAGACTAAATACGTGTTCACGGTTAATCGTAGATCACGAACATTAGGACTGTGAAAGAGCCTACCTGGATTGACCTCCGCGTCAGCCGTGACGGGAACGACAACATCACCGTGATTATTGGCGAACATCTTCTTAACATGGTACGACGGGGTGTAAACGATGCCGTTGGGCTTGTTGGTGAACGGGATGAGGTTGGGCTAGCCAAAGATACATTAGCAGAGTGCGTGAGTCTCCACGAAAGGAACAATGTCTTACAGTCCATTGACCGTTGACGGGATCGTAATTCTGCAGCGTAGGCGCATACGCGGCCAGCTTGATCAAATCCGCGTTGCGCTCCCAGCCCATCATGTAAACCGCCTCAGAACAGGCACCTCGCATGTCGGACCACTTGACGCCCCACCTGGCGTACTTGCCGATGAAGACAGGATGAGCGCGGTCCCAGTCGTCGTAGAAGTCGAATGCGTTGATGTAATTCTCCGGGACGTTGTAGTCATGGAAGTCGAGCCATGCACCCTCGGGGATTGGGTCCGGCAGGCAGTTGCGGTCGGATGTGGATGTGAGGATGGTGAGGTGCGGGTAAGCCTCCTTGATGGCGTCAAAGAACTGCACGAACCGTTGTTTGTAGGACTCGCAGCCACCAGCGAGATTATCTTCGTTTCCAATCTCGACGAACTTGAGTGGGTATGGCTCCGGATGTCCAAGAGAAGCGCGAAGTGCGCCTCCCGAGGTGTTGATGTCGCCGATGACAAACTGCACATGTTAGCCTGGGGTGATAGGTTTCGAATAGTAGAAGGTGACCAACTTCTATCTCGCGAATCGCGTCCTCAACGAATGGTTCAAGCTCCGCACCCATCAACGGCGGGAGGCCTGCAAGTCCAAGACCAGCCCAAACATCCAAGATAGGCTCCATAGACATGTCTTCGCACCAGTGAAAGTATTCCATGAGGCCTTTGATAGACTCTGTCAGCAGGAGATAGTTGTCTGTGGTTGTGAGGTAGACGATTTCCGTTAGGTTGCCAGACAGAGACTGGTGGTGATGCCAAGACTTGCCAATGTCTTCATATGTAGGTCAATTTCTTTTGAGATCAATCGCAACAACAGCATGAAGACAATGCGGGGCCATGTATGTTCAGTGCTGATGTTTGTCTTCTAGCCGCAAGCCCTGTGATACGCTCCTCTACCCATTCCGCGGATAGTTGCATCATTCCCGGTTTGAGCCGGAGGTTTCCCGCAACCGCGCCAATTACCACCCAGCGTTTGACATCGCAATGCAACGACACATAGAGAGATTACAATGTCGATCCACTCGGATGCCAAAGAAAAATCAAAACATGTCCGCCAAGGACTTTTCCAGCTGCATGAACAACCTAATTGGACGGCGCGCGATGTCGAGCTGTATCGTGGTGTTCTATAATGAGGCCGACTTTGCATAGGCACTGGCAGCATGGAGACGACGGCATTGCACTTGGATGGTTTAGGTATTCACAGTGATAGTAATGAAATGTCGCTGTTGAGCTTCACTGTACGTAATACACGAGCACTTAAACCCAACTGAGTTGTAACTGTCATGTTTGAAAACCTTTTTGTTCAGACTTTATTTTCAAAATGCCTCCCCGTAAACAGCCTGACCCAAAGGATTGGTTTACTCCCAGCGATATCCAAGTTCTATGAAACGTTCTTGCCACCGTTTATCAAAATCTTCTATGTCTTCGAGCTCATCCTCTCCCCATCTGTCCTCATCCGCCAGGCGATTAATAGTGTCTTCCGATACATCTTGACCCATGCACAATGGGCAAAGGAACAAACCCCCGGCACTGCCATAATGGCTTCCTCGGCAGGACAACCATTCCAAAGCTTGGCTGCCAGGCTGGCAACAAGGGCACAACCAGCGCAAGCCGGAGCATAAGCCGCATTCGCGCCCCTCAACCCATGCAATGACCTCCGGGACATTCAAGTCGTAGAACAAGAAATCGTTGTCAGGACTTAAGTAGGCAACGTCGATTTCAATTTCGGCGGTCTCTGACTCCATATCTGGAACCTTGAACGGACAAGGAAACTCGGACGCATCCACCGAATAGTTGTCGGTTTGTTGCAGAGGGTCTCTGAAGTATGTTTCGTAGTACCACATACCTGCGGAAGGATCATCAATATCGCCACAAAGCGTCTTTCGACAATTTCTTTGCAGACCAGTGTGGAAGATTCTCCGTCTTCTCGGATCAGTAGCGGCTGTAGGAGGCAGGACCGGGTGTCGAGCTTCGTGAATTCCAAGATTTCGAGCCAGATTTCCAAAGGTAGACATTTCCCCTTCAATGATGTGAGGTTGCTCGGGGACTGCCTAATGAGGTTTTCGACATAGTAGGCTGATAGCATGGGCCCGTCGAATAGCAAAACCGGCTGCCGAGTCCGAATGACATCCAGACACGACTTGTCGAGATTCTTCATACTTGATGCTGGCGGCTTTTCGATGGTCGCATAAGTGTAGAGAATAAGATAAGTAGAAACAGGCGCGGTAGAACTGTTTCAGAGACTTGAGAGGGGAAAGGATTTGTATCGAAGAAAAAAATACTCGAATGAGAAAAAAGCGAGGAAGAGCTTTTATTCACAATGTGGCTTTTGACCTTTGCGGCTTTCTGCCAAGCTGTACCGGAGATGGAAAAATTCAAGTTTGTGCCGTACAGGTTCTTAAGTCTCTTGTTCTGCGTTTTCGGTTATTTCTCCTCATCGCCAGGAACAGGAATCCAAAGTATTACACGTATAATTAGAGTACAGCAGCAGAACAACGGCTCAAGTCCACGTTTTTCAGATATCTCACAGATGATAACTGACGCTTATGGCGCACCACTAGCCTGACTGTAGTAACCAAAGATGCCTTTTGGTCGATCCAAATGATTCGGTAAATAGAGGTTCATTTCTCCAGTGACTAGGATCGTAGCCAGGGATCTTCCATTAACTCCTGCGCTGAGAGTCTGTCATCTGGCCTCCACTGGAGCATCTTTCGAATGAAAACTAGAAATTCATCCTTTTCGATTCCCTCCAGGTTTTCTTCTTCATCTTCGAGGGATGTCTCGGGAACTTCGACATCAAATACAAGGCGGCCTAATGACTGATGACGTTAGAGAGACAACGCGGCTGTATAGAAACAAAACAACTTGCCATCACTACCGAAAAACTCCTTCCAAGATGAGCCCCGTTCTAAAAGATCCTCAGGCGGTGGTCCCAACAGTGATATCATTCTTGCGAAGTGCGCCACTTTTGACGCCTTTGGATCTCTCAATCTGGTCTTGAACAACAGTTTACCTTCGAACAGATCCCATACCTGTTTTTGATGTTATCATGAGTAAGGTAGCCAACCATCCTGCGGCTGAGCTGACTTACCAACAAACCCAACGCCCATATGTCGATCTTCTCGTTCCATGGCACTCCAAGCACTATTTCAGGTGCTCGGTACAAGTCTGGCATGGCTTCTTCTTCAAAATCAAACGCACCCTCGTCGATTCTTGCATCTCCAAAGTCCGCTATTACCGGCTCCCCAGGTTGGTCCGGTATTTCAAGACCTGTAGACGCATAGATTATCCGGTCCCTTAGGATTTTCCGTGCACTCGGAAGCTCCAATTCGTCCTCGACGAGTCTGTCGAGAACACTGCGATCTTTGACCGACAGCATGATGTTTCCATCCTGTATGTCTAGCGTCTCACATCAACTCCCAATCATAGTGGCACGGCGTGCACAAGCCACATACCTGTATGAATTACCCTTGCAACTGAATGCAGGTAGTCTATCCCAAGCAAAACGCCGTAGATAAGACCTTTGAGAAGATTGGCGGGAACCTTGCCGCCCGCCATTTCTCGTATATCAGCCAAAGATATGCCGAGTGTCTCTAACACGAGACAAATGTGGTTTTCTTTCTTCCCAGGGAGCTCAAACGTGTTCTTCGCCACTCGTATGAGCCTAGCGCCAGGGTGGTCGGAGGTAATATCTCCCAAATGACGGAGTACGTTTTTCTCTACGGACGCTTGGCTATTTCCCGTAGCATATACCTTGAGAGTTGCGTAGGAGTGTTCCCTGGGGGAAAGTCAGTCTCTGTGTTCCACATCGTGACTGTGTTGAAATTACCGTAAGTCTCGACATAGCCACGAAGTCGATGCAGAACCAAAGCCGAGCTTCAGTAGAACCTGGTACCGTGATTCAAAGACCTCCCCAATCCTTACCGGATACCACTTGTCTGGGTCGTACCAGGAGAACGTCTCCTCCTCCAAACGGACAGTTTCGCTGTATATCTCCTCAGGCTCCGCATTTGACAACGGCCTCGGAGGCGACGCGTCGCGGACTGTCATGGTCTTTTCTCGCCGCTAACGTGGGCGGTGAAGTTGGGGTTTGGAGAAGTTGGGTTGAGGGAATTTGTGGGCTCATCTGTCAGCTGGTGAGCGCGTCCTGCATTTCTCCACAACCCGCAGTCTTGTGCAACCAGACCCTGGCCAACAGGTCCAGGGCCGATCATCCAAAAGACGCAATTCTGCAAAACGGAAGAGATGTCAAGTGGGAGAGAACCTGTTCTTAACACAGCATGTAATGATGAGGCATTGAGTAGGCTGTACATATATTGACGAATTGCCTCCACGATTGGAAAATCTGAAACACAAGGACACCTCAAGTATGCAATGGTAATTTTAATTCACTGGTCAAGCATGGGAAGTGTTTTTGTTGTTGTTGTCCGACAAGAATCAGAATAACCAAGTTGCAAGAACGGCTGCCTCAATTAGCAGTCGTCCCAAGCTTCGTTTCTTCGATTGTTTGTAGGCGTCTTGGGAGACAGGGTGATTTCGAGTTTTCGAGCTTTTGTAGCGACTATAGGGAGCCAGACTCGAAAATGCGCTGATTCATTTACACCTAGCACGTACTGAAGTACCAGCTCATAAATTCCAACCATTCTCACCACATGATTGCCCCTCAAACATACAAGATGGACCTTTGTGGAGATAGATTTTGGACTTTTTCCGTGCTCGGATTGCGTCCAGTCGTAAAGAGCAGAGATGAGACAATACTAATCATCCCCGAGTCGTGTGTAATTGACAAGGCACAGCAAGCGACCCTTCGGTATGTCATCTTACATTATTTCAAGGTACTTGTTACGAGGCGAGCTTATGCGCTGTTTACCTTGTTTTCTGCTGGGTTCGCTTCACTGTAAGTACCTCGGGATAGTGGATTTTCAATTCGCGGGAATAGGATCGGTCTGCCACTTTGGGCTCGCCGTGCCAGCTCCGGCCCGTTTGACTCATGCCCGCCTTTCTTCCGGAACTAAGATGGAGGCAGCGCTTACTCCACATTCCGCTGACTGCCGGTTTCCCGCAATAGGGCGCCTGGGTCTGAGGTGCTCGAGATCTACTTTCACTGGCCCGGAACGTGAGTATAAGAAGGTTTGAAATGGAGATTTCAAATGGCTCCCTGTTTGGGCCAAGAACTCGCTCATCCACTGCACATTGGCATCGGCCTTCGACATCATGAACCCAGTCAATACAAAGCCTTATACCTTGCCTGCTGACGCAACCTGGTTAAGTCAGTCCTTCCGGCGTCGAAGTAGATATTTCAGACCAAAAGCTAATGTCATCCAGTTACTGGTTGTTCCTCTGGCATCGGCAAGGCTTTGGCATCCTTGGTCGCAGGCAAGCAATCCCATCGTCTCATTGCCACGGCCCGCAAGCCCGCCGATCTGGCATACCTGCCTGATGATGAACCCAACATCCTCAAACTTGCCCTGGACGTGACTTCCCCCAATTCCGTCAACGATGCTTTTGAAGCCGCCGAAAAACATTTCGGGGAAGGCTTTCATCTCGATGTAGTCGTCAATAGTGCCGGTTATTCCTTGTCCGGGGACACGGAGTCGGCGACGGAGGAAGAGACCCACCAAGAGATGGAGACCTTGTTCTTCGGGACCGCCCGAGTGACAACTGGGGCTATCGGCATCATGCGCCAGCATCCCGAGCACCGAGGTGGTGTCATCTTCAACATTTCTTCCTTGGCTGGGCAGCTCGGCCTTGCAGGTCACGCTTACTACCATGCCGGGAAATGGGCCGTGGAAGGTTGGACGGAGTCTGTAGCACGAGAGATGCATCCTGACTGGAACAGTAAGCCTAAATCTTCTAGACATCGTCTTTGTTGACAACATCTCACATCCGTACAGTCAATTTCTGCATCATCGAGCCTGCTGCCGTCAAGACCAACTTTGAGGGCCATAGCAAAGCTCACACTGCGCCGCATCCAGCCTACGCAGCCCCTGACATGCCGCCTCGTGTTCTTGAGAAGTATGTCAATGCGGGTCTCAAGATGGGTGCCGGCGCTGAGCCTTCCGCGGTCGCTGAGGCTATTTACGACATTGCGAACCGTGGAGACAAGATCCCGCTCCGCGTTCCTTTGACGGCCAACGCATGGAAGATGATCAAGGCAAAATTCGAGAGTTTCTTACCGGAGCTGGAGGCCGTGAAGGATATTAGTGCTATGGGTCAGCAGATTTGATGGGTCTTTTTGGTGTCAAGACTGCCCATGTCCAATCTGCGCCGCTCAATACGACGTAGCAATTCCTTTATTAGGCAGCACATGTCGCCAATTAATAGCTAGTTGATCTGAGGGTTTTCCAAATTCCGATTCTGCAAATATCTACATATCTTTAGCTCAATCGCGTATTCTCTCACGGCTTGTTGCTGCTTTCTCGACATGCAAGACGGCTCTGCTGAGTTCGCGACATCCGCGGCAACGTCATACCCTTCGTTGGAAACCTTCCTCGACCGCCGATACCCGCGGCCGATCTCTATCAACTTGGGATTCGAGCGCTTCCGATGGCCCGCCTTTGCTCCGCTTCATGAGATCAAAGTTCTTCGGGACTCTACGAATGCGAATTCTGAGCAAGACCCATATCAAGTCTACGCTGAAGACGGTACGATCTCGCTACACGCTGTCGCCAGCGAGCCGTACACCAACCCTCCGATATCATCGTTGAAGGTTTCAGTTGACATCCTGGACCACCACGGCTCCCGGGACACGTGGGAAGATCTTCACACATTAGATCGCCCAGAAGACGACAGCGATGTCCCGTGTGAGTGCTGCGGTCGGATGCCGTATCGAGCACCGCAACCACTCGTTATTCACGCAAGTTCAGAAGCTCACGTTACCATCGGAGACATCGTGGGGCAGGTCAATCGGTACGTCAATGACCTGCGGGAGGATATACTCGAGGCCTTGGATGCTGCTGGTGAGTATGCTGGGCAGAGAAGTCCGGATCACTCTTTCTGGGTTGTATTCGGTGTCAATAGCATTGATATTGAAGAGGCAAGGACTCCTGAAGAAATGGCCAAGGTTTGGGAAGGCAATGCGAATGATGTGCGCCGTTTCCGTCCCGGCTTACGGTATCAAGAGATACGCCAACCTTTACAAGGATGACTGCCTACGATTTGCGGCACACTTCAATACTGCTTCAAAACGGGAAGTCGATTGAGGGGCTCTACTCCAGATATTATGTGGAAATCTGAGGCAAGCATTCTTCATATGATTTCTATAAGCGACCTTCCCCAGCGTCTTGAAAGTCTATCTCTTTTCGACACGTTCCTACCAGTCCACCAGGTCAGCCCTAATAATGGAATAAATCAACTCGTCCATCAGCACCCCGTCCTTGACCACCGCCTTCCTGAGACAGCCCTCCAGCTGAAAACCGCTCTTCTCCAATAAGCCCTGACTCGCCTTGTTTTCCGAGAACACGCCCGCCCAAAGCCTGTCAACCTCGACATGCTCATCGCCCATACCGGCCAACACCCAGCCCGCAAAGGCGGGAACCAGCTCCGTCATGATCTTGCGTCCCCAGAACTCTTCTCCGAGCCAATATCCCAGCTCGTAACCCCGCGAGTACACGTCCTTGCCGGGTACAAGACCGATGCTGCCCATGGCTCGGCCCGATGTGGGGCAGACGATGGCCCAGTTGCGGATCGGAGGGGTCTGGTTGATGGAGATCCAGCTTTCGGCCGCGGCGACGGTGTATGGCTGAGGGAAGGTGTTCCGCAGGTATTTCGCGACGGTCTTTGAATCCGCGGCTTGTGAGAGTGATTGGGCGTCGGAAGGGTGGTATGGACGGACGATGCTCTTGTCGAGGATGAGAATGGGCTTTGGTAACTCCGGTGGTGAAGCCATGTTTGGTTGGGCGTGGCGACGTTAGCCGACAGGATGCCTTGTGTGAGGTGAGTGACTTCCTCGGAAAATGTGATAGATTTTATCGTTGTTATTCTCGATGAGTGATGATTGAGCAGCGTCAAAGATTGGATGTTGACGGCACTCGATTTCAGGTAGTTGTTGGAGGTGAAAAAAGTATGACTCTCACGGCCTGTTTTGCAGGAAATGGGGCATCACACAGTTGGTTGGTTGCCCGTTCGGGAATAGTGTGCATGTGTCATCACGGAATGCAGTCAGCATTATCAAACGTTCTGAGTTGTGAATGCTGATTATTACCAAAGAAAACTCCTGGAGGCATTGAGTATGACCCCGGCCGGACCCGATCGCCAAAAGGTCGCGACTCCGAACTCCGGAAATGTGGGGACGTCCCGCCCGAGCCAGGCCGGAGTTGGCGCTCCAATTGAAGCTTCCGAGAATTGTCTTTAAAGAGGCGTGCGACAAATTCGAAAATTTCAGGCACTAGACCTCCGATCCACAGAAGCATGCTTGTCTTTGAAAGACTATTCTATCTCCAGAGCAGACAATCTGACGGAGAGTTGGATGACTTGCAGCTAATCTGGTTGATATTGCCTATCCAAAGTCCTCAAACAGGAATGTATTACGCGTTGGTACGGAATGGGTATAGTACACTCGATCTAGAAGCATCATCATCGTAACCTGCATTTTCCGGTCTATACAATCCATGCAGACTCCGTGTAGTCCTTGGAGAGGATCTGGTTGGTGTTCTTGGTGTACTTCATCCAGCAGTAGGGATCGTCGTTGCCCTGGTCATCCTTGTAAAGATAGACGATGCCCGCGCAGCGACCCAATTCCGTCTGCTTGTTGAGGTTGAAGACGGCGCAGAGACGGACGCACTCCTCGATGTTCGTGGTCGGGACCTTGCCGATGTCGTTGTAGATGTAGTCGCTTCCGCAGTCCTTCTCGAAGGTGATGTTCGTGCCCGGTACCTCCCATTTCGGCTTGGTGGAGCCGGTCGGGCATTCTCCCTTCTTGATCGCGGTGTCTGTCGGGGCGGCCTCGGCGAGGTTCAGGACGGCAGCTGATGTCGCCGTTGGTGTCGCCGACGCGCCTGTTGAAGTAGGGGCGGCTGAAGCCGTAGCTCTGTGAAGATGTCAGTTTGGGCGCGCGTCTTTCAAAGATAAACATGAACTAACCTCGCCAACTGCGAGTTCTTCTGCGCAACTACAGCTCCTAATGCGCCGGCGACGGCAATCAAAGTCGCGAGAAGAACAACCGAAAGCATCGTCAAGAAAAACGTCGGTTTTCGCAGGCCGCATATCCTTCCGTCTCTAGCATCCTCTTTGCCTTCTTTTCCAGGTGGAGGGACCGCAGCAGGATGGTGGTTGTTTGTATACGTTGTGTGGGAGTATTGTGTTTGCGGGGTCTGGACGTTGTGGTCATAGTATGCCGGCTGCTGGTGATGCTGCGGCTGCATGTTATGCTGCTGCATTTGAGGAAGATACGGCTGCGGCGCATCGTTGAAATTGGGGCCCGGGTGCACCTCAAGACCGTCCGGAATGGCGCCGGCTTCGGGGCCGGGAGATCCGTTCGGGTTCTTGAGCATCTTTTCGGCCTCGGGTGACGTGGAATGACTGCCGTAGTTTGAATAATAGTTGTCGTGAGGATGCAGTGAGGCCATCTCCAACAGAAGGCGGAACGAAAAGCTCGTTCGAGAATTTGAGCAAGAGATGGGGGAGAGAGTGTGTTAAAATGGCGAGCGGCCAGCAGATCACTAGTCGGCGACAACGGTGATTGCGTGACAGGGGAAAGCAGGCAGAAACGATCGGATGGAGACTGGAGTGATAGGCAAGGAGGAAATGACAAAGAAAAGACTGGGAGAACGAGAAGAGTGTGTCTTGAAGGATTGGAAAAGCGTGTCATCGCGCGAATCAGGGGGGGTTCAGTATGGGGCTGTCAGCAATAGATGTATTCGTACTAGCCAAGCTTCCACAAGTCCAAGACACTTTTCCGGACGCCAAAACGCTCCATCACCGTCTCGGGCCTGTAGGGCTGGCGCGAAACAGAAACAGATGGGGTGGCTGGCCGGGGCCTGGTTCGTGTCACGAACGTATTTGATGACCTTTCAATAGCATCCATCCGGCAGAGAGGCAGACTGAGGGAATGCACAGAAGAAGCAACGACGGCAAAGCAAGGCACTGCCCCTGGTTGAAGCACTCAGCCGCTGCGCTGAACTTCGCGCGACCAATGGCTGAGCTTCGAGCTGGGCGATCAGCGGCAGGAAAGGATTTCTAAAAGGAACGAAGGATGCGAATCCCTGACAGCGGCTAACGCGATTGTGGGAAAGTAAGCTTCGAAGGTAACCATAAATGTCGGAAATGTCTGCCTTGGGATATCACCAAGTAACGCCGTCCGGCGCCCCCAATTTCCGTGGCGTCGTGCGGATGAGTGGCCAATTGATGATGGCCAAGCATTACCATCAGTCTTGTTGCGCTTGTCATTCAAACATGAGACATCCTTCCTACCTCCCCAAGGTTCCATAGTCGTTCGATCGCCGGCCTTTTTGGGTCTCTATTGATCCTTCTCTTCCTTTTGCTTTTCAATCGTTATTGTGGTGATTCTTGGCCCCCACGTGTATTAAAGATACGCACTTCCGCTTGTGGTAACCCAGGAAGACTAGGCCGCCGCGCACGATTCTTAGTCTCCGCTAGCCAGCGGCCGACCGTGCTTCAGCCAGGCTAACTCAGTTGTCACCCCTCGAAACAATTGACATAAGCCCTAGGAAACAAAACATTATTCGGACCAGCATTTCCCGTCCGCTGCTTAGCCTCTGTGGCTCATTTAGCGGCTGTTCCCGTCTAGTCAGCACTGAGGCTTCGAGGCCGGCGCTTAGCAACGATAAAGTCATGGAGTCTTGAGACCGGTGGCAAGATGTGGTCGCGATTCCGAATTGGCTTTCAATAAGCAATAAGCGAAGCTATGGAGTTTCGACCCGTTAATGGCCCGCAATATGTGCATCGTTCACCTTGGACTTTGTTTCAACTACTGCCTCCTCTATCGAGTAATCTTGGTCATGGGGCTTCTTGTGCGATCATAATCGGAACGCCCATTAAGTCACATCAATGATGTGTCCACAGGTATCTGATAGTTGCGGCATATCAAGAGTTGACGAATTTCCATGAGAATCACATCTAGCGGCGACAACTCCAGAATGTCTCTTTGAACTTTATTAGCCCTGACGTCAGATGCGCCTCTCATCACCCTGTGAGACATCCGTCTAAGGTCCGAGCGTGATGACTGGTGGGAAAAGAGGAGGCGTACGAGCAGGTCAACTACCGTTAATTATCATCATTCAAACTCATTGTTCTCAGAACCTCGAATTCGTTCATTGTGATCGCCGGTAAACATCTTAGAACTCGCAAGATGTGTCGCTGGTTCATCTATCTCGGCGATGAGCCTCAACTTCTCGAAGACCTTGTGCTTCGGCCTCGACACTCCATCGTGAAGCAGGGTGAGTAGAGAGTCCTACTCGTGCTTTGAATGAGCCGAACTTAACTTCGGCAGTCGACGAACACTTCTTGCCGTCCGGTCATACACCGTTCGACCCATGGCAGGCCGAATACGCCACTCCGTCGTCCGCCAACGACACCGGATCCCCCAACCCCTTGACCAACATGGACGGCTTTGGCGTGGGGTGGTACTCGACGGCCCAGTGTGAATTCGACCCCGACGAGCAAGGCGAGGGCCGAGAAGCCCTCCGCCCCGTCGTCTACAAAAACATCCGACCTCCTCTGAACGACCTCGTGTTTAAAAGCATCGCCAAAGGGACCAGCACGTCGGCCGTGTTGGCGCATGTGCGGGCTGCGCCCGGTCTGACCCCCGTGGTGGAAACCAACTGCCATCCGTTCGTGTTCGGCCGGCATATGTTCGCTCACAACGGCATCTTGGGATCTTTCCCCATCATCCGCACGGCCATCTTACAGTACCTTCCACTCCGGTACCAGGCTGCCATTCTAGGGACGACAGACGCGGAGCACGTTGCGGCTTTGTACTTTTTCATTCTTTGCGGAGCGGCAGGCGACTGGAACAAGCTTTACGAAGTCAGTGTGATGGGGCAAGCCATGAGAGAAACCATATCCATGCTTGAAGATATGCAGAGGGAGTTTGCTGGAGGTGAAGGCTCCTCTAGAGCACCAAACACGCTGAATTTGGTCGTTACATCGGGGAGCTCACTCGTTGCCCTGAGGTACGCCAGTCCGAAGAACCATGAGCCACCAAGTCTGTACTATTCGACGAAGGCGGGTCCTACTCTGAACCGGAAGTTCAAGGGGAATCCGGATGAGACCGGTGATGGCGGCAACAACGGCTCCGGAGACAAACGCCTGGAAAAGGGAGATCATTCGACTCACGTTGTTGTGGCCAGCGAACCAAGCACTCGTAACTCGGATGAGTGGGAGTTGATCGAACCGTCACAGATGGTCTTGGTGGATGAGAACATTCACTTGGAGCTGAAGAGTCTCTAGGTGTTGGAAAACAGGCCAACGGGGCTTTTGCATGATAAACTCAACCGTTTCCTTTACATTTATGTGCCAGCATAATTTTCGGCACATACTGATGTCCGTACCTCAACTTCCTCGAGACTCACAGGCAACCATCTGCCTCTGATATCCCTGATCATTACCCTTCTCATTCCTTTTCGGCCTTTCCAACCCTCGTCACTGGACAGCTAAAGCTGTCTGCCATTCATGCCGACCTGATGTGCAACCTCCTTGATCCAGTGAAGAAGCCCGAAGGCATGTCCAGACTAAGGCATGCTCAGATAAGGGTATGTTGAGACTCTTGATCCGAGTCATCGGCCAGATAGAACAAGTCATCTTCCAGCTTTTCGTCATCCCACTCGTCGAGGAAAGCCGTGCGGGTAGGACGCTGCCATGCCAGCCAGAACCATCCGAACGCAATGACAGCGAATGGGAGAATTGCCGCCAACACGAGGGCCGCAGGATGCCAAAAGCCTTCTTCGAAGTCGAGGAGGATGCCGCAGCCGATGAGGAAGGTGACCCACATGAGCAGGAAGGAGGTGAGCTCGACTTCGCTGTCCGTCATGCCCGGGTTGCGATTCTTGAATGCGTGCATAGAGGACGGCAGAAGGCGCTGTAGCTCTGGTCCATGTCGTGTGGCGATTCTGCGGGCCGGGAGAATGAAGAATCTGCATATGAGAGCGAAGAGCAGACCGACGGCCGCGAGAACGATTGTGCCGATGTAGATGCTGTCTTCCGGTCTCGACGAGGCGCAAGACTCGGGATGGCTCGATGCTGAAAGCATGTTGAAGTTCGGGATCTGGGCGGTTCGTTGTTTGGAGGAAGGCGTGGAAACGAGGTTTGTGATGATTTGAGTAGGTGAAGAAGAGTTGTGATGATTCGAGTAGGTGAAGAAGATTTCTTTACTTTTAGGATCTGGGATTTCCCGGTGAGTCTGGGGCCTCAGTTATATGCCATCCTGCTGCGTATCGGAGATGCGTAAAATTGAGTTCTGAGCGGAGCAGGTTCTGGTTGCCTGAAGATAATCTTCTACACGATTCTAGGTCGAACCAAGTGAAACATGTATTTTAGGTTTTCACGCAGGTCATACATATTGTATATCTCAAGTACCTTGGGTGCGAATTGTTCGTTTATGTGCTGCATTCTCCAGATCTCCCTCAACTCGCTGACCGAACAGGTACGGGCGGGAGAGGAGGCTCGAAGAGTGGCGAAACGACACAAATAAGCAAGGTAGTCTGTGATGAAAAGGTTAAGAGAAACCGATGACAAGGCCTTTTGTTGCAAAGCCTTGTTCTTGAAGAAAATTGTTTGCACTTTCATACGGAACAGTGAGGTTGAGTTTTCCGAATGCAAGTGCCTTATTCGTTTAGAAAGAAGGTTTCTGGCACTTCTAGATTGTATTTCATGTCAAGTAATGCTATTACTCTTGCTCAAATAAAGTATCTTGGTATAATTAATAATCATCGACAAAACTGACTTTTGACATGGACCGTAGTAGAAAGCCGTGCCATCCTTGGCCGAGCACATTGTCTGTTTACGAACGACAACATAGTACCCTCGTCTCAGATCCGTTATTTTGTCGTCGCAGTTCCAGACTTCCAGCAACCCCTTCAGGCGATACCGGGCAGCCGGATGCAATGCACAGTGGATGTTGTGTTCTTGCCGGTTCATACATGTAGGAATATCGCAACTGCTAGAGGACTCCGAAGTCCCGACTTCGCTTATACTAACCTGTTATGTGGAAGCGTTCTCGGTGATGGAGCCATGTTCGGCGTAGCCCACACGTTTACCCACCTTATCTCTCGATCTAATCAGATGATAGCAGCGTCACCCATTGGTCGACGCAGATGATGCTCCCACCACCGCCCACTTGCAGTCGGAAACCCGGCATCGGGGAGCATCGCCAAGCATTTTGACGGCCCGCAAAAGGCCCCTACCCGACCCGAAGGATCGTCTTCCCTTCCCGTGTCTTGGGTCCCGTGCCAAGCACTAACGATATCGGTGCATCTCGACCGTGATGTTCGGATACCGCCCCGTCATGTTCCGGCTTTCTGGACGCGCGTGTGGGCCGTCTTACGCTTTACGTAAATCAACGAAGTTCGTGTTGAGTGGCTAGCAGTGCAAATTTCTTCACTTATCAGGTCATCATGTATATATGAGGCCGCGTCCTCCTGCTCCCCGACTGCGACCTTTGGGCCGTCTTCGCTTGGTTGGGCCGAACAAAAACCATGGCAGTATTCTCGAAACTCCAGGAGGCTCTCGGCCGGAACCGATCTCGCGCCGAAGATGATATCGTTCCAGCTGATGAATCGATAAACATCCAGAATGCGAGAGACGCAGCCGACATCCCCGATGAGAAGATCGTCGAGGATCTGCCGAGCGAAAATGTGCAGCACGGCGTCAAGTTGGCCCAGGCCCTCTCCCTGACCTGGGGAAAGCAGTCGTTGATCGCCATCTTCATCTTGTACGTCAACCCTTCACTTAGAATCGCATTCTGAAATGGTCAGCTTACCCTTGACTATAGTATGTGGTGTGTCTACCTCACAAATGGCTTCCAGAGTTCGGTCCTTTCCAGCTTGACTCCGTACGCGGCCAGCGATTTCGAGTCGCACTCCCTCCTCCCCGTCATCGATATCGTTTCGAGCGCCATGACGGCTTCGGTGTATATCCCGTTGGCAAAGATTCTGGATCTCTGGGGCAGAGCCGAGGGCTTCCTTCTGATGGTTCTTTTCGCTACCCTGGGAATGATCCTGCTGGCTGGTAGTCAGAATCTTGCTACCTACTGCGCAGCAACTGTAAGATTCGACAGATAATTCTGGGGGCACGAAGAGGCAGGCGCTAACACCATGCTCAGGTCTTTTGGCAAGTCGGCTGGTCAGGACTTACTTACAGTATCGATGTTATCACGGCCGACTCCACCAAGCTTAAGAACCGAGGCTTCGCCTTTGCCTTTACCTCGTCGCCCTACATCATCACCGCCTTCGCGGGACCAAAAGCAGCCGAAAGCTTTCTCGAGAAGATCAACTGGCGGTGGGGCTTTGGCTGTTTCTCGATCATCCTTCCCGTTGTTGCAGCACCTCTGTACGGAGTATTGAAGTGGAACATCCATAAGGCCAAGAAGAGAGGTGTTCTCATCCGGGAACCCAGTGGAAGAACCTTCGCCCAGAACATCTGGTGGGGTCTTCTTGAGTTCGATGGTACTGTTGACAACCTCTCAATAGGGTTGCGGATTGCTGACTTCTCTAGTTCTCGGCGTCGTTCTCTTCGCTTGCGGTCTCGTCACATTCCTCCTACCCTTCTCTCTTGCCAGCACGGCGCCTAACGGCTGGTCAACCGGCTACATCATCGCCATGATCGTCACCGGCTTCGTCGTCCTCGTACTCTTCCTTCTGAACGAGCTGTTCCTCGCACCTGTGCCTTTCTTCAAGTTCGAGTTCTTCTCTGACCGAACTGTGGTGGGTGTCTGTCTGCTCGACATCACCTACCAAGTCGCCTACTACTGCTGGAACAGCTACTTCACCTCCTTCCTCCAGGTAGTCAACAACGTTTCGGTCTCTGAGGCCGGGTACATCAGCAACACCTTTGACGTGGTATCGGGAGTCCTTCTGTTCTTCGTCGGGTTCTCGATCTCCAAGACTGGTCGCTTCCTGTGGCTAATGTTCATTGCTGTGCCTCTGTACACGTTTGGTCAGGGTTTGATGATCTACTTCCGCCAGCCAGGACAGAGCGTCGGATACCTCGTCATGTGCCAGATTTTCACATCGATCGGCGGAAGCGTCTTCATTCTCTGCATGCAAGTTGCCATCCTTGCCGCTGTGGACCACCAGCACGTCGCCGCTGCTCTTGCAGTCCTCAGCGTGTGCGGAAACATTGGCGGATCGGTGGGCAACACCGTGTCTGCTGCGATCTGGACCAACACCTTCGAGCAAGCACTTGAACGCTACCTTCCCTCGTCTGCTCTCGACAGCGTGGCAGACATCTACGCGGATCTCGACACCCAACTGAGTTTTCCCGTCGGAAGCGAGGAGCGCATTGCTATCCAGAAGGCTTACGGATATGCGCAGACAAGCCTGCTTGCAGCGGGTACTTCTGTCATGATCTTCGGCTTTGTGGCGTTGTTCATGATCAAGAACTATAACCTCAAGAAGATGACCCAGACTAAGGGTTTGGTATTCTAATCATGTGTTACTTTGATGTATTGCCGTATGAAAATAATCTATTTTAGTTAAGTCCTGTGCCATGGCTTGGCCGCAAACCATGCCCCAAGACGGCGTACAAGCATTACAACCAAGCTCTCGCTGTCCTCCCGAATAGTTCGTGCCAAAACGTCTCTCAGCATTCTCATCTGTCGACGAAAAGCCCTTCGGGCATCTTTCATCCAAATAATACGGAGAACAACAGAATCGCTTTTCTCCACTACCCAATAACCCACGATGACAGAAAAGAAGGGTTGCGCAACTGGTCCTGCCAAATACGCACCGGAATACAAAACCCAAACCCAAGTCAGAGCCTTCTACCCTCTGAGAGACCTTGATCTGAAGCGAATTCCACATCTGTCTGTTGAGATCCCTTCTCAGGCATACAATCCTCGGAGATGGTCTTATGCCGCTTCTGAAGCTGGCGTCCCAGTTCGTTCTGGACGTTACGGTTATTATTCAGCGACTTATTTCCGATCTTGCGCTGTGAACCCTATTAGCAAATAGCTAGCGCAAAGCTAAAGAGATCACGTACTTTCCACTCCCCCAATGGACCGGTTGCAAGTCTGTTGACCCAGTCGTCACGCAGTGCCGAGTGCAGCATTGTCTTGCGGTGCTACGTACTAAGCATTAGTATTTGATGCACAAAATACTATGATCAATGCACTTACCCGCATATTGTGGCACATCTGGTCCCATCGTGCCTCAAATGTCTCGTACGGCTCCCAGCCAGGGGAGCTATCACCGGCCCATCGGAGCTTGAGCTCCCAACCCTGCTGGCAATTGAGAGCGGAACGCTGAATTTGGTTAGTGAGAGTCTGGAAAGCTTGATGAACTTGCAATGTCCTTACCAAGAGTCTCTAGCTCAGCATTTCCACCTCGATGTTGCTCAGATCACATCGGGCCGCTGCGCGAAGGAGCTCAGCCGGAGTGCTCTCCAGGTCGATGTAGACCGAATCGGTGACACCGAGCCCGGGGTATCTCTTCGGCTTCGTCTTGCCTCTCTTCCGCTTCAACGAATCTGCTCGGGCATCGGCATCGCCATCAGACACCTTCTCCATCTTCGCTTGCCATTTTTGGAGGGCCTCTTGCTTTTCCTCGATGAGACTCGTGTCGAGGATTGCATCGTGCATCTGTTTCGCACATCTTTCTCGCTGCTCCTTTGTGACTGGCCACGTCGCGTCCTCTTTAGGCGATTTGGCGATCCGCCGGTAGTGCTTTGTGTAAGCTTTGTCCAGCAACGCTGCGTTGTCGAGGTCTTTGATGAGGCCCCGGTATTCGAAGATCAAGGGCTTCTCAAGTTCCACTCGGAGCAACTCGTCTTGGTGTTCCGCTACTCTAACAGACTTGCCTGCCGTTTTGGCTTTTGTCTGCGTCACAGCCGGACGTACCTGAGGACTCAACGAAGCAGCGTTATTGACGATGATATTCTCGATGGATTGGTAGTAGTTAGTGATAACCTTGACGTAGTAGTCCGCCTCAGCTGTCGACATGCGACCAAGCCAGCCGGCGTAGACTTCCACGATTTCTTTGAGTTCCTCACAAGGCTCATTGTGGAGGAGAAGCCGGTAAAACTCGATCGGGGGAAACGGACGTAGGCCGTCATTGAACCGATACGGAAGGACCTTGTCTGGAGATTTATTAGTTTCGGTGAGCAAAGGCCAGAGTGTACTCACGGATTATGGCGCCGAAGAAATATTTCTGCGTCTCAATGGGAATCTGGTCGCTCCAGAGCTGATCCAGAGGATTGAGAAGTGCGTCTTTGTCTTTGCTTGGCGCGTCGAAGGTTCCTTGGAACTGAGAAAGGAGACCAAGACCCGGAAGATTGTTCTCTACGCCGCTGTCGAAAGTTTCGAGAGCTGAACTCGGAGCGCCCTCGTCTACTTGAAATGGAAGCAGGCTCGCTGCGTTCTCCGTCGCCGCTTGATCGTTGCCGTGAGGGAATGCGCCCCAAGTCGTGAGCGTGTCAAAGGCGCTCATGTCAGGAAACCCGACGAGATCATTGCTCCCCTGAGGCATGCCGTTACTAGCTCGCGTCAGTCATATCGCGATCTCGCTTGAGAGAGGCCTTGTAGCTTACCTGGAGAAAGGTGTCCAAAATCGTTAGCCTCGAACGTGTTCGTTGACGCTACTGCGAAGTCAAAGGGATCCTGCCCTATAACGTCGTCGACGATGCCTCCCCAGAGATCATTGCAGGACATCTTGTCGACTTGTGCGTGAAGAGACTCGTACTCATACGTGCTGACCCGATCAAAAATTGACTCGTGAGAAGAGCATCGATATTCGGAGATGAATAAGACGCCGACGGGGATAGAAGGAGATAGAAATGGCGGGAGACGTAGAAGGAGAGGTTTGGTGGTCGAGGAAGAGGTTTGGAAGGTAAAATTGTGTATTGAGTTGAGAGAGAGATCCCGTAGTAGAGCAATGAGGGTGGTTGTGTTGTCGGGAGAAAAGTGAGGTGAATCCAGCGGATTATAACTCGCGTATTTTGGGACGGAAAGAACAGGAAGGCGCCGTTCCTGCCTCAGAAAAACGGATATAAAGATAATAACCTAATCTTTGAATTTGGGAGATTCGTAGCGTTATGTATCTATTTTATTGAATGCAATAGTAAGATTGGTCCAAGAATAGCCCAAAGCCCGATGCAGTTCCATATGGTATGGAGGTTCAAGATATAAAATATTGGGGAAATCGCCAAATGAATCGCATTGAGGGAACGTTACCAATAACATTCTTATCCGTGTATGATGCTCTAGTGCGCGAAAGAACGCAAATCGTAACTCATAATGCCCGATGTCCCCATGTAGCAGGCCGAGTTGCTGTACTGAAGAAACCAACTCATGTTCATCCACTCCAACTCCCGTACTCGCCACCCAAAAGGCTTTCACCAATTCATCGAAACTCGAGCTCCCATCAAAGCCGGCCTCGTTCAAATGTCAAGAGTCGGCAAACCTCCTGCGAGGTTTCAAGACTCTTACTACGGTTACGATACGCCGTTTACCATAATGTATCCCCCTTACACTTGTGTTAAAAGAGTCGGCGATGTACGTTTCAAAGCTGAGGATATTTCCGTGTAAAGACGCAAACTTCATGTAAGCCTAACGAGAATGTTCAAGAAAAGTCGATCTGCATTTTATCGGAAAGAAAAGCAAGCAACTACCACCACTGCGAAAGCTTCTCCTGTTGAAGCCCAATATATCTGTTAGCTGTCCGACCAACAATGCCAGACTGCGTCTCAAGCAGACCAAAAGAACCAAAGTACGAAAAGACAAAATCCAGGGCACGGCAAAAGTTCATCCGTCTTTCAATAAGACGAACCAGGCTCTGGGGTCGGAGCTGAGGCAGCCTTTTGCCTCTTCTGAATGTCGCGACCGAGCTCATTCTGAGCATCTCGGGTCTTGTTGAGCGCTTTGTTCTCCTGTTTGCGCTAGAATGGGGGTTAGCAACATTGTGTGTGATCATTAAAGAGAGAACAAACCTTGCGTTCGCCCGTCGGGCTTGCCGCCAGTCTGCTGATCCAATCGCCGCCCAAGGCAGAGTGGAGGGTCGATTTCAAGTTCTGCAACGAACGTCAGTTTTCCTCTCGGGTCATGGGGCAACAGTGAGGACTTACCCGCATGTTCGTGCAAATCTCATTCCAGCGATCCTCGAAGGTATCGAATTTCTCCCATGCCGGGCAACTTTCTCCGCTCCATCTGAGCTTCAACTCCCACCCTTGTTGACAGGCTTGTGCGGAATCCTGTCTCTGAGTCAGCTTCTAACGTATTCCGAAGGAAGAAGCTGAACTTACTAATAGCTTCTAGCATAATAATTCCACTTCAATATTTGTCAACTCGCAGCGGGCGGCCGCACGGAGGACATCTGTGGGGGTGCTATCGGGATTCGCATATATGGAGGCCGTCGCACTCAGACCGGGGTATTTCTTCGGTGAAGACTGACTTCGCTTCCGCTTCAGTGTTGGGCCGGATGCGTCACCGACACATTGACCAGTTGACTGTGCCTTCGTATCCAGCTGCGCCTTCTTCTCGATTGCGTCCAGCTTCTCTTGGAAGCAGCTTGTATCAAGGATAGCATCATGCAGCTTCTTGACATACTCGCGGCTCATCTCTCTCGTGGTCGGCCACGAAGAATCATGTTCCCGGGGAGTGAAATCTCGGCGAAAGTGGTGCTTGTACGCTGCATCCAAAGATGAAGCCTGGTCCATGTCCTCGATGAGACCTTGGTAATGCAGAGTAAGGGGCTCCTGCAGCTTGGTCGTGAGACTCTCGTTTTGGTGCTCAGTGATACGAGCAGTCTTTGCAGACCTTTGAGATCTAGACTTGTCACATGACAAACGTGGCTGCGGCTGGGCGGGTAAGGTAGGGCCCGCATGAAGCGTCTCATTGTAAGAAGTAAAAATCGACGCATAATGGTCGGCTTCATTGGCGCTGATCTGGCGAAACCAGCCAGAGCAAAGACTGACGAAGGTCTTAACACCAACATCGGGCTCGTTATGCATCAGAACATCGTACCAAGAGGCGGATGGAAACTGGCGGTCTCCATCGGCATAGCGGTATGGGAGCACCTTCTCTGCGACCCTGTAAGCAAAAACGCATCGATTTGGGCGGCTTGGCAGATGACTCACCCACAATGGCTCCAAATAGACTCTTCTTGGCCAACATGGAAACTGAATCGCTCTTAATGCTGTCGATAAACGCAAGAAATCTGTCGTGAAGTGCGTCCCGCTCTCTGTTGACAACTCCAAAGTTCTGGGTGAAGGGCATATCGCTTTGCGTGTTGGCAAAGCTGTTGCTCTGGCGTCCATGACCCAAGGGCCCGACAAGATGAGGGTTCAAGTCTGCGGGAGGCCGCTCCAATCCTCCTACACTCTGCATGCCGTAGTTCTGGGATGATGCGCCGTTCCACGAAGGCCAGTCAATAGGTACATGGTTGTTGTCAAAGGCCTGGGTGATTCCCTCGCTGAACAAATGTAAGACGAAATATTACGCTTCACAAGTAGAATCTGGTACACTTACGCGTTGAACACAGACTGCGCATATGCCGTGTCGTTGAACTCAAGAGTAGAACCCATCGACGGAGCCATCGCATTGTTCTGGTTCATATCCATGAGTGGTTGTTCCATAAGTGGCTGTCCCATCGAAATGTAGCCCGGAAGCCATCCACCTCCGTGCGACGGCATCTTGTATGTGATCTCGTAGTCGTACGCAAATGCTTCGCGTTGATGACGAGGTTGGGTAAGGGCCCGCGCCGGCAGGTTGATTCGTTCTCGGAATACAACTAAGACGCTGAGGAGGAAATATGGCAGACGATGGAGGATAAGGAAAGACTAAACTGCTAGATGGGATAGCAGGCTGATATGCGCGAATGGAAGAAGGAGTTGCCAAAAGTGAGGCTTTGAGGGTAGGGTGGTGATGGAGTTGTTGGAAGGAAGGTGGAAGAGTGGGTAAGGTCGTTCGTTGTAAGTGAGGAAGGAGGAGGTCGTTGCCCGAAAAGGAAGGAGGGCGAGGTTGCAGTGGCAACCCGAAAGCGCACTGTTCTTCGCACGAAGAGAGAGGCATTTGGGAAGCCGAGATCAAGACACAACAACTCTTGGACGCGCATACGCCCCCAAAACGCTACTCAAATTCCATCCTAAAGTTATGTTGTAGCTGGAATGCCCAGAGAATCGACTCTTTCAGTATTCACGGGAACCTGGGCTCATCTAGACCTTCGACGCAGTCTGGGGCACCAGAATCAAGGCTGCAAAATCAAGCAAGAACTGAAGGCTGTCATATAACAATTGTATCGGGAGGCGATTGATAAAATGGGGTGCAGATATCTGATGAAAGTTTTGTGCAGCTATCAAGTGTTATTAGCTGTCTCTAGGGACATTCCAAAGCCTGGAACTGCCTTGCTGCGCGCAGCGTACATGAAGCCAAATTCAATACATTTGAAGCAGGATAGCAACGAAGATAGCAATAAAATACGGTACGTCTAGTACATCATAAGCTATGCTAGCCTAACCAAAAGGGTTTATCCCTTGACAGCCACCTCACTTTATCTTACTCTAACATCATGTAAGGTTGCGAGTGCAGTTAAGGGTCCGGCTCGTCAACCAGCCCGGCCAACAGCTCAGCAATGCATCGCTACCTATCGATATAATCAGACCAAAGTCCAAATCAGATGGAACGTAACTATGATGAGCTTTTTCGGAGACTAAAGCAAGGTTAATGAGCGTTCGGCAAAGTATTCGTATGTTGCAGTCACCGACGGTAGGTAACAAAGGTACCAAAATAGCCACAGTATGGGCAATAGAATTGCCCCAGCAAGTCGAAAATGGTCGTAGATAAGGCCAGGAAACTTATGTCGAATAGTTTCAATGACCATATGAAGTCTACATAAAGTAATCAGTCTATAACTGCGACGAAGATATTTAATAACAGTAGCTCCTTTCTAGCGCCCACTATAAATTAAATAAAATAATTAATTTAATTTAAACCTTAATTAAATAGAGCTCTAAATAGCTTTAATTAATTTAAACTAAAAGGTCTATTTAAATTAATAGTTTATAAATAGATAAAGCTCTTTAAGATATACTAAGTAAGATATAAATAAGTATATATATCTAATTAGATTATTAAGAGGTCTCTTTTTAGCCTATAAGGGAGTATATTATAAGATTTATTTATAGTATTTTCTATTTATTTTATATATATTAACTTTTAGCTTCCCTCCTTTTTATAGACTTTTTATTTAATAGATAATACTAAATAAAGATATATTTTTATATCTATTTTAATATTATTATAATTTTATAATTACTAATATTATTAATCTTATTATAATATTATAAAGCTTTTAATTTATCTCTTTATTATTATTCTATTTAGTTTAAATACTTTAGGGGTAATAAAAATACCTAAAGATAAGAGAGATCTATATCTCTTATAGTAAGTTTACTTTTATTTATACCCCTTTTACTTTAGTATTTTCTATTTATTTATTTATTTTATTAGTTAATAAGTAGCTAAATTTATTAATAAATAGAATAAGATAGATAGTTATAAATATTATTTATTTCTATTTATTTTAATACCCCCCCTTTTTTTATATCTATTAATAAGGGTATTTATAGACTTATTATAAATAATCCTTTTAATTTATTAGCTAAAGCTAAAACCCTATCTATATTATGATTACTTAATAACTTAAATAAAATCTTCTTAATAAACCTCCTCTTAACTTTTTTATAATTATTAACCTCTTTTAAGTTAAAATAAAAAATAATATATGTATAAAGTCTAAAGATATAATAAAAAGTATTAAGAGAAAATAAAAAAACTAAATTATAGAGTTTAATATCTTTTTAATTTAGTTTACCCCTAATAGATAAGATATTATTATAACTTATATTTAAGCTTATAGGGTATATAATAAAACTTAAACTTTTATTATCTTTAATATAGATATTACCTCTATTATTATTAGCTATCTTTAAGCTAAATATATTATTATTAAGCTTTTATATTTATAAGATTCTAATAATAAAAAGCTTAAATAGAGGTTACTTTAAATTAACTTTAGCTAAAAAGTTATATCTATTAAAGTCTCTTAACTTTAAGATATTTTCTTTAGCTTTTTAATTATTAATTACTTTCCCTTTTTAACCTTTTAAGATATTTATTTTATATAAATAATAAATATTATAAACTATTTTATATAAAATAAGCTAAATTTTAGCTAAAGTTTTATAAAGAGATAGCTTAACTAAAGCTTTATTATAAAAGAAGTTTATTATTAAATTTAAACTTTAAGAGGCTTTTAATAAAATCTATCTCTATTTTAATTTTTAGATATCTTTTAATTAATATATTATTTTTAGAGTTACTACTTACTTTATTAATACTTAAGGGAATAACTAAATATATTTAATTACTCTTTAATATTATTAAAGTAATTATATAAAAGTCTTTTTATTTTAAAACCTCTTTAATATTTATATAAATTAGGGGATTTTTAATTAAATTAATATTATTATAACTGATAGTATATTTAATAATAATATTACTCTTTATAACTTTTTCCCTTTTATTTTTTGAAAGATAGACTTAAATAATATTTAAGATTATAGAATTTATTATTTTAGATATATTTTAAACTTTATTATTTAAGCCTTTTTATAGAGAGAGAATAATAAAGCCTTTAAATAAAAAAAAGCTATTTATTTTATTAAGAATAATAAAGCTATTTAGCTTAATTAATAAAGAAAATATAATAGTATTAATAAGCTTCATAATATTATAAAGTTTATAAAATTATTATTATAATAAAGAGAACTCTTTAGAGAGATTACTAAAGATATTAAAGTATTAAAAATAGCCTCTCTTTTTAATAATTTAATTATTAATTTTAAGTTAATACTTAATAATAAAATAAAATAGAATTTAATCTATATAATAATTACTTAAGTTATTAAAAAGAAATTTCATATTAAGGCCTTTATAGCTTGTAAGAGGGTTAATAGTATTTTTCTTTAAGAGGATATATTTATTAATAAGGATTAAAAGGTCTTTATAGTAGTATTAAATATCTTAAAGCCTTTATATAATTATATTTTTTAAACTTAAAGGAGAGAGAGGTCTAATAGTACTTGAGGATACTTTTAGAAAGTCTTTAATAGCTTTAAATTTATTCTCTCCTATCTTAAAGAGTAAAAATAGTATTATTAATATATTAATAAGCTTATTAACTTTAATAGAGATAATTATATTATCTCCTCTATAAAAAAACCTTAAAGATTATATTAAATACTTTAATAACTTAATAAAAAAGCTTTCTCTCTCTATATTTAATCTATTTACTCTCTAAATAATTAATTAATTCTATATAATATTAAAAACTTAAAAACTTATAAAGCTTTAAAGACCTTAATTAATAATATTTAAAAAAAGCTTATTAAGTATTATAATATTATAGAGAGCTTAAAATTCTATAGTATTATTATTATCTTTTATTTTAATATTAACTATAAGAGCTTTAAAAAGATTTAAATAGTAAAAAGTTAAAATATTTAAGCTTAAAATATAAAGAAGAGCTTTAAGAGAATCTAATTAAAATAATATAAAATAACTTAATAAGTCTCTTTAGCTTTTTAGCTTTATCCCTTTAGCTTTAACTTTTTCCCTCTTTAAAAAGAAATAAAAAGCTATATAAATAAATTTTAAAATATAATTAGTAATCTATTTATTAAAACTATTAAAAATAAGCTAAATATATATTTTTAAACTTATTAATTACTAATTAAAAACCCTATTAAGTAGTAATTAAATAATAAAGATTAATTTTTAAAGCTTTATCTTTTAGCTATTAATACTTTAGCTATACTTTTAATATTAATAGATATAGAGAGAACTTTTAGTTAAGCTAAATTAATAATAACTTTATAATATTATATTATAACTTTAAAAACTATAGAGAAGCTTAAATATCTAAATAGTTAAGCTAAATATAGTACTATCTCCTTTATATTATAAGATATATAAATAAGATATTTTATTTTTCTCTCTTAATCTTAATAAGCTATTTAAATCCTTATTTAAAGTATTAAATAATTAATAAAATCTCTATAGTTTTAAATATAATAATAAAGTTCTTAACTATTTAGAGAGGTAATAAAGCTAAATAAAGTTTATATTTTATTTAGTTTTATTTATTATTAATTTATAACGTTAGAGGAAATACTTTAGTAATAAAGATAGAAATAAAAAATACTATAGAGAAGATCTCTAAATAGCTTTACTTAAATAAAGCTATTTTATTCTATTATAGATATATAAATAGAATATCTTATTTTTCTCTCTTAATCTTAATAAGCTATTTAAGTCTTTATTTAAAGTATTAAGTAATTAATAAAGTCTCTATACTTTTAAGTATAATAATAAAGTCTTTAACTATTTAGAGAGGTAATAAAGTTAAATAGAGTTTATATTCTATTTACTTTTATTTATTATTAATTTATAGGGGAAATACTTTAATAATAATAAAAGTAAGAGATAATAGAGAGAGATAATAGAGAGAAGATCTCTAAATAGCCTCACTTAAGTAGGTTAAAAGTCTATTTAAGTTAATAAATTATAAACTATTTAATTAATTAAATAGAGGGTATTAAAATTATAATTAATTTAATCTAAGGGGTTAATTTAAATTAAATTAATTTATAGTAGGCACTGCTCCTTTCTAACCTTCGTTTTAGATATCTTAGGTATCTAAGTCTAACGTTATCTTATTGCTGAGGCGTTCCTCAGCTGATAATAGACAAAGTCCGTTTCTAGAACAGATTTAGTATTCCATATGCAAAGCCGATGATATGGCCTGGTATTGCGCCTTTTATGAGGAGCACCGTGTCTCTATGATCTATCGCTTCCTTTCCGGATTTGTCGATTATGTAACTCGCGAGTTTGTGTTTTCGGGGTCTCGTTGCTACAAACTGCTTGATTTGAGTTTTCGCCGCAGACTCATACGGCGGGAAGTCAAGCCATCATTGCCACAAAGCATGAACAACCACAGCGCAGAAACAACCTTGAAAACACAAACCACCCAAACCAACCTCTTAAACAAAGAGGTCAATTGATTCACACGCTGCCGGTACTGAGAGACGGGCTGCAAGCTGCTCACTGCTCAGTGGCCGATGTGGGAGTCTCCTGAGTCCTGAGTCTCGTTTCTCTTCTTGGAGATACCTCGTCCAAGTTAGTTCTGTTTGTTCCGGGTATTGTTCAGGGCCTTGTTGGCTTCTTTCATCTTCAAACTCTAAGCCTGTGGGCTATCCAGCTGAAAGAACCACGCACTCTCGCGCGCCCAAGAGACCAGCAGCCAGTCGGTTTAGCCAATCCTCACGCAGCGCAGAAGGAACCATGATTGTGTGGTGCTGATTGGGGTGAATAGGCAGTTGGCATAATACAGCAGCGAGGGACATACCGATCAGGATGTAAACATGCGCACATGTTAAGGCACATTCAATTGCTCCCAATGATCAGCAAACCTAGGCTTCGTAAGACTCCCATCCAGGACAATTGTCGCTGCTGTACTTGAGCTTCATCTCTCAGCCTTCCTGGCACTCCTGGGTCAGAACACTGAGGAACAGGTAGCTTCATAGATTGAGGAAACGAATTGAGAAATCAGGCTACCACAAGGGAGCTAATTCTTCTTGGTGGTTTGCAACCCCCGTCAAGGCAGACATCTCAGGAGGTGTCGTCCGAAGTGGAACCACAATTGCCGATCCGTCAGCAATTGAGCCTTATCACAACACACATCCCCAGCTGAGGCGGCTCTCCCGAAGGCTAGCTCATGTTTGGCTCTGCCATTGGATATAACTCAAGTTATACTACTTATGTAGGATTCAAATCCATGAGGTATACGGCATCGTAACGCGCCCGACATGTTAAGAGACCTCATGCTAAGAGACCCTGGGCTCATATATGTCGTACAAAGGTGGAACCACAATTGTCGATCAGTAATTGCGCCTCATGTCACAACAGCATGTGAACCATACATTGACAACGACGAGAGGGGTGGGGCTCTGAGTTTCAAGGCATCACCGCAGCTCGCAGCCTCGCTGATGGCGCTTAGTTTGAGTTGTCATGTCTCGACCAGAGCACGGCGATGGTTGATTGGAGGTCGCATGGCCTGCTCCGCTGAGGACTGGATCACCGTCGCCTGTTACACGCCGAATTCTGCGATGCAGTGAGCCTTGGCCGCCTCAAGGATCTGAAGTATGCCGCAATCCGAGATACCGTTGAATGTTGTGTACTAACAACTTGATGCCTAGCAGCGTCTATGCCTTTCTGAAAACCCAAGTTACCACAAGAAAACCTTCAGATCGTAATAACTACGGTTTCTAGATGTTTTACTAAGTATAACCGTTTGTGCAACTCTAAAAGGTGAAACTCTTGCTAGTATATCAGCTAATTATGGTATCTGCAGCATCATAGCCACCCTGGATGCACCGTTGTATGATGTGTGCTTTGTCATTCGACGAGTGCAGGAATATCACGTCGACCGGCGTCCTTAGCTAGGCAACAGTATTGGTGAAGTTAACGTGAAGCCTCGTTAACTCGGGCCATTTACGTAAACAATATTGGCTTGGCAACGTTACGCTGATCGTAGCCCAACGTGGTCATTCGTACATCCCAAAAGTGCTGTTGCGACGTCCATTATACCGCAGATACAGGCGGCTGTGCTTGGGTAGCCAGAGTTGTGCTTAGGTGGCATTTGAGTTATTTGTTATTGTTCGGGTCATCCGGAAAAATTGCGCCCCTCGGGTGACTATTATGCGTTACATTTCCCCTGTGTATGTCGGCACTATTACTCAACGACGAGCCGGATTATACCTCTTTATCAGTACAGACATGGAGTTGATCATTGAATGTTAAGTTACTTGTGTACTCGCTAGGTATCGGGGGAGAAAAGAACAAAAGAACGAGGGCGGCTGCATCGTATATCGCAGCAAATTGCAATTGTAAATGTTTGCGTATGTCAATAGAACATGGTCCTTGACGGGTGAACCATTCCTTGGGGGCCAATGCAACCTGTGGGACATACGAATAACCTCATTCATCGTAGCCTTGCTGGATGAAACCATTTAGGGAATGATATGAGCTTGGCAACAGTTCGTTTGTGCAGTCATCCGGCATAGCCTCGCCGAATGATACTATATGTGCAAATGATATCAGCGAGGCAACGGTATGCTAGGTTGCCCTCCTGACTTAGTCCTCCAGGCGAGTCCAACTGTTCCTTCTTCATTTACAACTTATATATAACCACCTACGCAGTACCACCCCCTTCACCATTACCCCTATCATTGCCAACACTTCAACTTCTCTCGTCTATCTCTTCAATCTGCTCTAGGAGGCTTTACCATCTAAAGATGCATGCTTCAACTCTTCTCACTCTCCTTGCCGCCGCTGGCACCTCGACAGCCTTTGCTCTGCCTCCTGGCTACAGCATCGTCACGCGTCAGGATGAGCAAAAGTACGAGAACCCCGACGGGAACACCAGAGTGGCTTTGACCACCGACGCAATCAACTGGGGCGACGCTCCGCCGTGGAACGTCCTTGACGGGATCAAGGGCCACTGCACCACCGTCGGCTGCGAAGGCAGCGACAAGCTCGAGGTCGACACCAGAGTCCAGTATAAGGCCTCAGATGGCTATCTCCGCGCGGAGACTCGCAAGATATCCGTTTCGGTCACTGGAACTTTCGCCGCTACCGGACCAGGATCCAGGGATGACCTTGTCGAGCTGGCAAAGATGGTGTTCGGCAACAGCCAGTACGAGGTCAAGCAGGAGACGTACACCGATGACCCGGCCTGTGTCCCCAGCCCTATCCCGTGCCCAGGTAAGTATCTTAACCTATGCCATCATTTGCTCAAACACCTTTATCACCCCCAGAGTCGTTCGAACTAATGAGAACTCTCCCATGACGTAGTGGCCGAAGCGAAGAAGATTGACCAATACTACCATCAGAGCGGGGTCGATATCCAATACCTTGACGGGGATTCCGATGTTCGGGCTTTCATGAACATCCGCATCGAGGTCGATTCTGGCAGCGGGGATAGTCGGACGTGCGGCGTCGACAGTAACGTCGTGGAAATTGGCGGTGTCATCGCCGGGGCCTTCAACGGCTATGCAGGTGCTGCGTTCAGCCTGTTTGAGTTCTTCTGCGGCGCTCTTTGATAGGCACTCTTGAGTTGAGGCAGACTGGAGTGTGTTAGGCTTCAAAGCCTTGTACTCGCCTTCTCCTTCCGCTTTGGAGAGCCCAAGAGCACCGTCATAACGATCCAGATCGCTCCTATGCAATGCTGGGGCGGCCAATCGATATGTAGCAATATTCCTATCATTTATATTGGATCTAAGTTCATGTTGTAATCCTGAATCGTGTTATACCCCTTAACGCCATCCCATCAATGTTTTCCATGTTCAAACTTCCAGGCCACTCAAGTAGTAAGGCAGCCTACAAATACCCGTCCTCCGCCAATTCGGTGCCAGGACTTGGCCCGCTTTGCGCTTATCAAGCCGTTACCTGTCGTGCCTGTCGCTTCTCTTGGACCATTCATAAGCGACCCTATCGTGGAAGTAACTTATCGAACATTTAACAGCTCCCAACCTGGTGCATTTAGAATGTTACGGTTGCAATAGTCTCCTAGGTTTGGCAATAACTTAAGGTCGGAAGAACAGGTCCAAAATGTTTCAAAGAGCTTTAGGGACAAAAGATTATCTACTTAGTATCAATGCAATAACAGTCAATAGCTGGAGAGGTGAGTCATGCTGCATACCGGTTGACTTCCCTCAAGATCTCGACACGCATCATCTCGGACGAGATACGGCGGGTCTCATTATTCTCCATGTATCGTCTGTAAAGTAAATACAGACTTGAGTGGTTCCCTTGCGGAGAAATGTGCTTGGAATTAAGGCACTTGTTTTCAAACATGATTTGGGTTCGAACTGTTAACTTGATATGGAACGTCATGAAAGGATACGTTGGCGCCTACGCTGCTCTCATCAGGGCCGGGGCTATTCTGATGAATGATGTGCCGGCCATATGGAATATAACCATCACGTTACAGGAATGTGTAAGATAGTAAGTTGGCGATCAATGATTTGCTTACAAACTTTATCAAAGAAATTATAAGTCAAGTTAACGCTCTCGTCGTTCGTGCTGCAAAAGGAAGCTAGTAAAATCCCTCTGGGGGAAAGGTGTGTCACCTTTTGCCGAGAACAGTACTGGCTGACTTGGTCCGTAATTTGACGAGCTCGACTTTTATCTGATCATAATACGCAGATTAATTTACAATCGCTAACAACAGTCAACATTAAGAGCCTGTTATGCATCTTGGTCCCATTGATCTGAGAGCTTGACAACGGTGACCAGTATTGCACTTTGTATGATATCAACATCAGCTTCCTCAGGGGCATTGGCAACATACACCTGGGGCCCGGCTTCGGTTTCAAGTGTCACCCTTTCTGAGTCCAAGGACATCCTTGGAATAGATGACCGTTTGTCTAGGACACTTCATTGCGGTGAGAACGTAGGTGGCGATGGACTCGAAAGTTGATGGGCGTATTGCCTCGTCGTTGACATCGGGTTTCTGTACTCCTAAAAGAGACCTCGTCGCCGTGTAAACTTCTTTGACGAAGCCGAGGAACGCACGATCATTGTCTGATCTTCGTTAGGCTTATCCGCGGTCTCTTTGTCGCCAAGCTCGACATACCAGTGACTCTTGCCAGCAGCTCCCAAACTTAGTGAGGTCACTCCCTTCACGAAGCTCAAAATGCATCTGTAAATGTGCATTTGGGCCGCTTCGACGCCTCGTTTTGTGGGCGGGTTCTTTAGACAGGGTGGGCCCGGCGAACCTTTCGTTTACTTCTTCCGTTCGATGATGATAACCGCAAGAATCTCGTTTCTCAGTGCCAGAGGCGTGTTGAAGCTGTGCAAAACAGCCATATCGCCTTGGAAGGCGGGACAGGCGTCATCGACCCTTCCCCGGGGCGTTGCGATTCTTACTCGGCAAATTGAGCTTCTGCGTGGGCTTGAGTCTGTGGCTGCACAGCTGTCGAATATTCCGATGGATCGGCACCGACTGGCCATAACACAAAGCCATCTCCAGGAGATCGTCATGGGGAAGTTGCTCACGGGTTTTCGGAGCCCGATGAACGTGTCGTCAACCATCCCGATCTCCAAACCCATAGTTTGAATGGAACTATTTGCCTCTTGAGGGAGTTGCTTGATTCTGCAACCTCCTCGGCAACTGCGAGTACCGCAGCCTTCTCATCATGATCTTGCTCCCTCGTCAAGGTCACTGTTTCCTTGTTGAATGACGAAAGATCTAATATTGCCTCTACGACCTTTTGGGCGTAGGAGCGTTGCTGTCCAGAGGTCTTAGGCCAAGTCGGATCGCCGGTGATGTTGTTTGTGTCTCTCGTGAGGCAGGACATTTTCGTCTATGAGTGCTACCTCAATTTCGTTGCGGATCATGCCGCTGTGAGCAAAAGAGCGCGGCTTGTTCAGATCCTCGATGAGTTACTTGTTGTGGTGGCTCTCAATCAGCCCCAATGTGCCTCTAGACACCGGGCCTTCTTCGGCCGAGAGGCTTCGATAGTCTAAGCTTGCTGATCTTGGAGATCGCTTGCTCTGTGTCGTACGTTGTTGTCCAGCAGTGACTGGACCCGGGGGCTGAGTAAAACACCAAGTTCTTGCGGTTAGGCGAAGTTGGAACAGGAAAGCCCGGGGTTGCGCGGCGAGGTGGCGAAATATTTGGTTTGGGAACTCCCCGAAGAAAAAGTAATAGTTCGCAATACAGAACATTTACCTGCTAATGAGCAAAGACGCAATCCGATACGACTCGACAAATTACGGTCCTCACATCACCCCAATTCAGACGAGAAGGAACCAAACGCTTCCCGTTGAGGCGATCAAGAACGAAATTGTGCACGAATAAGAGATTTTACCAAGTATAATGCCTTTCTGGCTTTCATTGAAATACAACTGTTGTTGCTTTACCAGTATGTTACAAAGAATAAGGGAAAACAAGTTCTGAGTGACTGGATTCGCAACGCGACAATGTGATTGTTTCTATGGACAAGAACTCCGTTGCACTCCGCAGGGAATAAAGGTCAAAGCTGGTGTCTCCCTTTATACGAGAGATGGGCTCCATGTTTTCTCCTCTTGGATACTGCCCTATTGGTTGTCGTCCTGTCCGGAGTCGCCAGAGTCGCCGGCTTCAGTCTTCTGCCGCTTGAGGGTTTCTCTTCCCAGCTTGCTCTCGAGGTCTCGCTTTGCATTGACCTTTTTGTTGCCTTGTTTGAGCTGTAATATTGATCAGCAACATTGAACAGTACAGGGCCAGAATCAGTAAGCCTCACTTTGTTCTCCCGCCTTGGAGCCGCAGTCAAGCGGGTGGCCCAGTCGGGCACCATGAGCGAGCGAACCATGACTTTGTGGTTCTATTCAAGCGTCCGTGTCAGTGCTTCTTGTCCTCTTGACATTTAGTTGTAATATGCATGACTTACGCGCATGTTTTGGCAGACCTCAGCCCACCGAGCGCCAAAGCTGTCGAATTTCTCCCACGGTTGGTAGCTGTTTCCTGCCCACTGGGGCTGCATGTTCCATCCTTGTTGCGTGTTCATAGCTGATGTCTTCATGGCTGTTAGTCAAACTGCGACACTTCGTGCTGTGTTCAGCAGTACTTACCAAGAGCTTCTAACCCAGGACTTCAATCTCAACGTCGGACATCTTGTGGTGGAGAGCAACTTGGAGCACCTCCTCCGGAGTGCTCTTGGGATCGGCGTAAGTCCTCTCGCGGACGGAAAGCTTCTGGGGCTGGCTGAGCTTGTCATGGTCCCTCTTTCTCTTTCCAAGTGAGACCGGGAACTCGGTCTCAGCGGCAGCCGTCCTTGCTGCTTCGAAAGCGTCAATGGCCTGTTGTTTCTTCAGGGCCTCTTTCTTTTCCTCAAAGTCGCTAACATCCATGATGGCATCGACGACCTGTGCAACGTAAGCCCGCTGGAGTTCCGAGGTCAGTGGCCAGGTTTCATCGGCGTTTGCATCACCCGTCTCGTGGCGAATGAGACCCAAGTACTCTTTCTCGACGTCGACGTAGTGATTGATGTCTTGAATCAATCCTCGGTAGGCAAAGGAGCAGGGCTTGTTGAGCTCTTCTTTCAGAGCAGAGCCGCTGTTTTCGTCTTCACGATGGGAGCCACGCTCGGGAGCTGGGGCCTGGCTGACTTCGGTGTCGTCGACGGCTTGTGCTTCTGAAGGCTGGTTCTGCCGCGATGCGCGACCATCTTGGGACGCGGACTGCTCCTGGCCGCCGGCCTGGCCCTGGGACATGTCAAGACGCAGGTTTCTGAGGTATTCTATCTCTGCGTCCGCATCTTCAGGGCTCAGACTGCGCAAGTATTTTGCACAACGGCATGCAAGGGGTCTGGCGAAGTCCGCATTCTCATTGTTTTCTAGAAGGAACTCGTAGAATTGTTCGGGCGGGAACGCGCGGTTCCCGTGCCGCGAGCGGTAGTGAATGACAGTGTCTGTTCATGTCGTCCTGTTAGCTCCTCCTATTACACGGCTTGTTGTTGGATGCGCGCTAGCAAACAAACCAATAATCACAGCAAGCATGTCCGCCTTCACAGAGGAGGGCGTGTTCACGCCATGCAACATATCCATGTCGTTGTAGAATAGTGGCCGAACGTCGTTGTCCAGGTCCAGTTGCGAAGCGATGGCGTCTGCCTGCGCCATCTCGTCGTGTCTTGCAGCCAATGTTAGCTCAAGCTTCACGCGTTTGAATCGAAACGCGGCGTTTCTAGCAACAACCGCGCAAGAAAGGACGATACGGAACAGAATACAGCGTAAGATAAAACAGCTTTTAGTCATGGACGAACTTACGCAGAGAATTCATGCTCGCTATCAGAGGCTGGAAGATTGAACAACGCGTCGTTGTCGACCCCCGCGATACGATAGTACTCGTTCGACATTTTGTCTAGTGCTTGGCGAGAAAGAACAGTTGATCCAGGCGTTCGTTCGTCTGCTTGCGTCGCTGTTGTCTTCTGATGATACGACAGCGGGGATAAGTAATAAGTGGGAGATGATGAAGACGTTTCTGCGGCGGGGAGGGGAAAGGAGTGATTCTGTTTGCGTTGGGGAGGGTTGGATGAGAACGCGTGTGGGTGGGTGGATGAGGGTTGGTCAAGAAGAAGAGGAGAGAACAGAAGACGGCAGGAGCTCGAGGTGGTTGTCAGGGGTGATCTCGAAGTCCGTCGCGTCTTAGACGCGAAAGCCCCGCCCCACACAGCCCTCGCTGCCTTACCAGTTCAAATCAGGCAGCGAGGAACTTTGAAGTTGGCCTGAGTTGCTCCAGACACGGGAGACTTCACCTCAGGCCAACGTTCGTAGGTCTCCGATATCTGCATGTAAAAAGGGCCCCTGGACCTGATTAAAAGAGCTGAACTAAGTACCACAACGGAACTCCAGCTTGCTCAGTGATGTGGTTTTCTTCGGCAAGAACTGCAGGATAACAAATCGCTTTGCAATCATACGCTAGGTATGAGTTGTTGTCATCCAGCTATTATGTTGTGACAGGCGAAGTGTGTGTTCATTCCCAAACGTATAAGCTGATTCTTCAGGATCGTCTTCTGATGTCTTGCATCAAGGAAAGAATGTCGTCGTCACCTTGTGGTGCATTTCGGGGCTACCAACAGCCCGCATTCCCAAACGTCCCAGAAAAAGGACTGCTTCTGGACCTCCATCTGGCCCAGGATGGCGGCAATAGATTGACGCAAGTTTGTGAGATGGATGCCCTCAATCTTCCTATCCGCGAGACCAGACCGCACATGCACATATGAGGAACTTGATGTCTTCCTCACTTTGAAGGGGGTAGACGCAGAACTGCTTCAATCGTAGTTGGAGATCGCTATGCCTATAACGGTAGGAGGCGGCCTCTCTGATGTCTTTTTGGCTTTCACACACGTCCTTGTAGGGTGTGATGATATGGCCACGTCATCTAGTACTAAAGGTGCACAAACCGCTGCCAAACTCGCGTCTCATCGCGTCCTGAGCATACGAGATGTACTCCATCGTCCTCTGCCAGACGTGAGCTGAGAGTACTCACCTTGATCATCGGGATAGAGGCTGGAGAATGCAAGTTACAGGCGAGCCTAGGAGTTATCGAGGTCAGAAAGGGGCTTGTTTCAAAAGAAGCACAGAACTTGAACATGTCGATACAGTTCTGGACATTGCGGTTTCCACACTTGCATGCCACAGTAAAGAGGATACTGGGTATCACCAGCCCACCCCTTTTGGGCTGCGGTTGAAGTCCCAGAAGCTGTCATCAACCTTGATACAGGATCAAAGGACCAATACGTCAACGATATTTGGTGCATAGGACGCAAGACGCCGCAGCCTCTGATCGCTGGGAAGCAAAGGTCGCCGAACGCAGGCGGGCACCGCATGAGGTCGAAGACTCGTAGCGCCGGGCAGGGGCGCATGCTGTCGATGTCCTGACGAGGAACCTTCAGTATGCGTCGAAGTGGGTATTTCGTCTTACTCTCAGCCCGTTTTCTCTAAGGTAGAAGGTATGGTCCGCCTTCACTCGGGTAATGGGCCCGGAGGAGAGTAGATGAAGAACTTCGCGCAATGCCAGCGGTATCAAGCATGATGACTTCGTCACAGAAGATAGCTTCGTCCTATTTGTGAAGAGGGGTCAGAAAATTGCCTTCAAGCGATGTTCTGAAACATATTACTTTGTAGTACCTTTCGTGGTGATGGAGAACATTCCTCAATGTGTTTTCTCGCTTTTGGTGGGGGCAGCGAATTTGTTATTTCCTTTTAAAAGTCTCCAGGTGTCCCGGAATTCGGTGTCTCTGAAACAATAATACTGGTCTTGGTACAAAAAAAAAACACGCACTTCAAGACACACAGCCTTGAGCTCAGCTGCAGTAAAACGTCGCAAGAGCTTCATTGTCCTCATCTCTAGTGATATAGCTTCACCAGTTTCAACTGAGTGCCCAGAGCCGTGGAATTTTGGGCGATCCTCTGCTGCCGCGGGTGAAAAGTGATGGTCTTGCTGATGCACGTTATTGGCATGCCTGAAAACAAAGCTAATCGACAATGACTGAAGGCTGAATACCCGAAGCTAGCACCTTTGCACAAAATACGTATTGCTATCCGGGCCCGAGTCCGGGAGGGATGGTTGACCATTCTCATAGGCAGGCCCTTCCGTAAAATATCGACGGGAAAACGGTACAGCTTGGAGTCTTTCAGAGGGAAGCTCCAGCCCCTTTTCTCAAGCTCAGGCTGCGTATAGACATTTACTAAAGTCAAGACAGAAATAAGGTGTTAAAACACATTTGTGGATGATTCTGGATCATTTCCATGGGGAGAAATAGAAGCAAACACTTTGACTGCCTGGGCTAAGAAACGACCGAAATATTAACCTCAAAAGACACCAAACGAATTTCCCATATCCTGCAGCCATCAGGTAACATGAGTTCCTAAGTCCGATCAGTTATCCTCCGAGATGTTTCCATCCCCCACAGCAGAGGTCTCGACGCATGTCTTCTCCCGCCGGATGACCTCGCGGTCCCGGCGGCTCTCCTCGTCCGTTTTTCCGTTCAGTACACGATTGTCCACCTTTGTTTACAAGTGGATATGTCAATACAAGAATCAACGCGATCTGTCAAAGGGTGTCACAGATCTTACCTGAATTCACAGACAAAGTTTGATGATCTGTTTGCTGTTATGTTGTTTAATCGTTTAGCGAAGCCTCTACCATGGTCTGGGAGTTGCAACTCACCTTCACATCAAGCCAGATGTCGGTGCACCCGCCCTCGAACGTGTCATAGGTCCCCCACGCGTAGGACGTCTCGCCGCCCCAGGGAGCCTTCATCGTGACATGGAATCAGGTACTAGTTTGAGTGCGCAAAGCCAGCAGGCTTGTCAGAGTAGTCCCTGGGATCTCTTTTGAATCCAATCAGGGATCCGATTTGAAGCAGACTGATGGTACCATAAGACTTTTCGACAAGCTGGACGTGGCATGCGAGCTTGCGGATGTCCACTTGATCGGCCTTGGCGATCTCTTCTCCGAAGGGAGAGACCGCCTCGGCCCGGGCTGCTGCTGCCAAAGATAACCAGGCCAGGATTCCACTCGTCGCAGCTGTCCCGGGAACGGTTCTAATTATCCGGGCCCGGGGCTTGAATATCGTCATAGACAATTATCTCCGCAGAATATTGATCATCCTTGAGTCTAAGGTCTTAAAAATGTAGATTGTTGTTTGTATCCGCCTAATATTTGTACTGGCGATTGTCCATATCTTCATGGGTGTCACGTAACGAAACATAGTAGAAGAATATTCATTGCCTTGAGGGTATTGTCGATCTTGTATAACTAAGACATGGTTAATTAATGAAAGAATCAAAGATATTGTTTTTGATTCTATGAAAAGAGTGGCCCCTTGGTGAAAAGAATGCAAATCACAAATCGATATTGCCCAGTCATGCGCTGTGACAAAAGAAACTCCAAAGACTTCAGATCTCTTCCTTCGTTTTGAGAGCTGAAACCTTCACAGAAGCCGAAACACCATCTAAGCGTCAATTGTGAACTGACAGCTTAAGAGCCCGGCCAAGCCGACTCTCCTCGTCTCTTCTGGCGTTGAGGATTTTGTTTCCCTTCCTTGTCTAGCAGAGCCCCGTCAGTAAAAGCTTAGAATGAAGAACGATTCAGAACCCGACATTGAGCTCGGCGGCTGGAGCCGTGGCAATCCGGCTGGCCCAATCTGCCGCCATGGCGGAATGCACCATGTGTTTGCTATTCTACGTGGGAACTCGTTAGCTCAGTGGTACAAGGAATTCGGACAAAGCAGCGGGTTATTTCACCTTGAGGTTGGAGCAAATCCGCTCCCATCTCTCGGAAAAGCTTGCGTAATCTTCCCAGATGAATGCACTTTCGCCGCTCCATGGCGATTTCAAGGTAAACCCCTCCTGGGCTTTCTTGGCCGATTGCTGAGGTACCAGCATATTAGTAGTCATTCCAGCATCATTCATTTGTACTTACCAGCAGCTTCTAGCTTAGCAATTCGACTTCGAAATCGGTAATTTCGTACCGGAGGACAGCTTTCAACAGTCGAGCCGGAGAGCTGTTGGGGTCGGCGAGGATACTTTCAGACGGGTTCAACTTCGGAAGCTTTTTGACCGCGTCAGTCGCGTCGGCGCCTCTCTTCCGCTTCTTGATGTTTCCAACGGAATCAGCCTCGCCATCAGCCTCGCCCTGTCGTTCAGCTGTGAGTTTGTCGATGTGCGCTTTATTGTTCAAGGCGTCCGTCTTCTCCGCAAAGTCGGTGGTGTCAAAGATGGCGAGCGCAGCCTGCTTCACATACTGAATTTCCATTGCTGTGGTGGAAGGCCAGGTTTCGTCCGTCTCAGCAACATCGTTCAACTCCATTTGCCTGATGTAGGTGACATAAGCTTCCGAAAGGGTGAGATACTCCTCCATGGATCGGATACTTGGGCGATACTCCATCCTGGGACTCTTGGCTAGCTCCGCGACCAGGACAGGGTGCTGGTGGCTCGTGATGGCTGCCTTCTTTGCGCTTCTCGACCGCTTCGTGTTCTTCGCAGGATGAGCCTGAGGCTCTTGGTCTAGACCCTTGGCTTTCATGGCTCGGCGAACCTCGTGGATCTCGGCGATGCGTGAGTCGGCCTGCTCCGGGGTCATGTTGAGAAACCATTTGACGCATCTCGTGGCAAGTGGAATAACTTCATCACGGTCTTCTTCGTTCTGAAGAAGAAGTTCGTAGAAGTATACAGGAGGGAACAGTCGTGGAAAGTCCTTCGCACGGTAAGGTAATATCTTGTCTGCGCCAATGAACATATGTCAGTTGAACAGGAGTGGACACCCGAGATCGAGTTGCTTACCACACACGACGCGAAGAATTTCGTCCGTCGTTGCGTTGGGAGTATTGTCATCAAATAGGCTAGCAAATTCGACGTCAGGATCGGCTTCGATCATCTGGACTGCATCAAGCATGGCTGGTCCATGAGGCTGAATGTCCGGTTCTTGCATGCGCGTAAAGAACGAGGGGCCCGGTTCAAATGACGAAGAAATTTGCGGCAGCGCTGAAGCCTGCATACCCACGTTCTGGAGATCTCCGAATGTGGCATTCGGTATGTTGTTCGATGGATCCATACCGAAAGAGTTTCTGAGACACAAGTGTTAGTATGTACACGTCGGCGAAGACAAGTCCTTTTAGGAGATCATTGCGCTGAACCTGGCAGCAATTAAAAGAAATTTTGAGGGTTCTGGGCTCACCTGGGCACCACATGAGGCAATGACCCATCGTAGTTCCAAAGGTTGAAGTCATCGCAGCTCAGACCAGCAGAGCTATCAACCGAGTAGTCGGACGCGAAGTTGCCAGTCGCCATATTTGCAGTTGGTGATACGGATTCTTCAAGGTGGCTTATTCGTCTTCCAAATAGCCTAGAGCCGATGGAGGGCAACAGGAAATTGTTCGGAAAGGGGTAGGCTGTAGGTCGAGATCGGCAGAAGCTGATGCGTAATGGGATTATGGGTGATTGCGCATCAACGGGCGATATTCTCTTCCGAAAGCAACCAACTGCCAATGTCTGCCACAGTTGTTCGGTGCGTGTAGGTAGGTGGAGAGGTCGGAATTAGGAGAAGTATTTGGCGTTGCTCCGGTTGCGCACCGTGAGTTGTTTGAGGAAGGAGCGTGCCGTGGTAGTAGAGTCGGAGGTGGGTCCGTGATGGGACAAGTAGTAGTCGACCTCGACGTGGATTACAAGGCTTCCTCGGTCGGGTCAGGAACAATCAATAAAAGAATTGAGCCGAGATTGATACCCCCTCTATACCAGTACACGAAGAGGGAAGTCCTGCCATCCTGCTTGCTGGACATTGTAAATGTCCTCTGACGCTGGATCAAGTTTCCTATCGAAAATGACATAATCCTAACCCAATGTATAGTCTAAGCACAATAAGACTCTATGCACTCCTAACAATATGAGCACTTTCAGATCAACGATATGGAGGACACCTATGGAGGTAAAGAGTCTCAGGTCACGAAGAAGTAGAAGTTGATACAGGACTCCGAGTCCTCGGGACCACACCGCAGAGAATGCATTATGTAGCCCTCCTCAGCGAGCTTTACACATAACACGTGTTATATGTAGATAACCGGATTATCTCCTCCGTGGGGAAATTTCGCGAACCGCGCAGGGAACGCGAGCAGCGGAACTTGGACGCGCCACCGGCGCCACGAGTTGGCTTCCCGGAGTCTTCAGGATTCAGGAGTCCATGTACCAAATGCAAACCCCAGTTCGATCCCGAGGTCAAAGCTTTCCCAAGATGCATGCGTGCTTTTTGTTTTCGCGTTGGATCGTTTTCCCACAACATCTTTGTGGAAGGAGGAGAAGGTAGGACATCATATCAAGCACTTGCAAGGAAGTAGAGATGTATCTCGGTATCTTCTTCGCAATATATTTCGTTTTGAGCCGGCCCGGGGATTGAAAGTATGAGAGCTTCTGGTTACTAGACATATGAGTATGCTCTATTCTAGAGGCCAAGGTATTGCAAACTCAAACTTAGAGCACAATATCTCTGAGAATTCAAGGGAACAAAAGCCAATATTGGCAGAGACACCCCAACTTAGGTTGGAGTGTCTGTGCTTGTACCAATCATGGCTGGGAGAAAATATTCCTGTGATGAGAGGGTTTATTGGGGAAACAATAAGCAGTGAATTGAGTGTCTTTTCTTTCTAATAGCAAGCATGTTCTAATTTTGCAAAGAATGGGGTATCAAAAAAGCAATCAAAAGCATTGTGACCAACGTAAAAGAAAACAAAGACGTCTCAAACGTGCGCCTTTAATCCATATAGCAATGTACCAGCACCGCTTTCTAGTCATTATCTCCTCGCAAGCTCCCTTCTCTCCCTGTCGCCAAGGCGGCTGCCCTCATGTACAAGCTCTCCATCTCTTGTACGGATCTCGAAGTCTTCTGCAGTCGTCCACTCATTGTTGGCTGTTCTCTTCTGTATCTCTTGCAGACCGATTTGATTCTGGACATTGCGCCGCGCGTTAAGCATGTCGTTTGCCAATTTCGCCTAGAAGAAGTTAGCATTTGTTCTAGTACCCCCAGTAGAGCAGGCCAAAGGAAGAGAGGTGAAAAACTTACATCACGCTCCTTCTTTGGCGCGCTTGCGAAGCGAACAAACTAGTCCGCGCCTGTGAGCGAATGGACCAGGATCTTGCAATCCTAGGAATTTTGATTAGAACATGCTAACAGCCGCGCCTGAAAGTGGTTTCCATACCTGGATCTCATTGCACATCACCGACCACCTCTGACCAAAGGTCTCGAATTCATCCCAGGTAGAGACTGTACGTGTCCCAGACCACAGAGGCTTCATCGTATGGCCCCGCTGGCAATCCTGTGCTGCGACCTACGTGAAGAGTTAGCCAGTCCGTTTTTGTTCACTGTGAGGGGGTTCCAACTTACCAGGAGTCTCCAGCAGAGAATCTCAATCTCAACGTCCTTGATCTGGTGGTGGGTTATGATGTTCAGGCGCTGGGCCGGGGTGCTGGTATCGTCCAATAGCTCCCAGTCTGACTTCTGAACACCCTTGGGTGGGCCTTGGGACTGTCTGCCCGTTGCAGTTCTCTTGCGCTTTCTCGACCCATCGTCTGTGGTATCTTGGCCGTTGTTTGCTTTCTTGGCCTCGACCTTTGCCAGTCGTTGCTTAGCCCTCCGAAGCTCGAAGAAGTCATCCATATTGGTGATGGCGTTGTACATCGTGTGGATGTAGTCCTGGGTCTTCTCAGGGGTCTGAGGCCAAGACGAGTCTTCTCCGGGAGTGAGGCCAGGTCTTCGCTTGACGTATTGCTTGTATGCCTTGTCGACCTCGAGGAAGTGATCGAGGTTGCGAATGACGCCCTCATAAACCAAGGTGGCCGGCTTCTCCAGCTCTGCAGCCAGCCAAGGATCTTCAGAATCGCTTGCGGCAATGTCGTTTCGGGTCGCCGCTGTCGAAGCTATTGAAGGCTCTTCCTGTCCAGCAGGTCCCGGAGTCTCGTCGAAGATTGAAAGCGGCGACAAATCTCCAAGAGACAACGGGTCGAAGTCGGAGTATTGTGCGAAGATGTCGACGTAGCCAAGACTCTGTCTCAGCTCCATCAAACAGTTCGCAGCCTCGTCCGCCATGCTCCAGTTTTTGATGGCCACTACGGAAATCCAAGCGTAGAAGCGCACAACCAAAGCCCAAATCTCCAAGAAGTCGTCGCGGTTGTTCAGGAGCGTTGCATAGAAGCTGAGGTCCGGGTAGACTCGAGGCTCATAGCGGAATCGGTAGGGTATGATGTGATCTGCAAATCTGTTAGAGACGTCTACTTCTCCGGTTACATGGACATACCCAAGAGGATGTCCAGCATCCTTCTTTTCTCCTCGACCGGGAAAGTGGGGTCTTTGAGGAGATGGACATCGTCCATGAAGGTCAGCATGGTGTCCATTTTAAGGATCGGTATGGGATGTGTCCAGAGGGCGAGAGACACAGGTCAAAGAAGAGGAAGAAGAAGAGTGAGAGAATCGGGACTGTGATTGTTGTGTTGTGGTTCTGAGTAGAAGTTGTGTTGAGGATGTGGTTGTAGTGAAGTTCGTTTCTTCAGGAAGAAGACTACGTATTTATGGACTTCGAAGAGACGACCTTGACTCAGAGGTTTCACCGACCTGATTCTCTCGAAGGGGTGAATTGCTTAATGCCGTCTTCCTCGACCTCGGACGAAGCTTTCAGAGTGAGGTAAATCAGCTCTCAACGACCCGGGGCGGGTGGGCCGGCCGGTCTGGCTGGGTGAATCTCTGAGAATTTTGTCGACGTGATCAGCTTGCTCTAGATCGGACTGAACTCCAGGATAAGTCTCGAATGTGAGGCTCTGCAATACTTGTAGAGTATTCGAAGGGTGTTGCGGGACCCATCTTCTTCGTTTTCCAGCATACTGGTAGCTGGAACTTGGGTCTGGTATGATATTTTTCTTTGAGGAGAAAGGAAGTCCATCGACAAACTGACCTGGCAGCGATTCTAACAGAGTCAATCCCCTCTGACAACAAATGATGTATGCATGCTCATACAGCACGATGGAAAGGCGTAAATGATATCAACGTCAGACAGCGACGATATTCCGAACAAAGCGAGAGTTCCGGATGCCTTCAACGCTGGAATCTCGGCGTTGGAAAAAGGAATTCGAGCATCCTGGCATTTCCAACGAACAACCAATTGGCGCGTGGTGCAGGCAATGGCAATGACGGCCAACAAAACCCTCATCTCCAACTCTCCCCAGCCGCGCAACAAGTCGCCATCCACTTCCTCAAGCAGGTTGAACGCCTGCTGGAGGACCTATGTAGAAGCAAACGGCTGCTTTTTGCGGTCTCTGCGATTATGCCACGTTAGTGGTTCACCTGTGCTCTCCTGGGTATAGGGGTCAATACTTACCCAGCCTCTGCGAGGCCGTGAAACACGATCCACCCTTCCCAGCCGATGTAACTAGGGCCCGTGGAACTGGAGCGTTTCTTTTGTAGCTCGTTCCTATACTACAACTTGTGGACTTCAGGAACGAGTAGCATGATGGCCTTCAGCCTGTCGAAGTTGCCTTATCCGCCGCGTCAACGTCCGCGGTGCCCATCAGCCTGCTCCTCAAAGGTCTCTATGATGCTGAGACCCTCTAGGTATCTGAAAGCTGCTGCAGTGGCTCGTTCTGCCGCGACAGCCGGTTCATTCCTGGACCTGTTCTCGAAATTTTCGGGCGTAGTCTACTCCTTTGCACACATCTTGGCTGTCATCATTTCCGGGACGACCTGCATCTGAACATCTCGCCTGCCTATATAGATTTGCGACTGATGATGTTGCGCCATGCGTGGCCGTTTTTGCCGCTCATCCTCGTAATAGACAGGAGGCGCACGCAGCCCTTGAGCTGTCTTTCGCGACCGCGGGAACACCTCGTACAGCTCGACATTCATCGGGACGCGGCGGCCATGTTTCGTGTCAATGAAGGCGCCGCCTTCTCACCTTTCTTCTCGTCGCTCTCGCGTTCACCAGAAAGTCTGAGGAAGCGCAGACGCGCTTCGCAACCAGACCAGAAGCCGCGAAATCCACGAATCCTTTCGTTGACAGCAGCGTCGGTGGCGGTTAGATCGACGAATCCAGACAAGGGGCCCAGAGGCTCGAATACGGTGTTAACTCCCCGGAGAACCACAAACCCGACGCACACCAAGATCTCGATTTTCTGGCGGGAGCGTTGACTTCCGCTAGCTCTGCCGTCCCCGAAAAGATCCGTGAGCTTTTTTTGGTTCGGTTCCGCTTGGAAGATCTTCCATTTGCGCTTCTCTGTGTTTACATCACCGCCATCTAGACGTTTGGCTGCGGCAAAACCACGCCATGGTCTCATAGCTTGTTATGGGCCCGACTGATGAGCCATATCGAAAAGAGAAGAAATTGGAAAGTCCATGCAAAGGTTCATCTTCTCCAGGATCTACCCCAATACTTGTGACAAGCAGCATCGCGCCAGGCTTCATCGTATTGCGACTGAATGATGCAGAGGAGCACCAAATACGTCTCAAACGTCTAGGAAAAGCAGATGGATACCTCAATCATTTCGTTCTATTAACGAAGCGCGACCCAAAACAAATACGTCAAAGAGAAATTGTTGGTTGTCAAGTAGGACTACCAGTGTCCTGGTCTATGCATGTACCGTATTCGTATTGTAACCACTCAACACCAAGGTTGAAAAAACCCTCAGAAGCTGCAGAAATCATATCCTGAGTTTATGGGCAAAACAATTATCCCTTGTCCCTTCAAGACAGAGGCGTCGTCGTTGCCGTGGAAGTTCCAGAATCCTGGTTGCTCCGAACAGCCAACTTGCGCCTGGTCGCTTCGCTGATGTTGCCCCCCTTGACGATGACATGTCCATCCTTCGACTTGATTTCGTAGCTCTCCGAGGAGGTCCACTCGTTCGCATGCGTCTGTATCCGAATCATTTCTCTACCGACCTGATTCTGGATGTCGCGTCTGCCATTAAGCAGGTCGTTGTTCAACTTTCCCTGTAGCAGAGTCAATAATGAACAGTTGCATGGTCACAAGAAAGCAGAAACTTACAGCTCTCTCCTTGAGCGGCGCGCCCGCGAATTTAGAGATCCAATCGGCTCCGGTGAGTGAGTCAATCATCAACTTACAGTCCTGCAGGAGTCGACTCTAAAAGATGACATTCTTTGGGAAGAGCTATGGGCAATATACCAGAAGAACGTCACACATCGCGCTCCAGCGGTCTGCGAACGTGTCGAAGCTGTCCCAAGTCGACGTAGTTCTTTGGCCTGACCAGAGTGGGCGCAAACTGAACCCGCGTTGCGCATTCATGGCCGCAATCTATTTCGATATATCACCACATAGAACTTCGTGGTCGGTCGGGCGGGCGGTCTTACCAAAAGTCGCCAAGAGAGAATCTCAATCTCGAGATCGGAGATGCGGTGGTGGACAATAACGGCAAGCTTGTCGACATCCGAGCTTTCTGGATTAATCATGTCCCACTCCGCTTTCTTAACATCCGCTGGTCTGTTGGTTGCGGCGCTCTTTCCAGCTTTGTTCGTACGCTGACGTTTACGCGATGTGGACTGATCCGCTGCCGTGTCCGTTACACAGTCCTTCTCTGCGGTTTTAGCTCTGCGATTGGCCAGGTTGGTTGTCACCTTTCGAAGCTCGTAAAAGTCGGACATGTCAGTAATCTGTTCAAAGAGCTGCTGAACATAGGCCTTCTGCTGAGCCGTGGTGGTAGGCCATGTCTGATCCTCCTCAGGTGTGAGGCCTGCCTTCTTTCTCACGTGGAAGTCGTAAGCCTCGTCCACTTGTTGGAAATGATTCATGTCCTGAATGAGACCGTGATACATAAAGGTGGCGGGCTTTAAAACCTGTTCGACAATTCTGTTCTCTTCTTCTTCTGAAACCAACATTTCGATGCGCTCCCGCTTAATCGGTAGTTTCGGCGTAAGCTGAAGAGAATAGTCGGCGGAATTGCCAGCAACGAGAAGGTCGTCAGTGGGACCAATGTTGTTGTCTAGCTCTGCCTGCAGATTATTCGGCTGAAATAAGTTCAAGTTGGGCTGCTCGAACAGAATAGGCTCTGTGACATATCCTGGAACCATCGTGCGCAACCCATGAGATCCGTCGTCTCGGGGCATTCCAGAGCAAGCGGAGATATCCAAGTGTGGAATCGGGTGCAAAGGGGCCAGATCTCAGCAAAGTTGCTTCGGTTGTAAAAGAGCGTCAAGTAGAACTGAAGCTCGGGAAACAGACGCAGTCCGTCGTGGTACCGATACAGCACGATTTCGTCTGTCCTGGCGTCAATGATATTCTCGTGCTCTTGGTAGGTGTCGTAGACTTACTGAAGATGATGTCCAGCATCTCTTTCTTTTGCTGGAAGGGTACAGAGGCGTCTTCTAGGACCCATATGTCGGCTCGGAAGTCCAGATCCATCTTTGCTGCTTGCGATTATCAGATATGGTATGAATGAATATCGAGAAAGAAAGATCGCGCAGCGGAGACTGTCGATAACCGAGAAGGAAAGGATTGTGGCAGTCGCGTAGTTTGCAAACAAAATGCGGGCGTGCTGCTCTGAGACGGAGGAGTAGAGGTAAGGTGGTAGGAGGTAAAAGACTCGTCTCGTGTTGAATAAACATGTAGTTGGGCTGTGGTGTAGAGTGGAAGGTGCCGACCTGAGGCAAGCTTCGCACCCTCCAACTGAATCTGCTTCTCGAACAGGAAAGAACTGGAAGTCCCAACACCACGTTTTTGAATAGAAGTGAGGTGAATCGACGTGTTTTATTTGTTTTATGGTATATTCGGGGTCCGCAAGAGATCTTGGCTTCGAGATTTCGAGTAATCATATAACAAATGCTTGAGGTGATGGCATCACAGGCTTGCGGTCTTTTCTGCTTCTTTGCTGCAAACAAATACTGCATAACACAGCAAAGCGAGAGTGTATCCTGCACTGGGATGATCCAACCCTGGAACCCTCTCTCTTCCTCAAGCTTGTGCAGCGGGTGTATAACCGGGCGTATGCCTGTCTCAGGCGGTACTTGTTCAGCAATCTTTACGCCTACAGTCCCTGCCGTTTTTCTTTGAATTCGAACTATTGTGAGCCTCCACGCAAGAGATCAAACAAACCGCTCCAGCCCGGAAGCCCTGTTGTGTTCCTGATTCCCGTACGGCCTACGAGTGGCCAGAACCGCGCTGTAGTCGAGGGCCCCGAGTATGTGCTGTGTTTTCAAGTCTTCTAGATTTTCCAGGTATATCGTTGAGGGGGTCGATGTCATAATGCAGAAAAGCACGAAAAGCGTCTCGAACGTCAATTGACAGCGAACAAACACTTGCTCCAACTAACTTTCTCTGTAGAAACGCTGTAACCAGAAACAAATACTTCAAGGAGACATCGCCTGCTGAGAAGCAGGACTACCAGCGTCCTGATCCTTCGCGCGGACTGCCAAGCGACGCCGAACTCCATCGCCAATCTTCGCTCCCTTGGAAATGACCTCGCCATTCTTTGACCGTATCTCGAAGCTCTTGGAGGTCTCCCACTCGTTGGTCTGAGTTTTTGCTTTGATGAGCTCTCTGCCGACTTGGTTCTGCACATCTCGGCGTCCGTTCAATACATCGTTGCTCAGCTTCGACTGATGATTTCGTAAGCATGGGTCCCAGAGCCTTTATGTCGAGATGTGATATTGAAGATGCATCTGGCGAGTTGCCAACAGTTGAGTAGGGAAGAACTTACAGCTCGCTCCTTGACAGGGGCACCGGCGAACTTTGAAAACCAGTCAGGGCGGGTGAGCGAGTGGATCAATAGCTTGCAATCCTGCAAATAATCAATCAGCCTTTGGGGAGAGATCCCAGGAGATCATGATTAAAGAGACATACGAGCAATTGGGCGCAGATGACTTCCCAGCGTTCGGCAAAGGTCTCAAAATAGTCCCATGTGGAGATTGCTCGCTGGCCGCACCAGCGTGGACGCATGGTAAAGCCACGCTGGGCATTCATCGCCGCAACCTGTGAAGAACATTAGATACAAAAAGCAGAGAATCAGCTTTGGGTTGCTTACGAGAAGCTTCCAGCACATCAACTCGATCTCCAAGTCGGACACTTGTGTATGAACGATGATCGTAAGGAGGTCGGCGGGCGAGTTGTCCGGGTCCATCAGATCCCAATCCGCCTTGCTCACACCCTTAGGTCTCGGTCTGTCGGTACGACTGCTGCCCGTGGTCGTTCGGCGACGCTTCCGGGTCGCAGTTTCGTCGGACGCTGCCGTGGTCGTTGAATCATCGCCTTCCTCTCCCACGCCGCAGGCTTTCAAGCGTTCCTGCGCCTTCCGCAGCTCGTAGAAGTCGGACATGTTCGTGATTTGCTCGAAAAGCGTCTTGACGCAATCCAGCTGCTCGTCGTCCTCTATGGGCCAGGTGGGATCGTCAAGTGGAGCTATGCCGGCCTTCTTCTGAACGTGATGATGGTAGGCATTATTCAGCTTCTCAAACTGATCCATGTTATGAATGATGCCACCATAAGAGAGGGTGGGAGGACATCCAAGGTGTTCGTCGAGAAGAGCGTTGCAGTCATCAGCTTCGAGTGCCTCCGCTTGATCCTCTGGATACGTGTAGCCACTGGGTGATTCGTGCAAGCTGCTGATGTTCTCTGGGAACTGCGCAGGGGATGTCTGAGAAGATCTTTGAGGTGATGTCTGAGGGGATGTCTGTGGAGTATACATGGTTTCAACACTCGACGGAGAATCATGGACAGCGCCAGAGACGTATCCTGGGACCATTGCTCGCAGGCGATGCAGTTCGTTGTCCGCAAGCTCGGCTGACATTGCAGCCAAAGGCGAGATCCAGGCATGGAACCGGGCAACGAAGGGCCAGATGGCGTAAAAGTCCTGGCGGTTGTACAGAAGAATCTGGTAGAATTCTACACCTGGGAACAGGCGCAAGCCATCGTGGAGGCGGTAGGGTACGATGCTGTCTATGGTTCTATTAGTTCGCGTACTGCGCGCTGATATGGAAGCACTGATCATACCGAAGACGATGTCCAGCATCATCTTTTTTCTCGAGAGAGGGACGTCGGCGCTCTACAGAGCGCCGACGTCGTAGGCGTCGAAACTGGTGGTCATTGGATTGCGAGGCAATTGAACAGTGTGTATTGTAGGTTGATTGTTGGTGATTGATGGAAAAGAATTATGGGAAGGAGCAAAATATTAAACAAAGGCTTTATTAAATAACACAACTGAGGCACCTCTGGCTGTTCGTCCTCCGTCCGAACCTGCTTCCCAAACGGGAAAGAACCGAAGGCCCCGCCGCCGAATTTCTAAACAAAAGTGAGGTGAATTGAGTGAATGTAATCAAGCTTTTTTTTCGTCTAGATCTGTCTCCATCCCAGGTAGATCTTTGCCGTTGAGCTGAGACTTCCAGGTTGATGGGTGTTATTGCCAAACGTCTTGTGCACTCGATACGCAGGAGTTGCGCTCCAACCCAGGGACCCGTTCTTCATGGCGGTCTTGCTCTTTGCGGCGAGAGATGACCAGCTCCTCGAGAACTTCTGACGGAAGGCCCGGAGTGATGAAGAACGTGAAGTGATATGAGAAATGATGGCGAATGAGGGCTTCGGTGAAAGGTCAGCGTAGATCTTCTCGCTGACCAGAGCAACGTTTAGGGGGGTGGAAGCGAGCGAACACGCGCTGTCCGTCATACTCCTAGACATCACCACCCGAGCCGGAAATGTGCGGGAAGTAGGTGAGGTGAACCGAAACGAAGGGCTCATCTGATCTTGTTCTAGGGGGGGAGCATACTCCGCCGATTAATGTGATAGATTCAGTCGCTCCGCACAAGCCTTGTCGTTTGCGTCCTCTGACTCCTTGAGTGTGAACCACTATCTCTGCGATCGTTAGGTTGATGGGGTGCATCTGGGCCGCAGCTTTTCGCATTTTCATAGTATTTGAGCGACTCAAAGTTTTGCGTGACGCCATAGCCAGAATCCAGTACGACCAAACGCGGCCAAGAAACGCTCGTGATACCAAATGCTGAGAAGACGGCTCCAGCTTGAGTTGTCAATAATGGCTTTGCCGGGGGCCGTACGGCCAAATTGGATTGGGATTGAGAAAGGGGGCTGTCAATCTTAGCAATGAATCTGACATGACTCCGAAATCCTCGTCGTTGAGAGTAGTTATTGTCGAGTCGCTCGCAGACGATGCCAAGGCTGTTGACCATAGCCCTCGTGTACGAGACGATATCGACGTCTTTGCAGTTCATGGTACCCCCAAAGGGTTCCATAGGTCTTTGGCCGTGGACCCTGTTGGCGAGACTAGTATGTCGGTATCAAAACTCCCTAGTGGTAATTAAGCGATGTCCGTCCCTTTCTCGGGAGTCGTATCAAACTCGTACGTATGTCGGGGCAATTGACGTCTCTGTCGACATCTGCAGCCGACGACACCAGTGCATTTGATTGCTGTGGTAGAAGTCAATCTCTCATTCCATTCGGGCCCCGGGGCCTTGACGGATCTGAAAGATCTTCCAAGACGTGATGGTGCTATGTTGGTGTCGGTGCTTCGGGCAAACATCATATCAACGATTTGGTGTGGTATGAGACCAAAGTCATTGTCGGGGTCGACAACAAAGTCGTCCCACTTGGCGTCTGGTGTTGGCCCCGTGCGCTTGAAAGTTGAGCATCTCTTCAAGATTCTCGTCACTGGATAGGTTTCCGCCGAGAAGCTGGCTAGAGACTCGCAGACGGGCGAGTTCGTCTCGATTTGGGCCATCCATATCAAGTTCAAGCACAACTGATGGCTTGTTCTTCCGACCAGCGTGACCTCAACCATCCTGATATCCTCCAGCGTCCTCCTCTAAAGCTTTGTCCAGTTCCTCGTCGATCCAGCAGAAGCCCTAGAAATGCCACTTCCAGCAGAACCAGCTACCTTCGCCCGCACACACTAGCAGCTACGTAGGCGTCCGATGTAGGGCGCTGAATAGGACGATGTTTGCCGTGTCTTGACGGTGGCTCCGAGCAGGCCGGGGCATTGGACCGGTGTTTGTCCATAGCGTGGGCCCTCGAAGCCGTCCGCCCTCCGGTCGAGACTGCCGTACACACCTAGCCATCGACCGCTTGCAAGCATCGTTGACCTACTTGTTGGCTGAGGAGCACGCCTGTCAACTCCGGCGGCAGATCGACCGGGGCCGGGTGCGTAAAGGCCGCCAGCACCTGAGCTCCCTCACCGCCGTCGGGGCCCCAGAACGTCCGCGGCATGACTGTCCAGAACTTCTGGTGCAGCCAGTGCTTGGGTGCGGCGCCGTCCGCTCCGGGGTCCAGCAAGAGGGCAGCCCGGTCACGGGCATAAGGGCCCGAACTCCCCTGGGAAAGCTCTCGAATAGCTCCAGATGTAAGAGGTTCAGATATTTGGTTTAAACCATGACTTTCTGGAACTCGGGTCTAAGCAGAAGGCAGCGAAGTCGCAGGTCTTCTCCCACTGCGTACCATACTCAACGTTGTTGAAAGGGATTAGATACGATGCGTCGTAGCCTCGAGGCTGTTGAATCTATGGAGGGGAATGATATGACGGTATGTGGCTCTCTGCGCCGAGACGGAAGGTATCGTATCTCGCAAAGTCGTCCGTAGAAGTGCGTGCGAGCTCATGGCCCTCTTGGCCGCGTAGTGCGACTGCATGATGTCAAGCCTTGAAGGATGTGTCGAAAGTCGCAGTTACGGTGACCGCCGGCTTGAGGGACTATGGACATCGTAACTGCTGCAAGTTCCAGCCAGGACCTTATCACTCGGAAGGACGCCGCCAAGTTGCTAAACAATAGTTTGAAGGCCAGCGATTCGATTCGTTTGTGAATGGTCCGTGTCAAACTCCAATTCGTCGACAACCTTTGTCTGTGATGGCGTAAGCGTGATCTGCAGATGGACCACGCAATCTCCGCGTGTGATTTCAGGCCTTGATTGCAAGCCTGTTCGAGTCGATTTCACAGTCGAGATTGAGAAGATCGATTTGTTGGATGCTATCGCTCTGAGGGTATCGTAGTTGCCAAACTTCATCCAGATGCTCGCAGCATCCGAGGCGTTCTGGCCAAGAACCAGCATCGGCTGGTCATTGCGCGCGACAAACTCCGTAACAGCTTGCGAAGGGCCCGGGATGTCGTCGGTCGAATGATGGGCGTAGATTCTGCGGTCGTAAAACGAGCGTCTCGCTTGGTCTCTCGCCATAGCGAAATCAAGAGAACTGCAAGACTTGACTGGGCTGCTTCTCTGCACTTCATGTCGCGGCGCAGGTGGCCTGCCTCCGTAAGGGCGACAACGGTGTCCACATACCGGCCCCTAAAGGCGTTCTCCGGGCGGCCCTCGGCCGTAGGGCTGTCCACCCGTGACGCCCTCGTTGCCGATGGATCGTCTTCTTGTTCTGCCTTGTTGGAGTTTTCGCCGTATGAGTCTACGGCGGGCAATAGCCACAAATAAGCCATGGATTGTTCTGCAGCATGACGGCCTCAAACGGCGTGCTGCTAACGGCAGCGGCCAATATCTGCTGAATTTTGGTAAAAGCCTCGGTGAGGTTGCAAGATGAGTTGTCGGCCGCGTAGCGAGTATATGTGGTGGCCGCGTGCCACAGCACGAGAGTCGCCTTCCTCCGAGTTGTCCTTGCGCCCACCACGCGCTGGTTGTTTGAGTACGAAGCAGATGTCGACCTTCTTCTGACACATCTGGAAGTACCCATGGTTCATTGAGACGGAAACACTTTTTCCATGATAACCTTCTTTCCTTTATAGCACGGAGAGACACGGCCAGAATCTCAATCGGTTGTGGGATCATCCGCGTGTAATTGCTTTGATCGCTGCGTTATCTCGTACATGGCGAAGCGAACAAGACGTTGCGGGCCTAAACTGCGCTCTCGTGCGGACCGTAAGTGTAGTGGGAGCTCTTGGGTTGCTGTGGAACGATGTCTCCAGGCAAATGCGAAGGGATGTCGGGCTTGTCCGCGCGAAGACCACATCAGATGTAGTTCGAGGGCCTTCGTTTTGGGCTGCGGAGATCTGGCGACGTGTACCACTTTGAAGTCAGGCTATTTGACTCTTCTCGTGAGTCCCAGCGACCAAGTCGCTCGAAAACTTATCTCAACCTAACATTTGATCAGGTTGTAATTAGATTGCCTCGGTTGTGGTCGAGATCATGCAGAACGCCACCTCAACGACGCTTTGAAAGGTGTAGTTCCTGTCGTGTCATTCCGCAACAATGGGCACCTTCGTAATGGTACTTGACGCACTGATTTGCGACGTGGACTTTCTTTTCTTGGGCTCTTTTGGAACCCCAGAGGTAGTAGATGTAAGTCGATGATCCAGTGGAACATGTCATAGGTAGACATAGTTGGTGTCCAGCTGGTCAAAAATAGACGTGATGCTCTTCGACGAAGGCTGACGCCAGACCGGACACGCGCCACGTCCAGGAACTGAAGCGTATGAGTCGAGTTTCTCAACCTTCGCGCAGGTTGATGGAGAATTCCTTGAGGTCCGCTAGACAGGATACGTTTTGAGGACATTGTATTGAGCCTCGTCTCAACAAGCGAATGGGTTTGGGAGAGTATGCTCTCCCGGACTGGATTTCGATGTGCGTCTCTTCACCCTTGTCTGAGCAGTCACCCCTCTGAACTCTTCAAAGCCTGATCAGAGACCAGAGAGATATCCTCTGTGACGGAGGTTTCGGAGGAGTGCGCCAGTCGGAAGGGCCCGCCTCTCATGAAGACGCCGGAGTGGAAAGTACAATTTCAGAGTTGGCTGACCGTCTCCAGTGGCTTCCAATGCTTCCTTTTGAACAAGGTGACCACACATTTGCAAGTTCGCCTCCTCTGTAATCTTCGGGCCGCTGTGGCTTTGCGTCCCTCTGCCGGTCTCGAGTAATCCAGAGCAACTTCTTCATCATGGGCGCGAGATCTTCTGCAAAAGCGGAACACGCCGCATAGACCAAGAACGCGGGCGGAATACCTTCCCGCTGGCATGAGTGGATGTTGCACGCTTCCAGATTAACAGTTTGATGCAGGCGCCAATGCAAGTTTGTGGAATGCACGGCATGGACCTTGCGGTCCTCTAGACATCGATGACCCAATATCGAGCCGACTGTTGTTGAACCAAGTAGGCTCCATATCCTCAGGTCGATGAGAGGGACGGCGCCGGCTTTGAGAGGCATGCCAATACGCGAAGTCATGTCGCATCCGTACGGACAAGGAGAAACACAATGCATGCATTGGAACGATGTGAGCAGAAGACAATCCATCGAAGAGAAAGGTAGTGGCAGAAGCATGGCTGGCCACGTCCAGCTTCTCTGCGCCGTCCAACTGATCCTGATCAATTCTCTTGCGTCTGGAGCTTCGTAAGATGGGAAATGTCGGAGCAGTGTCTCTCATACGGGAAGAGAGCTCCGTTGTCGATCTCTTTTGCCGCTTGCGCAGGGACTGCCGGTCTCTGGCTTCTCGCCTTCGCTGCATCCAGCTGACCTCTTACTGTATTTCCAACTATGCGGATATGGGCCCGGGTCCCAGAAAACTTGATATTCGCACAAAAGGGTGAAGATCAAAGACCCAACAATCGCGTTGAGCTGAGTCTTGACTGGGTGCGGTACAATTGTCCTTGATGGAGTTCATTCCCAGGCCAACCCCAATCACTAACCCTAACCATCCCGCAGCACAGCGGCAGCGACGGCAATGCAGAGGGAAAGCGTAGTGATAAGTGGAAGAGGATGTCCTTGTCTCCATTCGCACTCTGGATCTGGCAGTTCAGTGTTTCGTGACAACAGCGCGGACATGGTGTCTGGCTTTGGTGTTTTGGACTGCCCCTCGCTGGGCATGCAGTCTGGGCTCCCGAACGACTCGAGCAGCGACTATGATATTATGGACTTCTCGTCTCTTCAGTCTGGCCATCCTTGGCGGCGAAGTGGTGGCAGAAACTGCGAGGTGGAGGACCTCTATGATCAGTGGAATGAATAGTATGCCCGGGTGGAATGGGCTTTGCTGGATCTGTGGAAAGTGTCTGATTCCGAGTGTCTCTGAGGAGGAAGTCTGCTTCCGAGCCTTCGAATGAGTGTGACAGAACCGGCTCAACACGGCGGTCGCGTTGGAGTCGATCGCCTTAGCTGGCTCAAAAGAGTCGATGAGCTCGCCTCAGCCAGCCACCAGATTGCGAGCCAGCGAATCTACCATCTTTTTCGCCTCGGCGGTTTTCTCGGTGTCGTTAGCGTTGCTGTGGCTGGAGAGACCATCGGGTAGAAGGTTGGAAAGAGAAAGCACAAAATCTTTAATATCAGAGCCCAGGGACTTGGGCGCCTGCTTGAACGCCACGTTGCCCGCGGGACACCGCAACATCGAAAATGGTCGAGCTAAACGGACTGGAAGTTATCTGGGATGTGAGATGTCTCCTTTTGGCATGAGCCGGAGATCTTTCTCGATGAGGGCAAATTCAAACTCTTGACCCCCGATCCCGATACTTTTGCTGGAAAAGCGGCGGAATTGTTGGCGATGACGAAGTTTCTTCATAAGGAAAGTGCGACAGATGTTGAGTTGATAATGGTCAGGTGTCCGCGGATGGTTGAGATCTTGAGGGCGTTCGCCCGTGCTCCGGACATGCAGGCCGACCCATCTTCATACCGTGAGCGACCGTTATATGTGCTCGAAGCTGTGGCCTGTCGGGGCCCAGTGCGTGTCCTCTGCCCCCCATTCTTTTGTCTAGGAGTTGCACGTTTCTTCGTGAGCTTATCTGCAACAAAACCTGCAGGGAACCTCGGCGCAGGAGTTGAAGGCCCTATAAGGAGCCCGGGATTCGACCTTTTCGACGCCGTCGACGGGCATTTGTAACTCTGCCGTGATGTTGTCCTTCGAGATCCAGAAAGGCGCGGCTGTCTGTCTGTCCTATACCCGAAACGACGCTTGCAAGACAAGCAGGCCTGCTTTCGGCCCGCGTCGATCACGATGGTCGACTTCGATTGGTACCAGAGTCCTCCCGCACATTTGAGCATGAACTTGGGATCTCTCGAAAGGATGGTCGGACAGCCAGGAACCTCCATGGGGTGGTCCTGAAACTCTTCACGATGCTTTTGGCTGCCGTTCAAGCACGTCATCTTTAGATTCCCGAGTGCCCAAGGAAGTGGTCGTGATCGTCACAACGGAAACGCGATCAAACTGCCGTCTTGACGACGAGGGTATTTTCCTCCGACGCTTGAGAATGGCAATAGATCAGGGTAGGTGACGTAGACGCGCAGAAGAGCCACGAAGGACCGCATCTGGAAAAGACAGCAGATGGTGAAGGTTTCCGCAGCCTCGTTTGCGATATAGAGTCTCATTGAAATCCTCTGTTTGGCCCGGGGGTGGGACAACTTCGTGTTGGTGGTTGGTGATTCAAACTGGCTTCCTAGTCATACCGAACACGCGGGGCGCGTGGGAGGACTGAATGGGTCACTAAGAAACACCAACGGATTGTCCACGGTACGAAAAGCGGAAGCCGATCATTTGACTTAACAGCGCTGTGTCAGACGAGGGCCGAGCACCCTCGATGGCAAATATCGCTCCTGACGATCGTCTTTCTGCAACCTTCCTGGTGCAAACACCAAGGGCCCGGGGCAGAGGTAAATAAGAATCGTAGTTTTTGAATTTGTGTCCGGATGGGGGCAGGCTGAATAATCTGATTTGTCTCGGGGGAAGTAATCAGCTCGACCAAGTTGAAAGAACTCCATCGCAACGTCGATCCAGCTTGGCCTTCTATTCGGCGTAACGATGGACCTGTAGACCGCTGACGGGAGGCATGTGGACCTTAGAGAAGGTGCCGACGACGAGGCACGTCGATGATGGTGCGTCGTGATAATGACGTCGGAAGAAGACGGCGGCAAGGCTGCGACTGCTATACTAGCGCAAGATGACGGTGATACTAAACGGAGGAGACAGGAGAACCACAATGACGGCGACGACAGGGAGTGACGACGACACCGACGGGAAGGTTGGATATATCTCTTGAGTTGGCGGAAGAGAGCGACCGAATGAACCACAGTATTCGCATTATTTGAGCGGTGATGACGGACCGCGTTCAGCCGTGGCGGCGGCGGCGGCGAAGCATACAGTCCGGATCGGCCCGTTTGCGTCTGCATCTCCGCATCTGAAGTTCGTCAGGTTGAGATCCATCGTGAAGTTCAATGGCGGAACCCTTCGCCCGTTGTGCGAAGAGCAGAGCAACGGAAGAATGGGAGAAAGCCGCGGCGTTGCCTACTGAAATACAGCTGTGGGCGTGGCCTTGCTATGCGGCACAACCACGGGAAGTGCATCCCAAACATTGAACTCCGGGATTGCGTAAGGATCCAGCGAAGAGACCGCCCCCAAAGGCTGGACCGGTGGCGCTACAGCAGAAGCACTCCAAGGAACCATGGAAGCTGCCACCACCTGGGCTGCTCACCCACGATGGCAGGATGTTGCCGCAAAGGGGACCACGCGAGAGCGACGGCGTTGAAAGCCTTCTCGCGATCCTGATCGGCATGTTCGTTGGCAGACGCAACTCGCGGACGACGTAGGCCACTGCGAGCTCTACTTGATCTGTTAATCCAAGAACGGGAGGTGGGACGATGAACGGTTCTTGCTTACCTGACTGCTGGCTCAGCGTTGAGAAGGCTATGCTGGGTAGATCCAGCACGATCCTCGATGAAGGCCTGTCTGAAAGGAGGGCTCTTTGCGAGTAGAAACTGAGGGAGATACCCATTGTGGCAGCTACCCGGTAGGTCAGTCGAGTGCGTCAATGAAGGATGAAGGATGAGATAGGTGCGGCATACCTTGGATTTCATCTACGCATTGATGTTCGTCCAACAGCGTCTCATCGCTAGCATTCTCGCAGACGACGCACAGCTCGTCGAATACGTGCTTGGCATTCATCGCGGGCTCGTTGATCTCTGCCTACAAGCCACGGCACCCGACTAGAGCAGATTATTGGGGACTTTCAACGCTTGCCGCAGTTAGAAGCACTTGTCCCTGGCCACTGCAGCTACAATGCCGCATAGCAGGGCCCGTGTCCGTCGTCGACTGGGTTGCTTCACGCAACCCGGCCTGCAGGGCCTAAACCATATGGTAGTCGTGAACATAATCGTAGGAGTAGGTAGGTGTGGACAACAGAGGTAGATGAAGTCGTATCCTCTTGAGAAGGGAACGTACCGGAAGACTTGCGCTTCATGCCAGATGCGGACTTGGGTACCTTGACTACATACGAGGTCGGCTTGGGAGTTGTGACGACGCCGTCCTCATCGTCATCATTATCATCGCTACTAACCTCAATAACGTCGCGCTTCTTAGCGGGACTGATGATCTTCTTTGGGGTGATGCTGGACGCCTATCCCTCAACATAGGGCTCGGGCGACTGGGACAGCTCCTCCACATCGGAATCGTCGCCCTCAAGGGAAGAGGTGTTACTAATAGTGGTGCTATAGGTCTAGTCATCATTAGGAGCCTCATCGCCGCCGTAAGCCTGCTCAAGGAGGATGCAGGCCGCAGAGTCGTTGTAGGCCTTGTGAAACGCTGCGAAGGGGTCAGCTGCCGTGATATTCGAGCGACGTCTTGATAGCGCAGTATTATCTCCGGTCTGGCGTCATCTATACAAACGGACGACGAGAGCGAGCATCGCAATCGTCCCATGCATGGCAAGCAGGGAGAAGAATATCGACGTGCGAGTAATGCCCTTTTTTGGGCCCGAGAGGAGGCGCAAGGCAGCCAAGCGTGGTGATGAATTGCCGCAAAATGGATGGGCCCGGGGCTGGGTTGAGGAAGTAGATGGCGCCTACAAATCGGCGTGATTATATGCCGGGGCAGTCATTTCTGCTCCCAGATGGTGATGGTGATGGAGGGAAGCAGGAGACGGATCTTCGAGCGGGTTTCTGAGGCGGTTTAAATGGTCTGGAAGTCGCGCGAAGGTCAGCAGTGAATCATTGTGGTGATGTTGGAACTTACGAGAGTTTGCAAATCTGGCGGCCATCTTTGCGAGTTTGTCTGCCGTTGGACGGCGTACGTCATATCAAGCAGTACCTAGGTGGGTTTGATACTTTCCCCATGATTTCTTCTGGCCAGCAGACGGGGCGTGAGGGAAAACAGCAAGAAAGCAAGAGAACGCGAAGAAGACGATGGGTGAGAGTCAAGCTGACTTCTTCTGGAAAGTAGACGGAGCTGAGAGAAATCAGCAAGAGAGCAAGACAACACGAAGAAGAGGACGCAGGTTTGGAAGTCAAGCTGTGGAGGAACAACGAAAAGCTCGGTGTGGCCGGTGTCAAACGGAAACAAAACCAAACAGAATGCTGGAAGAGAAACGACAGCATGCGGGGCGTCTGTCAGACAAAGCAGACTCTTGGCTTGCGCAGCAAAGAAAGCAGCCGCCCGTTTAAACAGCATCACTTGGGACGCCGGTTTGAGAAATGCCAGATCAATTGTCAGGGTATCTCTAAGCCTGCTTGTGCCAACTCTACGGCCCAGTCCCGGAAACCCCAAAGCAAACCATGTTGTATGACCTCACAACCAAAACAATACCGAATTAAACGCCAACCGGGCCGGCAAGCAACCGGCGCATCCTCGCATCCAGACATGAAGAAGCAAGCAAGCTTTTCTTTTTGTTCACCACTGGCGGCGTCCACCGCGGCCCCTACCGCCGAAGCCGCCACGGTTACCGCCCATGCCTTGCTGCTCGTAGCCGCCGTACTGGCCCTGGTTTCCTCCGAAGCCGCCCTGGCCGAAGTTCTGTCCCTGGCCCTGCTGACCTCCCGCGCCTCCTCCCTGGCCCTGCATGCCGTTGAACATGGCAGACATGGCGGCCGGGTCCATCTGGCTTGGGTCCATGCCCTGGCCCATCATCTGCTGCATCATGGCCTGCATCTCGGGAGGCATGCCGTCCATACCGCCGGCCATACCGGGCATGCCACCGGCCTGCGGGTTCGCGCCGCCCTGGCCTCCGCTGGGCATACCGGGCATGCCGCCGCCCATCATCATCATGCCAAAGTCCTCCATCATCTTCTTGTTACCGGCGGCGATGGCATCGGCGTTGTACTCGCCGCGGACGGCCTCCTGCTTGGCGGCGTAGAGCGCCCAGGTAAACTCGTCGAAACCGTAGTTGAAGTAGTCGCTGATGTCGGTACCGGGCTTGCGCCAGGGCTTCTCGTTCTCGGGGAGGTCTGCGGGCGGTTAGCGACGGTCGTGAATGTTATGAGGTGGCTCTTACCCTCGTCGATGTTGACGGCGGTGATGGGCTTGCCGGCGGGCGGGTACGGGGGGTTCGCGTTGACGTCAATCGTCGACTTGGACGCGGCTGCGGCAGCCTTGTCGGCGCTGGGAACACCCAGAGCAGGCGATGCTCTGGAGGGCTCGTCGTCCTTCTTGGCGGGGGTGGGATTGACAGCCATGTCGTTGGAAGCAGATCTTTGGGGAATGTTTCTGATATCGCTGTACCGTGATTGTCTGTTTTGTGTGTGAGAACCAGGAAACACTCGCTTTGTGTGGGTGGGAGTCTGCCTCGACATACGTTGGGGGTGCTGCCTTTGTGCCGTCTTTGCGCTCGGTGATAATATCAATATCCTACGGAAAGCGCCAGAACAGTCAGTCACTGGAAACAAGACGACTACGAGCCTGGAGTTGAGTCCTTCCAGCCCAGGCAGAAGCTTACCGAGTCGTCTTCGTCTTCGTCCATCGCGCCACCTTCATCTTCCTCCTCGCCCTCCTCCAACTCTTCTGTTTTGTTGGATTCTACTACTTTTGGCGGCGACGCCTTTGGAGCCTCATTTTCGGTCGCCGTCGTTGGAACAGTCGGTTCCTCGGGGGCGTAAAAATCGTCATCCTCGTCGATATCCATTTTTTTGTTATTTTTCTACCGTCAGGTATGTCGGGATTTACGTTTGGAGCGGGGTGTGGTCAAGGTATTGGTGTCGGCTTCACTGCGAATGCGACCGCGACTGGTACTGCCGCGATGACTTCAGCTTCGGCAGCTGGCGCCTCGAGCTCTCAAATGGCGAACGGCACGGGCCACCAGCGACAGGCAGGAGCATTGTCCAATCAGAAGCCCGGTTTGGAAGCTTCACTGTGGAACCCGGGATCCGGCGGAACCGGTCGCCGACTGGCCAATCCGAAGCGATCGCATTTTAGCAAGGCCTACAGAGGAGCTCCAGGCCTGCCAGCTGCGAATGGTCCGAGCGCCAACGTCCCGGCCGCCAATTCTTTCGCGTTGACCGCGCAGCGACAAGTAGCTGCAGGAGCATCGAATTATTCGGCCCAAGTCAACAACAACGCCCTCCAACAAGCCTTTTACCCGACTCCAGCTGCCACTCCGAGCCAGGCCCCGATTCCCACTTCGAACAAGTTTGCAAAGGGAGATAGTACCACCTCGATAGCACCCGACGACCTCAAGTTACTCGCCGACATGTCGCTGTTTGGACGGTCTGCGAGTGCCACGGGCGGTGGCTTAAGCATCAACACCGGTGCTGCCAATGCTGGGTACGTTTCTCTTCTTCTCGGGCTGGCGCATTGTTCTTGCTGCGCTGGCTTTGTTTAAGTCCTCGAAGTCTTGCTGACCACGGATGCATGCAGTGCCGGCCCCTCATCGACTCCCGCGGCTGGTGGAGGATTGTTTGGCAACGCAGCTGCCACGACACAACCTGCGACGAGCGGCGGTCTCTTCGGCGGTAACCAGACAGGAGCAGCGGCAGGCGGAGGACTTTTTGGCAACAAGACGGCGACACCCGCTCCCGCAACTGGTGGCCTCTTCGGCCAGTCTACACCTGCAGCCCAACCCCAGCAGAGCGGCGGTCTGTTCGGCTCAACAGCGACAGCCCAGCCTCAGCAACAGCAACAACAAACCGGAGGACTCTTCGGTCAGTCCAATGCGACGGCTCAGACCGGCACGACCGGGGGTCTGTTCGGAGCGCCTGCTCAGCAAACAGGCCAACAGCAGACTCAACAGAGTGGAGGACTCTTCGGAGGAGCTCAGCAGAAGCCGGCGATGGGTGGTCTTTTCGGTGCCAGCACGGCGCAGCCTCAGCAGCAGCAATCAACCGGAGGTCTTTTTGGCGGCGGAAACACACAAACTCAACAGACTCAGCAACAAGGAGGAGGTCTCTTCGGTCAGAGCACGGCACAGAACCAGGCGAAACCTGGCGGTCTATTGTGAGTTGCCTGGCTCAGATGCTGAAGCTCGAGCTAACATATCCCAGTGGCGCCTCCACCCAACAGCAGAACAACTCGGCTCCCGGCCTGACTATGGGTCAGTCGACGACACAGCAAACAGTTCCTGGCGTGAGGGTGGACGTCTCGAACGTCAAGGGCACGACGAGATTCAACGACCTCGAGCAGTCCCTCCAGACGGAGATGGAGAACTGCGACCTAATGATCCAGCGCTTCATGTCGCACGCCTCCGAGATCAAGGGGTTCATGGCGGCGCACGGCGGCGATCTCGAGCAGCTCACAAACGACGTCACCTGGCTCCAGCGCAAGTACGAGGGCGTCAAGACGACCCTCGACGAGGACATCGTCACCCTGGCGCACGTCAAGGACCTGGTCAAGTCGGACGCCGACATCGCCAAGATGGCATTCGCCGGCGCCGACCAGCTCAAGCTCCCCGCGCACTACCACCAGACCTGGCTCACCCGCGGCGGAAGCAGCGGCAACGCGCCCAACGGCAACCAGGACCGCAACCTGGAGGACGTCCTCACGCTCTTCTCCAACGAGGCCGACAGGTTAAAGGAGCTGCACCAGTTCCAGGTTCAGAAGATCAAGGAGATGGAGCAGCACATGCCCGGTGTCGAGCACGGCCTGTACGAGCGGGTGCGCGCCCTGCGCGACCAGACGCAGGTGCCCGCGTTCAACATGGTGTTGGATCTTTTGGAGACGATCAAGATGATGGGAGACAAGATTTACGAGGCGGCGGGCGGGATTGTGGATGTCCGCGAGAAGCTCACGCAGCTCCAGCGTCAGTACCCGACCAAGTGAGGGGTTGATCATGTTGAACGAAGGTAATAACGAGCTCGGGCTGGAATCTGTAGAGGTGAACGGCCCACGGGAAGCACACGGCGTTCAGGATGGCTAAAAGTATATACCGGAACATGGCAAATCGTACACCAACCCAAGGAGGCCGTCCCGGAGGTAGTTGGCTATAATTGGCCGTGTGGCACGAAGTTCACCAGATTAAGGAGTTGGTGATGCAACCTCCGCTTCGGTTATGCCTCGGACGGGCCAAGGGGGCATCGGCCTGGTTGAGACCATTGGAGACACAGGAAGACATGTCGCGTTGATGTTGTATAGATAGAGCACGGCGGCAGGTCGTTGATACCCAATGTCAGTGACTTCTGACTCACAACAAACCCCGAACCAGGAGTGAAACGCAATGCTTTTGTATCTTATTGTATAGATGGGTATCAGGGAGCTCTATTCCGCTCCAGCAAAGCCGTTCATCCGCCCAACGCCCGTAATGCGAATCCTCGTTGTCTCGTGAGGGTATGCAAAGGCCATCTCCGCAGATCCCTCCGCCTTTGCCACACCTCGCCGTCTCCCGGCGTAAAATAACCGTAGCAATTCTTTTTGTCATGTTTTCCATTCCCCAGGACCGTCTTCACACTCAGTACGACCCCTCCCGACCACCGTGATCATCGTCCCCATCATCCCCATCCCCAAACTCGCCGTCGTCAAAGTAATTCTCCGCATCGTAATCACCAGCGTCCGAGTCGTCATACTCGACATCCTGCTCCTCCTCCTCCCCGCCCTCCTCCCAATCCTCCTCCGCCCCCTCGCCCTCCCCGTCCGGCATCCTCTCCAGCGCCTCGAGCGTCTTCTTCGCCCCGTCCGGCCCCACGACCTCCTCCACCTGAAACACGTCCTCGGCCGTCGGCAGCGCCGTGATCCGCGACAACCTCAACCTCTTCGCCTCGCCCCCGGCCCCGGCCCCGCCGCGCTTTCTCTCCCCAGGCGCGACGTCGTCCCCGTCCAGCGTGGCGTGCAGCTCCTGCGGGAAGAACTCCTTGCAGAACGGCCGGCTGGAGAAGTCGGGCAGCGCGCGCTCGGGGCGGGTGAACTTTTGCGAGTAGGTCGGGACGGCGGTGAAGGGGTCGGCGGTGGCGCGGGTGCGGACGCCGTACTTTGCGTTGACCTGCTCCTGGCCGTAGAGCTTGCGGACGTTGAGGGGGTCCATGCCCCAGGTGCGCTTGCGGGTGTAGAGGGGCCCGTCCTGGAGCTGGCGGCGGAAGAGGAGGAAGGCGTTGACGTTGGCGCGTTCGTGGTCGGAGAGGGGTTTTGCGGTCGGGACGGCGTATTGCTGTTTTGGAGGAGGTGTGTGTTAGCGATTGTTGCAGTAATGACTGGGCGCAGAAGTAGAACTGGGACGTGACTTACGGGAAAGAGCTCTGATGGCCGCGTGTCCGGGGCGTGTTCGCCGTTGTCCCAGGACAGCTGGGGTCCTGCCTTGCCGCCGCGGCCGCCACGGCCTCCGCCTCGTCCTCCTCGCGACATGGTAATGGCTGTGGTTTTTTTGGGGGGAGGTGGTTTGGTAAATGGATTGTTTGGAGTTGGTTGTGTCACTTCAGTGTTGGAGAGCTGGTCGGCTTTTTTTTCTTTAGTGGGGTCGGACACGGATGGTGGGTGCTGATTGGACAGATATGACTTATACCGGTATTGGGAGAGATAAGCACCTGCAAAATGAAGGCGTAGGCGCGACGTAGACTGAGAAGATTGTAATAGAGACACTTCATCATTTGGACTAACTCATCTCCGTTAATTCAATTCTTCAGTCTAGGTTGAAGTTACGTCAGTTTAGTAGGTACCCGGTAGGTACGCCACGGTTCTGGGAAACCTTAGCAAGGCCATGGAGGATTCCGGTGGAAACCCTGACGCAGGTATTTAAAAGAATTCGGGAGATGGGAAACTCAATTCGTATTCTTGTGATGTTCTTTTCTTGTCCATATAACTAACTCATAAGGGCATATAGTTGGGAACTCACTTAGTAAAATAATTGTCCATCACCATTTAAATACAGAGCAAGTGTACTCTAAAATATTTTCAAAATCTGATTCTTTATACATTTTAGCGTTCTATACTCATCTCAAAATCGTATAAGCTATGAACGTGTCAGAACATTAGCCATCCAAGTGACTCACGAATTCGATACAGCATCATCTTTCTTGCAGCGTTTCGTGTTGCTCACCTCTGGACGGCGGGGTCAATTCCACCCCCGGTCAGGCAACCCAGCGATACGTATCCAGGCACACGCAGCTCCCGGCTGCCTTATCTTATCTTAGCGTCAAAGGACCCTTACCTTCGAAGCTCCCCCCCGCCATTTCTCAGTGACAGCTCCAAAAACACCAAACGCTGTTCCTCCCGCGAGCATCACCAGATCCTACAACCAACAAACCAAAATACATGCCGAACCCCGTCGTCCCCAAGATGACCTCCGACACAATCCCCATATCCGGGCTCGACGAGCTGACCGCCCACCTCGACGACCTCGTCTCCTCCCCCGAAACGCCCCTCCAACCAAAGATCCTCGACGACGTCGAGCTCCAGCTCACGGGTCCGTCCTCCCCTTCCATTGCAAACCCCGTCCAAAAAAACGACTAACACGCAGAAAAAAAACAACAGAAGCAAACATCCCCCCCCTCCTCCCAACGCTCCTCCCGCGCCTCACCACAACCCTAAAAACGACCCCCCACGACCCCTCCCCCGTCGTCTCCCTGACGATAAAACTCCTCTCCCCGGTCCCCTTCACCCACACCCTCCAGCTCGCCGACGAGTCCTCCCTGATCACGGCCCTGCGCTCCCCGGCCCCCTCCGCGAACCTCCTCGCCCTCGCCATCCTCGAAAAGGCCGCCGCCGCCCCCTCCGACGCCGCCATCCTCTCCCTCATGCCCCGCGTCGTCGCCGAGCTGCTCCGCCGCTGGCTCTCCGCCCCGCAGGTCGAGGTCGGCGAGAGGGCCGGCCGCGTCCTCGGCGACCTGCTCGAGACGGACTGCGAACTGCCCCCGCCGAGCGCGCTGCCGAGCATAAGCGCCGGTTTTGAGATCGTACCGCGACAACGACGACCGAGGGCGCCGGGACAGGGGCGGATGTGGCGGCGCGTGTTCCACGACCGGGAGATGTTCGGGCTCGTCCTCTCCCTCGCAAAAGGCGTGGACCCCGAGGACGAGGACGCCAAACTCTCGGAACACCAGCTCTCCCTCGCGCAGGGCCGCATCCTCCGCGCCCTCCCGCGCCTGGCGTCGCTGAACATGGTCGAGGTCGGCACGTCGCAGTTCCCGGAGCTGACGGGGTCGGCCGACGCGGGGCTGCTGCAGCTCGCGGCGCTGAGGATGGTGGACAAGCGGGACACGCTGATGCACCTGAGCCTGGTCGACTTCTTCGAGACGCTGGTGAGCGTGATGCGCCTGGCGGACCGGAACCACCGGACGATGGGCATCCTGAGGGACCTCGTGCGGGAGGCGGGGAAGGACGACGAGATGCTCCGGGAGGCGCTGAGGAGTCTGCCGGACCGGACGGTGCCGGAGGAGTCGGAGGAGTTGAGGACGTTTATCCGGGACGTCATGACGGGGAGAGGTTGAGATTTAAATGAGTCAGGGCACGGCGTTTTTGGAAGCATTTGCAGGCAGGCAGGCAGAAGGATGGTTGAAAATGTTCAATATGGACACGAACTGCGAAAGGCCACGGCGATCCGAGCCGGGTACAATAATTTTACATGAAATGATTCCCCCTCAATCTATCCATTACGCCACCCCGTGTCGCACCGTGTTTTTCTTCCCGAGTTCATCGCCTCATCCTGGCCGAGGCGTCTCCTTCCGGTCCGTCGACCCCGTTATCCGTCGCGTGGCTGAGGATGCTATCCCTCCGATCGATCTCCACTTTGGTCATCCCCTCGATGCCCAGACCGACCTCACCCACACGTCTCAGCACCAACAGCAGCGATGTCCGCAGGTCCGAGGTCAGGTCTCTCCCGAGAAGCTCCACCACCATGGGGTAAAACTCCTTGATGTTCTTCGAGAACGACTCCACGGGGAAGGCCGCGTACCCCTCGAGCACGTCGACCACGACGGGCCGCCAGGCAACGATATTACGGTGCTGGCTGTCCTCCTCGAGAGCTACAAAGTCCTTGATGATGCTCTTGCAAAGGGGGATCAGGGCCTGCTCGATGGCCTCGCGGGCCGAGGCGCGCTCCTCGCTGTCGTCTGCGTACATGCGGAAGAGGATGGCGACGTAAGTAGCGGCGGCACCGCTCTCCTGCTTGAGCAGATTCGGGGCCTGTTTCATGAAGCCCTCGCGCCAGAGACGCATGCGCAGTTCCTTGTCGGCGTTGAACTTCCTCGCGAAGAGGTACGACTTCTTAAGCAGTCCCATGAGCTTGAGCAGCTCCGCCGTGGGGATCTGGGCGTAGACCGTGTCGTTGCTGAAGAGCTCGTTGACCGTCTCGATCATGAGGAGCTGAAGCACACATCGGGAGATGATGCGGTTGAAGTAGCGGCGGCGCGCGGCAGTGACCACCACGGGCTGTTGCTGCAGGTTTGACGTCGGCTTGAACTCCTCCAAGGGCGCCTGGGGCTGTGCGGGACCGGTCGCTGTTGGTGTCTTGAGGTCGTCCTCGTCGGCCGCTGGGCCCTTGTCTGCTGCAGAATGCGTGTCGCCGTTCTTCTCGGATCCATTGATCTTCAGAGAGTCCTCGTCGATCGGGGTGGTTTCGGCCGTTGGGCTCAGAGCGCCGGTGAACTCGAGACCGTTAGGCGGCATGTCGATAGATGCTGTCGAGTTGATCGTTGATGGGGAGAACAGTTGATTAGCAGTCGTAGCAACGAAGAGTTCGCAGAAAGCGCCAACAATCTTCGTCCAATGGTCGTGCGAGAACTTGGTGACGTTCTTCAGGATGAGCTGTTGCAGGCAGTTGCTGCCGATTCTGGAGATGGTATCGTTTTCTTGGCAGATGCAAAGTGCCAGCAGCTCCAGGAAGCGATCTAGCATGTACTCCAAAGCATCGAAATAGTGCGTGAACAAGGTGATCATGTTTCGCAGGGCCTGGATCATCGTGGTAGACAGCCACACTGACAGCTCTTCGTGGTTGAGCGCGTTGTTGAGGTCTGGTCTCGATCGCAACACCATGAAGATGGGGTACAGCTGCTGGCGCCACAAGATGTCCCAAAAGTCGGGCGGGAACTCGCCACCGTACCTCAACAAAGCCTCGAAGAAGTACTCGAGGGCGTTCGACCGCACCTCGAGATCCTCGCCTGTCATTAGCACGTCGTGGAAGGCAAATAGGACTGGGAACCAATAGCCTTCCTCCACCGACGTCCGATTCTGTGATCTCTGTAGCTTGTCGGCTGCTGACGTTTGAACCTCGCTCGATCCGGACTGGCCTTTTTGAGACAGGGGGCATTCGGGTGTCTTGAGCATGCGAGGGATGATCGATTTCAGGCTCTCTAGTGCTTGGAGACTCTTCTTCTGGAACTTCATGTTCTTGGAGAACTCCGTAAGGCAGACAATCAAATCCGTAAAGGCTCCCTGGGAAATGACGACGCCGAACTTGGTCTTGTAGACTTGGGTGACGTTTTCGTAGGCGAGGTTCACGATGCTCTCGTTCGTTTCGCGAGCGGCAACTGTGAAGACGCCGAACATTGTCCTCCAGCCTGAGCGAATGTTGTCGCCCCTAGCTTGAATCATTTGGATCAAGCATCGGAGAACCATATCCTTGACGGCAATGTTCTGCGAGTTGGCCAAAACATGCTCGAATGGCTTGAGGAAGTCCTTTTGGAATTTGAAACCGGCCAACTCCTCTAGTTCCATGAAGCGCATTGACAACTGACGGAGAGAGTCCAGAGCGAAGAAGACGATAGTGATGTTGTTGTGGCAGCCCACGCGGTTGAAGTGGTCACCCAGAACGTCCCAGATGTTGCTCCACTCGAAACGCACACGCGTCATGTTGTAGTAGGAAATCTCGACAATCTTCTGCAGACTGTAGGTGCGCGGGGAGTCGTTCGAGCCAGAGACCTTGATTTCGTCCCAGCTGACCTCGGTCAACGCCCGGGCAAAGTGAACGATGGCGTCTCCATTGAGGTTGCCTGTGTTCATGAATATCCTGTCGACTGCCTTGATCACCTCGTCCGACCGACTTTCCAGTGCGATCTCGTTTGAGAAGCCGTGAGATCCGGTGCCGGGCCTCGCCTGACTTCTGCGTCTCTTGGACTGCGTTGATGACCGGGAGTCGCTGGTGTTTTCTCTCTGCGGTGGCATGAAGCGTGCTTTGGAAACGTCTGGGACGACACTCTCGTCAACACCGCCGGTGATGAGCTGCAGTCGGTCAAGTTGACTGATGCACATCAGGACATCCTTCCACGACGACCTCAGAACGTTGCCTTCGGTTTGGCCAAGCTCAAGAATGACCTTGAGTGCCTCGACGTTCTTCGCCAACATCTCTTGCGGGTTGTTGAGGTTGGTCGTGTTCTTCAACGCGGACACAAAGGCTTCTCGAGGAGTCGACAGGTCAAAGACGCATGCAATCTTGGTAGCCAGTTTCATTCCCTCCAGGCACAGCTTGTTGATCTCGAGGTTTTGAGTCTTCTGCATTTGATTGGAAAGCGCAGAGAAATAAGACATCCATGTTACGTCAAACATCGGACCAATGTGTTGGAAGGACGTGGCAGGGATGAACTTGATGCCAGATCGTTGCGCATTTCTCCGTTGGTTCTTGTACAGCGTCTTGAATAGTTGTTCTGAGCGAAGTGAGATCTCCTCGGATTGCTGCAAGTAAGCCTCTCTCTGCAGGTCTCGGCCCATGTTCGAGAGAGCTTGCCCAAGCCCGGCTGCGATTCCGGTTGATGGTGCTGGAACAGCTCCCGCAGCTGCGGCAGCCTCTCGCTCGCTCTTCAGCACGATTTCATTGCTCGCAATTTCGTCGTAAATACCGAGAAGGTACTCGTCCGGAAGATCAGCATTGTCGTTAATTCCACGGTTGTTCTTGATGAACTCTTCCTTGCTCATACGCTTGGCGATCTTGCTGCTGTGCAAATCGGTGTTCAGCATGATGACCGAGTACGCCAAGACATAGGCAGTGTCAGCGTTGGCAAACGCGTTCGGGTTACCCATGACGTAGCGATTGGCAAACTTCAACATGAAACGATCGATCTTTTGTGCTTCTCCGGGCAGACGGAACGACTGCAGGAAGGTGCGCAATGCGTCGACGAAACGCTTTTTGGTGAACTCCATAGAGTCGACGAAAGCGTGCATGATCTCGATGTTCTTAGGGTCGCCCTCTCCCAAGTATTCACCAATCTGTGCCTTGTCCAGACGATCTTCTGTAAGGAGAAATTTGGCAATGTCCTCCGGGCTGTCGCTCGGAATAAAGCCATCCTGAACCAGCAGCTTGATTCCTCGCTTAGGCTTGAAGTTGAACTGCTTGATGGCGTTGTTCATGGCCGTCTTTCTCGCCTTTGCCTTCTCCAGGAAGGCCGGGTCGTCCTCCAAGACGGGCGTGGACGGTAACGGAGTTTCGAATCGTGACGGGTTGTCGCTCATGCTGGGGTCAATCGATGGTCGCAAATCTTCGGAGTTTCTGGTGTCGCCATCGGGCCTGACTCCGTTCGCGTCCGCGCGCACTGCCGCAGACCAGTCGACCATTGATCTGAGGGAGTCCACCAGGGCATCCAGAGCCACGCGCTTCATCACATACTCTTTCGGAATCTCGGGTTCGGGCTCAGCATGCGGCGCGATCTGCGCGACCGAAAGGGGTGGTGGTAAGATTGGCCGAAGTTGCCAGTCGCCTCCATTCGTGCTCTTTGAGCTCTTCTCCTCATACTGTTGTTCTTGGGCCGGGGTGATAGGCACGGCGGCAGTGGAGAACTTTGAGAGGTCCTCAATAATGGTTTGGAAGATGTTATCCACGCTCCTTTCGCAATCGTAGTTCAGGTACGTCTCAACTAACGCCCTGGAGTCGGCACAGAACCTGTTCAAGATGTTGACCACGTACACCTTTTGCGAAATGGGAGCGGTCCTTCTCGCCAGCAAAGCAAGATAAATCTCGTTGAGGAATACCGCGATTTCCAGCTGTCTTGTCGTTAGTGAGAGCGGGGTGGTGAGTTGGGTGATTATTCACCTTAAAGGACTCCCTCATGTACTTCAACATGAGCCAGAAAATCTCGCAGCAGACATCGAATACGCGATCGACAGAGCTGGCTCCGTTGCGCGTTATACTGAGACACAAATAAAACTTGATGGCTTGGAGAAATGTCGTGGGCTCGTTGCTCTTGGAGTTGGTAATGGTACACAGGGGAGAAGTGAAGACAGCAATGTTGTTATTGAGAAGGGTGTGGATAAGGTGGAGGGAGATGAGCTTTGAGCGCATCGGCTGTCCGCGAGGATCATAGAGTTGGTCCGGCGGCAGGACCTTGGTGGAGAGGTTGCAGAAGGATCTGAAGACCAGGTAGGCATCCTTGATGTAGACTTCGTCCTCGGCGTCAAGGTCGTCGGCGCTGTCCTCTAGGGATGATTCGGGTGTGGACTGCTCGGAGACGGATCGTGCTGCTTTCCTTCCGGGTTTGATCTCGGTGACCATGGTCGGGCCGTCGCCCAGGTGGGAATCGTCGAAGCTCTTGCGGTGCTCCAGGTCCTTCAGCGTCAGCTTGCCGTTGCCGTTCTCTGTGCTATTGGCTGGCTCTTCGGAAGCCCCTGGGGCCGGCGACACTTCCCTCTCTTCCTCGGCCTCTGCCGTGTTGCCCATTCCATTGACGGACTCGGGCTGCTCGAACGTGACGTTGCTCGAGCTGTGCTTCAACTTGTCGAGGCTGACGCGGGCCTCCTTCATGTGTAAACGGGTCTTGACTCGCTCGAAAACGGTGCCGACCATCTGAGTGAGGGTGCCCTGCGCCATCTGCTGGTTCGCAGTGCTCCGGGAGAGGAGGAAGACATTGTACACCTGGCGGACGGCCTTGAGCAGACCGGCGCCGTGGACGACGATCTTGTCATTAAGAACGGCAGCCAAGAGCGACTTGACGATCTGGAGCTGAACCTCGACGGCTGTGGTCTCGCCCTGGAAGCAATCGCAAATGGTATCGATGGCGCGTTCGATTAGGGGTGCTCGGTCGACGGGGGCATCTTGCTGGCCGTCCGGCGTGGTCGGGGCGGAAAAGTAGGAATAGGATATAAGCTTGCCGATGCAATCGAGCGCGCCGGTGATGAGCTGGACATTGCCGGTCCTCGTCGCCAGTTGCAGAGGGGCAAAGACGATCTCCGGGTCTGGGAAGTTCGGATCGCTCTCCTTGATGGCGGCGAGGGTCTTTTGGAGGGATTCGGTAAGTTGCTTGTTCCTCTGGGCCTCCTTGGAAGCCGCGATGGCCTCCAGCGAGGAGACGAGGAATTTGAGGGAGCTCATGGGGGAGCAATGGAAGGCCCAAGTGCCATTCGCGGGTCGAGGCAGAAGAGATCGTGATCTGGAGAGGAGGGCTCGGGGTCGATCTATTCGAAAGGCAGCATCCGAAGAAGGTAAGCTGGAGCTGGGCCGGTCATCGAGGGGCGCATGCGCATATGCAGGGCGAGCAGGGGGGTATTAAGGTATTTGTTGCATCCAGATGTGCTTCGGAGACGTCGGGTCAGGTGTTTCCGTATCGAAGACGACGAGAAGACGGCGTATTGTCGTTGCGGTAGAGGTTCCGTCGTCGGCCGAAGAGGATTGGGAGTTGAAGCTGTCAAAGGAGACGTCGATATGGACAGCACAGGACACCAGACAGGCTCAGGCTCAGGGCAATGACGGTCCAAATTTCTTGAAAATGAAGGGACCCCTGGCTCTGGGGCCGCTGGGTGGTGCTGCGTCAGGTACCTCTGGAAGTACGGGTACACTGTGTTCTCTCTTGTGACACAACACCAAAGTTCACCCGGTCCAAACACTGTGTTCCACAGGAATTGATACTGTCTTCGGTCCCCGTCTTTTAATGAAGCTGCTGCAAGCTGGAGCCTGTCGACGGGCAGCATGTGGTTTACGTGGCGCGGATTCAGCCAAAGCCAGGAAGCCAGGGAAGGGAGATGACACTCTTGCAGATTGGCTGGTGTTATTATGTCAGCGGTGCACGGATCAGGAGATAAGGTAAGCGAGATGCATGAGGTAAGCACCTCAGAGGGAACCTAAGCGAACGCTTGGGCCATCCGCAGCCCGGCGCCGGCATCCGGTATCGCGTCTGGCCGCGTTTGCGCTTAGAAGCGGCCAACCGCCGAGAAGACGAGACCCAATGCGCCAATTAACGGAGGCCATTGACGGATATACTCCACTCCTGCCGCAATTCAACGGTCTCATTGGCTGACACCGGCCAACGTCCCTTATTTTCCCGGGCTTATTCCCACCAAAGTCCGAGAACTCCCTTCGGTCATTAACACCACCAGCCAAACCGCAACGGCGATTGCGACTGCGAACTGCGAATTCAATTCGAGTGCGGACCCGGTTGGCTGGGCTAGATCCAGTGTCACCGGCCACCGGCCACAATCCACCACGCTGGCCACTCACTAACACCCTCTGCCAGCCAATGCCGTCCCTTCATTGCTAGCGCACTCTCACTGAACACTGAAAGACCAGCTAACGGCCCTCCCTGCGGCGCATTTTGTAGGGACGCGCTAACGCCCGATCCGGACTAGCGCCTCAAGCTCCATCCAGCGACGGAGCTCAACGCAAAAAACTCCAGCCCCAAGGAAAGATTCAAGTCAAGGTCCACGTCTCCGACTCGACTCCAATCTCGAGCATCAACCTCGTCGTCCCAAAATTAATCCCGCGTCGTCACTTACTTCCCTTTCCCTTTTTCCTCCTCCCCCCCTCCCTCTTTGCTCCTCGTCCAATTCGTCAGGCCATCGTCCTCCGGCTTCAATTGTTCGACCTTTCGACGGTTCCTATCTCCTCCGAGTAAAAAAGGAACCCCCACGACCTTTTTTTCCCTCCCGCAAAAAAAAAGAGATCCTCCCTGCTTTCGCGCCCGCGAGAGCTATCCCATCCAAGATGATCTCCACGGTCCTTAGACGGCGCGTTGTGCCCAGCACGCTCATCCGCACCACCCAATACCTGAGATGTTACGCATCTTTCCCCCCGCACACCGTCATCAAGATGCCCGCCCTGTCGCCTACCATGACGGCGGGAAATATCGGAGCTTGGCAGAAGAAGCCCGGTGACAGCATCGCCCCCGGTGATGTCCTGGTCGAGATCGAGACGGACAAGGCCCAGATGGACTTTGAGTTCCAGGAGGAGGGTGTCATCGCCAAGATCCTCAAGGACGCCGGCGAGAAGGACGTCCCTGTCGGTAACGTATGTGTAACCTCTGCGGCGGTCGTGGTTGTCCTCAGTCCACTGCTGTCGTCGCCGCGTCCGCCACCGCCTCCACTCCGTGTCCCGACGTGAAGCTGATCGCATCGTCCCGTACAGCCCATTGCCGTTCTCGTCGAGGAGGGCGCCGACGTTTCCGCCTTCGAAAAGTTCACCGCCGCCGACGCCGGTGGTGACGCCGCTAAGCCCGCCCCCAAGGAGGAGTCCAAGAAGGAGTCCGCTCCCGCCCCTGCCCCCGAACCCGAGTCCGTCCCCGAGGACAACACCCCGTCCACCGGTAAGATCGAGTCCGCCCTCGAGCGTGAGGTCAACGCCACCTTCTCCGCCGTCTCCCTCGCCAAGGAGAAGGGCATCAACATCCGCGACGTCAAGGGCACTGGCAAGGGCGGCAAGATCACCGAGGAGGACGTCAAGAAGGCTTCTTCCTCTCCCTCCGCCGCCGCCGCCTCCTCCGGCCCCGTTGCCTCCTACGAGGACATCCCCATCTCCGGCATGCGCAAGACCATTGCCTCCCGCCTCCAGGAGTCCACCCAGAACAACCCCCACTTCTACGTCTCCAGCAGCATCTCCGTCAGCAAGCTCCTCAAGCTCCGCCAGGCCCTGAACAGCACCGCCGACGGCAAGTACAAGCTGTCCGTCAACGACTTCCTCATCAAGGCCATCGGCGTCGCCTCCAAGAAGGTCCCCCAGGCCAACTCCAGCTGGCGCGGCGATGTCATCCGCCAGCACAACACCGTCGACGTCTCCGTCGCCGTCTCCACCCCCACCGGCCTCATCACCCCCATCGTCACCGGCGTCGAGGCCCGCGGCCTGGAGGGCATCTCCACCGAGGTCAAGAAGCTCGCCAAGCTCGCCCGCGACGGCAAGCTCAAGCCCGAGCAGTACCAGGGCGGCTCCATCTCCATCTCCAACATGGGCATGAACGACGCCGTCGACAACTTCACCGCCGTCATCAACCCCCCTCAGTCCACCATCCTCGCCATCGGCACCACCAAGAAGGTCGCCGTCCCCTCCTTCACCGAGGACGGCACCACCGGCGTCGAGTGGGACGACCAGATCACCATCACCGGCAGCTTCGACCACAAGGTCGTCGACGGCGCCATCGGTGCCGAGTTCCTCAAGGAGCTGAAGAAGGTCCTCGAGAACCCCCTCGAGCTCCTCCTGTAAATGCGAGGACGAGAGAGAGAGTGCGAGTGATGTCGAAAAACAGCGGAGGCTTGATGAGTTTTGGGGCGTATCCGGCGTGGGAATTATAGACGTTCAGGCCGAGGATACGACCTGTGGTTTGCGAAGGGGAGGAAAGCAGAGAGGGCGGTGAAAGAACGGCCGAGGAACGCCAGCATACGTGCTGGGACCTCGGCAACGCAACGATGACCTACCACAACCTACTTCCCGTGTACAATGATCTCCTGACTAATGCTGCATCTCGGGTGCGGAAGAGGTTTCTGTCTTGTACATTTGGTCTCCTTTTCCTATTTTGCCTAGAAATCAAGCAGTTACCTTTGAGCTAAGCCCGTCGGAGTCTCCCATGTTGTGTCTATGGTGTGAACCTTGTGACGAACCAGGCGTCGGCAGGAATGTGGACTAACCGGAAACGGTCAGGAGATCGGACGAACTCATGGGTAGCAGCATCCGGGTTGCGCATGGGATGGCCTTTGAAGATGTTTCGAGCCGCCTGAAGGGTCATTTATCGGAGCATCTCGAATCGTTATCAACTGGCTATGTGTGTCAGGCAGTAGCATTCCGGGAGAAGACGAAAAATAGCACAAATGACTCTACCCGCCGTTCAACTAAGAGATGAGCTTTTCTTTCTTCAAATAACTCCATAATCTAATGGCCCAATATTCCCTGTAAATCTGAAATATTGCATGTTTCTATCCTCATCTAAACCTTCCCGAGAACCCCCTGCGGCGTGAAAGCCTTCCCAAGCAACACCAACAACGCGCCCGTCATGCACATAACACCGCTGAAGATGGAAACCTGGTCAAAACCTCCATACCGATCCAGCAACGCACCATTGACAGGCGGCCCCATCAGCGCCGCAAAAGACGCGATCGCCGTCCCCATACCGATATACGTGCCCATGTTCCGCACGTCCTTCGGGCAAAGCGTCATCGCCACGGCGCCGCCCGAGATGATCGCCCCGGAGCAGAACCCGAACACCACGGCCAGCGCGACGATCCCGCCCCGCGTCGTCGCCTCGGGCCAGCAGAAGATGACGACGGCCGTCGAGGCGCCCGCGAACAGCAGCGCGTTGAGCTGTCCGACCTTGTCGCCCATGATGCCCGGCAGGACGCGCCCGAAGACGGAGGCGCCGTTGATCATCGCGACGAGGTACGAGGCCAGCGTCTCGGTCATGCCGTGCAGGATGCCGTAGGTGGGGAGGTAGAAGAGGGGCACGAACATGCCGATGAAGAGGAAGAACATGGACGCGATCAGCGTGACGTACAGCTTGTCCCTGAAAGCCGATGGTAGCAGGAAGCTCGTGCGGCGGGGCGGCAGGCGCGCCTTCACCGCGAAGGAGGCGAAGGCCAGCGCGGGGATCATGATGAAGCCCGTGATGCGGACGGACCAGCCGAAGCCGACGGAGGAGTCGTTGAGGAGCTTGGAGAGGACGATCGGGTAGACGATGGCGCCGACGGAGGAGCCCGTCATCGAGAGGCCCATCGCCACGCCGCGGCGCTTGCGGAAGTACTGCGGCGTCGAGGCCATGGCGGAGAACATGAGGATTCCGGAGGCCGTGCCGTGGAGGATGCCCTGGGCCAGCATGAACTGCCAGTACTCCCTGCAGAGGGAGGTCATCATGATGGCGAAGAGGTACACGACGGCCGTCGGGCGAATGACCTGCGCACACACAAGATTAGCCCAGCCGAACTCGAGATGCTGCTGAAAAGAACTCACCCAGGCGCCGTATCGGTCGAACAGCGGACCTCCGAGTATCGCCGCAAACAGGCCCAGGAAGACCTGCGTCGAGCCGATCCAGGAGACGGCGTCGGCGGACTTGTCGGAGAACTGGTGGAGGGTGTAGTACGCCTGGAAGACGCCGAAGGTGTTGGAGTAGCCCGATGTGCAGAAGAGGACGCAGGCGTTTCCTATCGCGACGAGCCATGCTTGGCGACCTCCCTCGGGGAAGTCGATGTCGTCCTGGGATCCTGCTGGAGCATTTTCTGATACGTCGGGCTCCGGGGAAAGTTTCTCAGGGTCTCCCTTGGAGAGAGAGATTGAAGTTTGGCTCGATTTACTCATGCCGTCTGTATTCATTGTTGAAAACGTGTCTTCTTGTGATGCTTCAACAGGATTCTATTTCTCCAACTGTCCTGATACATATCGTGCTCCATTTCACGAACTGAGTCCATCTTATATATGAAATGATCATGTTCCTATTCAGCCTTGTGGGTCTTGACATCTACAATACCAAATCCTCATTTACACGACGAAGATGAAAATCCAGAGCCGCTAGACAAAAACGCTAGTCTCGGCCATCCGAATCCTTCTCGGTCAATCGTGTAAGTCGGCATATTCCCCTCGGCATTTTCAGATCCGGCGTCTCATCCAATCACAAGTCCCTGATCCTCGGTGTATGGCCGGCGAGACGCACCAGAAGCGCACAAATCCCGACAACATCTCGGGTATAAGCTTCATCCAACCCTTTTACACCCCCCCATATCACCGGCATTTCGTCGTCAACCACGCGTCGTTATCTGATCATCAGATAAAAAACACGCTTCCAAAGTTCCGCGAGTCCCAATAATTAGCGGGCCACATGTCCAGGCAGCCGTGTTAATTGCCTCGCGGCCAGCCTCCGGCGTCCTCCTCGGGCTCAGAGTCAAAAAGCCGAGCCACCCACCACTCCATCCGCTCCGGCCTGTGTCCAACCCATCACCAAACCAACAATCAAGCTTCTTTATTCCCCCTTGGCAGATCTCTTGGCGAGCAGAAATCCCGGAGAATATGGACCCCCTGACGAACCACTCCCTCTCGGCCTCGGCGCAGAAGAAGCGGCGCAGACCCGCCCTGGCGTGCGAGGCATGTCGTCGCCGCAAGGTCCGCTGCGATAGGAACCTCCCCTGCGGCACATGCGTGCGGTCCAAGAACGCCCTCTGTACCTACACGACGCAGGCGCCGACGTCGACAACGGCGTCTCTGTCTTTGAGACAGACAAGAAGGGAGCAAAGCCCGAAGCACGGCGAGCCCAAAACCGGCGCCGCGGCCCTGGCCCTCCCCGAGCCCATCCTCCCGGCCTTCCAGCCCCTGCCCACGCCCAGGACCTCGGCCCCGTCGAGCATCAGGGCCGACGACCACGCTCACACTTCCCCGAGTATCGTGTTCCCCGGGCCGACGCCCAGCGCGGGCGAGCACGGCCCCGCGGACTTTGGGCTGTGGCAGCCCGTCATCCAGCCGCGGCCCGCGCCGCCGCCGCCGTTGACGGCAGCGGTGGTACCGCAGACGGCTATTGGGAGCGTGAGGACGAACGACACGGCTTCGACGCCGGGGAGTAACCCCGGGTCTTCGTCTACTGTGAACTCGCTCGTGGACAGGGTGAGGCAGCTGGAGCAGCAGCTGTCCGATCTCGTGGTGAGGAATGAGGACCGGGATGAGACAGGTGTTGCGGGTGGTGCGGTGATAGGCCAGGGGTTGAAGTATAGTCGTGGTTGTGTTAGCAAGACGAGGTTCTTTGGGCAGAGTCATTGGATGAATGCTGCTGATATGGTACGTCTTCTTCCCTTCTTCCCTTCTTCCCTTCTTCCCTTCTTCCCTTCTTCCCTTCTTCCCTGATGTTTGTCTTTCTCTCTTCCTCTTATGTTCTTCTTCCTGGTTCGATTACCTCCATATCGACTACATGCAAATTCTCCTTGAATATCCATTGTAGTTTTCAACTACTCCATTCTTACCGACCATTCCCCATTCCATCTTGTGTGATCTCACACCTTGCTGCATCATCACAGTACCTGCGTTAGTGACCATGGTCTGATGGGACAACAGATGTTCGACAGTTTCGAAAGTCTACTCCGTCCATCGTACAACACCAAGCTCAACTAACATACCCACAGCTCTACCGTCTCGTCACCTTCGCCAAGAAGTTCGAATCCGACAGCATGAGGTCGTCGCAAATCACCGAGCTCTACCAGGGCCTGGAGAAGTGCAAGAACCTCGGCCGCATCATCAAGGCCCGCCGCAACCCCTCCTTCGCCACCATCTCCATCGGTAAAAGCATCCCGACCCGCGACGTCGCGGACGCCCTCGTCGCCGCTTACCTCCGCACCTTCGAGTCCGTCCAGCGCGTCGTCCACATCCCGACCTTCCGGGCCGACTACGAGCGCCACTGGCTCAACCCCGCCGACACCCCGGAGCCCTTCCTCGTCCTCATGCAGCTCGTCATGGCCATCGGCGCCACCTTCCACGACGAGCGCTTCACCCTCCGCAACGCCGCCATCCAGTGGTTCTGGGAGGCCAACTTCTGGCTCATGACCCCCTGCGAGAAGTCCCGCATGACCATGACCGGCCTCCAGATCCGCGTCCTCATGCACCACCTCCGCCAGACCGCCAACATCGGCTGCGACCTCTCCTGGATCGGCGCCGGCGCCGTCGTCCGCACCGCCATGTACATGGGCATGCACCGCGACCCCAGGAACCTCGTCAAGATGTCGCCCTACCGCGCCGAGATGCGCCGCCGGCTGTGGGCGACCATCCTGGAGATCGCGCTGCAGACCGCCGTCGACGCGGGCGGCGCCCCGCTCATCGCGATGCGCGACTTCGACACCGAAGCCCCCGCGAACCTGGACGACGACCAGCTCGTCGAGGACGCCGACTCGGCCATCCCCGTGCCGAAGGACGCCAAGACGTTCACGCAGATGACGGTGCCGCTCGCCATCTACGCCGCCTTCGAGGCGCGGCTGGCGGTCACGAGGCGCGTCAACGACTTCCGGTCCGACACGGTGTACGAGGAGACGCTGCGGCACAGCGGGGAGCTGAGCGCGGCGCTGCAGAAGATGACGCAGCGGCTCCGGGCGCACCACCCGGCCGTGTCGCCTTTCGCGACGCGGTACGCCCAGTTCATGACGTACCGGCTCTTCTTCGCCCTGCACCAGCCGATCATACCCCTGGCGCTGCGGAACCCGATGTACTACTTCTCCCGGAAGTCGGCCGTCGACACCGCGCTCCGCCTGTGTAAACTGGCGTTTCTGTACCCCGACGAGTCCGGGAACGGCCCGATCGTGCCCGCGAACGAGTCCGAGCTGGACTTTTACCGGCTCACCATCAACGGCGCGGGGACGTACCGGTCGGTGCCGTTCCAGAGCGTGATGACGATCGGCCTCGAGCTGATCCACGAGAAGGAGGAGGAGATCAAGAACGGGACGTCGTTGTCCTTCGCCGGCCCCGAGTTCCGCGGGATCCTCGACGCGGTGGCGGACTGGTCGCGGTCGAGGATCAAGTCCGGGGAGACGAACATCAAGGGGCACGCGCTGAGCGTATTGATCGTTGCGCATCTACAGGTCCTCGAGGTCGGGATCGACGACGACAGGGTGGAGAGGCACTTTGAGAAGGCCTGTGAGGACAGGGTGAAGGAGTGTCAAGAACTGCTGGGTGAGTTGGCCGGGGATGATGTCTCCGAGGAAGGAACTGGTGCTCCGGATATACACGATTTGGAGATGGATTTCGATGTCGGGGTTGATATGCTTGGTGATTGGTACTGGGACGGCATGGTGAGTGCCCCTTTTCCGTGTCCCTAGAGTCTTGGCTAACAAACACAGGATAACGGCGGCTTCATCTCAACTTCGAACTTTGGAAATATGGATCTCATGTTTCCGTGAAAATTGTCTGATTATGAGCTATGCACAACTGGTGGTTCTCGGCTTAGTAAAGAAAACGGCTTCTCCCTGGGTTTGGTACTGCATCGAGCTTAGGAAATTCTACCAGAGTAAACAGGGCGTTAGGAACAGAAACGTGTACAAATCACCTCCATGTATTTAAACAGATGATACCCATCTCATTCGTCATTAAATGTATTATTGCAGAGATTGTGACCTAGAGAGAATTTGCGATTCAATCACCAATTCTCATGAACACGAGTAGATTAAATAGTGGACTCCATCTCCGTCAGCCTCTTCTCCAGCAACTCGAGGAAGTCCCTCTGCGTCGTCAACAGAGCTATAGTGTCCTTCGCGACAGACTTGTTGCACTGCGACCGATCAATTTTGGCACCAACCGTTCCAGCAGCAGAGACGTCCGAGTCATTATCCTCATCGCGTTTGCTGACGCCAAAGTTCTTGCCGATATTGGGAGTAGGCTTGTAACAGTTATCCTGCACTCGCGCCGCCCTCATCTGACAGATCTCCGTCTTCCAACACTCGTCATCGCACTCCGGCACGCCGTACCCGCGCCACCTACGCGTCCAGTACTGGTCGAACGCCGTCCTGTCCTTCTCCAAGGCCACGGTGACGTTGTGCCAGAACGCGGGCGTCAGCTCGTCCGGCGAGTCGGCGGCCACGGGCGGCGTGACGAGCGGGCCGTACGCCTCCTTGGCCGAGTAGTACTTGACCCACACCGGCCCGGTCTGGTAGTCGGGGTTGCCCATGTCGGCGTAGTACGTCTCGGCGTCGATGATGCCGTAGGTGACCGGGTCGACGGTGTAGATCCGGAACGCGGGGTTGCCGGTGAGCGGGGTCATGCAGGGGGCGATCCAGGACATGGCCGTCGCGGTGTCGGCGTTGCGGTCGCCGTAGTCGGAGTAGCTGATCTCGAACTGGTCGAGGTGGGTGTGCCCGAAGAACATGTTGACGATGGTGGCCCTGTACCGCTGCACGATCTGGTCGAAGTAGTTGGACGCGTCCGGGAACGCGTCCGGGGATCCCATGGGCATGTGGCCGACGAGGTAGACCCTCTCGCCCGCCCTCTCAGCGGCGTCGAGCTCGCCCACGAGCCACGCGAGCTCGCCGCTCGGGTCCGTGACGTTCTCCTTGTACAGCCAGAAGTTGAGGTTGTAGTACATGTTGGTCGAGGCGGAGATGATGCGCAGGTTGCTGCCGGGGTGCTTGACCGAGTAGGCGCCGTAGTCCCTGACGCCCTCGGGCGCGCCGATCCAGCGGCCCCAGGCGGACGCGACGACGTCGTACATCCACTGGATCGTGGGCCTCTCGGACCACTGCGAGGGGGGCACGTTGTTGGCGGGCGAGGCCTCGTGGTTGCCGACGGTGCCGTAGACGAGGCGCATGCCGGCGTCGGCCATGTGCTGGTAGGCCTGGCTGATCTCGAGGCCGTTGTGCTCGGCGGAGGTGTTCCAGATGGCGTGGTCGACGATGTCGCCCGTGAAGATGGCGAAGTCGGGGCAGTGCTTCAGGATCTCGGCGTACATGCTCTCCTCCAGGGAGACGGGGGAGCCGCAGTTGTGGTCGCCGAAGGGCGGGGCGGGGAAGTCGTTGTTGCCCGGTGCGTCGGCGGGAGTGTACGGTCTTCGTTGTGTTAGCTGCGGTCTCGTCGGGCTTGGTCTGGAGAGTAGCTCACCGGCAGCACATGGGAAGTGAGCAGTTCGTGTTGGAGCCGATCACGTAGAACGGGTCGACGTGGATGTCGGAGAAGTGCGCAATCTTCAGAGGAGGCAGGCCATGCGGCTCCTCCTTGCAACCACAGTTGTCGTCATGATCATCGTGTTCGTTCTTCTTGTCTGTTGGTGGTTTCGCTGTCGGGAAGGGGACCTTGTACTCGTCGATCTCTGGAAAATCGCAGAGTCCGAAAGAGACGATGCACATCATGTCCGACAGATTGGAACCGATGGTCAAGTTGCGGAGACTGGCCGCGACAACGGGCCCCTCCAAGGCCACACCACCTTCGCAGACAATCGGGTCGGTGAACTGTGCAAGTAGTCAAGTGAGTTTTGCGTTGGACCTGCTTCTGGAAGGAGTTGCTTACTTTCGAAGATACGCAGACTTCTGTCACCGTCTTGACAAATGTTTCGTCTCCCTTTTCGGCAAGGCCCTTGAGCAGAGTGAGAATATCCTATATCAACATTTAGTCAAGTGCATTTTCTGGGCCGGGAAAGTCACGTGGATCTTACACGGCACGCCGCGCAGCCATTGTCAGTGGAGTTCTTGATGAGATTCTCCCAGATTCCCAGTGAGAGCGGAGATGAGGTGGTGTTGGTTTGGCGGGTGAGCAGCTCAGACGACTCATCGCTGGCCGAGGCCAGTTGGACGAGTCCGACCAGGCTCAGTGCCCGAGACGCCAACTCGAAAAACCTCATCATGGACCTGTCACTTGCGAAGGAGCTCGTTGGTGGAAAACGAGCCTGACAGGAGCAATGGCGCCATTCAATGGCCCACAGGAGCTAACCAAAGCTTTAAGCATCATCAGGGAATATCGACATCTGGGTATCAACTTGACGAGAATGCTCTGAAATTAATGTTGAACGCATAGATATGCTACAGCCAGAATTCCTCCTCCGCTTTTTGGATGCCCGAGACTTTGTGGAAATACGTGGTGCGCCCTTGTTGTGTGATTTCGACGGTCTGGTTGGTTGATAGGATTCCTCCGTCGGGGTTCCTGACCGTGGAATGGGGGTGTCCCTTGTGGCACGAGGACTGTCTTCTGCGTCCCCCTTTTCACAAAATCCTCAAGGACGTTGCGATTGATTTCCATAAGGAATCTGAGTGAGAATGAAGATGTTTTACTTGGTGCTGGAGGAGCCTGTACTTGTGAGACCTCATTAGACGCGTCTCAGATGCGGCCATCGCACGGTCTTCGGGAGCCCCACTTCGGCACGGACGGATCAGGACCCACTTCGGAACTCCGTCGTCAGGAGAGGCGTCCGGGACCAATTAGCAGGTCACAGACAGACACGAGTAGAAGTGCTTGCATGCAGAGACGGCTTAGACACTTAGATTTCTAGATATTCTTAGACCATTCAGTTGCCGAAAGTTCCATGGAGGGGGGCAAGCGTTGAGACCAAATGACCCACTCGAAGCCCACAGATCGTGACTCACAATCAAAACGATCCACAAGGTCACAGCCCTACCTTCATGTACAGATTTTGCACCAAGAATTTGTAACAATCACCCCGATAATCAAGCACAATAGCTCAGGGGTAGAGCGCTGGGCTCATAACCCAGAGGTCCCTGGATCGAAACCAGGTTGTGCTATCATTTCTTTTGCCTTTTTTGTGCTTTTACTTGCTATCCAGCTCCCTTTATTCATGGTAGTTTTATACCTGACCACCGTTTTTTTGCGCCGGCAGCTGTCGCCGCCTCTGAGATGAATATCGTTCCCTCTGGAATCTCACGGTCACTCGTAGATGATGCTGTCGCCATGAGCTTGTCACTTCGACGGGCGTTGGCCTGCCACGGCTGTCTATTCCTACTTCGTTTGGTCACACTAGGTGTTGATGCAGACCAGTCAAGATCGGATACTAGGGCAAACGATACAAGCGTACCCTGACAAATATTGAGAAGCTCTCTACATATATCGTGCTCTCATTAATGGTGTCCGCCATCATCCTCAATCTCATCATTAACAGTGGCATCCCCTCCAAGCCAGACTGGAGCCGCAACCTTCACCGAGTCTCTCGGATCCACAGACATGAAGATGCTGTAGCAGTGCTCGATATGACTCTCCTTATCATACCGGCTTTCCGTCATCGAACCCTTCGCCCTCATCCTGTACTGCTTCCTCCAGTAGAAGGCGCAGTGCGCCACATGCCACCCGGTCGTCGTGTAAAAGTACGCCTGCTCGTGAGGCAAGTCCGCTAAGGCCGCCACCTCTTCCAGACTTAGAGGTGTTTTGCCTTTGTTGTCCTTGTAGTATGCCCACGTCCCGTTCTCTCCTGGGCCGGCCTTCTCAAACTCGGCGGTGAGCTCGTCGTTCCGGCAGTGCGGCGGTAGCCATGCCACAGACAGGCTGTCGTATTTGCATTTAAGTGTCTTGGCCTCGGCGATGGAGGAGCCGCAGTAACAGACGATGGGTCGCGGTGGCAGTCCCCTCTTCCTCTCGTAGACCACAGTCGCGAGGACACCCAACACGGCGACTGCGACGTTGAGAACCAAGAGGCGGAAGTAGAACGAGGTCTTTGGAGAGAGGTTTTTCACTCTGGTCCATAACGGGGGTCTGGCTGGTATTGATTCATCTTCCACAGCCTCATCAGTCGTGGTTGAAACTGACAGGGCGGAGTAATCGGCGCGCATATTCTTGAAAATGGTTAGTTGCATGGCGGAAGACGCAGGTTGCCAGCCATCTCGACGGCTTTTCGAGACAAGAGCTGAGCGAGCATCATGTGAATAAAGAGGCGAGCCGGCGCTTCCTTGAGATGAACACAGGTCACTCTCTATCCCGTTCACTTGCCGTCGTTGCTGAAGCTCTGGCGTTTCCAAACTTACTTCGGGACCTGGGGTTTGGTGGCCGAGTGACGTCTAGAACTGGAGGGGTAGAATCACATGCAGGCTGATGAACCTGTATTCCCCCAGGTCTTCAGCTCTTGTATGGTTTTGTTCCCGGGATCTGTACTTGTTCTCTATCCAACATTGCAACGGAGGAGATCTTTTGATAATCATTATTCTGACAATCCTCGCTCGAGTGGTCGCTTAAAGTAAGCAGATGTACGCTATCTGGAAAAGAAGCAAATTTCACACGAGCCTTCTTCGGCATTGAACACGCGTTTCAGCGCATCTTGTGGTTGTGTCCTTCCTCAACCCATGTCTAAGCCGAGCAAAACCTATTCATAATTACAATACCTTGACCATCCAATATGAACTGATCTTGATTAGCGCTCACGAACGGTGCCCGTCGCAATTTCTTCGGGATGTCTGAGATGCGTGCAATAACAGAGCTCTTTCTGAAAGACTTTTCCTAGACTTTACAAGTCTCCATTCTCCACGTTTCCAAGACATCTGTTTGAAACCGTAAATTCGCCATGGAGATAGCAGGAGAGCTTCTGTTATCGATATTGCAAAGGTAAGAAAATGTTCTTTCCTTCTTATTTGTCGCTACATACAATGCAAGCGTGAAGATTGGAAGTGAACCAAGATGCTGGGGTATGCGAAGAAGCATCTGTGGCCCGAAGTCCGATGACAGAAAATGCCATCTACTTTATGTGCATCGCGTCAGGAAATATTGAGATGATGAATTCTTGAACCATAGGCACCCACAATCGCAGGCTATTCTGGGTCACCACCCTCATCGTCAGCGCCGCCCTGCTCATCTGATGTTGCCGAGAAACACCGCATTGAGCAGCCCTATGACAGCCACTTCCGAGGAGACCAATCCATCGGGATCAGTAGGAACCGCTCGCCGACCTTCCCATGTGCGAGCGAGAGTTGGCCGTGGCAAGGTTCAGGCTGCCTCCCCCTGCCGCCGACTTGCAACTTCGGTTGAACCCTTCTGCCCTCTCCGTCTTCGGGTAGTTCCTGTCGTTTTAGCCGCGCGTATACGTAACCATTCAAGACGAAATAATCCATAGTGGTCATCATCTTCCGGGTGGCGGAGTATTCGGGGGCACAGCTGAACGCGTTCGTTACCAAAAACATGGACCAGACATCCGCACGTCTGCTAGCTGACTGTTTGGAATGTGGCAAGAAACGAGTGAGGCTTCGCTTGCTCCAATCGTGCGTCTACGAAAGAAAGAAGAAAGCCGTTTTGATTCGATTCTCGGGCAGAATGTGGAATCCTCCAAACTCTCCGCTTCCTCCTGCAGAATCTCATACAGCCGCACGGTTGTTTGGGGAACCCGAGTTGGACAACCGCCACATGCGCCAACGCCGACAAGACAAGCAACAGGCACATTGCCCAAGTGCGAACCATCGTGGGTGGGGGTAAGACGAAAGAGGCGGACCTAGCGGCGGAAACCAAGTGCAAGTGGCCGCCTGTCCGGACCGAGCGAGGTCGAGTCGTCGACGACTTTTCCCCCTTCACAACTGACACGTATAAGCCACGCTGCTCAGACCTCCCGTCTGCCAAACGCAAGATACGCTTTGCTTACGCAGAGCCAAGACACGGCCGAACACGGTTGCGGTCCTGAGCGAGTCGACACCGTTGTTTGGAGAGAAGGTGTGAGATCCTTCGCCAGACCCAAGACCGTTGCCACATGAGAAAATAGGTCGCTGGAAGAGGGCGACCCTGAAAATCCGGGGAAGGAAGGATTGACATGTCAGCATATTATTCATCTGTCACTCAGAGTAGGATCAATAAGTTCCAACTTCCAAGGGCGATTACAGGAGACACCTGATGACAGCTTCGAAGGAGCGCAACTCCAGATGTAGTCAATGATTCATCATGCAACAGGTATTCCTTCAACAGATGAGCCCCTTTGGTGCCGATATATCCACTGCCGCCGCGGAAATCGTACACGATCCGAATGCCGCCCGAGAAATGCATGGTGGCGGTCTTCTCCTCGCGTGCTGTACTGCTTCATACCTCGATTGCGTCGCAGCCTGCAGGTTGGTCTGAACCCGCCTCGAGAGCCGCACACATACTCAGCTCTTCGGGCCATTGTCCCGGTCCGGGAAAGTAGCAAGCTCAGGTTTCTCTCGCTCAGTCCGATTTGTGCGCCGCTACCTGTCTGCTAGCCATCTGACACTTACACGCCAAACCGTTTACCAAGGCGTGCGACAGGAGCTCGGGACCGACTAGTCAAGACCACACCCGCACCCGCGCTCCGCCGCTCACTCCTCGCCTGCACACCGCCGCCTGGAACATCATCTCATCTTGCCGCAATCCGAAATGCTTGAAACAAGGTAACCGGGCTCTTGGTATAAAGATCTCTCCAAGGTACGTGGGGTGAGGGAAACAGGCCCTCTTCTGCACGGCGCAAGCATCCAAACCGGCTCTTTTCTCGCAAAGGACGAACATACGCAGTTTCGACCACGGGCCATCTCCGAACGAACGACACGACCGTGCTTATTTCGAGGCTGTTCGAGGGTTAGCCACCTCCCAGGACCGGCTTCACACCTTATCTACAGGGTTGGACCGACCGTTGAAGTCGAGGTTTCTGGAACATTAGTCTTTTGGCTGCCTTGCCTCTCTATTACTTTCGTTCGATCACTTCTCCCCCCCAAGACAATCCAAGATGAGGTCGACGCTTTCCCAAGGAGTCGTCTTCCTTCTCTACGGCCTTGCGGCTGCGGTGCCGTCGCGATCGACTGGCAACGATGTGACGAAGAGGCAGAACACGTCGCCTGGCGGCCCTTCAGCCCCCGCTGCGTCGGCTCAACCAGGTGTTCCCCAGACGTGCAACACTCCCGACAACAGAGCCTGCTGGGCCGATGGTTTCGATATCAACACGGCCTACGAGGAGAAGGTTCCGACCACTGGAAACACTCGTTCGGTATGGAGATGAAGTCTGAATGACCCAAGTACATTGCTGACTTGGATTTCAGTACGAGCTGGTGCTCACTGAGCACACCACGTTCACCGGTGGAGATGGAATGAGCAAGAACTCAGCAATGCTGATCAACGGCAAGTCTTTCTGTTTCCTTCGCGGCAACTAGCTCTAATATCCGTACAGGCGCTTTCCCTGGACCTACCATTGAGGCCAACTGGGGTGATAATGTCGAAGTCAGAGTTGTGAACAACTTGAGGACAAACGGGTAAGTGTGGAAGACGGTAACTCGTGAGCTAGACTAAAGCAGAAGTAGAACATCAATCCACTGGCACGGTCTGCGTATGTTGAACAACAACATCAACGACGGAGTCAACGGTATTACCGAGTGCCCTCTGCCGCCCGGCTCAAGTAAGACCTACAAGTGGAGGGCGGAGCAGTACGGTTCTTCTTGGTAAGTCTTCTTTCGACTCACCTTCGAGGTCAGCATGACTGACACTGCAGCCAGGTACCACTCTCATTTCTCGGATCAGTACGCCAACGGTATCGTCGGTGCCATCAAGATCAACGGTCCTACGTCTCAGAACTACGATGTGGACTTGGGCGCCTACACCCTCACCGATTGGTACTACAAGGGAGCCGATGAGATCCGATCCACGTTCACCGCTCCTGCTTCCGTCCCTGCCAGTGACAACATTCTGTTCAACGGCACCAACGTCAACAAGAATGGTGGCGGCAACTACTCCCGCGTCACTCTCCAGAAGGGCAAGTCCCACAAGATCAGCTTGATCAACATGTCCGTCGACAACACGTTCTCCGTCCAGCTCGTCAACCACAAGATGACCGTTGTCAACAACGATCTTGTCCCCGTCAAGCCGTTCGAGACCGACTCTCTGTACCTGAGTGTTGGCCAGCGCTACGAGGTCATCATCAAGGCCGACCAGAACCCCGGCGCCTACTGGTTCAACGTCTCGTTCCCTTCCAACAGACTCTGCGGCACGTCCAACATGAACAAGCCTGCTTCCATCTTCCAGTACGAGGGAGGTGGTGCCAAGGACATGCCCAAGGACGCTGGCAAGGCCATCACGGATGCCCAGTGCCAGGACAAGACCGACTTTGAGCCCATCTACAGCATCGATGTCGACTCTGGTGGCTTCCAGAAGACCTCCGACAACACTCTCGATGTTACCGTTGACACCAGCAGAACCACCAACTCTCAGCAGGTGTACTGGAAGGTCAACAACCAGAACATGGACATCGAGTGGGATACCCCGACGTTGTCGTACCTTGCTCAGAACAAGACCAATTACCCCGCGGCTTACAACGTTTTCCAGGTTCCCGATGGCAACAAGGTAAGTCATCAGCTGCCAGAGATCGTTCCTCTAACATGCTAACGTCTTTCGCAGTGGGCTTACTGGGTTATTGAGAACCTTTTCCCGGCTCCTCACCCTATGCATCTTCACGGCCACGACTTCTACATTCTCGGCCACTCCGAGCCCGCCTCCAGCGGTCGCGGTGACGGTGTTCGCTTCAACGCGCAGAGCGACACGTCCAAGCTGAACTTCAAGAACCCGACCCGTCGCGACGTCACCCAACTGCCCGGTCGCGGCTGGCTCGTCGTTGCCTTCAAGACCGACAACCCCGGCGCCTGGCTGTTCCATTGCCACATCGCGTGGCACGTCAGCCAGGGCTTGAGTGTCCAGTTCCTCGAGCGCCAGAATGACATCGCCAAGACCTTCAAGATCAGTGACATTGATCAGACCTGCGACCAGTGGGGTGATTATGCTGCGAACATGCCCTTCCAGCAGACCGATTCGGGTCTCAAGCGCAAGATTTAAGGGTCACTACAGATCGCATTGTATCATCTAGGTATCATTGAGGAAGATTGCATCTGTCATATGTCTTGAGCTTTTGAGCTTTTGATTCATTGGAATGGGAAACATGTGGTGTTGGAGGTGGTCATGGCATGAAGATGTATGAGGAAAGCGGGCGCATCATAGATAGAAAGAAGATGGTTTACTTAATTTCAAATGTTTTTGCTTATTAATTATCACGTTTCGATATAATGCGGAATGAGAAATGTTACTGCATTAAGAAAAACTACTGTGCTGCGGTGGTTGAGGTGCATGTGTGTAGTTTCACGATGCCTCGCGGTCTTCAACATATGTGGCTTTTGCCTGTGTTACTCTACTCTGACATGGACTAACTCCAAAAATCGACATTGCAAGTAACGGCAGGGATTGAATTAGCCGCCAATCGATTGATGCTAGTCTTCTGCAGAAAGAAGGCGTGTTCTACGACACATCGCACAGGGATACCGTCTTACATGCAGGTCAGCAAGAGGGGGTTCTGCGAATCATCAAGTCTTGATTACAACCAGGAGTATACAAAGACATGAACGTACGCAGCGATCGCCTCAGATCTGAGACTCTTGTCCTTTCCATTCTTTCTCTGCCGTGATCCTTTGTCTCGTTGTTCCAGGAACATGTCGGTATTCGACATCGACCCGGGGCTGTTCCCCTTCCCCAAGTGGGCTATCATCGTCCTCGGCATTCTCGCCACCATCTTCCTCACCCGCCGCTCTCTCCTCCCGAAACCAATCCCCGGGATCCCCTTCAACAAAAATGCCGCCAACGTCCCCTTCGGCGACCTACCCGAGATGATGAGATACGTGACGCGGCACAAACGCATCTTCTGCTGGCTCACCTCCCTCACGGTGCGGCACCGGAGCCCCGTCGTCCAGGCCTTCATCAGACCGTGGTCGCCGCCGTGGGTCGTCATCACCGACCCGCAGGAGAGCCAGGACATCCTGCTGCGCCGGACGAGGGAGTTCGACAGGAGCAGCTTCTTCGGGGACGTCATCGTCGGCATCCTCCCGGAGCAGCACAGCATCATGCGCTCCGCCGACCTCAAGTTCAAGAGGGCGCGCAGCTTGATCAACCACCTGATGGCCCCGACGTTCATCTCTCAGGTCAGCGCGCCCGAGGTGTACAAGTCGATCAACACCCTGATCAAGGTCTGGCGGGTCAAGTGTGAACAGGCTCGGGGACGCCCGTTCTCGGCGCATCACGACATCACGTACGCGGCGCTGGACTCCATCTTCGCGTCGTCGTTTGGTCTCCCGGAGTCGCAGAGCATCACGATTCAGCAGCTAGCTGCCGTGGAGCAGTCGACCGCTCGAGTTCCCGAGCCGGATGACGAAGAAGTCGTCTTCCCGGAGGGAACTATGCCAGAGCTGTTTTCCGCCGTTCTCACGCTCACCGATTCCGTGATGACCACGCAACTATCTCCGGCCCCGGTGCTCACGTCTTGGATCCTCCGCAAGTTTCCGTACATGAAGAAGGCGACGGCCATCAAAGAGAAGTACATCCGCGACAAGATCACGGAGTCGGTACAGCTCATCGAAGGCGGCAAGACGGAGCCGTGGAGCGCCCTGCACTCGGTGCTGCTCCGAGAGAGAGAGATTGCCGCTAAGGAGGTTCGGGAGCCCGAGTACTACAAGCGCAACATCTTTGACGAGTTCTTTGGCTTCATGATGGCCGGTCACGATACGTCTGCCACGGCCGTGGCCTGGGGTGTGAAGTACTTGGCCGACAATCCTGCCGTCCAAGACCGTCTCCGCGATGCCTTGCAGGCAGCGATGCCGCAGGCTGCCGAAGAAAACCGCACGCCGACCTATAATGAGCTCACTAAGGCACAGATTCCTTACCTCGACGCCACGGTCGAGGAGATTCTGCGACATTCCGGGCCAATTGCGTTCGTCAGCCGTGAAGCTCTGCATAATACTACAGTCATGGGGCGGGATATCCCGAAAGGCACGAATGTATTCCTGATGGCCAACGGTCCCGGGTACCTGCAGCCGAACATGGAAATTGAGGATGAGAGCAGAAGCCCGACTGCGCGTCGGAGTCAGAATAAAGCCATGACCGGGTTATGGAACGACGAGGACATTGCCGTCTTCCGACCGGAACGGTGGCTCAAGGCGAACGTGGATAAAAATGTCGAGGGGGACGAGGTGTTTGATCCCACAGCTGGGCCGATGCTTGCGTTTGGGTTGGGGCATCGTGGTTGCTTCGGAAAGAGACTGGCGTTGCAGACGCTCAAGATCGAGTTCTCGTTGATCGTGTGGAACTTTCATCTGTTACCGGTACCGACGGAACTCAATGGGTATGATGCGGTACAGAAGTTCGCGAGGGAGCCGACGCAGTGCTATGTTCGGTTGAAGAACGTTGCGTAGGGGGTGGTTCGAGATGAGATGCGGATTGACTGCAAAAAGTGTGAGGATCGATTTTCATATAAAACAATAATACATTGTGAATAAGTGTTGAAAAGTTCCGGGCTTAGATAACCCCACTAGAAATTGGTTTTCATACCGGAAGAGGTCGCCTTCATTCTCGAAGACATCAACATGACATGAGTGTGCATCCGCCAAAGTGTTAGGGTTGTGCGCTTTAACGATTTCTTCAGATTTCTTCAGAGCGCTGGTCTATCATTGGATATGTCTAGACTTTCTGAAAACTCTTCGGACCTCTTGGGCCGACTCTTTTTAACTCATATGAAATGACCGCTCAATCACACCATGTGTGTATCCATCAAAAAAGTTCATATTCCCAAACGCCGTGCCTCTGGCGACATTCTCGTGCCCCAGGGCGGATGCCCAATCCGTTTCATATCATGCCAGTCATAATCAGACAACTTTGAGTTGACCGTCTACCACTTGATGACCCTGGAGGGGAAGTACTCGTCGATGAGCTCCATGTAGTAGGGCTGCGTGAAATGGTTAGCTTTGACTTCATGTTGGACTTGGATCGGTGTAGCAACATACCTTGAGCTCCTCGACGGAGGGAGCGTCGTCGCTCTTGCTGTAGAGGTCGTAGGGGTTGAAGGCGAGGACGGCCTTGAGGAGCTCCTCGTCGCCCTCCTTCATGAACTCGCGGTAGGCGCCCTCGCGGTGCCAGGGGTAGAAGGAGTGGTAGCGGATCATGGCGAGGGCCTCGCGGGGCAGCCTGGACTGCTCCTTGCAGACGGTGTACATGTACTCGTCGTGGCCCCAGGAGATCATGAGGTTCTCGATGCCGCAGCCGGGCTCGTAGATGCCGTGCTTGGTGCTGTAGACGGGGTGGTGGACGTCCGGGTTGCCCTCGAAGGTGGTGGGCAGGACGATGCGGTTGTCGAAGGCGCAGCCGACGGGGAAGGTGTCGCCGACGACGTCCCACTGGCCCTCGGCGCCGTAGAAGAAGAGGAGCTTGCCGAGGTCGTGGATGAGGCCGGTGAGCTGCATCCAGCGCGGCTTGCCGTCGCGGCGCATGGCCTCGGCGGTCTGGAGCAGGTGCTGGATCTGGGAGAGCTCCGTGTCCGGGTCCGAGTTGTCGATGAGGGTGTTGAGCTTCTCCATGGCCTCCCAGATGGTCATCTCGTCGCGGCACGGCTTCTTGCCGGTCACGTCGATGGCGAACTTCTCGCGGGCGGCCAGGTTGTACTCCATGGTCTGCTTCTCGTGCTGCTCCTTGTAGAAGTTCTTGACGCGGTCGCAGGCGTCCTCGTACTGGCGGAAGGCGGTCTTGTCCTTCTCCGAGTCGAACTTGGAGTCCTCGTAGGTGGTCTCATCGGCCTGCTTGTTCAGCTGGTCCTTGAGGATGTTGACCTCCTCGACGAAGTCGGTGGTCTCCTCGAGGTCGTGGCCGTTCGTGGGCCTTTGGTAGTGGGTGGCGACGGCAGCGGCCATTGTGACGGTTTTTGAGAAAATGTGAAAAAGGTGAAGAGTTGGCTAAAAGTTGTAATACACTTGGGTATGAAGAAGATGAGTTGGTATCACTGAAGATGAGAGAAGACTGGGTTGTTGATGAAGCAAGAAAGTCTGGAAGCCTCTTCCGGAGGTAGTCTTTAAATATGTCGTTTGATGACAAGACAAGACCAGCAGATAGAGTATGAGAGAGGCAAGAAGATGAAGGACGATGGAGGAGTCTACTCGGAAAAGCAGTAGCAGGTTTGGAAAAAGTCGGACTGGGCGAGTGACATGTGCCGCGGGGTGTGCGTGGCGGGGAGGCCATGTACCGGCCAAGGCCTCATGCGAATTTGACGTGAAGAACCCTCTCTACCTCTCAGCCAACTTGGCGAAGCAACCCGAAAATCTGTATTTGCCGCGAGAGACCATCATCCCGCTTGGCCGTACCTCGTGGATCATCGTGGTGATGTCCGTGGAGCAGGAAAGACGGGGCGAGATTCAGATCTGTGGAGAGGGTTGCGATGGAGGCGTCGAGGAAATGGGAATTTCAGGTTTTGGATGTGTGGAAAGGGATAAAATCGCCGAATGGTTTCCGAGAGCAGTCTCCAACTTTTTCGAGAACCCTTCGAGAATTCCCTCTTTCGAGAGTCACATGATCTTGTTGGAGTTGTCAACGGCCAAGCCATGCCCCTTTCGGACGGCTGGAAAACACCAAAAATTTCGAGACGATCATTTCGGGGAATTATTCCCGATTTCGAGACTCGCCATCCCTGCTCGGCCTACGCTTCGTCCACACCTTCATCCCGCCTTGTCCTCCACGCCAACGATGCAATGTGACGGCGCCCTGCGTGCTGGCTGCGGCAAAGCTTAAATCAGGCCCCGCCATTTCATCATGAGATTTGCAAACTATTTTTGAATATTCCCTCTTTCGAACTTGCTGCGAAGGCTACGAGGCACACCCGTCCGGGATCCCATGCAGCACATCTCTATCCCCGCGGGATCCCCTCCTTATTTCAGTAATGGCTTCCTACTGATTGGGCCTCCGCGAACACCTCACACTTGCCGAAGGGTCCCTTGCCAAGCTGGCCCCTCACCATCAAGAGACGTCTGCAATCTCTCCGAGGCCAATGGAGTCTCCGGACGCCAGATGGAGACACCTCTGACATCAACTTTGGGTCACTCCATCGGGGCATCTTGCCCAATATCTCTCCGCGTGGAAATCAGCGGCGAGAGGGCAGCTCCAGTCGTCTCAACCCCCGCGGTCTCCAGACTCCAAACGTCCCCGCGGGCCGCGATGTCTTACCAACCAACGTTGTGCTACAGCTGTCAGATTCACGCTCAGGCCATGCCGCATGCCGTGTACAACGGGCTCGGAATGATATGTCTGACGCAAGACAAGCTCGGTGGGATTCCGGAACACGGCATGCGGGGGAGAAACATCCCACGAGGGTCGATATAGCCTCATCCAAGGAGCCGGAATCGCGAAATATGTCCGATTTCTTTCGGGCCTTGCATTGCATGAGACCAAGCAAAGCCAGATCCTGCCGTCGCAAACATGAAATCTATACCATCATGTCGGGTATCCACTGATGCTAAACCAAAGGGAATCCAAAAAGTCCGGGGCCGTCCGGGCCCGTCTATCATGATCCAGAATCCATCCAGAGAGGGAGAAACAACAGAGCAGCCCGCCAACAATCATTATCGTGACCCAATCACGAGGGCCTTTCATCAAACGCCTTCACGACAACTGGCCCGCCAGTCCAGGCGTGGGATCTTAATTCCCCGGCGGCGCCAATCTCGCCTGCCTGCCTTACCCCTCGCTCATCGCCTCCCCGTCCATCCACCCCCATGCGTGCATCAGCTGATCTTTGACCGCCGTCGTGGGTCGTGCGTGGGCCTTTTCGGTGATGCTCAGCATGTTCAGGAGAGCCTCCTGGTCGTGTTTCTCGTCGAAGCGATCACCAGCTAAAGAGTACGTAGGTTAGAGACTTGTGTTGTAGACAGAAAAAAGCAACGAGAAGAGATGCAGATAGAGATAAACTTGCCGATAGCTATGCCCATACACGCGGTGAACATGGCGGGAGGAGACCACTGGTTGCACATGCCGATGCCACATAGACTCCGGAGCAGTTCCTGGATCTGCTCAGTCAATCGCTTCTCCGCCGCCTTACGCGTGCCTCCGACGCGCGGGATGCTCGGGTTGAACAAGACGAGGTACATTTCGGCGAGAATGTGATGTTGGACGGCGATGACTGGGACGCGTTAGTTAGTAATCGTCGAGAGTAATGGCAAATACCGTGATGCCTTCGGAACATCTGAACGTTCGAAGACCGAGGTTCCGGATGGACTCACTGTGACACGCCTTCTGATACCATACTTCGGGAAAAGCCTCCTCTTCCGTCCTCTCCCGGAAGAATATGGGCGTGTACGAGGCCGGCAGGGCGTTCTTCCACTCTCTGTTTGCCATTTCCAGCTGGCCCCATCGCAGCACCGACCCCGCCTCGGACCCGAAGCAGAAGTTGAGGACGTCGGCGCAGTGAACGATGGCACGATTCGCCCAGACGAAGTCGTCGCCGGGGCCGGTCGACCGGTCGACGATGGCGTGACCCAGGTTCATCCTGACGACCTGCTGGTTGATGACGGCGCTGTAGATCTCCTGGCGCAGGCCCGCCCAGAAGCAGGCGGCCGTCAGCGTGCCCGGCATGAGGAAGCGGTCGCCGGCGTTGACGAAGGCGTGGATCCCGAGGAGGTGGCCGTGCGTGTCCTGGCCGAGCGTGTTGACGTCGATTTCCTCGAGCACCCGGAGGATGATGGTCGCCGCGAACAGGTTCTCGTCCGACACCGTCCCGGCGTGGTCCAGCAGCGGGATCAGGTAGTTCAGACACTGCTCGTGATACCGGTTCGACGCGAGGGAGTCGTACGCGCTCGTCAGGCTGAGGTGCCGTGCCGCCAGCGCGAAGATGGCGTTGAGCAGGATCGGACACGAGCCGGCGCGCTGCGGCACTTCTGTCTCGAAGTTTCTTGTCGGGTCGCACGCGTCGAGCTGTCTCGCGTTAGCACATCAAATGTCTCTCTCAGTAAGTACTTTCGATCAGATGAACACACCCAAAACCCCAGCTTTTGCACATAGTGACGGAATAGCGTAGCTTCCTGGCGTCCCTGGATCGGCCACACCGGACGGTCGGTGTAGATGCCTCCCGTCGGCGGCACGAGAGGCTCCAGCGGCGGCAGCGTCTCGACCGAGTCGGAATGCTCGCGGTGGCTGTCGTCCTGGCTGAGGCGATCACCGCCCGGCGTGCTCAGCGACGCGCGTTGAGACAGCAATGGCTCATCGACGATCTCGCTGCTGTGGTGGCTCTCATCCGGAAGAGGCCAGCTCGCCGCCTTCGTCGCCTGGAGCGAGGGCCGCCGCTGTTCCTCGGAGACGGTCGAGTCGCCCACGGTGGCCGTCCCTGGTGAATTAGTCGTCGTCTCCTCGTCTTCCTTGGACGAGCTGTCATTCCGCTCATCGCCGTCCCCCGTCTCGCCGAGCTCGACCCCGCGCGTCTCGTCGATGAACTTGAGCTTCTTGGGCGGCGCCGGCCACTTGTGGCTCTCCTTGAAGACGGCGTGTTTGGGCGCGCGGAACTTGTACCCCTTCTTGCACTCTCTCCCCGTCATCAGACATCGCCCGCAGATGGGCAAGACGCGGTCACATCGCAAATGCTGTTCACGACACTGCTCACTGAGTTGAAAAGTCAGCCGGTTTTTCCCCTCTCGAAATCTCTGTCTTCGGTGCCGACAGCCTTCAGGTTTGAGCCCCGAGTTCCTCCGGTCGAGTCTCTTTCAACTCACTCACCCTCAGCAGCTCTCACCATCGAAGCCATCGCCGTCGCCCTCATCAACCCCAATTCCCCAATCCCATATTGAGGCTCTCCCCAACGGCTCCCTCACCCGTCCAGCCGGCGTCGGCGCGAATGACCTCGTCTCCAAAAGAGGCTTTTTTCTCCGCGGCCCCCGGTCGGAGCGCCGGTGGATCAACAGACTCGAGCGCAGTCAACTCACCAGGTCGTGGCACTCAACGAATCAGACGCTTCGGAAGACGGCATGCCACTTTGCAATCTTGTCAATTCTTTCCGACCCCGGTGCGGCTGCTCGTGAAATTGAGTGAAACCCGGGGAAGATGGAGAAGATCTGGGGGAGCCCCTCGATTTTGAGCAGATCTGTGTATTTGGACGGAAGCTTGAGTCCACGACTGGGCCCTTTTGACGAATGACGTGTGTGGGGATTTGAGACTTCGTCAGCAGCGGCCAGCAGATCCAGCAGCTCCAAGCGACGACATGGCTCTCCACCGACGAGAAATTGTTAAGAGAGACTTTTACTTTGCGACCGGGCATTTTTTTCACTATTTTTACGTGCTTTTAGGGACCACGAACCCATGTCGTTTTGGTCTTGGTTGGCACTCAACGCCGATGACCGAGAGCAGTCCGACATGGAGCCAGCCCCCTTGGTTCTTATTACCGGCAGGCCGTTCAGTCTCTGCAACTGTCGCCGGTTATGGTCTTGTTTCTGAGGTCATTTAGGGTCCTTGGGACATTCGCATGATCGGCGGAGACCAAGCTTGAGTTTCCACCGCTCTTCAGCAATTCATATTTGAGTTGTGTCCCGTCGCTCTCCAAACTCTACCCCAATTCTCCTTCGACTGCTGTTGCTCATCTCTGTCATTTCATTTCCAATGTGTCCATTGGTCCCAAATGGCTGGGCGAACGTACCCCAGAGTTGACGGGCTCACCTGACCATCGATGGCACACCATCTCACAGACACACGCATCGACTCAAACTCAATGGCGCCGGCATCCAATTACTTTCATTTCTGCGTGAGGGGAACGACAAGCTGCCATGCCAATCCTGTCGAACCCCTCATCTCACCCATCCCCAGAATGTCACCTTATCTTTCCACGACGAGTCGTTCACCCGGCGATGTGGACGCGGACGTGGACGTGTACGTGTGACTAGCCCAGATATCGCCCTCGACCGGCACCGTTGAACCATTGCCCCTGTTCCTCGGCGCGGCGGGAAACGGGAAACGGAGACTCGACTCGTCTTCTCATTAGCTGCCGGCAGATTGCAATTACGATTCCTTCACCGCAACGCAACCGCACGACGAAAAGGCGATGTCCACGGAACATTCTCTTCGTTCTGACCCCGGCCCCAGTCTTTCCTCGCTCTTCGTCAAATTTCGAGCCCTTTCTTTTGTGGGTTTCCTTCGATCCGTCGACATTGTCCCACAAACAACACCCGCGCTCTATATTTTCTCGTGATTCCCCCCTCTCTCGAAGTTCATCGAGGTGTGTTGTTTGATCATCGCAGACTTTTTCTCCGCGAGCGCCCTCCGACTCCGCATCACGCGAGCAATCCGCAACCGCAACCTCTCCGGCTGAAAGTCCGACACTCGTTTCCTCACAATGGCGGACACCAAAACCGCGCCACCCGGGAACGATGACCAGGTCATCGGCGTCGACCGCGCCTCGGCCGAGGTCGCCGATCACCACTCCGCGAAGCTCGCCAGCACCTTCGTCCAGAACGCAAAGTCCGCGTCGGACAAGGAGCAGGCGATGAGCCTGTCGCAGGGCATCAAGCTGTACCCCAAGGCCATCGCGTGGTCCATCCTCATCTCGACCTGCATCGCCATGGAGGGGTACGACATCTCCCTCGTCAGCAACTTCTACGCGTTCCCCCAGTTCAACCGCAAGTACGGCGTGTGCGACGCCGCCGGCAACTGCGAGGTGCCCGCGCCGTGGCAGGCCGGCCTGAGCAACGGCGCCACCGTCGGCGAGATCATCGGCCTCTTCATCAACGGATGGGTCTCGGAACGCTTCGGCTACAGGTGGACCGTCATCGTCTGCCTGATGCTCGTCACCGCCTTCACGGCCCTCTTCTTCACCGCGCAGAACGTTCAGACCCTCCTCGCCGCCGAGATCCTGTGCGGCATCCCCTGGGGCGTCTTCCAGACCCTCTGCATCACCTACGCCTCCGAGGTCTGCCCCGTCGCCCTGCGCGGCTACCTCACGACCTACGTCAACTTCTGCTGGGGCCTCGGCCAGGAGATCGGCATCGGCGTCATCATGTCCATGCTCGACCGCGACGACGAGTGGGCGTACCGCATCCCCTACGCCCTGCAGTGGATGTGGCCGGTGCCGCTGGCCGTCGGCATCTACTTCGCGCCCGAGTCGCCGTGGTGGCTGGTCCGGAAGGGCAAGATCGACGACGCGAAGAAGTCGCTGCTGCGGCTGACGAGCAAGGACAAGGAGACGAACTTCGACGCCGACGAGACGGTCGCCATGATGGTGCACACGACCGCGCTCGAGGAGAAGATCACGGCTGGCGCGACGTATCTCGACTGCTTCAAGGGCGTGGACCTGCGCCGCACCGAAATCGTGTGCATGACCTGGGCGATCCAGAACCTCAGCGGCAACTCGTTCTCCAACTACTCTACGTAAGCTTTTGCGTCTTTTTGTCGCGGCTGTCGCCTTGCGTCTACTGACATGCGCATCGCAGGTACTTCCTCAAGCAGGCCGGCCTCTCCACCGCCAACTCGTACAAGTTCGCCCTCGGCCAGTACGCCATCAACATGATCGGCGTCTTCGGCGCCTGGTTCCTCATGTCGTGGGGCATCGGCCGACGCACGCTCTACTTCTACGGACTCTGCGGTCTCTGCAGCATGCTCATGATCCTCGGCTTCCTGGGCCTCGTCCCGGAGCAACACCGTGAGCAGGGCGCCCTGGCGACGGGAAGCATCATGATCGTCTGGGCAATGTTCTACCAGCTCACCGTCGGCACCGTCTGCTACTCGCTCGTCAGCGAGCTGCCCTCTCGTCGTCTGCAGATCAAGACCGTGGTGCTGGGACGCAACCTATAGTAAGTTGGCCTCATTTCATCCATCCATCCATCCACACTCCAATTGAGCCGATGCTAACCGTCCCCCGCAGCAACATTGTCAACATCGTCAACAACGTCCTCACTCCGTACATGCTCAACCCGACCGCGTGGAACTGGTCCAACTACACCGGCTTCTTCTGGGCGGGCATCTGCTTCTGCTGCTGCATCTACACGTACTTCCGCGTCCCGGAGCCCCGTGGCCGCACGTACGCCGAGCTGGACGTCCTGTTCGAGCACAAGGTCAGCGCCCGCAAGTTCGAGTCGACCAAGGTCGACGTCTTTGGCGAGGACGTTGGCGAGAAGGCGATGCAGAACTACCACCAGCAGATCCGCGTCTCGCACTCCGAGAAGGATGTCCAGGTGTGATGTGTGGATGATTGAGGCAACAGAATGAGGATGTGTAAGAAAGAGGAGGAGAATTTTGTTAACGCGACGCTGGAGCTGGGGTACTCACATGTAACCCTCCGGCAACTATGACGTGCCACGATATGATGGGCACAAGGCCCTCTAATGTTTGTAATGGGTGTATCTAATTCCGACGAAGTCTACGAACGCAAAATCTAACGATAACTATTAATCCGTCTCCTGCAAGTTGCTGACTTGATTCGTATGTCATTGACGTGATTCTGTGGACTCTCAAAAGAGGCATCCGACGAAGCCCAGCATTGAAAGTCCGTCTTCTTTCCCCGCATTCCCCGCACGACGTCGCCGAGGAGAATCATCAGCGACGGGAGAAGACGGGAACGCCCCCCACGATACATGTTGCATCGAGGACGTGGACGAGGACAGGGGGACTCTTGGAGGTGTGCCGAGCTCCATGGCTGCGGGTGGCTGCGTGGGTGCAATTCTCCGCACATCTCCAACTACCGGGTGCCTTTTTTGAGCCGCGCTCTAAGTGATTTACATGGGCGAAGCTTTTTAGAGCCTCTTTGGTGAGTTGAACCACGTGAAAGGTCGTACTTTGGTGTTTTCCAGGCCATTGGGATCACGGCTGGTTGGCTAGACTCATAATCCGTTCGTCTTGGCCGACCTAGCCAAGGAGACATATCACACGCCCATCCAGTTCCCCGGCTCTCTTTTCTGCCCAGTCATGACTAGCTCTGAAAAGACCTAACTAGTGATCAGTCCTGAGCCCGTTTCTTTTTCCTCAAAATCTAGCGTTGAACTCCATCGTCAGACCAGACAAGGTCATCCCGACGGGCTCTCCTCAACCGCCCGAGCACGGCTCCGAGTGGATCCAAATCCGCGAGAAGACCGCCATCAACATTCGATTTAAAGTGGCCCCCTTTTTGGAAATCCGTCGCGACGGATAAGTCGAAACCACACACACGAAGAACCGGCAGAGATACACACGTCTTTCCCCCCATGTTGGGAGGAATCCATAATCCATGGCATCCACAGCGGACGGCCCATGGCCTCCGCGATTGCGGGGACCCCACACGACCGTGAACGCTCCCCTTGACATTTGTGTGTTTGCGACTGGGAACGCGAGGTAGCGAGAGCGACGGTTGACCCTCGACTGAAAGCCCGCCATTCCTCCGGATTGACAACCCGGTGCCAAGTCCTGAGCCTATTGCGTCTTTGTCTGCATCTGTAACCTATCTGCGTGATCGTTGACGGGATCCATACACTCTCGGTGCCTCTTCGTCGAAAAACGTACATATGAACACCGACCAGACGCGATCCTCCGTCGTCTCGGTCTGATTCTCTCTTCTTCTCCTCAGGCCAGAAACACCTTTTCTTCCCTCCTACCGCCCTTCCTTTCTCTTTCTCTCTCAACAGTTGAGCACGAAAAATACCATCGACGTCAACCAACATCCCCAAACATCCCCTTCTCACAGACACCGCACATAAGACCAAGATGTCGGCAGCCGACAAGCCAGAGATCGCCTTCATTGACGATCGAGAGGCCGACAATGGGTCCGACGCGGAGAAGGGTCCCGTGGTGCGGACCATCGACAACATGCGCGTGTTGGGTCTGAGCGACGAGGACGCCGAGTTCTACGCAAACTTCACGCCCGAGCAACGGAAGAAAACGATCCGCAAGGTGAGAGAGAGATGATGATCAGCCTACTTAAGCTGAGGTGTGAAATACGATGTGCTGATGAGAAAACCAGGTCGACGTTCGTCTGGTTCCCATGCTCGCAATCCTCTACCTGATCTCCCATCTCGACCGCGCCAACATCGGCAACGCCAAGATCGAGGGTCTGGCGGAGGACTTGGGGCTCGATGGCGTCCAGTGGAACATTGCCCTCTCGCTCTTCTTCATCCCGTACATTCTTCTGGGTATGCTTCCTCATTAATCATTGGATTCGGTGAACGGTGATTAACAATTGCTCTGCAGAGGTCCCTAGCAACATCCTTCTCAAGAAGTTCAAGCGCCCCTCGGTCTACCTGGGAAGTCTCGTCACAATCTGGGGCATCATCATGACGCTCCATGGCGTTGTCAAGAACTTTGCTGGCCTCCTCACCGTCCGTATCATTCTGGGTATGTCAGATCATTCCTATACAAACATACAAAAGCAGCGGACTAACGTTTACACGAAAAACAGGCGTCTTTGAGGCAGGGTTTTTCCCCGGAGCCGTGTACTTGTGCACTTTCTGGTAAGAAATCTTGACAAACCCCAGATATACTCGACAGGAAACTAAGTCTTCAAAAAGGTACATGCCTCGCGACCTTGCCGTACGCATCGCCTGGTTCTACTGTACCTCCTCCCTGTCCGGCGCCTTCTCCGGTCTCCTGGCCGCCGCGATCGCCAAGATGGACGGCGTCGGAGGCTATGAGGGCTGGCGCTGGATCTTCCTGCTGGAGGGCATCTTCACGGTTCTCACCGGTATCGCCACCTTCTTCCTCCTGATCGACAGCCCTGCTCTCAGCACCAAGTGGCTCGAGCCCGAGGAAATCCGCTTCCTCGAGCTCCAGTCCTTCATCAAGCAGGGCGGTCGTTTCGAGGACGAGGCCCAGGAGGACAAGTTCAAATGGGCCGACCTGAAGGCCGTCGTCACCAACTGGAGGCTGTACATGCAGGCCTGGGCTCTTTTGGCTACATCTGCCTGCAGTTATGGTAAGTCTTCACTTTTCCACGGTAACTCTCAAGTTGAGCATCACTAACGAACTCCAAGGTACCAAGTTCACCCTTCCCACCATCACCAAGGCGATGGGCTTCGACAACACCACGGCCCAGCTCATGACGGTCCCGGCCTACGTGGCCGGCGCCCTCTCGGCCATCTTCTTCGCCCGCCTCTCGGACCGCTTCTACTGGCGCATGCCCTTCGTCGCGATCCCCCTTGGCCTGATCGCCATCGGCTACGCCGTCATAATCTCCCTCAAGGGCGACCTCGCCGGCAACGTCGCCGCCGCCATGGTCGGCGTCGTCATCACCTGCATGGGCATCTACCCCATCCAGCCCGCCGGCTCCTCCTGGGCCGCCAACAACCTCGCCCCGGCCTCGCGCCGCGCCATCGGCGTCGCCTTCAACATCTGCGTCGGCAACATCGGCGGCATCATCGGCAGCTACATGTACCTCGACAGCGAGAAGCCCAAGTACTACACCGGCTTCGGCCTGTCGCTCGCCTTCGGCGGCAGCGGTCTGATCGTCGCGCTGCTGCTGGAGCTGAGCTACAAGTGGGGCAACGACAAGAGGGACAAGATCTCCGAGGAGGAGGTGAGGGCCAAGTACACGGAGAGGGAGCTGCTCGAGATGGGCGACAAGAGCCCGCTGTTCAGGTACACTTTGTAAAGTTTGGACGTACGCTATCGACGGCATTTGTTTGGAAGATGGTTCAGCACATTTGACAAGACTCGGAGGATCAACTTGATGGATGCACGCAAGACTGTTCAGAGCATTTTAACTTATATATATATAGCGATTGTTGATTTCAATCATCAGAAACAATCGTATTCTGGCCCAACTGATTTGCCTCATTGTTTTGACGTGACATACTCATGTTTGTTACTACCTTGTGCTTATGTCTTACTTCTGCAACCCATGGCTAGCTGAACGTGTAAAAAGCTCAGGTTGTCTGAACGAACCTTGACGGAAGTACGCCCGTCTTTGCTTAACTATATCGGTCTGAGAATCTCCCAGTCCCATGAAAATTTGTTGTAGTTAAGTTTGGTGCCTGATATTACACTTTCCTCAACCACGCCACAACCTCTTCGACCTAGCACCTCTACAACCACAAACCCAAGAATACTTATTGAGATTAACGTCTATTATCCTTAACAATGACATCCTAAAGGGGCTGTAGCTTAGTGGTTATAGTGCTCTGCCGTCCACTCCTTTCATCCTAGAACCTAAGATTGGCAGAGAGACGGTGGTTCGAATCCTCCCAGCTCCATATCCTTTTGCTTTTTGCTTGTCTATATCATATGAGTGGACTTTGAAGAGCTTCAGTCTGTTCATTAAGCAGTACAGCTGCTGCGAATGTGTGACTGTAACGGACGCGTGGGTATTTAAGAGATACGATTTCAGTTTCTCATTTTGTAAGTATTACTTACATCAATTCAAACTTCTCAAATCCAGCATCATTAAAACTCATCGCCTACAATAGCGTACGTAGCCTTCTCATCTGCAAGTGACTACTGCAGCTGACTCGCTATCACTGCCTGCATAGTCACAATCTCAAGAACAATTTCTTCATAATCATGGACCCTTGGTCTAACGGCTATGGTCGGTAATAAGAGATCGGCCGAGCGGGCAGCAACATTGAAGCCAAGTCTCATGTCCAGATCTGTATGCAACAGTTGTTGGCTCTAACGCCTCAACAGCCTCAACAACCGGGACGAGGTGCCGAACGTGGGATAACATGCATCGTTGCCCGTCCAAACGCATGCAAGACCCGTCGTTGCTGACCGAACATGTCGTGAAACCGGGGGAAACCGGGCCCTCTCTTCATCCCATTCGAGAAATCCGCCCGTCCTCTTCGGGACCTCTCCGCCCTCCCACCGGATCTCCCCCGGATCCGTGTTGCAAGACAGGTCACAAGGAACGACTCCAACTTACTCAAGCAATTCGGGGGTTAATACAACGAATTCCCATTGCCCATTGGTTCCCCCGCTTCCTCCTGGCAGCGGGGAAAGATACCCATGTCGTGCTTAGCGTGCTCCCCCAGCCTCCGCCCCCTCTTCCTCCAGTCTTGTCCTTCCCCAGACAAATCCCCTCCGTTTTCCGTCGATTTCTGTCTCGTCCAACTCTTTCTTTTCCGATCTTCCAACCTCCCTCGAACTGTGCGGTAATATGCTTATGCATGTTCTCGGTGGCACCTAGCACCACCACAGGCTACCGGGAGCAAAGTCCGCCGCGGCCCACATACCTTACGCGCGCCCATGGACGTCTCCGAGTTCCATCGTCCGCTCCCCGGCGGCCCAGCGAGCCCGGCCGCCCCCGATGTCCATCATCGCTCGTCCTCGGCCGCCTCGGTCTCGACAAGCCCGCACGGAGGCGGCGGCAGCAGCATCGGCGACACGCGGAAAAGAAGCTTCAGCTCGGTCGATCACCAGTCTCCCCTCTCCGATGAGCACCATCACCTCTCCGGCGCCGCCGCCGCCGCCAACCGCCGCAAGTCGCAGAAGGTCAGCCGGGCTTGCGACTTTTGCAAACAGCGCAAGGCCAAGTGCAGCGGTACCATCCCCTGCGACAAGTGCACGCGAAAGGGCCTCACTTGTGTCTACGATGCCAAGTATTCTCGCGGTAGACCACCAACGCCGCCTCCGTCAGCGGTCTGGTCTGCCGGCTCAACCGGAACCTCTCACCCTGGGCCCTCTTCCGGCTCCGAAGAGCCTCCTGTCATGTATCAAACGACGGAGACGGGTGGGAGAACAGTGTCTGCGCCGGTTCCGGTGCAGTCCTCGCTGCGCGGACAGGTTCGTGACAGTCAAGGCCCGGCGTCGAGGGCGTCGCCTGAGTTAGGCATGGCGGAGATCCAGGGCCAGGTGTTTGACCCGACCTCTGGTGTCACCTTCCTGCATCGGGCATGGAAGCGATTGTCCAAGCATGATAGTAACATCGTGCCCGACGACCTTAACGCGTCAACGGAGAACCAACCCCTCATGCTGGCTGGCGACAAGCCCTTGCCTGCAATTACCGATGAAGACATTGCCAACTTCTCGCTTCCTGACTCGAGAGAGCTTCGGGAGCTATTGGCCATGTATTTTGATGTTTGCATCGCCACGTATCGTGTGCTACATCGGCCGTCGGTCGAGAGTTGGCTGAAAACGATGGTCAGCAATCTCGACCAGGGCAAACCCGTCTGGCACGACATCGGCCGCGGCAAAGCAGCGATAGTCCTCACAGCGCTTGCCGTCTCCACGGCTCATAGCGAAAAGTCCAAAGGTTTTCACTCACCCGAAGACGAGAGGCTCTCCTTGGCACGGAGTGATCGTCTGTTCTGCGTCGCTCTTCACTTGACAGACACCGAGACGGGCCTCCCGCGACTAGAGTCCGCGCAGTCCCGTCTCATCCAGGTCCTCTATCTTCTTACTACTTCACGTATGAACCGCGCCTGGTACACCTTTGGAAACTGCTTGCAGATTATATCGGCTCTTGGGATGCATCGCAAAGCTGCCAAGAAGCGGCATTTGACGGCGGGGAACTCGGATTACATCCAGGCACAATGTCGTGTTCGGACGTTCTGGACAGCATACGTTCTCGACAAATATCTGGGCGTCATATTCGGCCGACCGCGCCATTTCCATGACGATGATATCGATCAAGACTACCCCGACAGGATAGACGACGAGGACATGACCGCGCAGGGCCCTATTGAAAGATTCGAAGAGCATTCAGACTGTCATATTGATGCTCTGATATGCCACGTCAAGTGAGTACTCCAACGCATATCACCTATATCGCACTAACAAAAGCAAAGAATTGCACAAATCATCGGGAACACATCAAGAGAAGTGTATTCCATCAAAGCAATCTCAGAACAAGAAAGGGTCGCCGCCGCACATCGCTTCAGCGAAAAGATTCACGAATGGCGCGCGAGTTTACCACCACACCTGGGCTCTATCCGGCCGTCAATGCTCATTCCCAGCTTCCGTCGTCAAGCAACTGTCTTGAAGCTTGCCTACTCACACGCAATCATGCATGCAAACAGGCTGTTTCTCTTGGGCAACCTGAGCTCCGGCAGCGAGACGCAGATCTTGGAGTGCATCGGCGCGGCGAGAACGGTTCTCGAAACCGTCGACGGGATGGCTGCCGAAGGGCCCATCTTCCACGCGTTCTGGTGGACTCAGTATGTCACGTTCTGCGCCTTGCTCGTGACGTACGTATGGGACATCCAACAGAAGCGCCGTGGCATCGTGCTCGAAGCCGAGGGGAGCGCAAAGCACGCAAAGCTGATGGACCTGGCCGAGCGTTGCCAAACCCATCTCGCGCACGCAACGGCGTCGAACTCACCCAGTCGGCGGTATGCCATCATTCTGGAAGAGTTCAGGACGGAGGGCCTCGGCCAGATGTCACGGAAAAATTACGGCGGACCCTCGCAGTCCTCTCGGACGACGGTTTCCAAAGCGGCTGCCGTCTCCACGGACACTCACGTACAGCCTTCTCAACCGCAAGGAAACGGAACGGCCCATATGGGCGGATTCGATTTCAACTCCGCATACGCTGCCGGATCCAGCACCGTCGATCTGCTGGGCCAGGGAGATGCAGAGCTGCTTGGCTCCAACTTGTTAGACGAATGGCAGACGACGGATTGGCTGGAACTGGACTCGTCAGCCTTCGGCCCCTACTTGGACATTGACACGAATCCATACGCATGGATGCCGGATATAGGCGGTTGAAGAAAGATAGTCTATAATCATTCAAAAAATCTAATTATTTAAACAGTGAACTTTGTCAGGTTTTCCGGTCCCGTCTCCCTCGCCACACGCTTGACCTCCTCGTCTCCGAGCTCCTGGAAGATGTCGAAGCCCCATCTTGTTTGCCAGTTAAATCTCTTGTTCCTCTCCAGGCCGTTCAGTTGCGCGAAGACATCCGCGGGCAACTCCTGGACCTTGTGGTTGGACTCTATCCGGCTGGGGGTGACACTCTTGGGAAGGACAACGGTGCCACGCTGCACGCCCCAGGAGGCGAGGAGCTGGCCGCCGTCGATGCCGAGCTTCTTGCTCAACTCTCCAACGAGCGGGTCGTCCACCGTTCTCGGCTCGCCGGTCTGGTTGTTGCCCAGGGGCGAGTAGGCAGCCAATTGGATGCCCTTGGACTTGCAGAACTCGAGCAGATCGGGCTGCTGCAGGTAGGGGTGTGCCTCGATCTGGTTGACGGCGGGCACCGTCTTGGTCTTGGTGAGGAGATCCTCGATGCGCTGCTTGGTGAAGTTGGAGACACCGATGGCGCGGACCTTGCCCTTCTCAACCAGCTTCTCCATCGCCGCCCACGTTTCCGCGGGGTCGATGTCCGCCAGCTCAAAGACTCCGTTGGAGTCGATGGGGAACCACTTGTCAGAGGGCTTGAATGCACTGATTGTGCTGTTAGCTATTGACTCCCGCTCCCGCCACATCTTTACGGTGTAGACTCATGCTAAACTTACACCGGCCAGTGCATCAGGAACAGGTCGAGGTAGTCCGTTCCAAGATCCTTCAGCGTCTTATCAACGCCGGACTCAACATCCTCAGCCTTGTGCTTGGTGTTCCAGAGCTTTCCGGTGACGAAGATCTCAGAACGCGGCACGCCGCTCTTGCGAATACCCTCGCCGACTTCCGCCTCGTTGCGGTAGATGGCGGCGCAGTCGATGTGGCGGTAGCCGGCACGCAGAGCAGTCTCGACAGCACGCTCGACCTCATGCGGCCCAGCTTGCCAGGTGCCGAATCCCACGGCGGGGATCTTTGCGCCGGTGTTCAGGGTGAAGTGCGTTGCGAGAGGCATCTTGTGTGTAATACGATGCAGGGATGGTGTTATCCGGGGTGTGTGTGTGGTTGGCGGCGTGTAAGTCGGTGGTGAGGGGTGAAATTGGGGTAACGAACAAGGTGCAAGCGATGATGTGCCAGAACAGGTGATCCGAGAAGCAGGACAAGAAGACAATAAATCGCTTTCAGCCACTCTATTGTTTCCTCGTGAACAACTGCTGTGGCTCCTCAGTTTCTGCAGCATCGCGGAGTCCTCTCGTATGTGACGGATTTTTATCCTCGGCATCGCCACATCCTCAGTCGCTATTCCCGAAGTCCGTCATTTTCCGCCGGCGCTGCTCTCGAAATCCGTCGTCTCACTCCAATTCCTGTGGAGAAACGGATTCGTTCCCCGCAGACGGAGACCCTCCTCCACACTCTCGATGTTGCCATCGCCGCCATCATCCACTCGGAAGCGTCAAGCAGGGTGTCACAATGGCGGGACGCGCATCACCGGCGTCGGATCAATGGGCCAACCTGATCCGTCCCGGGAGCCGTCTCGAATCTCTCAAAAAGGTTCAAGTGTACATCTTCGACTCGAACCGTTATCACCAAGAACCCCATCCACCAAGTTGAAGGCAGGCAAGAGTAGCTGTTGACGATACAGTATACTCCTCCACCCGCTCTCGACCTCTTTGGATGAACCACCACGTCATCCGACACCAACCACCATGAGTCCTCCCTCAGTATACGGCCCCACGAGCGCGGAGCTCCCGGGCTCCAGCCTGGACGCGAATCCCCTCGCTGACGCGGCTCCCGCGCAGGGCTGGGACAACGACGACAGCACCATCAAGACGGTGGACGAGCTCGTCCGCCGCCGTGCCCGGGCTCACCCTGACCGGGTCATCGTCTCCTACCCCTCGTCCGGCATCAACTACGTCGACTACACGATGAGGCAGCTGGATGTCTTCGCGTACCGTGTCGCCAAGTACTACGAGCAGCGCATCCCCAGCCGTCTCACCTCCGATGAGAAGCCCACGACGGTGGCGGTTCTCGGCCCTTCCAACTTTGACTACCTCATCACTATGCTGGCTCTGACCAAGCTCGGCCACACGACGCTGTTTCTGTCGACGAGAATCTCACAGGAGGCCATCGAGTCTCTCATCACCGTCACCGGTGCCAAGTACCTCCTGGCCGACAAGAGGTATCTTGAGACCGCCGAGGGCGCGAAGCAGACTCTGCCCCATCTCGACGTCTCCGAGATCGCCAACCAGTCGACATATGACTTTCCCATTGAGGTCCATGCTGATACGCAGCTGGACTATGGACGCGATCTCTCGGTTGAGTCGAACAACCTGATCTACATCATCCACTCCAGTGGTAAGTGGCCAGCAACTCATCGCCGAACCAGCTTGCTAATTGGAGACAGGATCGACTGGCCTGCCCAAGCCGATTTATCAGACGCAAAAGTCGGCGATTGCCAACTACTCCAGTAGCATGGAGATGAAGGCTTTCATCACGCTGCCGTTGTACCACAACCACGGCATCTGCAACCTATACCGCGCCATCTACTGCGGAAAGCCCATCCACCTGTACAACGCAGACCTTCCCCTCACTCGCGAGCACCTCACTGGCATCATGCGCAAGCACAACTTTGAGATCTTTTACGGTGTTCCCTACGCCCTGAAGCTGCTTGCTGAGACCGATGAGGGGATGGATCTGCTGCGTCAGCTGAAGATCGTCATGTACGGAGGATCTGCCTGCCCCGATGACCTCGGAGACACACTGGTCAACAACGGAGTCAACCTCGTGGGCCACTACGGAGCGTAAGTTGGATGCTCATTCTCACCCGCGACTAAGCTAACACTGCGAAGAACCGAGGTCGGTCAGCTGATGACATCGTTCCGCCCACCCAACGACAAGGTCTGGAACTACGTCCGCGTCCACGACAAGCTGGAGCCGTACCTCAAATGGATTCCTCGCGGCCCCAATCTATTCGAGTGCTGCGTCCTGCCCGGCTGGCCAGCCAAGGTCGCCACGAACCAGGACGACGGCTCGTACTGCACCAAGGATCTCTTCGAGCCCCATCCCACCATCCCCAAGGCGTGGAAGTACATTGCTCGCCTGGACGACACCATCGCCCTTGTCAACGGCGAGAAGTTCAACCCCGTCCACATGGAGGGCACCATCCGCTCCAACAAGAACATCACCGAGTGCGTCATCTTCGGTGTCGGTCGCCCGTCTCTCGGCGCCCTTATCGTGCCCGCTGCGACTCTAGCTGGCAAGACGGAGGAGGAGATTCTTGAGGTCGTCTGGCCCGTGGTCGAGAGCGCGAGCCGCAACGTCGAGGCGTACGCTCGTGTGTCCAAGAACATGATAAAGCTGCTCCCTTACGACTGTGCGTACCCCAGAACCGACAAGGGCAGTGTCATCCGTCAGGCCTTCTACAAGAGGTACGCCCAGGACATCGACGAGGTCTACGACAAGGCCGATGCCGGTAGCGGTGATCTCAAGAAGCTCTCGCTCCCCGAGCTGAAGGACTTCATCCGACAAGGACTGCTTCAGACCCTGTCCAAGAAGGTCCAGCTTGATGACGACACCGACTTTTTCTCCCTCGGCCTCGACTCTCTGCAGGCTATCCAGATGCGGTCTGATATCCTCAGAACCATTGATATCGGCGGCCACAAGCTTGGCCAGACGGTCGTCTTTGATCATCCCTCAATCAACAAGCTCAGCTCTTATCTCTACAGCCTTGGATCCGGCGAGGGCGTTGAGACTGACGTCCCCATCGAGAGCGAGATGCGCGAGCTCATCGAGAAGTACGATACCTTTGCTGCTCCCGCATCATCTCTCAAGTCCTCGATCGTACGTTCAAACCCCTCCAATCGTGCCTTGCGAACTGCCAGATCACTAACACATACCAGGCCGTCACCGGTGCCACTGGCTCTCTCGGCGCTCACGTTGTAGCCAAGCTGGCCGCCGACCCGACCATCAAGACCATCTACTGCTTCACTCGCGCAAGCTCTGATGCCGACGCGGCTCTCCGAGTCAAGAGCTCCCTCATCCAGCGCCGCATCTACCACTCTCTTCCCGCTTCATCCCGCAGGAAGCTCGTCGCCCTCGCCACCGACCTCGCCGACGCCAAGCTCGGCCTGTCCGAGACGACCTACGGCCAGGTGAAGCAAGACCTCCGCACCGTCATCCACTGCGCCTGGTCCGTCAACTTCAACATGCGCCTTTCGAGTTTCGAGAAGAGCAACATCGCCGGCGTCAACCACCTGATCGGTCTCTGCAAGGCCGCCGGGGACGACGCCGCCTCCTCCACCACCGCCACCTTCAACTTCTGCTCCTCCGTCAGCACCGTCTCCCGCGCGACGACTGTCCCCGTCCCCGAGTCCGTCCCGGATCTCGAGTGGGCTCAGGGCATGGGCTACGCGCAGTCCAAGTGCGTCGCGGAGCACCTCTGCGCCCGCGCCTCCGAGAAGTACGGCGTCAAGGCCCGCGTGCTGCGCATCGGCCAGATCGTCGCCGACACCCAGCACGGCGTCTGGAACGCGACCGAAGCCATCCCCCTGCAGCTGCAGACGGCCATCACCGTCGGCGCGCTCCCCAAGCTCCAGGAGACGCCCTCGTGGCTTCCCGTCGACACCGTGGCCCAGGCGGTCGTCGACATCTCCACCTCCGACGCCGGCGGCGTCTTCACCAACGTCGCGAACCCCAAGATGTTCAGCTGGACCGGGGACTTGCTTCCCGCTCTGAGGGCTGCCGGGTTGGAGTTCGAGGAGGTCGAGCCCAAGGAGTGGATCCGCCGTCTTCGCGCATCGAACCCCGACCCCGCGGCGAACCCGCCCATCAAACTGGTCGACTTCTTCGCGTCCAAGTACGACAAGGACGAGTTCGCGCCGTCGAAGACGTATGTCACGGAGACGGCGTGCTCGTTGTCACCTGCGCTCGCTGAGGCGCCTGTGTTGGATCAGCAACTCGTCAACAACTTCGTCAAGTACTTCAAGGCGAATCACTGGGTCAAGCAAGCGAAGGCCTCGTCGAAGAACGTGATCATGGTCGCCGGGCCTTGCGGCAGTGGCAAGTCAACCCTCGCCACGTCACTGGCATCATCACTGAAGGTCCCCTTCATCGAGGGCGACTCGCTTCACTCCAAGGCCGCCATCGAGAAGATGGCAGGTAACTTGCCCTTGACTGATGACGACCGCGCCCTGTGGCTGAACCGCATCGGCAAGCGCGCCGTTGAGGCACTCGAAGATCTGGGATACGACTCCGTTGTCGTTAGCTGCTCGGCGTTGAGGAAGTCTTACCGTGACACTCTCAGAGAAACCGTCTCGAAGCAGGACGCAAACATCGTCTTCCTCGATCTGCAGTGCGAAGCAGAGATGCTGGTCAAGAGGATGACGGAGAGAAAGGGCCATTACATGCTTCCGAGCATGGTCGAAGGCCAGGTTAGCGTGTATGAGCCCGCTGGCCTGGAAGAGCTGGATGTTTTCCCTGTGGAGGGAGAGGGCAAGCCTGAAGAAGTATTTGAAGAGGCCAAGTGGTTGCTTGGTCAGATCGGATTGAACTAATCAACTTCGACATAAGAGATACACCACGACATGTTTACGGCGTTCTGGATATGGATATAGGGATTTGGCATAATGAGTTTAGTATTATTAGCATTATATAAAAGACCAATACAGATGGTATCTTCATGAGAAGTCCCGCGTGCGATGCCGTGCTATGCCATTTCCCCCGGTCTCTCGGAATATTCGCAACACTTCCGCCATCCAGTCCGGTCCATGTGTAGAGCCACACTCTTGTGCGCCTTGTACTCCTCCAGTTCGGGGATTGTCAATGTAAAATAGCCCCTTCTGACACACGCGTGCTTCTGAGCGTTGAGATCATGATGCTCGGTTGTCAACGTGATGGGCGGGCATTTCTCGCATGGCCCATGTACTCTCTCGAGCGGACACCTCCAGATGCAAATCCTCGAACACGCATGGCAGTAGTAATGGTCATTGGAGATGCCGCTGCCGAGATCTCTCATGAGAGTGAAGAGAAACAGGTGCCGTTGTCGACGAGTTATTCGCCTGAGAGTGCGATGAAAGAGGAGGGTGTAGAGAGGTTTGCACGTGAGAGCAAGACACAGCGCCGTCTCTGTCGGGAGTTGCGAGGCAATCTCAAAGATGACGTCCGGTATCTGCTGTAGAAAGAGTGTGATTTCTGGCGGAGGAGGAGGAGGCGGCGTCGGAAGCGGACCTCGACCCTCGATGACCTCCTGGAAAGCTGCCATCCCAGATGTCGTGAGACAGCTCGCCAGAGCCGCGCGGGTGAATGTCGAATCCATGGCTGAGAGGCGGCGGCGGTGGGGGGCGAAGGTGTACGAATCACGGCAAGGCCGTTTTTGTTCATCTGAGCACGGCCCGGTGTTCGAGGACGTTTTTCTTTTTCCCTCCTTCTTGATGGAAAGGGTCTGTGGTCTTGTGTGTGACGACGTCTCTTCGGACACGGATGGCTTTGACTCGGACATTTTGATGACTCGGGGCCCCAACGCCCAGATTGGGGGACGCGATCTCTCTGATCACCCGTACCCACGGAGCCGGAGTACCGGTTCCACGCAAGCAGACGGCGTCGGAGTATGCGAATCACGCGCTCATTATGCATTTCAACAGCTGTCATCCTGGGGTTTTGCGGGCATGAGGCTCATCGCGGCCGAATACCGGATCCGTTCACCTGAGACCTTGATAAAGGAATTGCTACCCTTTTGAAATTCCAACTTCCCCAACTGTTGTGTTTCTTCCAGAGTAATTCATTGACTCCGGAATTCAGGTTTCGGTTGTCCTGATGAGGCGAGTGATGAGGACGGAAAATTGACATTGGATGATCACGTCATCCACTGTCAAGCTTCAGCCCTCGATCAGACTATTTTCATTCCTTTCCTTCGAGAACGCGATTCGGAAGGTACCGTGACTGCAAGAATTATATCCAAGCAAATGCATGTCACGATACATGATGTTTTGCGGGAAATTCGTCTGCGAGTAGCCAACACTTTCGAGGTTGAACTAACACGACGGCACGTACCCGATCTGTTGAAATAAATCGCATTTGAAGCAGTGTGCGCGATCTAGGTGGGAATATGATTGGAACTATCTTTCTTTCACCACCTTACTTAGTGAGATGGAAAGCATTCCAAGCCTTGGTAGCCGTCTCATCTCGCTGTCGTTCGCTGCGCGACATACGTAACGGCCTGTCTACTCCGCATTATGGCTTACTGGTCTCCATTTTTGCAGCCTCACGAGATTCAGAGATGACCCAATCGAGAGCGTTTGAGAGTATTGATCATCAGGTGTAGGAAAGAAGGCAGCCGAGAGGTAGTTCAACGGAATCAATTTGTTGATGTTGGTGGCGCGGAAGCAATTTACATCCGGTAGATCACACAATCAATCTCACCCGGAATCATTTTGACTACCTGAAAATCTCTTAGCAACGTCTTAAAAGTTCATATCTTTCAATTTTTGAATTTCAAGGTCTCACCCCATCTTGAAAAACGAACTTGCGATCGGGCTGAATAGGTTGAGAATGATGAAGGCCGCTTCTCAGTTGTTCACATCGCGTCAATTCCCAGGAGTAAACCCCACCATGTCCAAGGTTCAAGATGTCCTAGTTCATCTGCTTGATGAGGCAGACGAAAACCCAGAAGAAAGCCACACGCACAGCAATTGTCACCATCATCATCATAGTCACACAAAGGACCAACTAGATGACTTGGAGCCATCCAGTCACTTGCGACTACTCCAACAACTACTCTGTGTTCGACAACCCGAACCACCTCTACCGGAGACTATTCTTGGCAGGATAGACTCTCTCTTACAGCAACAAGCCTCGCATAGAGTTCTTACACTTGCGGGATCAATCCAACCGACATACACAATCAAGCGAAACAACACCCGAGATGTCAGAGTCGCGCTCTGGCAAGGTGACATCACGACATTGTCCGGCATCACAGCCATCACCAATGCCGCCAACGGCTTGGGTCTCGGCTGCTTCCAACCTTCCCACCGCTGCATAGACAACGTAATTCATTCGTGGGCAGGTCCCCGGCTGCGGGACGCGTGCTACCGAATCATGGAGTCCAGGGGCCGAGAAATCGAGCCCGGCGAGGCCATCGTCACAGAGGGTTACTGTTTGCCCGCAGAGCACGTCGTGCACACGGTTGGACCGCAACTGCAACGCGGCTCGAGCCCGGCCGAGAAGCAGACCGAAGAGCTCGCCCAATGCTATCGCTCCGTGCTCGACGCCGTGGAAGCTTTGCCCGCGACGCCGGATGGCAGGAAAATCGTCGCCTTGTGCGGGATCTCGACCGGATTGTTCGCCTTCCCGGCGCGAGATGCGGCAACCGTCGCGGTCAGGGCCGTCGCAGATTGGCTCGAGCACCACCAAGATGCGTCCATCACCGATATCATCTTCAACACCTTCACCGACGCGGATCATGCCATCTACAAGGACATCCTGGCCTCGTCTCCCCCGCAAACGCCAGGGATCGGGCTGTCGCCAACTCCGCCGATTGCAAATCACCCGCACGCGCCGCCGTTGCCGCTGATCCAGTGCGATTCGCTGGATCGCGCCAGGCAGTGGTTGAGGACGGCGGACGCCGTCATTGTAAGCGCTGGTGCCGGGCTATCAGCTTCCGACGGCCTGGATTATACTTCGGCAGGGCTGTTTGCCAAGCACTTTCCCGGTTTCCTCAAGTATGGGCTGCGAACTCTGTACAGCGTCTTTGGCTTCACCGGCTGGCCAAACGAACAGGTTCGATGGGGCTACTACTTCACGCATCTTGGCATGGTCAGCTCGTGGCCGGAGTCTCGAATGTATGGGGCGCTCATATCCTGGCTTGACAAGTTTGGGGACGACGCGCATGTCAGAACCTCGAACGCGGATGGGCTCTTCGTCGCAAATGGTTTGTCGCCGCAAAAGCTGTCAACGCCGCAGGGCTCATACTCTGTGTTCCAGTGCCTTGCGGACTGCAGGCCCGATGCGACGGTGCTCTCAGAGCCACTCGTTGCCGCCGCGCAGTCGTCGTTGGATCCGGAATCTCAAATCTTGACGGACCCGGGCAGGGTGCCCCTTTGCAGGTTCTGTGGCGGAAAGATGAACATATGCGTGCGGGCGGGTCATTGGTTCAACGAGGGGCCCTTCCAGGACGGAGAGACGAGATGGAAGCAGTTTCGCAGGAATGTCGTCCATCGAGAGGACAAGACGACAGTCATCCTGGAGCTTGGCGTCGGAATGTCCACGCCGGGCGTCCTGAGGTGGCCAAACGAGGATCTCACAATGAGATGCCGGGGAAGGGTGAAGCTCGTGAGGGTGGGCATGGGACCTGAGACGGCTGTACCGTGGGATCTGGAAGACGCCGGCCTGGCGACGAGTATCGACGGTGACATCTCAACTGCGCTGAGAGAGCTGCTCCGCGAAAGCGAAAGTTGAGACGGGGGAAGCCAGTGAAAGAACCATTCCCACGCAAAAACATCGGTCGAGGGGATATGGCGTCTCATCCGTAGCGTCAGATGATAGGACGAAGACACACCAGTAGAGCTTATCCCGTTTACCTTTGTGACCCGTCGATATCTCTCAAAAATGACAGGCCGATGAATCTCAAAGTTGAAATGTCAGAAACGTGCCTCACAAGATAGTAACTGTGGACCTGCATTCATCCGCCACCTCAGGAGCAATTGGGCAAGCGGCTCACCACGAGTTTGATTCGTTCCTTGCAGGCTGCATGAACTCACAACTTTGGGCAAATGCCTCGTCCAGGGTCGGACAAGCTTTTGCGCCGAGAATATCCCAACCCGCGAGAAGATCGGGTCGGAAAATGCTGCTTCTGATCAACTTTTGCCGCGACGTAAACATCGCCAACCTTGCCTCGGCCTGGCCCTACGTTCTTGGCGCGCAATGCAACACTTGCGACGTAGTCGATGGGCTGCCGTACCTAATGCTGATGTTCCATCCCACCTGTCTAGCCTGCCAAGCTCCCTTCAGCTGGGTGTCAAGGCCCTCCGAGTAGGGCAGTATTGGAGTTCTTGGCAGTAGGAGATCAAACTCGCTTGCGGCGCCAGTGCGCGTCAGGACACCAACGGGCATTTTTTTAAAGCCTGGCAACTCGACTCGCGCACCCGCGAGGGAGCGGCCGGCAAATCGTTTGTCCCCACTGACATCATGAGGGGCTGAGCTCCGTGTAGTTGCGATTGGTTAGCCATGTGGTGATTGATCTACGCAGGCATCGAGGCGGCGGGAAGTGCAAATCACCGTGGTCAGGGGCAAGAACCGTTCTCGTGATGATTTGCGAAAGGCGGCGCAGCGACCGAGGCGGAGGACCCACCGGCGTTCCGGCCGAGAACCGGCCGGGCGGGTCCACAATTCTCGGCCCCGAACCGGAACAGCCCGTAGCCAGAGGAAGGGGCTGAGCGATGCTACTCAAAGCCAGCTCGAAACGCTCCGCCGTGGCTGGGAGGCAAAATGTCTGTGAGTGTGCAGTAAAACTAACCCGAATAGTGAGTTTCTCGGTTACTAGGCAATCCGGGACTACCGGCAGCCAGACCAACGTGACGGGAAGATGACTGGACTAAGGAAAGATAGGCACTGATCGCATAGAAACTCATCATCACGGTCTCGTACAAACCGGACCCTTGGGAACAGGCAACCCGCCCCCACTCCAAAAAAGCAAAATAAGCCTGAATTTGCCGTCATGTTTGTAACGTAACCATATTGCCCAAGCTTATTTCCCCCCCGTCTTCCATTCTATTCGAGCGGGGATGCGGTCGTCCTGTTCCAGGTGTGCCACGACGAAGCACAGACTTACCGAATCACAGGAGACGACTCAGGATGCGTAGCAGCGCCATCCCTCTCTACGGAATCGCTCCGACTGCAGCGTCTCTTTTTTTTCATCCAAGCGGTGACCCCTGTATCAAGTCGTCGAGTTGCGCCCCTCATCTCCTTGTCGGTGGTGTCTAGAAGTGCCATTGCTGCATCGGAGACTGGAAGAACCGACACTCCCTGTCCTTGATCCCCAAACGACGCTACGCCCGTATTCCCCAGATCTGCCCAGCGTTGCAGGCCTTTCTCTACCCAGCCTCTTCTCACGATGTTCCTCAGGGGTGGACGCTGTCACATCCACTTGGAAACGAGAAACGCATCCTGGTGAATCACGACATACACCAGAAATGCACCGGCGGCTGATGCCCTTTCCATGGGGTCGTGCTTCGCGGTGATTCGCAAGATCAGCGAAACGACGCAGCCATCTGCGCCTCGTTGCCAGTACGATGCCTGCACCGATCGAATCACGACGCTGCCCGGCTCGGAGTATTTCCCCCCTCCTCACGAGTCCCGACTATCGCCTCCTTGTCTTCCTGCCCTCCATCTCGCACTCTTTAGGCATGGCGCGTATGCTTAATCGTGAGGAAACTTCACACTACGCTGAGTCAAGTCCAGAAAGACCAATGAGGCAAAAACAAACCGCCACAGAGTGTGATACCAAGCATCGGGAGGGCGAAGCTTGCCCTGGCGTGCCTGGCACTAAGCGCTAGTTCCCGCGAAAATGTGCACTGCGGTATGCATAGCATCGCTGCGTCCTGCAGGGACTCGCCGTCGATGCTCCCTTTCAGCCTTCACTTTCCCATTCAGGCATTCCATCCGCCTTCGCAGCCACGAGACCGCATAGGGGCATGAGAAGCCCGGACTCAGGACGATATGACGGGCATAACACTTGTACATGACATCTCAAGTCGAATCCTCGTGCGTACCCACTATCGTCCGCTGTCCTGTCGAGATGCCCTCGGTGCAACGGTTGTCAACGGGGGAGCCTTCAAGGGCTTCTGTTCCAGAACATTGAGATGATAGCCGTCAGCGTGAGACTCTCCATCTCTGCCTTCTGTTTGGCTCACTCGGTCTCGACACCCTCAGTATGGATGAACTTTGCCAAAGACCGAGCGCGGATTTCGAGGCAACGCTCAAGGGAAACAGGCATACCCTCCTTCGTCTCGCCTTTCCCGCAGAAGCACCGCACGGTCGACCTGCTGCGTGAGGTTTTGGATCTCTTGAGGAGGAGGAGGAAAAAGGGTTGTTTGGTCTGGCAAGGGTCCTTCTCGTACTCCAGCATGTATCTCGCCGTGTGCCTGGATAGAGTGATGGTACGGGCGTGGCGCAGATCCTGGAACATCATCCCGCCCAACGGGAATATGTGCGACAAACGTTTTCTGATCTGCGACGGTGTTTCTCACCCTCCCTGCCGCCTCGAGAGGGGGCACGCGATCGTGATGCGATTGGTCCGTCAACAAGGTTTGCACCCCCGTCTCTACAACACAGAGCCTCTTCGACGATCCGAATCGGTAAAGGCCCAGTTTCGAACCTGTCTCCATCACGAGATGCGGTCGCGGTCGCCGTGTTTGGCCTCAACTTTTCCGGTCTACAGTCCAAACAATATGCTTGATCTTGAGTTGCTGCCAGCTGGAATAACTCGTGAAGCACCAGACGGTGGAACGTGTTGCACGACAACCCCCCGGTCTCATCGAGCATCACCATGGCAAGCTGGGAGATTGTGCTGATGTCCTTCCTCCTCCGCGTGGGTGGGAGTTGAGGGTTGCACACCAAGATATCGCGAGAGTTTCTCGACTACAAAAGCAGACGAGAAGCCCGACCTTCTTCTCGCTTTTCCTTCCTCATCAGCATCAACAGTTCACTCTTCAGCAGTCTCTTCAGTTCTCCTCTCTCTTTAGGTTCTTTCTTCCTCCTCCGGCAGGATACCACTAGTTTCAACTCCTCTGGCAAGGAGCTTTATTATCTAAATCAATCAACATGTCTTTCAAGACCGCCGTCGCTGCTTCTCTCCTCGCTGCCGCCCAGCTCGTTGCTGGTCACGGTGCCATCATCGCCGCTCAGGGTGAGCTCGGTGGCTCCGGCATGGCTCTCGGCATCGACCCCAACACTCCTCGCGATGGCACTCGCCGCGACCCCTTCCAGCAGGACTCCACCCGCTTCAAGGGCGCTGCTGCCGACACCTTCGGTGAGACCGTCGGCGCTGGCAACAACGATCTCGAGTCTGGCACCAAGGCCATCATGGCCATGACCGGTGACCAGCTTCCCCAGGTCCGTGCCGGTGGCACCATCGACATGACCCTCCACCAGGTCAACGGTGACGGTGGCGGCCCCTACGACTGCATGATCAACGGCGATGCCACCGGTGCCTCGTGGACCAACATCAACGTTATCACCACTCCCCCGGGCCAGAACTCCCGCAATCGCGTAAGTCACTCGTACATCACCTCATTAGATTGAACAGCAACTAACAGTACCACAGCAAGGTGCCATGACCGACTTCCCCATGCGGGCTCAGATCCCTGCCGACCAGACTTGCACTGGTACCGTCGCCGGACAGAACAACGTTTGCTTGGTCCGCTGCCAGAACGCCGCTCGCGCCGGCCCCTTCGGTGGTATCGTCCCCGTCCAGATGAACCAGCCCGGCAACACCCCTGCCGCGGCCCGCCGCAACCTTGCCCGCGCCGTCCAGGAGACTGAGATGGCCTTCAAGCGCATGATGAAGCGTGCCACCGAGGCTGAGATCGAGGATGAGGAGTAAATGGGTCCGAACTGCACATATTCCAAGATTGAGAACTGGTGGGATTAGTCTTTCGTTGGAGGATTCACTTGTAACAGTACTGGTACTGATAATGAGACATGACTGCCTGCTCTAGCTGGAGTATGGACTTTCTTACACTCTTTTGCTCACACATTGTCTTCGTCTTCATTTCGCCGTGATTATTCTTTCCCTATTGTGACATATCATCAACTCTCCAGCACTTGCTTCCTTGTCTCCCTAACATCCACGATATGAGGGCTGTCATCACTCACGAAATTGCCACCCGGATTTCACCACTTCGAATTGTCGTTTCCTGATACTGCAAACAACCCCCAGAAAGTCACCATTTGCTGACTTATCCGCCCCTTCTCCCAACTTCCTGTCTTCTTCTGATACCAGACGACCCATAGACTTTGACGTTTGTTCTAGTGCATTTCCCCATACCAAAAGGCAGCACTTCTCGACTTGTGGAACGTGAAACGAAACAATGGTCCAGATACCACGGGCCACACACCATCACGACACACAGTCAATGCGCCTGAGCGGTCGCTGCTAGAGTTGGAAGAATGAAACGGCTTCGTTCTCTTCAGACGAATTAGGAAACAATTAAGCTTTCTGTTCCTGGAGAGGGGGATCTGCGCGCCCTCTCCGTCATTATCGGCACTGGCATCCGCACTTCAACTTTCTTTCCCCTGACAAGTTGAGCTGACTTTCGACGCAAACATGTCGCCCAGTCTTTTGAATGCAGACCTGCATGTTTCCTTTCACGGGACGTTGGAAGACCGGGTTGGGTCCATGGATGTTCGCGGACGGAGCTTTTCCTTTTTCTTTTTCTTCGAATGATTTCATGTTTAGGCTCGGTATAACATCCAATGTGCGTAATAGCAGAGAGATGTGGGAACGGGAGACAGAGCCAAGTGGACGATCATGTGGTCCGATCACTATTAAACGGCTGAATGCATTATTGCCGTGCCCGCACTCATATTTTATGATTTGTCGCAATGACGCTGATGCCCCCGAAGTCAGCCCGCATCGTGGTTTAAGGCGTGAAGCATGACTTGGCTAAAGTCTCTGGGCGATGTCATCTTGTCTATCGTTCTAAATAAGGACTCTCAGCAAATCTTTGTTGGAAAGTCAGAATGGGCTTGTTCAAGGAACTCAGATTTGTAGAGCAATGCGGCGCTCTCAAGATCTTCATCGGTGCACTCCCCGAAGTCGCTCATGGCCGCATTTTCCTGACCGCTAGCTGTCATATTGGCATAGACTTTCACAGAGATAGCTCTCCTCAAGTTATGAACACGATGTGCAAGACGCACAGTTCTCATGTCGTGACGTGTCCGGCCAAGCTCGACTTACGGGCTCTGAAGGAAGTTCGTGGCGTAGCATGAACAGCCATATGCCAATATAAAGCAGGAGGCTCAATATATGCGGGATCACTGCGTTCAACAGCACAGAGCTTGCGTTCATTTTGCGCCAGCATGATACGAAGAAGACTGTGCTATTCGATCGTCGAATAGTTCGGATCGTGACGGTCAAGCCGCGAGAAGCGATTTCGACTGTTAACCCTTATGATTCAACAACCACTACACTCTTATTGCGATCAATGAGTCGTCATGAGTGCCTGGTGTTCATATGAACGGCCATCCACACCAGCTATCTCATCAATCGGAGTGCCCAAATTCAAATGACGTAGTGCAGCATGCTGATGGTTTGCGACTAATTGAAGCCATAAAGGTTTCTTAGTGAGGCAGCTTAGCGCCTTGGCCGACGATGTGTTGGTGAGCACGGCTGCGGTTTGATCTCATGGCCTGAATTCCGTCGTACTCCAGCCTTTAATTCGTCTCATCCAGCCCGCATGATACACGATGCGTGCGGTTTGTCTTGAGCGTAATTTAAATCAACGTTGTTCGTGGACATGAAGGAGACTATCCGAACATTTGCCCAGAGTGGAAAGTGTAAATCGATGCTCAACGGAAAGTCCCAGTTGCTGGACATGCTCATCACAGAGAATCTTTTCTAGAAGCTCTTTTGATTTTTTTGCTTTCGGTCTCGCTTTCTTAGAGTCGAGCGCTTCAGTATCAAGTTCAGTTTGGGCTGCAAATGTTGAATCCCTCCAGTCTACATCATGGCTACAACAAGATGACTGGCAGAAACGTCATCGCTACACTCTTCCTCAGTTTTCAGCAACAGCATGGGCAAAAAAAATTCCATACTATTTTCGATGACTTACGTTCTAACGTGTATCTTCCAGTATGAATTTAAGTAGCTGCTGCTCCATGAATTGGAACATTGTTCCTTGTCTTCGTCCTACGGAACTGGTGTTTTTTTCGGTGTCCTCCGGCGGATCACCGAGTTTGGCCCCACATGGGCCGAACGGCCGGTGGAATCAGGTCCCGCCGTGCCCGGATCCGAACCATTCGCTGTATCCATTGGCTGATGCATACATTGGCGTTGAGTGAGACATTCTCTTCGCATTAGGGATGAGTGACTATCCCAGCGGTTCTAAAACCATACCAGGAGGTCGTACGTCGGTTTTCGATCGCCCGATGCCGACCATTATCACCAAATGCAGGTAATGAGCGACCGGCAGCGTATCTCCGTGCCAAGTTCTTAGGTAGAAAGGCATTTGCGTAGGATATTCGATTGATAAAAGCAATCACTAGCCACCGGCCGGCAGTTGTCAGCGCACGTTATCTCTAGCCAAGAGATCTGTGTTTGTCATGCCAAGCTCGCAATGCTTCTTGGCGTTTTCCCGCCCACGCGAGCGAGGTTCCTCAACGCGACGAACACCACTGGCGCTCCACACTTTTCACCGCTCTTATTCTCGGAGCTCGGAGAAGACATTGGGATTATGAGGTTTTCCCCGAAGCTACGCAGGAAAATGGCGACGACAATGTTCAATACGAGATTTTCTTCACAGTTACAAAAACTCGAGCTGATGGTGAACCACCCCGGCGAGATCGCCCACGTTGCCATCTAACTGGATACAGCTGCTTTTGAGTTGCCTGATGGGGTTGAATCCCTCCAGATATCCACTCCTGAACCCCCGTTTCCTGGAGCTCGACTGCAACTCATTACCTAAGACCCCTGAATCCGAAGCTCTTCGAGGCGTTGGAGCTTCCTGTTTTCTTTTCATGTCCGATTGTCTCCATTCTGCTGCGCATGCATAGGACCATTCCAATGCAGGCTAAGCCATCGAAAGATATCAGATCAGATGTGACCTGGTGATAAGAACACATTCATCTGTACACCACATCGAAAAGCTGAAGGTCGCTTCTCCCACGCCCGGGTTCCCCGCGGTTCCGATGCCGGGACTCTGAACAAGACCGGCCCGGTGGGCCCTTGTCGAATCCATCCCGCCAAGACACCACCGATATGAGCTTTTCAGAGGCGAGAACTCTAAGCCCCGGGGCAATGACATATGCGCGATTAGTTTTCCAGAGATTTTCTCTTGCTCGATTCCTCTGTCGTTACATTGCTTGCGGAGAAGGGTCCTGATAGTCGGTAACCGAGCACGCGGACCATGACACGAAAATCGACTAGAACTGGCATCCGGGGTGACGGACCTCGGTGACGAAGCCGGTAATTAATCTAAATAGACAATGCCCAGATTCCCAGTATTCGGCTAAGCCTCTGTAATCACCATCAAGGTGCTTATCAAAACTTCACTCGGTTGAGCCTCATGATCGTCTAAGTGGTTCCAGCATGTGGGATAAAGAGTCGGCGATTTCGTCCTTCCTCCTCGAGGTCCTGGCTCTCTCAACCTCCTTCTCGATCTTGTTTCCAAAGCCAAACAGCGACAAGACACCATGGCGGCTCGGTGGTCAACCCTTCTCACTGCTGCGGCGACTCTCTGCCAGTCCACTGTCGCAGAGCCCGTCTTTCGGGATAACATCTCCTTCAAGGGCCCCTTTGAAGTCGAGAGCAATGGTATCCGGAACATTAACATTGACTACAATGGTTCTCTAGATGGCGAGCTCGCTATTGTCTATGGTGCTTGCGACATCAAGACACCTGCGGACGCCCACCACAAGATCGGTCGGACGCACATTGGGTCTCACCCGGCGGCCAAGCGCCACTTGGAGTGGACCGACCAGAGACCTACCAAGTTCGTCTGGATGGTTCCCGAGGATGTCACCTCCGGATGTCTGCATGCCTTTGTGGACAACCAGCTCGTCGGACGCTCCGCGGAGCACACCGTCAAGAGCCGTAAGATGAGGAAGCGAGCCACATTCGCTGACTCCACCGACCCCATGGGTCCTTGGTTTGATGGTGTCGAGTATCTGAAGCAGAAGCAGCCCGACGAGGTCTTCGTCGCATCTGTCAAGAACAAGACATTCGGTATCTTGGGAGCTGGTATCTCCGGTCTGCACACTGGTGTAAGTCTCGTCATAAGCCGGACTGAGATCCTCTGGCTAACAAATGCTTCAGCTACTGCTCGACTCCGTTGGCATTCACAACTGGAAGATCCTCGAGTCTTCCGACAGGCTTGGCGGTCGCATTCACACCACCTACCTGAACGGAACTTCACCACAGGACGGCCAGCATCATGAACTTGGACCCATGCGTTTCCCGCACTCTATCCATGATGCCGAGACCAACGAGACATACCCCATCAACGACCAGAAGATGATCTACCAACTGGCCGACGTTCTCAACGAGATCAACAAGGATGCCGACCCCTCTCTGCAAGTCAAGTTCATCCCTTGGATCCAGGTGTCCGACAACGCTCCTGTCGCGACCAAGGAGCGTCGCCCCGATGGCACCGTTCCGGGCCGCAAGGAGATCGCGGCCAACCCTGCCCTGCAGAGCAACACCACGTACTCCAACGCCACTGCTGTGAAGGAGGCCATCCAAGCTCTGGACGACTTCAAGGACCTGACCCCGGAGAAGGCCAAGTTCTACGCCACCAACGTCTTCCAGGCTCACAAGCAAGCCGTCGAGCAGGGCATGTTTGACTTCAGCGAGGTCGAGTACCTGAGGTACATCATGAAGACCGATCTGAACGTCACCGACGAAGCCACTCCCTCCAACGTCGTCTGGCCCATGTGGGAGTTCGAGACCGTCTACTTCATGGCGAACGAGTGGCGCACCGTGGACGGCGGCATCAGCCGTCTCCCCGCTGCCTTCGAGAACATCGTCAAGGACCGCATTTCCTACAAGACCAAGGTCTTCAGCGTCAAGTACAACGAGGAGGCCAAGAACGTCAACGTCACCTGGCGCCCGACCGGTGGCAACCCCTGGTCGAAGAACACCACGACCGAGACATTCGACTACATCTTCAACAGCGTCCCCCTCAACGTCCTCAAGTACTGGAAGATGCCCCCCCACTCCAGCCTGCTGCGTCGCGCCATCGAGCGCACCGTCTTCCTCGGCGCCGTCAAGGTCGCCATGCAATACAAGACTCGTTTCTGGGAGCACCTCGAGCACCCCATCATCGGCGGCTGCGGACGTACCGACATCTACGGCATCGGCCAGATCTGCTACCCCTCTTACAACATCAACAGCACCGGTCCCGGTGTCATGCTGACTTCGTACGCCCCCGACGCGGATGCCGTCGTCGCCTGCTCCATGCCCGTCGAGGAGCACATCGCCTACATCCAGGAGGCGATGGTCGAGATCCACGGACCTATCGCCGACGAGATGTGGACCGGTAACTATGAGCGTCACTGCTGGGAGCAGGATGAGCACCACGCCGGTGCTTTCGCCGTCCCCATCGTCCCCCAGCAGCAGCTCTACCTGCCTGCCTTCTGGCAGACCGAGTTCAACACCGTCTTCATCGGTGAGGCTACGAGTTTCACCCACTCTTGGGTCTTCAGCGCTCTGGAGAGTTCCACTCGTGGAACCGTGCAGATGCTGCTTGATTTGGGTCTGGTGGATGAAGCCAAGGAGATCACTCGCACATGGATGGCGAGATGGATCAGCGTTTAGAGCAATTTGGCTCTACGCTGACACTAAAATTTCAAAATGTAGATAATGAAGACCTCGGGGCAATGATTGATGATAGATTTAATTACAGACAGCCTGTGGACATACATGCCTTTGAACATTTTCCAACCTTCCGTGCCAGCCAATTTCAAGAATGAACTGCTTGATTGGAGTTTTTGCCGTATGAGTCTAGAGCGGGCAATAGCCACAAATAAGTTTCAAGAATGAACACCGTCCATTGTGTACAAGTAAGCGGGGTTCGAGAGTGACAACATAGCAAGTCTCGAGTATGAACATGATCATCCCATCAAGGTGCAAAGTGCCATGATAGCCCAGAGCATGATGGCCAATATAAAAGACGTAATCAAGCCGCCCCGACCTGTGGAACCTGACTTAGAGTCCGGTCCGGAAAGGTCGGGTAGAAGTTCCCAGGTCAAGTTAATGCTGGTCGACTGCGTCTCTCCGATGAAACCAATCCCTCCGACGTAATCGTCGAACTTCCATTTCACATTCAAACCGTCTTTGCTCGAAAGCGAATTGAGGTTGTCATCGCTCATCGCAGACACCTCATACCCGTCGCTGTCAATGACGCGACCTTGCGTCAAGCGACCCGTCACCAACTGAGCGTTCGCTTCGTAGCCCATCCCATCCAAGTCTCCAAAAGCAGCGACGACAACGTTGGTCTTGTTGTCCAACGTACGGCGCACCGCCGTTTCGGACCCAGACGCCAACGGCTCTGCCTTGATCTGCCGAGTGCCTACGCCGCCGCCAGAGCATGTCTGGAGATCACTCGGCTGCACGGTCGAGCAGTCGAGATTCGACACGCGCACGATGAATTGGTCATCCGGCTTGATGTTGTTGTCTTTGTACCACGAGTTGAGGTAGTATCCCTGCAGCTGGTTCTCCCAGGCCGTGACGCAACGGACCCAGGCGCCGTCGCCTCCTTCGACGGTGGATTTGAACGGGAACTCATCGCACTCGGTTCGTCTGCCGGCTTCGGCGCCGGTGGACTTGATCACGTCTTTGCAACATCCCCGGCATCCGGAGTTGCGACCTCGCAGGCGAGCACAATCGAGTCCGTCGCCGGCGTATGTGAGAACGATTTCCTGGGCAGAGCGGCCAAGCTTGTGACGGATACCTGTGATCAGTGTCAGCGAATACGATACGTGAACCATGATGTGCAGAACACTGATTGCAACAGTTGCATACCTAGGCAGACGTTGATGGGAATCTAGGTGTTCAATCAGTAAATCTTGTGTGATCTCACTTTGGAGACACTGTCACTCACATCAGGGGCAACGATTGGGCTGATGTACACAAATTCCATGACAGGAAGATCCGATGACGTGGGCTGCGGTATGCCTGTAGCTGCGACATGTTTGCACTCAGTGCTAGTATCGGTTGCAGTGGCCGAAGCGGACGGTATCTTAGGCGTTTGAATCTTGGGCGTCGTGATTGGAGATGGAGTCGTCGATGAGCTCGTAGAAGACGTCGTAGTCGAAGTCCGCGACGTGGTCGTTCGTCGACATTGGCCATACGAGTCGCCACATTCAGAGCCAGATGGGCAACCTAAACTAATTTGAGTTGCAACATCAAGCAACGTTCATAGCCGACCTGACTTACAAACTCCTGGGCAGCATTTTGTTCCTTTACTGCAGCACCTCTCGTTGTTGCAGCATGACCACCCAGACTCGCAGCAGCCGTTCGAGCAACATGTCTCGCCGGGTCTACAGCCAGTGGTGCCGCCATCGCAGCAAACAGCTCCCCCTTGGAAGCATGATTTCCCGCCGCATGTTTCTGAGGTTTTGGGACAGCATTTATCCAACGAAGGGGCGCAGTTGGCAGTGGAAGGGCAACATCCACCCATTGGAGCTGGGCAGCACTCGCCCGCCCCGTCAGGACAGCAGCTGTCGGGGCACTTTGATATTACTGTGTCAGTGGAATCAAACAATTATTTGACAGTGACACAAGAGACGATGAAAGACTTGAACTGACGCATTTTTTGGAGGAACCGCAGCAACCGTTACCACAGTATCTTGGGCTGTTACTGGGACATGTCTGTCGACCGAAGAGCGAGCGCGCGTCCAGAATACTACTAGAGTTCTTCAGTATAGAGAGGTCTTTGAGTCCAGGATGAACATTGTTAGGAATTCCAGTTTCTCTCTTGTCGAAAAGAGATTGGAGTTCCGCAATGTCGGGGTTGTGATGGAAGCCCAGTAATGCGAAGACACTAGCAATATTGGTAATCGCTAGCCAGAGGTAGACGGCTCTCGCCATGGGGAGGGAAGTTGCCAAAAGCACACAAAGAAATATCAGTTACTAAGAATTAAATGTGAAGATTATTGGCGGTTCTGGGGAGATCCAGGCTTGGATCAAGATTTGGGAGGAAAGCCCCGTACGCTTTTAACCACAACAGCATCAAAGGAAGAGGCTCAACTTAGCAGAGGGGGTACCCTCTCATTCACATAAAGTGCAATCCAATTCAGACCGCCGGGAAAAGATAAGGTGTGTAAGATCTATGTGATCTTGGCGCAGATTGGCTAAGTCGGGGTCTAGTTGCACCGAAATATGTCATTAGAAGGGAAAGCTGAACATCGCAACCAAGACCACTCGGTTAGTGTTGCGTGGTGGCTGACCCCAACACCAATCACTCAGCACCATCGTTCCCCTCTTGCAGGTATGCCATGCACAACCCCTACAAGGAATGTCCAGCCACACTTACATCTTTGATATCACTCTGGCAGGTTGAGTGTATGGGCTCGGGACGAAAGGCGAGGATGGAGCGGCCCGTGGAGTAGGCAGTACGGCCATCATCACCGAGCCAGGCAAGTTCGCTCTGATTCAAACCAATTGTTGGCTTAGGTCAACATGATTCTCTCGTCGGAACTATGTCGCAAGACTTCATTCTGGTCTCAGTCTACATACACGATCTGAAGAGCGAACCGACAGTAATTACAAACGTCCGACACGAGCCGCAGTAGGACTCTCAAACTTCCACTGCTTGCACCAATGAATCATCAACTCCGGCGTGATTGGTCCAACCGAGCGAAGAGCCGGGCTGCTCGCGACGGTTCTCTTGGTGATGAACTCCTTCGTGGTATTCTCGTCACCCTGTGACACGCCTCGGTAGAAGTCCAAAAGCTTCAGACCGGGATTGCGCTCAGCCCCGAGAGCGTTGTTCGCGGTTCGGCTAGCCTCAAGTCGCTGAACCCACTCCGGGAAACTGACAAGGTCGGGAAGTCGACTCTTGCCGTAGTACTGTTGAATGGCGGGGACCAACTTGTCGAAAGAGGTGACCGAAGGGTTGGAACCGGTGAAATATCCCTCGTGGTAGTCCGTCGACTCTTTGGTAAGGCCGCCGACATCTAGACACATCCTCGACATGATTTCCACGGGTACCCAGGAGACCTCGTTCATGCTCGCCAGGTTCTTGGGCAAAGCCTTGATGTGAAGACTGCTGGCGATGATGGAGGGCAGCCATTCCTGACGACTCCATGCACCGCCCTCGGCAAGCGGTCCTGCAATTTGGCCCACACGAACTATCGCGTACGGGAAGTCTCCAGCCTTGGCCGCATCCTCCAGAATCATGCTGGAGACGAGCTTGCTCTGGCCATAACCGAGACCTCCGCCAATCGCCCAGTCGCCCCGAAGAGATTCTTCCGGCACCGGCCCACGATCGGGAGTCCATCCACTCACGGTGCCAATTGTCGAGACAAAGACCATGACGACACGCCTGTCTGCCTTGGCGGCAAAGTCGGCGAGGTTACGGACGCCTTTGACGTGAGGCTCGAACGCTTCGAAGGGCATGTTGAAGTTCACGGCCCACGCATTGTGGACGATCCGGTCGACCTCCTTCAGAAGACGCCCGTAGACTTCCTCGCGTAGCCCCATGTTGGGCTCACCAAGGCTTGTGTGGAAGAACTCGACCTTGCCACTCTTGCTGGGAGACTGGAGGCCGCGCTCTTCCATCGCCTTCTCCTGCTTGCCAGCGCCACCATCAGGCGACCGGTTGAAGCAGATAACCTTCTTGATCTGTGGATTTCGGATCAATTCGTCGAGCAGGTAAGATCCCATGTTGCCCGTAGACCCGGTAAGGATGACAGTCTGCTGATCCTTGCGTGCCTCGGGCCGGTTCGGTTTGGCGTGGATCAGGTTCTGTGAAAGACGCCCATAGAGCTGCTTCATGGCGTCCAGGTTGGGAACTCCCGGGTGGGCTTCACCATTCACCTTGCCGCTGACAATGTTCTGGAGGATGTGTCCAGCAAGCTGGATTGGGCTTGCATGAGCATACATGTCGCGCGCCTCGATGCTGACTCCGCTGTATGCCTTGTCCGTGACTCGAAGACTTGCTGTCAGTATACGGGCGGCGGTGATGATCTGAAGTGAGTCCATGCCCGCAGCAAAAAAGTCGGTATCGGCCTGCATCGTGGGGACACCCAGGTGCTCGCGGAAGAGCTTCTGGATTGACTGAGCCAAGGCAGCATCGGAACTGAGGTCCAGACGAGGGACCTTGTCGAGGGGAATCTCTCTTGGGTTGGCGTACAGTTCCTCAATCTCATCATGGTACAATTTGACAGTCGCCGCTCTCTTGACGCTGCCCTTGTCGGCCAAGAGGAAGGGCTTCTCTGGCTTCGCAAGCATGATCAGGTGTCTGACAAGTCGACCGTGGGTAGCTGCATGCACAGTCAATAAAGAAATTCAGTGCGTTTTCTTCGTGGGACCCTTACCAATTGTCTTGTTCGCCTCGGCCACAATGGGCATGATTCGGTCGATGAGGTCGTCCTCTTGCTCTTTGGTCTTGGGGTAGACCATGGGCTCGATGATGAGGGCGGGCTGGAACTTCCAAGCTCCAACAATTAGGGCGTTCCGTATGTCAGGGTGACCCATGATGATGTCCTCCATGTCGGTGGGGTTCAACTTCTCGCCGTTGGATAGGTTGATGATGTTGTCGGCTCTGCCGTGAAACTTCCACATATGCGGAATGGTCGGATGCGGTTTGTAGAGGTCATTGGTTTTGTACTCCTCAATGTTCGGAAAGGTGTAGAAGATGCCCTGAATAGGCACTTGCTTCGACTTGCGCGTGATGACCATCTCGTACACGTCTTCTTCCCCCGTTGCTTTGCGCCAGTCTATGCCCGAGTACTCATCGTTGTAGATGAAGTACTGCCACAGCTCCGGATTCTTCTGGTACCAGATGCAAAAAGGAAGCGTTCTGCACAATCAGTATGCTTTCTGGCTAGAAGAGACGGCTGTTGAGATTGAGACTTACTCGGTAGCTCCGATGATATTGATCAGCTTTACACCATGTTTGACTAAAGTGTCACCCGCCTGCTGACTCAGAGGACCTGGACGTGATCAGTCAAGTTGCAAGACACTCGTTTGGGAAGATGTACATACCGCCGCCGAACCCGACAACTTTGAGACTGCTTAACACGGCAACGTGATCCGGGCGATGAGACATCTCCTCCAGCACAGAGGGAGGCAGACCAGCCCCGTCTGAGTTGGAGTACTTGATGCACTCTATGCAGAGATCGGGCGTCAAGGGGCGATCTCCGTATGGAAGAGCGAGAGGCTTTCCACTTAGAATCATGGTGCCAAGGAACCCGTAAACTCCGCCGGCGTGGAATAACGGCACTATCACCAAAGGTCAGGGTTTTTTCCGTCGATTGAAAGAACCATACTCACTTGGGCTGAAATGCCTGGATGACATTTTCTCCATAGCCTGTCCCATGGGCACAGTTCCATTCCACTCAGGCAGATGCCGAAGAGCGCTGGTCATTGTGATGGAACCATGTTTGGTGACGATGGGTTTCGGAAGCCCCGTGCTTCCACTGGTGTGAAGCACCACGAACGGATCCCACTCGTTTTCCTGGAGGGTTTTGGTGTATGGAATATGGGGAACTTCTGGCTGAGAAAGAATGGACTCCAGCTCCTCAATCTCAAGGACATCCATGGGCCAGTGCTTCAACCATTCATCGACAACAGCCACGTGAGACTTGGGCCGAGCCACTATGTGGCAGTCGGAAAGCTTGAAGAGGTTCAGTTGAGCCTCGAGCGGGTTTCTTGGCGAAACAAAGAGTGACTTGTATTGTCAGCAAATACGCATTTTCAAGCGGTCTCACAGAGAAACCAACCTTGTACCCAGCCTTGATGGCCGCAACAATCATAATCTGTGGTCCGGTCAGCATACGACATCTCACTCATCTTGTGAGAAATCCGGCAAGCTCTCACCCCGTATCTGATGTCATTTTGCCCAATGTAGCAGATGGTAGGAAACGAGTCTTTGGGAGGTGCACCGTAGTTCTGCAGGATGACCTGGGCCATGTAGTTGATGCAGTTCGCCAACTCCTTGTATGTGATGATTCGCCAGCCATCGCGCGGATCCGAAGTGCGGGGAATGGAGCAAGCTTCCCTCTGAGGCTCATAGGCCGCTCGCTGGTCAACGATGGCGGGAAAGGTAAGGTGAGCCTCAGAAGTCAAGGTAGCGGGCTCGGTGACTTGAATAGTTGTAGTAGCCATGTTCACGATTTGGATTACTAGACTGAGACGTGGTTTTAACACATATGGCAATGTAATCACGCCGCACACAACGGCGGCTGGAGATGGGAGCAACCCTTTTACATATAGACTCGGCATTCCCTCGGTTCTGGTCGTAGAGATGAGACGACACGTGACGATTTGGCGGCATTTCTAAGCACGAGAGGGGAGATACTGGATGAGTTGCTAAAACCGAAAGAGTCTAATTTGCTTAGAAGACGGCTCTACAGCCAATTGAGTTCGGATTCGTTCGTTACAGAGTTTCATATCGGGAAGCTCGGTCGGGGTTGACGCCTTGAGTTTCCGTTTCGGTGGCTTACAAGCGCCGGCCGATAGCATGGACGAAGCGGGAGGACCAGGTGGTCGGGACCGGCGACGCATAAGAGCTGCCGAACGTTCTGATATGTTCATGAGGAGGTGTGTTACCACTTCAACACATTGCAGGAATGCAAGTTTGAATCTTGCTAGTATACAGGCCTAGCTTTTGCCTGTGATGTGCGGCCGGAAAGTGGAACATTATCCGCCACCGGCGGCTTCAAAACCCTCACTAGACTTTACAAAAAGCGGATACGTGTATTCTCTCCGAAGCTCACAAGTATAGCTGTATCTTTCCTTCTTGATAAACATGAAAGCTGACCGAAAGTACGCGTACGGCGAAACAGATGGCCTTGCTATTTGCCGGACCCGCAACTTTCATACTCTAGCCCCCTTGAATTACTAAACGCGATATTCGATCCTTGAATCTCGGACACGTTTGGCATCAGGCCGATGAAGGCACCGGCGGACGTCTTCTTCGTGAATATTCGTCCCATCATCGCGGTGGAGAGCGATTATGCCTCGGCATACCATCGTGTCGTGCGGGGAAGCTCGAAAGCCTGGCCATAGCTTCGACAAGTTCTTGCTTCAAGCTTCTCTCGTTATCGCGACGCACCATGCGGCCTCGAATTTTGTCCGTTACGTCAATGTGCCCGCAGGATGAGCTACCCAACCTTACAATAAGACTTCCGGGTCAGCCGCGCTGGACAAGCATGCTATTGCTGAATAATGCTACGTATGTGGTTCCAGTGACCTAGAATGAGATACTGCACAATGAATAGCATTCTCGTGGAAGCTACCCGCCATCCAGATGAACCGTAGGGGTTTCCATGATGGAGAGCTTGGGATGTATCAGTCGGTAGTTGCATAGTTGCAACCAACCCAGCTCACAGGCTCCAAACCCATTTGCCGTCTTGTATCCGGATGTCCGGCCTCCTCTTTTAAGTTCGGCTATCAAAGTCAACCGGCCCGCGTTCATAGTCCGTCGGTCTGGGTGGAGCGCGACCGCCGAACGGCCGGGACCCTCACTCCGGACGCGTTATCGGCAATGACATATGCCGTATATGTCGTCACAGCCACGCGCAATTCAGGGAATTGGCCAGACAATGGTCCTTACTAGTCACGTTGTTGTTAGTGGCAGCAGCCCTCACTTAATGCCTAGGAATCTTTCGAGTAAGCGTTACTGGACGGGTTTCAAGCTTGAGCCTCGGCGAGAATCTTCCTAGAACGGCTGAGCAGCCGAAACTGAAAATTGCACATGCGTATTCATTGATTTTCTCCAAAGAAGTGAGCGGTACTTATTTCGGAGAACTGCAAAGATGCCGACTTAACCAATCCCAATAAGCATAGCAATTCTTAACATGTGACTCGCCTCGAGTTGGATATGATTTAGTCCGATGAAAAGTTTGGGATGAACCGTTGGAACCGTTGAATACCAAAACACGATGACGTGACATTCTAATGTTGGGTATTGACTACAAGCCATCTAAACGACAGAACTCCAGTCCATTCTATGATAACCGATAAGAAACTCCCAATGCTTCCAAATGCCCAATTCTAGCCTAGTCAAACACATCCGTGACGTAACGGATGTTCCTCAACGCCTCGAACCACTCCTTGACACCCTCGGCATCCGTCTCTTCACCCTTGGCCTTCTCCATCTCAACCTTGATCTTGATGATAGTCTCCTTCGCCGACTCCGCCACGCCGCGAGAGCCACAGACGTAGGCCTTGGCGCCCTGCTTCCAGAGCTCCACGAGCTCCTCGCGGTCCTTCCACATGCGGTCCTGCACGTGCTTGCAGCCTTCGCTCTTGTCGCAGTCCCGGCTGAAGGCGCGGCGGACCGAGACGGCGCCGGCCTCCTCCCACTTGTCGAACTCGTCCCGGTAGAGGTCGTCGTGCTCGGGGGAGCGGCAGCCGAAGAAGAGCAGCGCGGGCGCCAGCGTGCGGCCCGCGGCGATCATGGTGGCGCGCTCCTGGATGAAACCGCGGAAGGGGGCGAGACCGGTGCCGGCGGCGACGCAGATCATGGGCGTTCGCTCGGGGTCGGAGGGGAGGCTGAAGGCGGCGTGGGATGGGCGGATGGCGACGTGGAGGGTGTCGCCCTCGGCGAGCGAGTCGAGGTAGGATGAGGCGACGCCGATGTAAGGGCCCTGACCGGAAAGTGACGGCTCGTTAAGAACGGAGAAGGTGAGGGTGACGTTGGAAGGGTAGGCCATGGGGGAAGATGAGATAGAGCTGGCTTGCGTTAGTGCGTCTGAGATTTGTTTGTGTGAATAGGATTTAACTTACTATTGTCTGACACGCATGGGCGGCATCATAGAAAGGAAGACGCCGATGGGCAACTCAACGGAAGGGTAGCGTTCCAGCAGGTCAAGAACTGAAGCGCGCTTCGCGCTGACCTCATCGGCATAGGCGTCGCCGCCAAGGCGGTTCAGGGTTGCCTTGGTCTCCTCATCCTTAGCGTACTCTGCCAGAGCGAGGAGATTCCTCTTCGTCGCAGGCTGCGAGAGCTCGACGTACGAGCTCAGGAGATCATTCGCCGGCACCGAGCTGTCGATGGGCAGCGAGGTAGGTCCGTCCGTCTTGATGCTGAGATGGGCGTCGCGAGCCAGGTGGAAGCGGCGCATGGCGCGGTGTACGTTCTCCTTGGGGTTTATGGGGAGAACGGCGAGGTAGTCACCCGCGGTGTAGGTCATACCCTCGGGTAGCTTGATCTCGACATGCTTCTTGATGCTTCTGGGGTCGCCGCCCTTCGTGAGAGTCTGGGCCTTGACGACAGAGGCCTCCTTGACATCCTGGCGCAGTGCGGACGTGCGAGGGTTGCTGATGGTGACGTCGACGCCCTTGGTCTTGCTGTCATCTGCGCTCGTGGTCTTGTACTTGTTGGTCAGTGCAGGCCAGAGAACGTCATCCTCCCAGCTCTCGAAGTTGGTGAAGACCTCGCCGGTAGAGGCATCGGTGAGACCGGCCTCGGCCAAACGCGTCGCACCAAGCTGTTCCATGGTGCTGTCGACGAGCCTGGGGATACGGTGGAAGGTCTGCACCCAGTCCTTGTGACCGCATCCGAAGACGGCGTAGGAGACGTCCTTGAGAGGTGCCTTCTCCTTGTCCTGGCCCTCGATCCATGCGACAAAGTGGCCAGCATTGTCGGGAGGCTGACCCTCATAAGAAGCGGTGATGATGACTACCGGCTGGTCTGTCGGCAGACTGCCATTGGCGCTGTCGAGGCAGTCGATCTTGGTGGCGCGGAAGCCGTGAGACGAAGCATCCGACGCAACTCTCTGAGCCAGAGCCTCACAAGTACCGCTGTTGGAACCGTAAAGGATGGTGAGCGGCATTCCGTCCTTGCTTTCAGCAGCTGCACCGTTGGCGTTGCCATTGGCGGAGGCGGGGGCCTTCTCGGGCTCGGCGAGACCAGCCAAGCGACGCTCCAGCGTCGTCGGCGTCAGGTTGTCGCGCAGGATGGCGCGCATGTGCATGTCCTTCGGCTTGATAGTCAGCGTCTGCTTGACGCCGAAGGTGTAGTTCGGGTCCAGAACGAAGTTGAAGTTCTGGAGAAGCATGACCATGACCAGGAGGGCCTCCTGCCAAGCAAAGGGCCGACCGATGCACGCCCTCATGCCGTTTCCGAACGGCTTCCACGAGTTGGGAAACTCCTTGTTGAGGCGGTTGAAGTTGTCATCGAACATGCGCTCCGGCTTGAATTCGTTGGCGTCCTCGCCGTACACGGAGGGGTCGAGTTGGGACTTGGCTAGCAGGTTGATGATGGTCTCGCCCGCCTTGACCGGGTACTTTCCGCCGAGAAGGGTGTCCTCGAATGGCTCGACGGTGAACAGCGGGATGGTGGCGTTGATGCGGAGGGTCTCGCGGAGCACGCCGTTGATGTAAGGGAGCTTCGAGAGGTGGTCGACCTTGATCTGTCCCTTGCCGACGACGCTGTCGACTTCCTGCTGGGCCTTCTGGTAGGCCTCCGGGTGCTTCAGAAGCTGGTAGAAGGCGAATGAAAGGAGACCAGATGTTGTTTCGTGTCCGGCAATCAAAAACGTGATCAGGTTGTCCATGATACTCTCATCAGTCATCTTCTTTCCGGTCTTCGAGTCGACTCCTTCCAGCATGGCCGTCAGCAAGTCGCGACGGGTGCTCCTCTCTCCCTCGGCCTTTCGTGCCTCCAGAACTTCTCTCGCGGTGCTTCTGAGAACCTCAATATCGTCACTGAACTTCTGGTCCCGTCCGCGGAAAAAAACTCCTGGCAGGGGCGGCCTGCGAGACTTGTTGCCGGCCTCGACCAGGAAATCGCCCATTGCCTCAATAAATGGGTGAAGAACTGGCGAATAGTAGCTGTTGAAACGGTAACCCATGGAACATAATGCCAGGGTATCGAGGGTCAATCGGGTGAAATCGTCGGTGACCATAATCTGCGATTCGGAGCCGTATCGTGCCCACTTGAGTGTCAATTGAGTGGCGATGTCGTGCATCTCATCGAACATGTTGCGAATTGAAAGGGGGCCGAATGCAGGCATGAGAACGCGGTGTGCGATGCCCCAATTCTCCTCACCCATTTTCGCCTGGCGTCATAGTTAAGATTTGCTCATGATCACTTTTTTTGGTTCATCTAAACTCACTGTGAAAAGGCCGTCGTGGACGCCATCTCTGATTTCCTGGAGCGGGGTCAGATCGTGAACTTCAAATGAGTGGAATTAACTCACATTTAGCGCCGAGTTGATGGACTTCTTGAATCGCTTCTCATCGCAGGTCTCATTGACCAAAGCTCGCGTCGAGACGACGACGATCGAGCGGCCAGGGAAACGCAGACGGTAGACCTCGCCTTGGCGTGCAGATGTCAGAAGCTTGCCATCGATAAGATAGGGGAGGTGGCCAGGGTCGTAAGCTTACCGTATTGATCGGCCAGCGACATCATGGACCCCAGGGGAAATTCAGGGTTGATCTCATTGATGTTGCCGAGAAGCGGCAGCCCCCAGGGCTCTGGGATTGGTACCGTTTCCGACATGTTGGTTGTGTGATGTGTGGTGTGTGGTGTGGTAATGAGAGAGTAGGTATCACTCCACGGTTATTATTTCTGGTCGAATACTTGGATGGTTACGATGGAGGTATCGAGGAGGTAGCGAAGAGTAGCTTCAACAATAGAAATGATTAAGGAGGAGTTTACGCCTGAATCTGGACTAGACACAAGTTATTAAGACATCTTTCGAAAGGGGATTCGAGCCTGATAATATTCACAATCGCAAAAGACTTGGCCCCATACAACGGACACAGCTAATCTCTTCGTCACGGCGTTGGCGTTATGCCTCGGCCCCGTCATCATGCGTGGAGCACTAGGATGAACGCTGATATCATGCCCGAAAAAAGATTTCCCTTATTTCCACTTTTCCCACGGCGACGTGGGCTAATCCCGGCGTCGTCAATGGTCGAGACGAACGGGAATCGTGCCAGCTTGTCACTCAGAGTCGGCCATCCCGCCCGTCCCCGTCTGCATGTGTACTTCGCCAGTGGTGAAACAAGGCATTCGGCACCTTTCCAAACCCGCCCCGACATGGACTTTCCATGTTTCCATTGTATGCAGAGGACTTCTGCTAGCATGCCATTTGAAGCTCCGTCGACTGGCGTTTTCCATCCTCCGACCGGCCGACCAACCGCTCCGTGGATTTCATGTAGAATGATTCTCCGATCCTCCTGCTCCGTTCTCTGAGCTCCGTCCTATGATGATGAAGCGAAAATAAGCTGCTTAGCACGTACGCCACTTTGTCACATCAGTAAGACACACATACTGCATGTAAGATGCTTAGCTTGCGGCCAGTTTGGCGGTGTGTCAGGGGTTAGCTCCGTCTCGTAGCCAGCGCTGCAGGCCCGAACGGAACGGATTTGAGCTCCCGTTTCTAGCCCTATCATCGTTCGGAGATGATGAGAAAAAATAAGTGAGAAGCAAGTGTGCCGAGGTCGCCGATTCATGGCACCATTCCCCCTTTTACGAATCTGCCCAGAAACCACTCAAGGCCCCCAACAATTCCAGGACCGTTACAACGTTGGCGTGCTTGGCCCATGTCCAGGGACACGATTCCCGAGATCTGATCCCCTAGCGCACCTCCACGGCACAGCAGGCCCTTGATGAACACCGCTCACATGGCAAAGCGTAGGGCCGCCTCCGCGGCGCCCTTCACCTGGAGCGCCGGCAGCAAAATTGCTCCATGCCCGCTCCGTCGGGCAGACCGAAATGGAACGCCCGCCGCTCCGTGACCGGTCTACGGATGTTACGGTCGCTCGTCCGTTCTCTTGACTTTGCACTTGCAGTTGTGAACTCCTACCGCTCGGAAGTCTGCCCGACGGCCATTTCATCAACATCGTCAACCAACTTGGCAGCGGCCTCCAATCCCGACCAGCTCGTTCTCGTTCTCACATTGCGGGGAACATTGACGCAACAATAGCGCCAGTCAGACCTAAAATACCCTAAAGTTTAACTCTGCAGGCCAACTGACACGTACGTTGGCCTGAACATTGAAGTTGCAAGATGCATGCCTGAGTACGAGCTTTTTAAATTTCCGTGACACGTTGCTTTTCTGATGTATGAGTGAAGCGGCACAGGATGTCTGAGATGTTCACCGACGGCGGCAGTTTTCCATAATCTCCAATCATTCGGTCAATAACATTCGTACCTTTCATCAGAAGCGCATTAGCATCATTGTACATGTACCTGCACTATCACCATTGCTGTTACTGCTCACGCTGCGCCGCCTCTTTTTAGCACGGGTTTAATAGCCAACTGAGAAAAATGGGCTTAATCAGTCTCAGAGTTTTCTCTCTAAAGATCAGATCGCTGGAGTCCGTCTCAGGAAAACTTTCCTAGCAAAATATGTACTGATGTTATCACTGATGTTATCAGCCTTTTTATGCTCTTCTTGCGCATTTCCATTGGGTAGTGCCGAAAGAGAGATCGGGACGCCTCACAAATCATGTTTAGACGGCCGGGCCCGGCGCTGTCTCCACTTCCGCGCCGGCTACGGCGAAGTGGGGCATCCCGGCTTTGACCGGCGTGACCGCGGGCCTCGCTCCTGCTCTAAACCCCCGTTCCGTTCTATTCCAGCCATATATTCTGGCTGACAAGACTCTCCTGATGTTTCTGGATCACGCGGTTGAAAATCCCTTCGAGAACAACCTCTGGCCCAATTACTAAAATATCATTAACGTGCGTAGCCATCGTGATGTTCAAGACCTCACAGCGATATGCTGCGTCATCCGAGCTCAGTGGCGTAGAAGATCTTTGGCAACTTTCCCGTCACTTCCAATTACTATGCCTTATATACAGTGCTTTGCTTAGTCTGATAGATTGTTCGTGATCCGCTTCATAACCGCACGATGTCGTGGGTCCTCTGGATCGATCAGCTACAGCTTCCAAAGCTGAGACCCGTGATCTTGGGGCACCTTGATCAAACTCGGTTCAAGGCGATTCAAAACGGCTACTGGATGTATTTCCGACAGTCGGTTGAACTCCAGCCTATGTCGACTTGTTGCCATTCAGCATCAAGATGGCTATCTGTGGATAACACCCATATGTTCAGTTTGTGCAGCCGGCTAAGCTCCCCTCGGCACAGAATCCACCTGTGAAGACCAACAGCCCAGTCGTAGGCCACATTCAGCACGTAGTCTCCCGCCTCCACGCTTTGTGAGGAATACCGCTCCACCTGCAATGACTGCCCCTTGTCAGTCCATACTGTTTCACCTCTTGCTCCAGCGACTTTCATGACCGGGACATTGCAAATGAGTGTGCCTGTGGTAGATAGATGACCTTTGGCGGTAGGTCTCATGTGCCATGAATTGCCGCCCCATTGGGTGTCCGATTTACGCCTCGGCATCCAGCCTTTCCCATCTTCAGCATAAGACATCTTATGCAGCAGTATGTCTGTGTGCACCCCTCCTGAGGCTGCCAATCCCGCCAGGACGTCAGCCACGCTCACTGTATAGTCCACTTTGACCTCTTCGGGTGGATGTGTCAGTCCTATCACTCCATATAACCCGTCGTTTTCCAAAGTGGCGTCTCTGTGGGCTGTGGCCCTCAAGGCAGCCGCAACAGTTTCCCCTCCACTCCACGCCTCTGTACCCATCCATTTCTCATGTTCTGTGGTTTTGCTCGCAGAATATCCTGTTTCGTACAGAGTCATACCTTGGGCTGTGATGCTGACTGGTAAAGAAACTGTGCCTGTTGCGATGTGAACGGGGTCCATTATCGCGTATCTGGTTACTGGCGAGTGGTCTTCGTAAGACAGCAGGGTTGCCACTCTGTTGGCGTCCAATACTTGCCCTGTTCCTGTCGAAAACTCCAAGCAGCTGGAGGCCATGGCCTCTTGCCAGGTCCACACTCTGCCCATCCAGTCGGAAGGCAGCAGCCGGGCTGCCAGCTCCTTCACATGTTTCCTGAAGTACTCCCGGTCCCAAGGCCCATCTGTTTCCATCAAATCCTTTGGCACTTGACTCCTGATTTCTGGAATGACAGCAAATGTTTTGTAGGCTGCTCCGTACTTTTCTCTCATCAATGGTATCTGTTCTTTTTTGTGCTCTCCACAAAGTTGATCGACACACCTCTGATCCATCCACAGGTGTTTGCACTCCCTTACGGCCGTTGTCTTGACTGTGGCCATCAATTCGGGTGTCCATTGTCCCCACACATAGCTTAGAGCAATATAGGGTTGTCCCTGAGCTTCGACGACTTGATCGTTCTCCAGATCCAACAGTTTATCACCCCGCATGCAATTCTTCGTGCATTGGTGTGTTTGAGTAGAGGCAGTTGGCTTTGGAGCTGCGACAGCAGGTGTGGTTGCAGCTGCAGCAGCGGCTTGGCTGCGTTGCAGCCTTACGTACCTGCCGGTCAATGTTTGGTGGGCAGTTAGCACAGCTTGCTCTGCAAGCAACACCACCTGCTCCCCCGCGTATGCCGTTACGCCCCTTGGGAAGTTTTCCGCTCCTTCGGCATGATCCCAACCCATAATTTGCGCTCCGGCATGACTTGCTTTGCGTCGAAGCCCCCCGTTGTCTTTGAAGAAGCGTTCGGCCTCTTGCTGGAAAGCCGCGACATTGTGTACCGCTGCCTCATTCTGAGGCTCCCACACGCCATGTTCGCGACTCCATTGGCCGCAGTCGACTTCCCCTTCACTCAGCCGGGTCTCTGTCCCTCTCCTTGATAGTTTGCATTCTACTGCCTCCCAGGGCGAATTGCGAGTTCGTTGCATCATGTAACGCCCCCAGACTGCTGGACCCGGGCTGGATTTCTCGGCAATTACCATGTACGTGCCGTCCTCCTCATCCTCCTTTTCGGTGTCTGGCCTGATATCAAGATTCCCCATGGAGCTATCAACGCCGCTGTAGGATCCTCGTGATTTGAGGCTTGATCGGGTTATTTTTGATGTCCTTGGAGTTCTAGGCGTCTCGAGGCCTCTCGGGTAGTTAAGGATCGGGATGGTAAGGTTCTGAGGGCAATCTACGTAAGGTTAATCAAAGTTCACATTGATTCATGGAAGAGAGGCTTACGAAGATCCGGGCTCAGGCTGCCCTTGACGATGCGGGGGATCGTACTTCCAGCGCTTCATTCAGTAGTGTTGTCATGCAATTATGGCGTCCGCCTTCGAACTTGGGCAGGTGAAGTGAGAGGTATGGGCCGAAAGCAATTCGCGCGAGTTTACGAGGTGAGTCTTTAAGAAGGCTGAGCTTTGTTTGTATTTCAAGCATTGGGCAGCTTGACGGCATGTGGACGTCTGCATTGCTGCCTGGTGCACCGCAATCGCGCCAATAATCTTGATTCTTGAATGAGGCGGCAGTTGCTCTCAACCGTACACAGTAAGCAGGCTGCGCGGCCTCGGCCCTGCTGAGTCTGCCTTGAGATAAGCCATTGATTCATCGTGGTTACACCACTCAGACCCTGGCCCTCTGCACCGGGTTGGGCCTATGTCGATCGGGCCTGACTGCCCGGCGGGAGAGACCAACGCAGGCAAAGGATATGCCTAATTACTATGTAGGTAGGTAAGGTGTCCAAAGCAGCGAATGAGTTCAGCTAACAAGCTTCGACCAGATGATTCGTAAGCTAACCGTCCAGTGGACAAGTGTGAAATATTCCACCATTGGATTCTAGATGAATTGAATCCAAGAGTCTATTCTGCAATGTGATCATTTCCGTCATTCATGTCTCTCTTTACTTGCAACACGCCAAGCTATAGCCAACAAGGACCCATCGACTCGTATTCCATGGATGAAGCTGCGCTTTCGCAATAACTGCAGGGAACCTTCTACCGTCACCAAAGATCGGTATAGCGCCCAAGTGCAAGCCCGCGCGGATCAAACAGCCCGTGAACGGAATCCCAGCCTGTCTTCAGTTGCGCGATCGGCAGCCATTTCAACCGCAAGCTCTCAACCTCTGCAAGTTCAGTCTCATCTTCAGGCAACAGCCCACACTCCCGAAGGATGTCTTCCGGTGGCACTGTCTTTCTGCCGTTTTTGAAGACGTATCGCGCAATTGACGAGGCAAGAACGGCCTTCTGAAGATCATTCTCCTTATCGTTCTGAATCCCGCCCTTCTTCGGTTTCGAACTCCCAGGCTGCATCGCGTACTCGCTGGGTACGAACTTGCCCGCCTTGACGAAGTGAGAGACGAGATAAATCCACTTCTCATCCCAAGCCAACACCCGCGTCCACAACTCGTAAGCCTCGTACGGCGCAATCTCCTTCCGCCATACGCAATTCGCGCCCCCCAAGATCATCACGAGGTGCTTGGGTCCGGGGAACGGGTTGAACGGTTTGCGGAAGAGGACGAGACTGATGTTGCCGCGCGACATGTCGAGGTCCGTGAAGTACGTCGAGTTGGACTTGTGCATGTTGTAGTCGCACTCGAGAAGCGGCGAGCGGGTCGCGGAGATGGCTGGGAGGAGGTGCTTCGGGGGCGCGGGGTCTGTTAAGCGGCGGATGAATGCGCGGAGGAAGCGTATTTAGGGCTCTGTTCAGGCTTGTGAAATGCGATTATATGCTTTGGGTGACATACCGTCCACATGAAATGCCAGCTCTTGACATTGGCGAGCGCCAGTCCGATCAGTAGTGCTCTCATATTAAAGAAGGAGAGAACCAATTGTCCTACGGGGGCGAGACTACTCCAGACGGCTGCCATCTTGCTTTGGAAATTTCTCTCTGTTGATCTCTGGAGTTTAACGGCTTAAAATGCGTTATATGGCAGATGGCTACATGTATGGTTCAAGTATTTTACTGAAACTGTCATGGTCTCCACACATTGAGTCTTGATCCATCTAATTCCGAAAAGCTTTCATCATATTCAGCTACCACGGGCACAATCTGATATGTTGAGTCGTCATCATAGCAAATGTTGAGAGCTGTCATAACTAGGAACGGGGGTGAGGCTCAAAGCACACTGACCCCGTTGGAGACATGGAAAGAATTTTCCTCCGAAGAGGCGGACACGTCCCGGAAGAACACTAAAGCCAACAACGACTATCCCGGCGGAGACTGCCAGGCTGTTTCCAAGGACAGTACAACGAGTGCCAAGATTGACAGGAATAGGATCCGGACCTCGGTACTTTGTGGGACCCCGAGATTCCCGGTGATTGACACGGAGTAGTCCGCCGGAGGCCCGAGGGTAGTAGAGTTCAAGAAGATGAGATGTCTCGGCAATGCTATGTTTTCCTCAATTTCAGGTGTGTTTGTATCAACTTGTAGTGATCTGAAGGCTCGCTTCCAACATTCAAGTTCGACGCAAAGTAGATCAATTACAACCTATCGGACTTGTCCTGTCTGCATCACCATGAACTTACGAGGTGACTCCCAAGATGCCGAGGCACTCCAATCTTTTATACAGAACGTTGAGTATATGAGAGACGGAGAAAACAAAGAGAACTTCACTGTGACTTAGGACAACTAGCTATTGACATTTTCATCTAGAGACCACATTCAACGTGAGCTGCTCATTGCGGACTATTGTGACAACATACAAATTTTTTATCCAACATGGCCAACTCAAGTCTCTCTATCCCCGAATCTTACGCATCTATAGGATACAAAGATATACTCATCAGCCATGTCCCACCCGACGCGCCCACAGCAACCAAGGTAGTCGTTGTTACACTCAACAGACCCAAACGACACAATGCCGTAAACGAAAACATCCTCATCGAGCTTGAGTCGGCTTTCAAACTTTTTAACATAGACCAGCGGGTCCGCGCTATCGTACTCACCGGCGCAGGCAAGTCCTTCTGCGTTGGGATGGATCTGTCAGGCGGACCGGCTGGTTTGATGAAGATCAAGGAAAATGAGAAGACGATGAAAGAATGGAAAGATCCGTGAGTACCGGCCTTGTTCTATCAATACCGTAGGAGAAGTTTCTGAATCGTCATGCCCCCAGTGGTGGCCGAGTTGCGCTCGCCATTTCAGACTGCATTAAGCCAACTATCGTCGCCGTCAACGGCGCAGCGGCAGGCTTCGGCCTCACCTCCATCCTCTCAGCCACGATCCGCGTAGCCTGGAAAGACGCCAAGCTCAGCATGCCCTTCGCCCGCCGCGGTCTCACGATGGAATCCATAAGCGCCTTCTACCTCCCCAAAATACTCGGCCTCTCGAAAGCCATGCACATGACGGCGACGGGAAACACCTACGTCGCGTCGGATCCCATCGTCAGCGGCCTCTTCTCGAATCTCCTCCCCACGCCCGAAGCCGCGTTGCAATACGCCCTCGAGACGGCAGTCGACATGGCGGAGAACACGTCGCTCATGAGCACGAAGATGATGAGGGACCTGATGCTCTACGGCCCCGACACCCCCGAGGAAACTCACCTGCTGGACTCGAGGGTGTTCATCGCCTCGGCTGGGTCGCCGGACAATGTGGAGGGTCTCAAGTCTTTCGCGGAGAAGCGCAAGCCGAAATTTTCTGGGGCTATTGATAGGACTGAGTTCCCGTTCTGGCCTTGGTGGAAATTTGGTGCTGAAGAGCTGATACCCGGTTTGAAGGCCAAGCTTTGAGTTGATGATGAGAATGGTAGTTGGTCATGTTGTATGTATCTAGAGTCAACTTAACATGAATACTTGTTTCAATCCACTTTGGAAGCTGAGTTGATCATGGTCACCGAGCTGCCATACGCTGAAGATTTGTCTCATTGATGGTTGCTACTATATTGGTCCAGAACTTCGGTTTGCCAAATTCAACGCGCCACGATTTGGTTGTGGTGCCGTTTGTCATAATTTTCGTTGATGATGACCCCTAACTCATCGCTATAAGCCCGCACGAATATAGAATGCCTTTGGAAACCTGTCACTGCCAGAATTGCCCAGTTGTTGCTGTCATCCACGTAAATTCAAGTTTTCATTAAACGACCCGAACCCCTGTCAGGCGTCTTCGAAATGTACCATGCATAATTCCTATCAATTCTTTCATACACTATCCTATAAGTATACGGATAAATTGCCTCATTTAGTTCTCATGCAAAACGTCATTTTACAACATGGGCTTGGATGAATCTCTCGCTGATCCAATCAGTTATGTCGTGGAGAGAACTTTCATATGCTCACAAAATTGCCGAGGCACCTCGGTCTCCCCGCCTCGGCAAGATGTGGGGCCGTTGTGATCCAGGGGGTCTGAGCCAATTCTGCTCCCTCAACACTTACAACACCGCAGCTTGGCGTTTGATTTGGCCTTTGGAGCACGGGTTGGACCGAAAGCCGTTCGGGCGATGACCGTGATGGTGAGTTCGTCGGTGTCGAAACGGAACCCGTCCGACCAGACAATGCGCTTCGCCGAGAGGCCTCGCAGCCCCATGGACTTTGGACCTGTCGCGTCTTCACGGCAAGCTGAAGTCATCAAGCGTCCACAGCCTGTCCATGGACTGGATGTCAAGCCACGCATCAGTGCTGACTTAGTTAGCGATCAATACGTCCCGGCCAAGACAGAATAATGCACTCACTGTGTTCCGGCGATCGAACTATCACATGTATCTTGAAACGCCGCCGCCGGCAAAGGGCTCCACATGTCCGATATGATGCCCGCGCTGCCGAGTCCGTAGCCGTCTGGCCAGTCGGAAAAGGCGTTGTTCATCGTCCCATCCGGCGTCGTCGCCGCTGTCGGCGCGGCCGGCGACGGTTGGTACTCGACGTGGGGCGGAGCATTGTCAACTTTGTTGATGGCGGTTTCGAAGAGTTTGTACGAGGCTTCTGCAGATATGTAGGACTTGCGCAGCTCGTCCATGGCAACCATGCAGAGGGCGAGGTTGTGCCTTCCCATCTGGCGCGCCATGGGCTTGGATGATGTGGATTCGAAAAGATGGATCTGCATCGGCGGAACCATTGCGATAACTCTGAGGCTCAGTCAGTGACCTGTCAAAGATTGTGTTGTACAGACGGCCCTGTCTTACGTGATTGTATGGCATAGCCGGATGAGGTCTTCTGCCATCATGGAGTTCACAGCAGCACTTGCATTAGATGCCGCAGTCCTAGTCTTCTGACATGCGTAGGTCCTCCAATTACCCTGGTCAGCAGCCGGGACTTCTCGCGGGGTATCAAGGATGAACGGTCGATAGAGAACAATAATAGAGGTTCTGCAAATCAATTAGCTGACTTTGTCACCTCCGTTGTGCCTGAACCGATAACTTACTCGAAATAAAGCTTAAACTGGTAGATATGGGACGCAACAACCCGGCTCTGATTAGCAGCCTCCGGAACCCGAGACTGAAACGCCCGGATCTGGCCCTCACTGCGCTCAAGATCGGCTCTAGAAGGCTTCACACCCTTCGCAGCATAATTCGTCGCAAGAATGTTGCTCAGAGCCGAGCTCAAACCGATAAACACAAGCCAGATCTCGAACAAGAACCCGAGCTCGCCAGGAAGGTACTTTCGGCCGAGGTCCCCCGCGACCTCGGGCGAGAGCACGTCCGCATCGCAGGCGGCCGGCATCGGGGTGTCGAAGTCGTCAAAGGCGATGCGCATCGGACGGCCTAGTCCGAGCGAGAGCCACACCTCGCGGGAGTAGAGCGACCACCACAGCCTCCGCCAGAAAGGCTTCGTGCCTTGGGAGACCTGCTGGGCTGGCATGTTCAGGCGGTGGAGGCCGATGGTGTGGGAGAGGCTGATGGCGATGCCGTTCCAGTGCCACGGGCCGGCGCGGTCGTCTGTGCTGGTGTACCAGTGGCCCATCAGGAAGACGGACTGGATGAGGGTGACTTTGTCTTTCTCGTAGTCTGCGTCGTAGAGGGCCTGGGCGGTAGTCAGCATGCTGGTGTTTTGATCAGTACTGACGCATCATGGGAGCTCAGGCACCTTTGCTCGCTGATACATGCCCCTTTTGAGGGCTCTTCTCGAAGTGTAGAAGTCTTCAGTCAACAGACTGTCATCAACAAACTGTGCAGTATGTTAGAATATTCAGTGGAGAGTAGTGATGTGGTGGGATGGCCTACGCTAGCTGCTGCAATGAACATGCTCCAAAGCAACAGCAGACTCTTTCGCCCCCTCGCATACTCGGTTATGAACTCGTTGGCGTCGAGGATCGGTGCAAATGGATGAACATAGTGAAAATAACACCGAATCATGGCCTCGCGAACGCGAGGCGGCGGCAACGTGAAGGCGCCTTTGGTGCGAAGGTAGTTGACATCTTCCGGTGCTAGAGCCTTGATCGAAGGCATGGGCACCAAGAAATGATTGTCCTTTGAAGATCGGTTGGGTTCGCAGATATCAATCAAGAATGCGGGCCCACGTTGGTCTCCTGGGCGGTGCTGTCAGTACACAATTCGCGACTTGCAAACAAAACGCACCCCTCCAACCTGTGAGATGTGTCGTGATGGTCATCACTTCCGGGGTAGGACAAGGATGCTTACCAGGGTAGAAGGGCACGCAGCCGTCCTCACGGGTCTTGCCCCCCTCCAAGGTCTCCGCGTAAGCGGAGCTGTCCTCAGTGGCGTCGGACGGATCCGGCGCCGATCGCTGATTGCCGGCGGGAAGAAGGGCCCTCACGGCATCGTAGGGCCGAGATGCGGGGGCGGATGGGCCGGGGATCGAATGGGTCCTGGCCAGGCCCGGAGTCGTCGGCGACCCCGGCCTGCCGTCACCCTGGACATGGCGGTTTTCCTCTAGAGGCGCGGAGTTCCCGCGGATGTGTCGACTTTCTACAGCATTCGAGCTCTGGCGCGGAGCTGGCTCTGGTGTCTGTGGCTCCTCCAGCAAGCGGCGTCTGGGTTGGCCTCGTTGCGGGATGATGATCAACGGATTCTCGCCGCCGGCGGGCCCACCCCCAGAATTCCCGGGGAGTTGATCCGAGTTTCTTCTCGGTGATCAGAAGGTTCCTCATGTGTGTGCGTCATGCGGTCAAGGGGAGGTGAGGGAACTTACCGGCGTCGCTTACGACTCAGTACCTCGCAGGTAATGCCGTCCACGGAGCAGTTGGCGCATGGGGGGCCGGATAGCGTGACAGTACACCTCACTTTCCGCAGGTTGCAGGCTTTGCACGCGACCGCGGCTCTCTTGAAGGTCCGGACCGCGGGTGGTGAAGAGGCGGAAGCGGAGGCAGTGGCAGAGGAAGACTCATTCTGCTGCTGGTTCTGCTGGGACATATTACGGCCAGTCGCTGAACCGGGTAACCGTGAAGAAGTAGAAGGAGGGTGCTATCGTTATCGATATGCTGGGATGGCGTTCATAAGAGGGTGTCCTCCGTCCATACTAATTATCTCTTTGCTTCGCCTTGGGTTTTTCTTCCTCTCCGGCCTTTGACTTAACTCACAGCGAGTACGAATGTTATCGCCATGTGAGGTGTGAGGAACTCGATAGTGAAGGGTGTAAGACGAGTGTACCCCGTGTCTGCGCAGCGGTTTCGCCGAGGATGTCGCTTAGGTAATTGCATGTGAGAAGGTGGTTGGGGATTTTGTATTATTTTAATTAAATAGACACGATGATCGTCGGGTTACGGCGTTACCAACGGCCCGACCGCATGAGCCGATGGCAACCTTGGCTGGGAGGAGAATGGTTGAAACGTGCATCCCGGACACGAACAAGAGTTAGTTACACATTGGCATACGTCTTTCGAAGAAATCCGGTGATGAAGAGTTAAATTTGTAAGTCATTCGCCAAAACATTGAATCGTTGTCTCATTATCCGTATCTTCTATCCATAACCGTGACCATTTCCACGTGTCCCATTAGTCGTAAATCTCATTTCATATGGCTTCATCCAACGCCCAATGCACCGATTTCCGTTTCTTCTTCTTCAAGTTCATCTCTTCGGGCACACGTAGACGAGCATCCGCAACGATGAAATCAAAAGTCAAGCTCGACGCCCGGCTGTGCGTACACACCCTCGCCGTGCCGCCAATCTCCCACTCCCACCTCGCCTTCTCCACCATGTCTCCGGCCTTCCGGAGCTTGTGTCGCCATCCTTCGACGAACAGCCACGCAAGACGAAATACGCTCTCGCCAGAGGGCTCCGCGGGCTCGCGCACCTCGGCCCAGACGACCGGCACCCGGAGGCCGCTCGCGTCCTTTCGGTACTTGCGCATCGGGCGGTCCTCCGTCTCGTCGTCGTACTCGGCGTCCCGCTTCACCCTCGTGACTCTGAGCCCCGCTCCGCCCGAGCGTGGTCAATTCGCCTCCAGCCCGCCAGCAGAGTTTCGTAGGAGTGCGCTCTGCTCGTCAACCTCGTCTTCGGCTTCGTTGAGAAACCCGGCCTTGCGCTGGAATCCGGGGCCGTCGGCGGTGGCTGCGTCATCTTCTTCGCCGCCGGACTTGTTCCGTCGGACGGGGTGAAAGACTCCCGATACCGGTCGCGACCGGACCGGGCTCGCCGGCTCTTGCTTTGCTTGGTTGCCCTCGAAGATGCCGCGCATCCTGCTGATCAGGCTCCCGGGTGAAGTCCCCGTGCCCGGTGCGCGTGAAGGACTCTCTGAACTTGAGCCTACGGAGCCGGATGCGCCGTGCAGCGCCTTGGCTCCGCCGCCGTCGTACCTGAACGGATCATCAAACGACCTATCGGTAAGTGTCGAATCGTTG